GACCTAGACGGGATTCAATCATTCCTTCAACGAGGATAACCACGCTCTTACTCTCTCGAGGGCCACCGCTCCGGAGCCCATCCGCAGTTCGGCGTCGACCTCCATGCCCAACGCCAGCCGGACGAGCAGGGCCCACGACCCGCGGGCGCAGATGGCGCCCTGACTTACCATCTCGTCCCTGTGTCGCACCAGAGCCGCGGGCGCCGGATTCGAGGAGCAGTGGCCCTTCCTGCCACGGACGAGACACCTACATCTGCTGCCGTGCGACCACAGCCACTCCTGCTGGACCAGGGGACCGTGGACGTCCCCTGCCGCGTGCACGTTGGTGCAGATACCGAAGCAGCCGGACTTGGGGTTGGAGACCTTGGTCGTGGCGCGGAGCTCGGGCTTCTCCCCGGTGCCTCGCTCGAGCTCATCGTACAGGACGTGGTCCAGGACTGCCCTGGGGTGGTTAGGGAGGCATAGCAAGAGCTCTGACTGAAACCGTTGGGTTGTCATGACGATGCTCAAAATGTCCGGCACGAGGAGTTCACGGTCTGGCCGGGGGGCTTCATTCAGCGCCAGGCTGCTTATATCCTCGGCTGGGGAATGAATCCGCATCGAACTATCGAACCGCTGAGCCAGGGCTGAATGAATGCCTTTGTCTGTCTCGTCACAAACCCCGCGGGGCCAACGATGGCACTCTTTATTCACAACAATAGGGTGGGGAGCTTTGGACCGAGTACCCAAGAGGCATGCATTGTTGGAATACATACTCCTTTCTTGGGTCTCTCACCGTCATTGCTCGTGCGACGGCCACATGAAAGCTGTTGTATACGAAATATGATTGGGCTGTGGGTATCAGATAGGGCAATGCCCCCTTTTTGGAAGCCTTCTAACCTCTATATCAGCACAGGAATGGGAGGTTGAGTGAAAAGGTATGAGTTGACCCAAGTGTCTAGGTAGTCAGCATTCGTGTGAACCCTTTACATCAGTCTAGATGATATTTATATATCCGCGCGCCGTGTGCTTTTGCCGCTGCGTTGTGAAACCGCATTGGTGACTACCGTTGAACCTGGAATGATGTATCAAGTTTACAGCAGATAATTGCAGTGCAAGGTGCGCTTTTGCTACCACCCGAGCTTACATCAGAAGACACAAATCAAGGTGGCTGGGGATCGAGGGAAAAAATGCAATTCGTCAAACGATCTGGGGGGAATATTTGTTTGCACGTTCTAAATCTTTCTGGCAGTATACCATTGGACACCCATCATCGTGCAGGCCTCCACCCGTCCATCCCCTAATAACTCCGAAGCCGTCATAGTGTCATAGTACAGCGTTCTCTTGGAGGCGCTACTCATCTGTTGTTTGCGTTCCATCCCGCCATCTAGGGCCTCAGGCTAAGTTTATTTTGCCCCACTCTCCATTGTCCTTACCTTGTTGTGTTGGCTGAATTATAAAAGTGCCATGTTGGCCGTAGCACAGGCCCATCGAGTACCAAGTCTCGTGACGCACTATACCGCGTCTGATTTCTGTCCGTAGAGCTAACGGGATGCCCGTTCAGGTGGCGCTGGATAACCATCCAACAGCGACTCTTTACCTACAGTCGCCCTCGCCTATTCAAAGGATAGCATACTCGCAACAGGTGTTGCTTTTGAGAAAGCAAAAGTCCCTTCCTTAATTTGTTTTGCGTCGACCTCGAAATGGTGTCCACCTAGTTGACACCACCATTGGCGGATGGAGGGTTCTGAGCGGCTTGAGCTGCAAGCTGAAGGGCCGCCTGAGCGTTCACCTCAGCCTGGTTGATGGCTCCTTGAATGACTGCCTGGTCATCAGCAGTGAGAGGCGCAGTAAGGGTGCTGTACAGCTGAGGCTGTTCCTGCTGTAGTCCTGCAATAGCGTTAGTTCTCTGTCGACCAGGAAAAACACAGGCAAGTCCACTTACTCATCAACGAACCCCTGAAAAGCTGATACGGCTCTAGCTTGTCGAGAGGTGATTCCAAAAGGACGCTGTCCTCGCCAAGATCGTCATCCGAGTCATCAATTTCCTTGTATTGGGACTCCAAGCGGCTGAACTTGGCAGCCTCTTCATTCAAGAACTCGAGATATGCGGTGCTCTCATCACGAGCTTCCTGGGAGTCCTCTTCTGTCTTCTCCTCGGTCTGCCAGTTGGTGTCTTCCTCGGCCCACTCATCTTCATCCTCGTAATCGTAGCTACCGGCATCGAAGGTGTAGTCATCCTTCAATGCCTCATCTCTAGCCTTCATGGCACTGGGCAGGGTTCTGAAGAGAATCGTGATGCCTTGCAGCAGCCTAGGCCAGCCGGTCTGCACGCTCTGAGGGATCTGATCAGGGTTGAGGCTGAGCAGCGACACGATGGCGACGATGCAAAGCTTCTTGTCGTGGACCCGGCTGAAGCTGTCCATGCTACCAAACCATAGGCTGAAGAACTTATTTGTCCACCCCTTGGCCTCCAGGACAGCCAGACTGAGCATGGGGTTGTAGTAGACCGCGTTGATGACCATCTCCATAAGATGGATCTTGTAAGACTTGACTTTGACATCGTGTCCACTCAGCACAGTCATGGCCATGGTGATGAAGCCGGTCACGGACTGATCGATATGGCCACGCAGGCTCAACATCATGGCCTCGGCCAGCTTGCATGCGCAGATGCGATCGACACCGCCGACCTTTTGATCCTCGAACATGTCCGAGACCATGCCATAGAGAGCTGCGACATACTCGGGCTTCTGAGCCAGGTGGGGGGCGCCATACTGAACAAAGTTGTCCAATGCAGGGAGCATATCCTCCAGGTACAGCTCGGCGCCAGACTTGAACGTGTTATGGATCAACTCAAACGCTTGCCACATGGTTCCGGAGATGCTCTTGGCGGCGAAGGTACACGAGTCAATGATCTCGAAAACTTCATTGTAGAGATCTGTCATTACTATGTTAGTACTGGCACTTCTAGGCATAAATGGAGGTTCACATACCGTAAAGTTTGTTCTCCAGGGTGATCTGGATTACAGGCATGAGGACAGCCTCGATGTGCAAAAGAACATCCGGCGTGCTCTCCAGGGTGAGGATGAGTGTGCCAATAGTCTGCAGAACACCAAGAGCCGTGATGCTCTTGTCGTCCAAGTAGTCGCCATACTCGCCGTCGTCGTCGCCCTTAGCAGCGTTCTTATCGAGGAGCTCGCGCACAATACGCAGATACGTGTCCCGCAGCTGCTCACTAAGAGCCACGGCAAAAGGAGTCAGCTCGGCAGCAAAAACCTCGACGAAGTCCTCCATCACGTTGGCGAGAGCGTCGATATCGCACTCATTGGCCAGCTTGAGCAGCTGCTGCATGATGGTTGGGATGCTCTGCTGCATGCTAATCCGGATGGCATCGTGACGAATCAGGGGTTGCAGAGCCAAGGCGGCGGTGACCCGCACAGGGAGGTCTGTGTCGGCCATGCAGTCGAGGATGTGGCGATAGATGAGAAGCAGGTTGTTCTGATCCTTGAAGTTGAGCTGTTCGAACTTCTCGATAGTATCGCAAGCCCGGGCGCGGAGGAATCCTTGAGAGCTCTTGAAATCAGGGAACACGTAGCGGACCAGGAAGTACTCGACCTGATCAGCGATGGGGCTCTTCTTCCCGAGAAGGACCGGCGCCAGCGTCCCAATCATGCGCAGAGCGCCCTCCTTGGCGATGTGGCTCTTGGCACCTTCGGCCGCAGCCTCGTATTCACTGACAACCTCGTTGATGAACTTGAGGAGCTCGAACGTTTGCTTTCTCCGGACCTTGGTCAAGGTCACCAAGAAATTTGTGGCGGCGACATCTGGCGACGAGACCTCTTCGTAGAAGCTGAGCTTGCGGTGAAGGTACTCCTCCGGCTCGTCCTCGAACTTCTCAACATCCTCCTGGGTGAGGCACATGACGGGGAACACCAGATGGGTGACGAGGTTGGTCAGGTGTGGCTTCAAGTGGGGCCACATCTCCTTGGGACGACAGCACTCATCGAGGAACACCAGCGTATAAGACAAGCACGGCTTGCTCAGCCAGGCCGTCTTGGCCACCCACTTCTCGATCTCCTGCAAGTAGTGCTTCAGGATCTCGGGGGCCACGGTTGCGGTGAAGTCCTTGGCGAAGGCCTTGTGTTCGTCGGTCTGCGTCGAGACGGCACTGGGGTTGCCATGTCTAATCCACAGCCTGTTCAGGTTGAAGTAAGCCCACTTCTTGGCCTTCCACCAGTGGTTGCGTTCCCTCTCGTCGAGGTCCTCCGACATGGCGGTGGCGGGAGCCGCCTTCGCAATGGTGTGGAGGAAAACGGTGCACCAACCAATGTTGACCTGCGGTTGTCTGAGGAAGCTCGACAGCTCCAACTATAAATTCACGTCATCCGTTAGTCTCTCGGTTTGCCTTGAGCAATGCGGTCCCGCGTGGGGTGGGGGATTGTCCTACCCAGGTGGCGTGCTTGTAAGCCTTGAGGGCAATGTGCAGCATCTCGCCGGCCTCCTCGCTCTCCTGGTTCACCAGCTCGTTGCATACTTCCAACAGGCGGGGGAAAGAAGCCTCGACGATGTTGTCAAACTCGTTCCTGCTGGGGTCCTGGTTCCCCTTGAAGCGATACGCACGGCATGTGACAAGCAGGCACTGGAGGCCAGCGAGGACCGAGGGCGCATTGTTGGCGTGCAGCAGCTGCAGGGTGACGTCCATAAAGCTGGGCCACTTGCCCGGAAAGTCAAAGTGCAGGATGCGCTGGATCATCTGCAGCAACTGCTGGCGGACGGGGCCATGGGAGGCTGCCAGGATGGGCAGTATGCGGTCGCGGAATCTTTGCTTCTCATCTTCGGCTATGAGGGACTCGTCGGGGTAGTGGTCGCTTTTCGCCCAGGCGCGGTTCGTCCGGTTCTTGAGGTAGATGACGGCTACAGGCGGTGAGCCAGGAGTTAGTCTCTATGACGAGCGCGTAGAGACGCGACTAAGGGGGGTAATATAGTATATGCTATGAGGCGGTGGGAAGAATAGGAGGTGGGCGTAGGTGTTTTCCGGTGGTAATGTGATGTGATGACGGGGATGACGTGAACGTACTTGAAAGGCGCACGGCGTCCTCGGCCTCGGCTGCGAGGATATCGAGCAGGACATCGCAGAAACCGGCGTGTGTCTCGGCCTGTGTGAACGCGTGTGAGCAAAGCGAATCCCAGTCCCCGAATCACACGAACCCCGATCCGATGCCATCGTGGGCCCGGCCCTGGTTCTGGCCCTGGTTCTGGCCCTGGCTCTGGCTCTGGCTCTACAGATTTGCATTGCAGGCAGGGCAGGACAGGACAGAGCGGGCCGGAGGCGGAGGGGGGCAGCGGTTCGGTCATCCATCCACTCATTCATTCTTTCAGCACGTACCGACTTGAGCTCGAGTTCGGCGGCCCGTCGCACGTTGGTATCAGGGGACAGCGTCGCGACGATGCGACTCCTGATGGCGTCGACGTTCATGCTGCCGGCCGACGAGCGAAGAGCACAGAGAGGGGGGGGGGGACTCGAGGTTCAATGAGAATGGCACGCAATGGGGGAGGGTGTGTGCCCGTCAACCGGGTTCGGCGATAGGGTGAAGGTCAAGGGGGGAGGGAAAAAACTTGGTGTAGGTGTGGTTCAGCTCGGGGGAGGAAAAAAAAGGCATGCGATGTATCTGGGCCTCACGCAAGTGAATATTTCCTTCAGGCGCCAGGTCAGGTACATTCAAAACCTTGTGTACGTATTTTGGTTTTTTGCCAGCGAAAATCAATGGCGGGGCACAGCCAAGGGGGGGGGGGGGGCCAAGCGGTGGAGGGTTCAAGGCTGGAGGGGGGAAGAGAGGGAGAGGGAGGATTTCCCAGGCCGGGGCGCTTGACTTATTCCATCCAGGTGCCAGGTTACCTGGCTTGGCCTGGTACTTGGTCCTGGACTGGACGAGAGGGATTCTCACACACGTACATACGTAAACACAGCAACAACAATAACAACACACTGACAGACAAGGGATTTCTCTTCACTAGTAACTACATAGCATATCTAAATCAAGTACAGTCCCTTGTGTCAGTAACCTACTCGACCACCCCTATAGTTGTACTCGACTGTGATAGACCACCCAAAGAGTTCCCCTTTCCGGGTCCCTTTGTCTACGACCATCCCTCCCCGTTGGTCTGCTATGGGAGATTTTGTTCTGCCTCTGCCAGGTATTTCATGCGTTGTGTGAAACCAGACAGTCCATTCGCGGCCTTTACCTATCTGTCTGGCCGCCTGCCCGTTTGCGGTGCCACGCCTGTCAACAACCCGTCAGTGCGCCGCTCGAAAAGCTTGGACGACACTGGCCTGACTGGCAGACCGGAAACGCGGTGGAGGGGATTTGCGGGTAGCATGAACAGACAGCGCCAGGGGAGAACGAGCAGCTGAGGTTGGGCGGGATTCGACTCTCCCTGACTGGCTGTAAAGCCGAATTAATCGGGGTCCTGTTAGCCTAGGGTAATGGGGCTCCATAGTGGGGTGAATCATTTTTTTGGGCTGGAATATCTGCTCCTTGGTACAGGTAGCCAACTGACTAAGTTAGGGCCGCCTCGAGCAGCAGAGCATCCGCGCCAGCAAGCGCCGGCATGAAGGTGCCCTGAAATTTGCAGAGACGAGACTAGCAGTTGTCCGGCTTGGTATTCATCGCCCTAGATGAGATGATCTGTAAGAGAAAGTTGGGGGCTGTAACTGGGCCATCCCTCCCGTCCTGGCGTCTACCAGGCACAGTCCCGGGCCCCAACTTCCAGCACTCTGGTTTTGTAGGACCTTGGGAAGTTAGGTACCGCCGCTGCAGGCAGGGTCTTCGTGCTCACTCGGGCCTCGATCAGGGTCTTCTACTTCCGCCAAGTGATGAATAGCTCAAGGAACAACACCTCCCCTTGGACATGGTCTACAGTTTCACAAATACCCCGCTACAGCGCCTTTAGGATTCTGTGGCGTAAATACTCTATACTCTCTATAGTCGTTCCCAGAATGATCACTCGCCTTGGTCTTTTCCCACATTTTGATCTCCATGTTTTGTTGACTTGCGTCTGTCCAGTCGCCCGGGGGCGCACGCCTCGTCAATGTGCGCCACAAGTCATGCAAGCAAGGGACTCCCGAGTCGCTGCAAACCCCGCTATATGGCGTGGACGGCCGCCGCTCGAGACTGGAGGCGGTGACAGATCTGATCTGCCCCACGGCCCGCTCGCGATTCCTATGTGTTAACTCGAGAGACTTTTGACAAGCAGATGGGCTGCTGTCTGACTCGATCGACGCAAAGCTGGATACCAGGCTTTCGTCTTCACCCGCCAAGGACAAGGTTGACGTACACTGCTAGTGCATGCCCCTTCAGCTTCTTCAGAGATCCTGAACTGGCCGCTCTCCGATGCGGCACCCGTGTAAAAGGTCATCGGACTGCAAAAGTCATAAGCAGCCAATACAATATCATTTTAGTATCTGACTTGGGCCTTGTTGAGAACAGGAGCAAAAAATAATTCATCGGTCATCGGAGGAATCGAACCACCACGCGAAGCAAACAATAGTCATTTTGGAGATTGCCTGCGGCTACCAACTCGACCATTCAGGACAGGGTCTCGTTCAGTCACCATGTGATACAGTACTCTTTAGTTGCATGTTATGTACGGGTGCTTGAGGCTATGGCAGCGCCGTTGATCCTTCAAAATCCATCCAATCGTACATTTGCATCGCAGTGCTTTCCTGTTGCCTAGGGGGGCCGGATGACTCATCCGCTACGGGTCAAGCGATGCTTCCCCAGTCAGATAGCAGTAGCATTTCACGGTTCGCGCAGCAGTTGGCGCACGCAAAGGAGCATTTGTAGGGGAGGGGAAAGATTCTTCTTCATCTCCGAAAAGAGGTACACTCCTGTATCAACTCACTCGTCTATCCAAGCAAGAGGGCGGCTGGTTTGCCCGTAGTGAAACCCCAGTCTCCAGTCTGCCTGGTCATCAAACTGACCGCTATGATCGAGCCCTATCCCATGTCCACCCTCTCATCATATCAGAAGTATTGGTTTAGTTTGCCAGCTCAGCAAGAAACCACCAAGTCCAGCTCCCAACTCTCCCAAAACCCAGCACAGCTCCATCCTTCTATAAGAATTTGGTCGATCCTGCGTCGGTTAGTATCCCGCTTGGGCTTGGGTAAATTAAGTCGAAAATGAAGTGGTTCCAGGAGGTGGAAGACTAAAAGAACACAAAACAAAAACAAAACAGTTAACTGACACTGTCGACAACACGGTTTTGGCTTATATGCCATGAGTTGCTAAGTCTGGATGGCTCCTGATACATCATGATAGTCCATAGGTTTGTGTAGTTCTTTGGGAGTTGCCATGCGGGGGTGATCCATCACGAATGCCGTTGGTCCTGGATTGTGATCTTCCGGTATGACGTCCACGTGTGGTCTCTGCTGAGGTCAATGCCGTTTCCGAAAGTGCGAGACCTAGCAACAAACTGTCGAATCCAGGAGAGAGCATCTGGGGACGCATTTACATCCAAAGAATGGGAGAACAAGTGGCAAATACTTGACTCCAGTTGTCGTATCCGAAGCAGGGTGCCTGCCCACGAAACGCTGTCAAGAGCAAGCGATCCAAAATCCAAAGGTCGAGGCTCCAAAATCCAGGGATCTCGGTGATGAACTTGAGTCAGGGTACCTACCATGAGAGACGAGTATAATTTATCTTTAATCCAGGGTCGAAGAGTACTCTTCTTTCCGATGAGTTCCAGATGACTTGGGTGGCCCATTACGTGAATGAGGAAGATAGCAGTAAACAGGTTTGGGCATGTTCTGTAGTCCATAATCGAGGTAAGGTGACCTCTCAAAACTCCTTGATAATCCAGTCCAGGTATATTCACGAGGTTCGCTTTCCAGTAATCCTGTTGGTGACTCCTGTTGGTAAACCCTGATGAGAAATCCTGACGGTGAATCCTGATGGTGGCTCCTAATGGTGACTCCTGGCGGTGGCTCCTCTGCTGGTGGCTCCTGAAACTGGTGATTCCAAAGGGTCCTCCTTCCATGGGTTGAGAAAGCTGTTGTTAGTATCGAACAACGAACGTGGCAAGAGAAGAAAACCACGAAAACGGGTTGGGTTGTTGAGAAATCCTTTCACTGAGGCTGGGATATATATACACGCTGTCCCATACTCACCTTGCTGTCCGGATCTCGTGCCCTATCTATTAGCAAATCAACCCAATCAAGATCTTACTCTTGTCCTCACGCGCCAGCGGCCAGGAAACCGGAAACAAGAAACGGCAAAAAAGTAAAGCAGGTAGCCTCCCTCGTTTTGGCCGAATCCGGACAGCAAGTGATAGGGGTGATATTCTTCAAAGTCATCAATCAGTTGAAGGGTCCTTTTCCCGTGCCAAATCCCATTTGGTATAATGCAGAGCAGGCCAGCTTCGCAAAAACATTAAGAGATGATCATGATCAAGTCGACTCATCCGTATGCAAATCGTGAACGTTCCCCTCGTTGCGCCGTATCCGTTCTGGCTGAAATCCATATGCAAAAGAAAAAGTTGAAATAGACCATGTCCGGGAAAGAGGTGTAAAGATCCGTAGTGGCCAGAGTAAAAATGTGTGATATCAAGAATGCAAACTTGCAACTCCTGGGGGGCTCGGCAAGAGCCTTGTGTATGCAGGCCTGTCCATGAGACGCAGCTGAATCCGGGGGAAATCCATGGGGTTGTGTTGGTTCCAATCCACGGGCCTTGAGAGAGGACATTCATCACGTTCAGGCGTGAGACTGGTGGTCTCGTCCATGAATCCCGTGGAAGGGCCCTTTTGGCGGCTTACCGTCCACTGCGATGACGATGTCTCGACTCGGCATGGCGGTCACGCTCAACGCTCTCCCGGTTATGGCGCGAGGAAGATCCGCTGGATGCCATCTGAGCATTGGAAGGAGGCGCCGAGGCACGGGGAGCAGGAGCTGTGTCATACTGTGAATCATGTGTGGTGCCATAAGCTGGGTTGCCTGCTGGCGAAGCTAAAAAATCAGACGACGCTCCCGGAAAGATCAGGCTTTGATATACGTACCGCGTCCATAGAAAGGGTCTCTCGAGTCGGTCGGGACAAATTGTGAGCCCGAAAATGCGGCAGCAGGAAATCCCTGTGACGGCGGCGGTCCCGACGTTACATACGTCGGCCGGCCTTGTGCCATTGTTGTCACTGGTATCCTGTCCCTGGGACTGGCAGCATATGGGTCATTAGTACCATACATCGGTGTATCGCCACCTCTGACAGCCATGTGTGCACCGGTCTGGGTGTAGGGTCGTTCCGCGCTCGGCTGGCCGAATCCAGAACCAGACATTGCAGCACCTCCTGGGTAGGATACATCTGCAGGCGACTGGGCGAATTGTTGCGGCTGGGCTGTGGTATAGCCCCCTTGGCCGCCATACCCACCCTGGTTCCCACCATATGACTGAGGTGGATAGCCTCCAGAAGCCCCGGAATATCCTGCACTGCCAGTGCCTGGATATCTAGGGGTGGCATCATACGAGTCCCGGGAGTTATCCTGGTAAGTGGAATCGGCACCTCCTGTAGGCCCGTAGTACTGGCGCGATTCGTGCGTGGCCGAGTTACGGTACTGCACTATTGGGGAGTTAGATTTCTGGATGAACATTCCAGGTTGATCTCTCGAGGCCATGGTACCTCCAACGGGATTGCGCGCAGTTTGCTGCCGCCTTTCTTGGTCCCATCGCGCAGAGTCTGCCTTCAAATCTTCGATCATGGCCTGGTAACGGATTGGTTAGCCCAGTGCGACGACGTGACAACTGGACAGAGGACTCACTGAGGTTAGATTTCTGTAGGCTGTGATGTAGTAGCCCTGGACGACCTGGCCCGTTTGCGGACTCTGCACCAAGGTCAGCGCTCTTGTAGTCGACACGGAGAGACACAAGGCATTACCTCGTAGACGCCTGGGCGCACCAGGGCGTCGTTGCCTAGGTAGCGACAGACATCGGCAGTGATGACTTCACGGTCGATCCCGTCCCTGGGTACGAAGTATTCATTCTGTCGGCCGGACGCGGGCGGCGGGGCTTGGTTCGATCGCGACTGTCGCGAAGACATCTTGGGATGATGACCAAGAGGTTGAGAGGAGATCCGCGACGGCGACGACGAAGGGCGGGAAGGGGAGGGAGGGAGGAGGAGATGCGTCCACGGGGAGAAGCGAAAAACTCGGGACGAAGTACTACGTGAATAGAAACAGGCCGACCAAAATTGCTGAGGAGGAGGGTGGTGAAGAGGAGAAAAGCGAAGGGCCAGGCGCTGGGCTGGCTTAAGGTGGGGTCTGAAGTGGACGGGCTGGAAGTCCCAACTAGCGTCCGGTACGGTCTCTGTTCAGGGTTTGGGAGACCCGACAAGACTCCCAAGGGGTCACGTCGTTGGTTGAGCAGGGATGGTTCGGTAGTCTAAGCCCAATCCTTGGACGGGTGGCAACCGACTGAGTGGACACGCTTCCTTACCCAATGGGCCGAGAGCAAAAGCGGCGTGGTAGCACTGCGAGAGAGCACCGGGTACCCTCGAGTGAGCGCCCTGGAACGGGAGTGCGCTGGAGCGCAATCGATGGAGGGCGGGCAGACAAGCAGGCAGGCAGGCAGGCAGGCAGGCAGGATTCTCGTCGGTAACGAGATGACCAATGAGCTCAACAACAGCGGCGGTGGTGGAGCGGTATTACTGTGTGATCAGACGTGCGCGTGGGAGCGTCTGGTTGGCTGAGGATGAGGCCCTCAAAGCTGAAATGGGCAGCCAGCCTGGTCGGAGCAACGAACCAGAAGTGACAAGAACAGATCTAGTGAGCCTAGCAAGGAATGGTGGTGGGCTCGGTAGAGCCTGCAGAAGACTGGCCGTCTGGCGTTTGGGCGCGCAGAACAGATGCAGGCAGGACTGGCTGGTATTACCCTGTCCCGGTGATTGACAGGTAATGCCCAACGGACGAAAGCAACGGTGATCGTCGTTTGTGAGGCGAAATCCCAAGTGGATTCCGGTTTTAAGAACGGATTGTGTGGCTGGTGAATTACCACTAAGAATGCTCCTGGAGCAAGGACAGCGACTGTAGCGAGACGTGCAAGAAGCGCCCAATGGTTCCGGGCCTGGCGGCAATAAGAGGTGCTCTAGTTCGAGGCAGGCGAGCTGCTAGAATGTCTCGTGTGCCTTATTTCAAAGATGGAGGTTGGTCCTGTAGAGTTTGAATTCCGACAGACGATGGTACGGCTCATGTCTCTTTCTGCCTGGCAAAGACGCTGCACTGGGTCAGAGAAGCTCGTGAGGCGGGCAAAAGCCTGAAGGTAGCCGTTATTACCCTTTTGGTTGACCGTGATGGCGCGGTCGTCCGTAGTGAGACAAGGGGACACGGACCCCAACGCAACTATGCGATAGTGACTGCAGCGAAGAATGACAAGAGAGATCCTCTGGAAAACTTCCTGGATGGGGCACGAGAAAGCAAAGTGGCTATTATACAAATATACCGTTTCAACGACACTAGCTGGCAAATATGGTTTGGCGCGTTGTATTACCACTTGCAGATCTCACCATTGATACCCTATGGACCAAGGGCTCCCCTGGACAGCAGCGTCTTGAGTGGCAGGTTCTTAACGGGCCGGCAGCAGATATAATACTCGTAGCATGACCCTAGAGGGCCTCACGTTTTGTCGTCATCCACGGGAACTGATCTCGGAGCGGCATTTGGTCAGTGGAACTCGTGGTGGAAACTTTATCAGCTGAGTTGCATCATGATGGATACCCAGAAGCGCCCAGACTGGATCCCACCACTGCGAAGCAGACGGAGAGCCAGATAACTCTGGCAACGTGTTTTCCGAAGCCACTCTGCTGCGGCACCGTCATCGTGGAGGCAGGCTGGGAGTTGCCTGCTTCGAGGTTGGGTATCAATGCGCCAGGGCCCAAGATGCTGCAGTCTAGTGGGTGCCCAAGTAGCGGCCAATCACCGCGCGCGGCATCTATTTCCGTGACACGACGTCCATCTAGAAGGCCAGCTCCAAGGGAATAGACATCTTGGTCGGTCGCCTTGCAACGCCACCCGCAGCAGGTGAAACGGAGCAATTGCATCGTGCCTGTCAATCTGCATCAACCGCGACCGTTGTCTTGGAACCATCCGTCTATACACGACAATGCCCTTGATGTTGGGAAGCGACCCCGGGAGCAGGGGCGTTCTGCTGCCGGGAGCTGCTGGTGCTCAGTACAATAGTAACTAATCCTCCAAACTCTCGACGCTGCTCCTCCACATAGTAGAAGCATGGGCCTCTACCGAACTCCTGCGAGATACACCGCGACCAAGTGTCACAGCTCAGAGGTGCGTCCTGCAACACAGACAGCTGCAGCCGGAGGAACCCCGCGAGATCCGTTTGTCGCCTGTGCTCTTGTAGACGTGCAGACCGACATTTCCAGAGAACCAACCACGCAGCGGCCACGGTCCCTGACTATCTTGTCCCATCACCGCGATCCACGCATAGAGACGCCCCATAATCTCCTAGTGCTCTAAAAGGGCGCGGTTTTCCCTATTCGTAGTCTGCGGCATTCGGCGCCCCGGGATGGATGACAGAATCCTTGTCAACCTGCCACTTCAGAGGCCGTGGTCGTCCGGCTTATTCGCTGTTGTTGGATGGCGGGACGGATAGATCCACCTGATCTGAATACATCCGCATTATTGACTTCGGGTTGCGCCTTGAGTGGTCATCCAAATTTCAGCCTACTCTGACCCTGCTCGAGCTTACTGTTGCTACCGCGCGAGGACTTCTTCGACGATGGTGCACCGGGCTTCTTCTGCTTCTGATCGCTTGGAACCGATGTGTGACTGGCAAATCCGGGCCTGCCACGTTCCTCCTCCTGTTGAAGGTCTTTCGCAAAGTGCCAGTCGAGGTGACTTTGGAGAGCCTCCGCAGTCTCAAGACCTGCATTGCAGCGCGAGCACATGTAGTCTGTGATTGACAACTGTCGGGTCTCAGAGCTCTTCGTCGTAACGAAATCCGTCTCCCCCGCCTCTTTTCTGGAGTCTTCCGCATCGTGAGACGCAAGACTACGGAGGGTCTGGTGTTCATCTGCATCCTCGATGCTGTCATTGTCTTCCGTGGCCCCATAAGGCGAATCTCTCTTGAAGAAATTCTGTATACTTGGCCCTTCGACCCGTCTTCTCTTCTCGGGCCTATCAGAAGATGGTGTTGACGCATCAGATTGGGTCTTGAGTCCTTTTGCTTCGTCGCCCTTCACTAGAAATGCGCCAATGCCCATATTGCCTACGACACCATCCTCAAACCCGCCGACGCTTAGACTTAGGTTTGCACACGGCCACACTCTTCCCTCCGAGGCGATTTGATTCATCAAGCTCTTGGCGAGATCGATCAAGGTAGCCTCGTCAAGCTTCTTCCCTTGGGGGATAGCAGTTGAGCGTGACCGCGTCTGGCCTCCGTGCCTGTGATATAGGTTAATGGTTTTGGGCCGTCGCTTATTCTCGAGTACCCCTTCCTCGACCAATCGCGAGAAAATGTCGGCCGCGAAGATTCTGAGCCACTTGTAGGCCTGTTCGACATTGTTAATGCTCGGTCGGAAGGATTTGGCCGAGAGCATTGATTTGATTTGTGTGCGCGAATTCACCTCGCTAGCATCAATCCCACGGATGGTATTGTAAAGCCATATCCCCGTATCATCTCCTAGCTTGAGCTTTATCTGCTCCACGGGTATCTCCAGTAGGTCTTTGATCGTCTCCGTGTCAAATGTCGAGACAACCTGCTCGCCAAGCTTTCCTCCCAAATTCCTGATCTTGGTGAACTTCATGTCAGACAGAAAGTGCTGCACCGCTCGGTTGCGTATAACTGTCTGTTGGTTGGGCTTCTTGTGACCCGAACCCAACTTACTGAGCATCTTATTACTCGCTATGCCAGCGGAGCAAGTGTACCCAAGCTGTTGGCGGACCTCGGCTCGTATATCCCGAACGATTTCTGAGCCAATGAGTATGGCCACATCATCCCAGTCGGGGTCGTCTGCTTCAGCTTCAATATCGTCAAGATCAACTAATGCATCTGCTTGCCAATCGAGCGCCGTGATCGAAGGCAATGGTAGGTTTTCTGAAGGGTCGTCATATGGCGGGGGGTTACCCAGCTCTGGGAACCTCTCCAACAGGATGCCGTGGATTTGGCCGGACAAGTCAAGAAAGACCTCGTCGATACTAGCCTTCTCGACCTTTTGCCGATTTGAAGGTAAGAAGTCCTTGATGAGAGCAAGGATTTTCCTCGACTGGAGCCTGTAGGGATCCAGTGAAACTTTGTGTGTTCCAATATGAGATGCTGCGTCTTCGTGGTAGGCCCATTTCTCCTCTCCTTCCTTCCAGGTCGCTACATGCTGCGCAATAAGCTGAGGACACAACTTGCGAGCTTCCGTGACAGTACAGTGCCGTCCGATGCCAAATGTGCGTGCCGGATAGTTGATAGCGATGAGGCCTTGCCTGCGAAAGGGTGAGAGCTTGTACTAGCGAGATGTACGTGACTAGGATTGGCTGATACCATTGTTGAACCGCGAGGGGCTGGTCTTCCGGTGTCCCAAGCCGCACCATCTCACACTGAGCGTAGAACGCATCGAGATCGATATGAGCGATCACTCGCAGAGGGGATGTGGTGGAATAGGACGCCAAGGATCCCAGCTGCTTGTAGGTGAACCGGGATCTCCGGCGAATCGCCCCATAGGCCGGAGACGAGTCCCGGAACACGGGAGAGGAAGGCATGGCCAACGACGAAGCGGCATCAGGTGGGTAAGGTAAATTTTGGGTTGGAGTTGAGCTGCTGGCGCATACATATCACACAACAGGATACTCTGTGCGATGTGATTTATCGCATACCTAAGCATGTACGGTTGTGAAGGTGTGCCACACTGCAGGGTCCATAACCTGAGAAGGGCGTCGTTGGTCGTTGGCTTCGACCAAGGCGCGAAGACCGCGTCGCAATTCAGTAAAAAGTGGGGAAAGTCTACGACGTCAAATCCACGCGCCAGCAACTAGATTTAGCCTTTGACCTCTGGTCACCAAAAGAATTAGGTCTCAGCCCGTTTGGGAGGCCTGTTACTGAATTTGACATATTTGTGAGGAGGAAACTTCAGAGACTGCATGCATTACGATTGCTGAAGCTGAATCCCGAGCTTCAATTGGCTACTCAGGCAGTCGCATGTGTTGCTTGCCAGAGGGTACTTTGATGTCAGATAGTGGAAGGCAACAGTCCGTTTGCAAAAGGAGTAATACCATTGGACTTGGAGATACCGGGCGTCCCGGAAGCGATTTACTTTGAAAAGAATGGCAGCCAAGACCCCGTCATAAGCCTCGTCTTTGGTTGTTGGCCTCGCGCAGGAGCATGTGCTTCGTTGGAATCTTGAAGATGTACAGCGCCATGAGTGTCACATCACTCACACCCAAATCAGACCCGCATTGCATCTCGTTGAGCGAAGTGAAGCACAAGAGCGTACCGAAGATAACCATTTCGCCATCCTAGTTGTTCGTGGCCCGTTTCTTAATTTGGGGTTTCTCGCTGTATATATTCAGTGACAACCGCTGTCACTTTTCGTTGCTGGGTAACCTCATTACACGGCGCAAGGCAGATCCATCTGTGAGTAAGTGAAACTTGCGAAGAACGGCGAAATAGTGTCGAAGATGTCAGTCTGGGCCAAGCCTCCTTCTATTCGGCGGCTAAGATCAGCCGTGCCCTCGTTACAGGTACAGCAACGCCTCTGAAGCCCCTGACAGGCCACACTAGAGCACCCAAAACGTACATCGTCTACTAGACACTCCTGGCAATCACCACTTATCTTCGTGTTGACTTTACTTAGCTGAATGTGCGGTACTACCAGAGCCTGATCAGTCAGACTGGGGGATTTCAGTCTTCAAATTGAAGAACATTCCCGAACGCTTAACTGTCTTCGTCCCCTAGGCATTTTCCTGTGTTTTTAAGTAGAAAAATCTATGAGCCCTTGTTCACTGCGGAAAAAAAAGATTTGATGAAGCGCGAACCATGGTGAGGTTCTCTGAATACAGGAGAGCCCAGAAATCGGTGCAGACTAGAGAAGCTTCTTTCTCATGGTCAAGGTAGAAGAGACCGGGTCTAACCGAGGCTTGTCAAGCACACTCGTTTCTACATTCTACTCAATGTGTTTACATTGCAGTGGCTGCACATATGGTTAGATGATATCCACATACGTGATCCCGATTGCCTCCGCTAGTACCCAGGTCTCCAACTCGCCTGCAGACTATCAGAAATACCACGCATATGTACATAATTTCCTTGCAGGGGCTTAATGAAGATGCGTATGTCATATAGAGTCCCTGGTCCCGAGTATATGGTAATTTCGTAGCGGGCGCAGAAGCCCGTGATCGTCGGTAGCATCAAGGATGCACCATCTCGAGCCACTGCGGATTGAAATCACCCGCGGATGTTCACTTTCCCACAAGGGGTGTCACCGCCTCCTTTTTTGACGCATGTTTGATATTGCAAGGTGCAATCCGCCTCGGTGTACTACTGTTCCAGTGCCGGATGACAGGTTGCAGATTGGCTTACGTGATTAATCTGTAGGGGCATCCCGGTGGGATGGGCTGTGGATTATAAAGCATGTGACTAAACTTTCCGTTGCTTGGAATAGGTGCCACACGATCTTGGAGACTGCGGCCACTTGTTCCCGTATCTGACGGCAGAGATCAGAGTGGCACAAGCCATGCGGCTCTTTCTGGTGCCACAGCGTGTCGATGGAGGGACGGCCTGGCCTCTGTTTGGTCCGGGATCTCCGCCATTGACAAGCAATCTGTTCGACGGCGCTTCCAACCCTCAATAGTGGTAGTCTTCCATGGCTAGGAAGAATGTGTGTGGGTTTCAAACCCAGAACGCGTACTGCAGATCATGATTCAGCTCAACTCACTGCGGTTGCATCGTGGGGTCCACGAGGTGATGCGGCAGTCATGTTGGTGGGTATGAGGAGGGGAGGGGGGCCAGCGCGAGCCTGGTCGACCAGATGCTTGCCCCCGGCAGTGCTGGCGCGAATGTTTCCTAGCATGCCAAGATGTTGAAAACCACAAACCTATATTAAAACAATTGCAGTAGTTAGTTATCAGAGAACCGTGAGGAGTCATTTGAGAGCGTACCTGTGCTTTTCGTGGCATATTCAATTGGATCTCAGAGAATGTAATAACCTGGGGGGCTCTAACTCGCATATCTGTTGAGCTTGTTTGGATACTCAACACGCACGAAGGACTTATGCTTGGCTAAGCCTACGTCGATGCGCACGAAGAATTGAAGCTCGTCGCACTTTGTCGAAGGATTTGATCACCATTTCTTATCTAGCCCCCTACGATTCAGGAGTCACGCAAATAGCATTGAGTATAGTTCCCTTCATACCTTTGAGCTTCGCCGCAATGATCCTGCCGAGCATATATCATAGGCTGAATTTAGACCGCGTGAGGTATTGAATGACCGAAACCGGTGTGGAGATGCTTTTGGTAAACATAGCTCAAGAAATGGTACGTGGATGATGATACCAAACCGATCTTGCCCAGCTGGTATCCTTATGATGGTCCCTTGCAGAACCATCAAGTGAAAGAGAGGAACGTTTGAAATGTTCGACGACGTACATGAGTTAGTGGTTTGGGCTGAGGCTCACCGTCCGATCTGCATGAGGCTCTGGAGTCCTGCAGCCTTCTTGTCCTACCTGTGAGACACCGGATTACTGGCGATCCAATGGCCACGAATGATCGTCTGGGCCCCTGGTATTTACAGCCCTACGCCGTGTAGTTTGAACGAAAAAGATCAGAAAGGACCAAAATGGATGCGGGAGTTGGCGCTATCCGAAAGGCGCTGACACTACCTTTCTTGCCTCCACAGCAACTTCCCAGCTAAGACGAGCAGTACGGATGCCACCAAAATATCCCACGTCCGTAAAGCATAAGACAGCCTAGTGCCTGCATTCTTACAGTTGTTTGACCTGAAATCGTCAAGCAAGTTCGCATGGTTCAGTCGTTTCCCACTTCCAGTCGCATCGTAACCCCAAAGAGGCGCAAGTCAGAGTTCAGGATTATCTTGGCTACCACTTGAATCCCCCAAATAGGGGTATAAGCAACCCGATGGGCTTTTATCCTTCCAATCAAACTGCAATTGTTATTGAAACCAAGCATCAAACCAGGAAACTCTTGTTGTTTTAAACAAATATATCGCGATGGTCTAGAATATGTCTTGCTGACATAGTGGTCCATTCGTTGGCTTAAGGTCTGACCCGACAGACAGGCTACCAATGTGTCCCTAGAATCAACGCAGTTGCTCCAAATTTGCAAGTGTGTGTGGCAGAGTTGATGCCATGTTGTTGTACCCATCCCAACCCCCAACCCATCAGTGCGAATATTCTCCGGATGATCAGGAGACCAGTAAACGTTACTTCAAGTAAAGGATCCTTCAGCAAAGCCACGTTAGCCGCACACCTCTCTAAAACATTAGGATAGGTGAGATGCATCAAATTGTCAATGCCGCCTCACGGTGAGTCAGTCGAGGCTCTTCGACTTCCGGTCACTGGAATCTATCGTGCGGCACCTCAAATGTGATCCTGAAGAGGCGCAACAGCTTAGTGATGACGACGATGGGATGGCCGCCCCGATCCTCAGAGGCAACGTTCCGCGTGGGTCTCCTATCGGTGCCTCTGCCTCTACTCGCAGTATATATAGACTTCTGATGTTGGATCAAGAGCTGGAAAAATGCCGAGCGAGCAAGGAGAGATCAACACCCGTACACACACAATATCTCTCATAACACGAATCACGACAACCGACCTAATAACCCGCAGTATCTTGCCTCCCCAGCGTAATCACCCCAAGACACGCTTCCACGAAGACAAAGCAAGATGTGAGGCACTCATGCTAACCTGGAAAACGGGCGACTAATGGATCAAAGGTGCGAGCAAGACCCTCAAGACCCCGACCATGAGGAGTCGACCAACACCACAAGCGAAACTCAACATCATTGCTGCGAATGCAATGAGACGACAACATTCACCAGCAAAAGTGATGGCAGCAGAGATGTCTGCCAAACGTGCGGTCATCCCCGTTGCAGTTCTTGTCAGTAATTGCATTGCCTATGACAATGATGGAGGTTCCGTGAAGCTTGTTTGTCGATGACCTGCGGAGGGAACAAGTACACGGAGAGATCAATGAGGGCAAGAAGGTGTCGGCGCGATATACAAGGGGGGTTGGTCTAGGCAACGGATAAATGTTGAGTTATTAGCGATTAAGAGTATTGTGCCACCCAAATGGCACAGTCTGTCATTACCGCCCGCCAGAACGCATGGAGGGGATTTATTCTAAATACACACGCAAACCACTAACGCCAAGTTTCCAAAGGGGGTATCTGATATGCTTGTTAAGACCTGTTCCCTCCTAGATCCCGCAACTCCATGCGACCTGTCTCGTCTTCGGGTAATGCATCAATGCCGTACTCTGCTCGAACTTTGTTCAGTAGCGAGCCCATACGATAGAAACTTTCATGATTGTCGTGATTAGTACATGGCGATCTCCTGATGGGAAGAAACCAGTCCAGTACGTTCGGGCCCATGATTTCCTTCCAGTTCTCCCACACTCCTAGATCCCATGGATTCTCGCCGGGGTCTGTCTTCAATATCGCAAAAGTCCGGTTTGCTAGGGCATCTCTTCCGGCATCTGGCTGCCCATTGGGCATTTGCGTTGGGTTTGGCAAGGGATAAGTCACGGTGTGGTACTTTTCCGTAGCTCCACTGCCTCGCGGAATTCGGACCGCAAGTTGGTAGACCTTGCGTCTGGCTCCTAGCATATCCACATTCGTCATGTTTGTGGCTATATATCTCCAGGATGTCACAGTCATCAAGAAAGTGAAAAGCCCGTAGAAGCCAGCGATTGCAAGAATCGCAATGAGGTGGGGGTCTGCTGAGGCACCGTCATAGACCTCCCTTTTCAGGGTAGAGCCGGCTGCTCCTAGTACAACGCCGCAAAAACAGAATGTGTACATGGTGAATTGGGTAAAGAACTTGAATGCTGGGGCAGCGTTAGTATCCCTAGAAGCATACGACAGAATTCTTATCGCCACCTACAATTTTCCCCAATCATTCCGCCAACCCATGGGCAGTAATGGTCCATGCGCATCACACAACGATTGATCTCACTGCTGTGGTGCGCTCGATCGGGTTTCCAGTTGCAACACTCGGAGCACCACTTGGGCCTGCCGTCGTTCTCGCAGACGAAGACATCCTTGGTATAGAACTGTTCCAGGCCGGGACTGTCGGGATTCGGATCGGGGGCAGCATAATAAGGCCGGCCTTCCAGGTCACCGTCGCTACGATGGTTGTCTGAGTGTCTCTTCTCGTTGGCTTTCCGCTCGAGAGCTAACGGGCCGAGGGGAACGACGGGGATGTCGGTGTTGATCATATGCACCGTGCGGAGGTACGCTGCGATCATGAGAAGCAGCAGGAGGAAGTACAGGACGAGGATGGCAATGGCGGGGCCGGTGTCGCGTCGATCATTAATGAGGTAGTCGGCTGTAGACGTTCACAAGAGGTGAGCCTGTCATGCTCGGTCTTGCACAGGGAGGCAACGGCGAGGAAGACACATACCACAGACGCGGGCAGCTGTGACGTAAGTAGCGTATCCTATAGATACAGCGAGCACCAGGGGGATCGAACGGGTAGCCCATCGCGACGAGGCTCTGACGCTTTCAGCAGACATCACCAATGCATCCTGAGGGCAGACGTCGAGGAGGAGGAGGGTTTTGCAGGGCCGGTTTCTCCGAACGCGACGATGGACGTCGTCGCAGAGACCAGACAGGCGCACAGATGACAAGCATTGACTGGAAGCAGACAGGGCCCGTCGCAATTCCGGCTTGGAGATGAGACCGGAAATTGGGGCCGAAGCCAAGCTTTCCCTGGGTTCGGTGCCACATCCATCGTTTCCAATGGCTGACGGATCCGCACGGCCACTGGCCGCTAATAGGCCACCTCCAACCCAACCCCCTGCAAGGTCCAACGGTCGCTTCACTTCTCCAAGCTACTGTACCTTGTCGTTAACAAATAGCTAACGACCACCTGCCTGGTGCATGCTGCTGTGGCGGGAACCACAATATGACGACAAACTGTCAGCTCTGTAGACGTACTTACCTATCTTTCGACCACTTCATGTTGTACTTGCTTGGACATGGTGTAGGGTGGAGACGCTGGTTGGTGAGCATCATCCTGTAAGAAGCTACTCGCGCTGAAGCCCAACTGTCCTAATCTACCAACCTCAGGTCATGTCAAGCCGCCGTGCATTTTGCAACATACACGCTACTGTCAAGTAAGCATCCTATACATACACATGGTCATACGTAACGCCTTGAGCCCTACGCCGAGTTAGGTGCATAGGTTTCGCTCTGTGTGGTATGCAAGCCGCATTGCTCTGGATTCACTGCCACTGGGCCCTCCTATTTTCGCGTGTTGCCCGCTCACCAGGACGACGCGCATTTGGGTCTCAAGTCTCCATCTGCGATATAGTACTTTTCTGATACACCTTGTCGATAAGCCCTACCTAGTTCCAAACCCTGATATCAGACCTGTAGATTGACAGGGATACCCGAGGCGTAGGGAAAATGACGAAGCATTTCACAAAGCAGAGCCGTTAACGCACAGAGACTGCATACGCAACATCCTGAACGGGTAGAACCTCTCAAATGATCGCCCTAAACCAACCTAACACAGGTTGTGGCCACTGTATATTCACGCAGAGCATCAGTGCCCTACGCGGCACTTCCTACCATGCTTATCAACGTTTCAGTTCATATCGCGACTGCAGGCAGATATATTTTTGGCAAAGGCTTCTATCTGCCAAGCATGATGATAGATTGCAGCCTGCTCTCAGAGGATCGCCAAGGCCATGTTGCTTGAAGGCTTATATCTACGTAGGTCGCCATGAATTGTACTAGGCTACGACACGACAACCGACAGCAGTCTCAATGGTTGTGGAGCACCTTTCCGACCTGAAGCAGGTTATAGGATGGCCACACCATCGTTCATTCATGGCTGCAACCATATCAGACGTGGAGTTGTCTGTCTCTTGCCGAGCCTTACCAGCACGCCATACCATGCGAGCCTCGCCAGCATCTTACTGACCACCGAAGGGCATATATCTGAAGATAATCAGCCTGCTACAGTCTACGAAAGTCAGCTTCGTCGCCCGAGGCTCTGCGAGGCTCTGATGATCATTTTTTGCTCGGATTTCGTCTCAAATGCCAACATTAAATACAGCCGCTGCCGTTGTCCCGTGACAACAAAGTCACGCGCTCGAAGGGCATGGTCTGATATTCTCGTGCTGGTCCAGCCTGAGGCTCAGAACGACACCCATCTGGGCTTATAAATACACCTGTGACCTCTACCAAGTACGAAGATCATCTTGTCTTTCTTTCGAGTTTCGATCGGTGCCACCAGGGAGTTGAGATCTTGTTACGATATGCTCAAAGAAGCATCGACTTATCAATATGATGATCCTGCCACCATAAATACCACGACGGATGACGGCTTCTTCCCGACTCATGGAAACCCTCGGATGCGTACACGGATAATCGCCCCATACATCAGTGTGAGTAAGCCACTTCAAGTCCGTCCTGCAATCTCAAGTCGTCCACGAACGAGGGCTTATCATTTTTCCAGTCGACTTGTCCAGCGAACCAAGATGGTGGTAGGTTTGCTCCGACCTCAAGAAAAGCTTGTGCGGTTTCCAACCATACCAGAGACCTTGGATTTGAGTCCGAGGGGAGTGGCATCATCACCAGTTACATAACACACCGAGCGGTCGCCGTGGGTGTCAGACTGGTGCCTCTGTCAATCTCTGGGGGTTTCGACCTAATCTCAGTCTGCCTTATGAGCGAACCAATCAATTGCACCAGGTTAGGTGGGTCAATAACCAAACAATCACATGCTGGCATCTCGAAATTTGCCTGGTACCTAAACCGCCCTATTCGAGTCACTTTCATTCGGTGAGCTTCGCCCAGATCTTGCCCGCCAATCACACCGCTCTATGGACGACATAGACGAGGCTTAGCCGGGGGGCTACATTATTGCCCGAGGCAGCAGCAGAGCCGCATCAAGGCCCTGTTTTTTCGAAGATACCGTACTACTGATTTTCCCTTTTCCTACAATCGCACTACAAAAGTACCGCCGCACTTACGTCCAAAAAGACCTGGGGTGACGCGAAGAATATTCCGCCTATGACAGCGGCCCTGACCTCACCGACAACTCGTATCGGTACCAATTGAGCTTGCGGTGCTACTCAACCACGCGAGCCATCAATGCAATAAGTTGGTCGTTGTAGACAAGCTTCTTGTTTCATCCCAAACGGTTGAACAAACTAGCCTGACTGGTAGGATAATGAGGCTGGACATGATGTACCTGGGGCACTTTTGCTGGCGGAGCTGCCCGCGTGACTCGTCGCTGTCCAACCGTCTGGTCTGTGAGCAAATGCTTGCTAAAATGGACCTTCTGGAAGCTATACTCACCACAGGTTTCACCGAATAGAGGGTCATTTCCATCGGCCATCACCGGTCCACCTTGTCATCCTCTTGGGCACAATGGGTTTTTTGCGGGACCTTCTTCACCTCCAAGCCATGTTCTCCTGCCTTGCGTTCCGCCCTCGCGTGAGATCTCGGGGATTTTTGCGGTGGCTTAGGGACGTGGGTTTTCGGTAGGAACTGCGGTCATGGAAAGCAGGGCGTTCTGGCTGGAATACCTGCCAGGTAAGGATTTGCTCGTTGAGGGTTATAAGCTGGTTGGAACATCGTCCGATACGGTTCTCAAGACCACAGAAGTGTATCAAGACATTTCAGTGTTTGATTTGGGCACCTTCATTTCGTGACTACTCGCCAGGACTTACTTTCAAAACGCTCCCCCGTCGAAACTCCTTCCCCACTCCTATCCTATCATGGGTCAAAACGGCGCTCTGTGGCAATGCGTAAGTCACCTTGATATTACGTTGAAACAATTTTCACTCTGACTAGCTGTGCCCAGTGCTATTGCCTAGGTTCCTATATGAGCGTCAGACTGCATGCAGCCTGCATCGATTGCGGCCGCCAGCAGTGTTCATACTGCCATGTAGCTTACCCCAAAGTTAGACGTTGAGGGTATGGGCGCTGCCGAGTTAGCATACGGCCATGGCGCTTGATGTTGAATCGCGCAGCTTTAAAAAAGATTTATTCACTGTGCCTCAGGCCAACCCGGGACTCATGTCTCCTCGTCAAGCGCCGTCGACCAATTTGGGAGCCAGATTCGGCATTCGGAGATGTTTGCGATGCTGTTTTGTCTGGCCTCTTTCTTTTCCACCAATGGTGCTTCGCGGCTTTCCTATGTTGCTCTCTCTTTTGACAGTTGCCATTTGGTATTACTGATAGCATGTTCTTCTCGTTATACTTTGTACGCTACCACTTTTCCTTTGCACTTCTTTTTTGCACTATATAGACTTCACCAGGGAGGCGATAGACCGGATAGATCTCAGTTTTGGTTTGGCGTGGTACTTTTCACGGGTGGCACCTACTTTTGAATAGAAAGCGCTTATAACACTACTTACTGTTTTCTTCACGATTTCATTGCTTGTGTTACATCACGAAGGTTCATGCATTCTCAGGACTAACGAGAGTCAGCGGCAACGTATTTGGGAGTTACACAGTTCTCGCAGGTGAGTCTACCTTGTATTTTTTGACGTTTGAATTCCGTCCATTAAGCCATGGCCAACCAGTTAGCCGTAAGACCTAGTGAGATGCGCTCGGTTCTTTGGAGGTTCTATTTACGCTTCCTCAAGAGGCCATCACTCCCAAGAGGCGAACCGTAGGCGCTCATTGGGCAATAAACTCAAGAGCTGCCTCCGCTAGTAGTTTTGAAGAATTCTAGAGTATTTAATAGATCGCTCTTGTAGTCGCCTCACAGCGAGTTTATTTGTCACTGTGCAAGGGAACCCGAATTTTTTTATACAGTAAAAAGATGGTATCTTAGCTCCTCGTTAGCAATCAAGTAAACTTCAAGTTCAAATATGCGTGTTAAAAATCTACATTTAATGGCGCCTCCGATACCATGACCGGGTGGCTGAGGGGGCAGGCCATGGCAGCTGGGGTCAACATAGGCGCAGGAGAGAACCGGGGCCAACATTTCGGTATACCATTACAAAGTAAGCTGCATCATTGAGAAGACCGTAAACGAGCCAATGCTATTCCGGCAGTTGCAGCTTCACTCTTTGACCGCTACTAGACATCATAGCGCCGCCATACAAGCCGGGGCGGCAGTGCCGGGTGCCTTTGTGGATACCTTGAATACAGGGCCGGTCACTACTCACTTCCAAACACCAACCAAATAAACCTGACATCCATAAACTGTCGGTATCATGGGTCTTTTTGTTAAATTGACCGAACAGTGCAAGACAGCGCCGACCGGAATGGTATCGGCATCGCCTCTGGTGTCGCCCAAAATTGCACTTTTGCAATTCTCTCATCGGTTCCGGACCAGTGTCAACCATGAGTCGGTATGGCTTTGTCCAATAACCAATCTATCAGTAATTTGAAGGTAGCTATGGGAACACAGATGGATCTCGCCTTGAATTACTTGCATACAACTTGGATCATGTGAAAGTGTGTCACGATACTTGGGCAACTCACAACAGTTGACACTGCCTCGCTTCCCATGTATATTAAGCCGATTTCCCCTTGTGTTGGACTGTCTGGAGAGCAAGATCCTTTCTGCCATCAGTTACCAATTCAAATCCGAGACCTCTTCATTCATCAACCACAATATCCAATCGGAAAGCTTACCCCTAATTCCCACCACCCATCATGCCTGGCGATAAGAAGAAGAAGTCAAAGAAAGTGATCCTCTGGTTCTGCGTAAGATATCAAGCTTTATATATTTCTGTACATTGTTGACTGATTCACCTCAGTGCCAGTGTGGGACGCAGAACAGTGAAAATAATCCTTCTTGCCTCAACCCCTACTGTCAGGCTCAGTGGTGCTCATATTGCACGATTGAAGAACACAGGCCAAGTGGACATTGAGGTGAGCTCTACGATCTATAGTATTTCAAGCCTGGTGTGTGATGAATGACTAAAAAGGATTGTGTATCGGCCTAGCGTCTCCCTCATCTTCCACGCGAGCTAGAAAGATCTGTCCGCCGCAGGAAACGCATGCTTGCACAACTAGTCTTTCAGAATGATGTCTGATTTAGACCTATAGTTTCTTATTCTCTCTATTTCTTGTATTTGCTTTGTTGTTGTTGTTGTTGTTGTTGTTGTTGTTGTTGTTGTTGTTGTGTGGGAGACGAACTCAAGGGCTCAGAGAACCCTATCTACAGTACGGGAGCACAGCACCGGTCAAGAACTACAGCCGTGTAGAGTACTGGGAAAACTTTGAATTTAGCAATGACGAGTCCCTTCTTTCTGTTCATCGATGGATTTCCATGAAGAATGAAAGTGGGGGACTTGGATTAAAGGGCTCGGCTTCGGACTTGCGGTTTTCAAAGTGATTTCTCTGGTCAGAACTCACCTTGGAGATAGGGGGTACGTTACATGTTTCTTAGCAATAGACCTGATATTGATTCGCTTTGAAAAATACCGTGTCTAAGACAATTGTGGTTATCCATACATGCAAGAGTGTCCAACATCCGTAAATCCTGTTGCCCCGTCAACAAATAGTTACCTCATAGCTGCTTGAGTTGAGTCAAACTATGCCTTTACAGGCGAATTGAGATAAAGCGCATTTTTCTTAGGCCCGTTGCAGTCATAAATAGTCTCATATCAAACCGTATGATATGAAGGGCCAGTATAATCCAGCAACAGTGCTAACCGGTTGTGGTTCACTCTGCCATCAGTATAAGAACTTAGTGTACGATCCATCCAAATGAGCACCTGGCTCTCGACATGCGACGCCATCCACCTTCACCGGCAACTCAATCACTCGAGAGAGGTAGAAAATACAATATCACGAGAACGCAATTTGGTATGCCCTTCACGTCTGTGGCAATCCAGTGGAAGATATTTTTGGCACAAACAAAGTCGGAAGGCCGGAAAACCTTGGTGACGAGACCATCGACGAGAGCAGCTAGTAAATACCAATTCTGAAGCTTCGTGACAGTCCTTGTAATTAATGAAAGGATATATGTTTGGTTCTGATCAGACTTGAAGCTACATAATATCTAGGAAAGAAAGACCTTCTCAAACGTCAATAAACCAGGAAGCAAGCCGATGTGCTCGTGCACCGTACATTTACTATATATTATAACATTCACTTGAACACAAGTAGGAAGAAGGTACGTAATTGGCACGCCCTGGCGACCTATCGACTTTGATTTACATCCAGAGCAATCCTGTAACATTTCTGCGCAAGGATCCTGCTTTGACGTCATGACTGCGACCCAAGGACTCTTCTGGTCATACACTTTGGCTGGTGAGAACAAGAAACTGTACTTCCAGCGGCTGGCGATTGAGTCACTCAGCCCTCTGATTGGCGAGGGACGACATGCGACATGCGACATACGACATACGACATACGATGTACGATGTGCGATCGTTTATCGTACAGAGAACCGCTCTGGGTTTAGCGCTGGCAGCTCATTGGATAACCGCAACGCATCTGACCTGAAAGGGAGATTTGCAACGCCTGGCGAGGTCTAAAGCCCAATGCTAACAGCCTACCACACGTGCTTTGTGTAATGCACGTCCTCTCGTAGGAAGAGTGCAAAGCCGGGGTCACGATGGCTCAAACTGCTGGATGAATCCATGTATATAAAGACAGAGTGATTCACAAAATGTGCCCTCCTGCGACTTCATGTACCCATCAAAGCACTAAGTCCCGTAACTGGAACACCTTCCCCCCTTCGGCCACGCTAAACCCGTCATACTGCACCGTATTTCACCCCTTGTAACCTTCATTGCTCGCCACGACAAAAGATTTCCGTCGATAGAGGGCAAATTTTTTGTCCGAGATGGTGTCTCATATCAAAAATAAAGCCGCCTACCTGGAAGGAGCCAAAGTTCGTCCACTTGCCGTAAGAGACGCACCCTACACATCCCCCGCGGCAGATCAAATTACCATACGAAATGGAGCCATCGCATTGAACCCACTCGAGTATATAAAGCAAAATCTTGGCGACTTGCTGTTCGGGTGGGTAAAATACCCATTCGTTATGGGCTGCGACGTGGCTGGGACTGTTATTGAAGTAGGTTCGAACGTTACCCGCTTTAAGGCCGGGGATCGCGTACTCGCGTTCGCAACTGGCATGGAAGAAAAGCACAACACCTCGGTTATGGGTGGATATCAACTTTACACTGTGGTACAAGAGAATATGGCGAGCATGATCCCGGATTTGCTCGAGTTTGAGATGGCAGCTGTCGTGCCGCTGGCCATGTCTACAGCTGCGTGCGGACTATTTGAGAGGTCTCAACTTGCCCTGCGCCATCCGGCTGTTGGTGGAAACTCCGAAAAAATCAAAGAAATTCTGATACTCTGGGGTGGCTCGACGAGCGTTGGCTGTAATGCCATTCAACTCGCCGTCGCTGCTGGGTACGAAGTCGTGACAACCTGCTCGCCACGGAATTTCGATCTTGTCAAGTCTCTTGGTGCTTCGGCAGCATTCGACTATCACTCCGAGACTCTGGTGGAAGATATTGTCAAAAAATGCAAGGGCAGATTGGTCGCTGGCGCTATGTCAATAGGGAATGGCGGAGCTGAGAGATGTACTGACATTCTGGGTCAGTGCAAAGGAAACAGGTTTCTCTCTATGGTGAGCTATCCTAATCCCGCAAACCCAGATGCCTCTATCCCAGTCAGAATGTGGACATTCCTATCTTTTTTGGTCAGAATGTGGTTCAAGAAGAGGGCCACGGGAGTACGATCGAAGTTCGTCTGGGGTGGGAGTCTAGAGTTTAATGAGGTTAGCAAGGCAGTCTTTGAGGACTATCTGCCTGAGGCTTTGAGAAGAGGGCAATATATATGTGCCCCAAACGCTGAGATTATTGGAAATGAGCTAGAATCCATCCAGTCTGGATTAGATATGCTGAAGAAGGGTGCAGTGTCGGCGAAGAAGTTGGTAGTCAAATTCTGATTTAGTCGGAGCTCAGTGATTGGAAACTGAGCTCAATCGAAGAATATTTGAGTTATCTAATCCCCTTTTCATGCAGTTATGTCGAAAATAGATAACAAGCTTGGCCTACATTAAAGCCATTCACGGGTACGAAGAATACGATGGAACTGTTGCTTCACATAAGGAATGTTACACTGGCAAGTCAAGACTTTACGCAACCTTTTTCATTTCTTGAACTTCATCATTGTCGCAATTTCTAAGGTTTGAGATCCGTTCAGAGGGTCGATAACTCATAGCTAAGGGTCTTCCATACATAGGAGGTAGTCAGTGGAGACTAATGCTATGAGTCCCTTGTTAGTGGTTTGACAGCGAATACTAACAGTCCAGCTTTGTTGAATGAGATTCAAGATATATCCTTTTCTCCTCATTTCCAACTCTGGCCGAAATTTCGAAATCTATGTGCTCCTTCATCCCTCTGTAGACCGTACACTTTGGCACGATTAGCCGCGATCGTCCCTAGGTGTACCCTTCTCCTGCCCGTCGGAAGTAGTTACGGCAACAACCTCGTAGTTAGACGAAAGCTTTCTACTTAGGCCCTTCTCTGGTCCATCTGATTCAGTCATGTCAGAATGGTCTGTGTACTCATTTGCAAGGCGTACTCACATAGTAGTATGCTCCAGAACTCGACAAGTACTGGCGCCCATGTGGCAAGTGCCAGAACTTGTCCAAATGTCCATTCGGTGTCTTGGTCCGACCGCCCGGCCAAAAGCTGAACATAGTGCCTATATCTCTCGAACAGGGAAAGTAGCAGCCACATCATGGCCATGCATGCAATTCCATCGAGCGCCCGGAGCCAGCGACGGCAGTGAGCGAAAAATGTCCCAATCCTAGTTTCACCCATTTTCGTGCGTACCTCTAGCGGAAGAACAGTGACGAGAAGATAATAAACCCACCAGAGGGTGTTGATGGCAAGCAGAGCATGAGTGCCCGTAACTGCCATTCTGAGTCTATCTCTCAACTCCTCATTCTCGCAGAGATTTAGCCAAGCAATTTGAGAGGGCGGATATTGACCCCGTAAGTCATCCGGATCTATATCACTCGGGTCCTTGTACGTCTTGCGATACCTGGAAAATCATCAACCATTAGCAACTAGATCTCGTGATGGCTTTTCTGTTCTACAACCACTGACATTATGTCCAGTCCAACTGTCATTACGATGACCGCGAACCATAATATTTGACGGAGAACATGGGTCCGCTGGCCATCCGTCACTGTCTGTAGTATCACAGCAGGCAGGACAGAGAACGAAGACATGGCGACTGAGCCAAGAGTGGCATAGGCAGAATGATCCTCATTAGGGTCTGTCCGAATGGTAGCGAATCGTACGACAGCAGCACCTAACATTGCAACCGAGAATATTAGGCTTGCGTCGAGGAACGTGTTGATGGACTCCTTGAAACAGCTAACGGTTCTTTCAACCTTAGGATGATCAAGAAGTACATGCCCAAAGCGACCAACGATGGACCAGATGAGTACGGCAAAATAGATGGTAGAGAGACCGGCAGCTGTTTGTATAGGAAGTTATTCAGCGGAGGGTGGAAAATTGACTACGTCAAGCTACCACACTTACCAAAATAATAACTGACGATCATCTGGCCAAGAAGGTTAGCACAGAAGTTTAGCGGTGCTGTCTTTCCCATCGGGGAGCCCGGTGGAACAGCAAATGATAGCAGTACTTACTCCCTCCCCTGACACGTCTGGGTCTCCTTCCCAACCGAGCTTCAAGCAGATCATGCTCCCGCAAGCATCAGTCATCGGGTATGAGAGTAAATAAGCCATGGCAAAGTTGTAGCCGTTGCTAGCATTGCGAAATGTCTCGTTGTGGACCAATTGCATGTACCAAAGGGTGAGATCGGTCTCAGTTGCTGGGGCCCAATAATTTGGCAGGAGGGCCCTCAGATAGGGAATAGACAGCCCGAGTGGAATTTCACTCATCTTGTTCCAGTCGGTTACGAATGCTTCTGATGAAGCGCCGGCCCATGCTGTGGCTTCATCGCAATCCTGCGAAGTGAAGTTCAATAAGCTTAAGCTGGGAGCCGTCCAGTTGGTTGCTAGGGTCAAATTGACCGACATAAGATCCTGGGTTTCTGACATAACGAACGATACTCAGCAATCCAGCCAGGTATGTTCTTTTATTTCTTGGCCGTGGTTTGGTGATCGGAGCATAAGTGCGGATGTGACAAGCTTATGGATGACAACAGTACACATCGCCTCTGTCGTGAGACTGTCGCAATTCTGGTTATCAACGAAAGGAAACGGGCCCAAGAGAAATAAAAATATCAGGCTGCAGGGGGCGGTTCCTCAAACAATTTGTCCTTTGTTAACCCCCAGCCAGTTACGATGTATTGATCGACATAGCTGAAGGACTGCGCCCTGGGCAAGGCTGTGCCACACCTGCTCACCTACCCAATCAACTGCCAACAACGCACCACTGACTGTGTATTAGTTGCACTGCATTGAGTGATATGCTTGGGGGCTTGAGGGCTGCCTCGCCGTGAATGATGTCACTTTCGCGGACATCTACTGCTGACTGGCACACGAAACCGACGCGAGGATGCTGTAATCCATTTAATGGGCCATTCTTTCTCTGCATTCAGGTACATTGATAACTGTAGCGGAAATTTGAGGACTGAGCACCGAATAACAACGGGATGCTCGGCAGAGGGGATAATGTGATACAATTACACTGCAAAACCATATTCCAGTGAATTAGTGCAATGGGTGTTGTCGACACTGGTTGGCTCACGGCCTTACTATCTATCGGCTGGCAAAATTGAAGTGGAAAATATTGTGAGCAAGGCTTCACTCAACGGCTGCTCTGGACCAATAGGAATAGCGAGAATTGATTCGTCATAACGACAGGGACGACGGACAGTCATAGACCAAAATCTGCGCCGAAAGTCGTGAATAATCTAATTTAGCATATCTTTTACCTCGTGGTCAGTCTGAGAGCACTGTAAGTTGCTGAAGTATGTCTTAACCTTGCTGGTATTCCAACCCCACTCGACAGGAACTCTACCCCGCAATCCCGACTGCGAGTCCCGAACTGCCCCTCACCTCAGTGTTGACGTGTAAATTCTCACCAGTGACAATCAGCCAATTCATCAGCATTGGAGCAAGACATCTTCAACGAACGCTTTCATCACTCCAACCAGCTTCGGGCGTATCTTCTTACGCTCAGTTGAATGCATGTGACTAAGCAAACCTGGCACCCTTCGAACTCTCTTGTACCGAGTGTCTCTTCATCTGCCGGGAACCGGGTGAACTAAGCCCATGACTAGGCATGACAGATCAATTACATAAGGCTCCCTAAGTATTTGTAGACCTTTCGTTCTCCTCATGAGCCTCAAATACGGAATATAAACATCTCTTTGAACTTAGAGACATTATGCAAACATCTTCATTCTCCAATCAATCGGTTTAGCACTTCGAATTTGGCGCTTTTCAATCATGGCCTCAGAATACCGCGGACCACCGCTTCTTGATCTTACGATTGATAATATCACCCCAAATACCAATCTCATCAATGGGCAATGTAGCGATCCCCGCCTGAAGTATTTGATGTCACGCCTCGTGACGCACCTGCATGATTTTGCGCGAGAGACTCGCCTTAGCACCGACGAGTGGATGGCAGCACTGAACTTCCTCGTTGGCTGTGGACAGATCAGCAGTGACGTTCGCCATGTAAGTAGCAAGCCGATAAACAAACCCGGAAGATAAGCACTGATTAACTGTGTGGTGCGTGACAGGAATTCATTCTCTTATCTGATGTTCTGGGACTTTCACTGTTGGTTGACAGTATCAACCATCCCAAACCGCCTGCTTCAACTGAAGGCTCTGTTCTGGGCCCATTTCACACCCACGACGCCCCGGTCATGCCTAACGGTGGCTCCATGTCAGAAGATCCGGAGGGAGAGCCTCTTCTCTGTATCTGTACGGTGAAGGATACAGAGGGGAGGCCGATCCAGGGCGTCAAGATTGACATCTGGGAGACGGACAGTTCCGGACACTATGATGTACAGCACGAGGGCCGAGATGAAAAAGGTCCCAGTGAACGTTGTGTTATGGAAAGCGACGAGAATGGTCAGTTCTGGTTCCAGGCCATCAAGCCAGTGAGCTACCCAATACCGCACGACGGCCCGGTTGGGAAACTGTTGGAGAAACTAGGCCGGCATTGTTGGAGACCTGCGCACCTTCATTTCATGTTCGGAAAGGAGGGCTTAGACCGACTTATCACGTAAAGTTCCCCATTTTCTTTTGTGTCTCCCGACTTCTCAGGAATGCATTGCGACGTTTGATACGCATTATGAACTGACATCAGCAGAGCATTATACCTCCGTGGAGACCCGTACGAGACATCTGATGCCGTGTTCGGCGTGAAACAGAGCCTGATTGTCGACTTGGACAAAGTGGACAAGGCGACTGCGACGGAATATGGTGTCAAGGAGGGGGACTGGCTCCTGAAGCATGATTTCGTGCTCGTCACAGAGAAGGCAACAGAAGAGCTCCGAGACAAGAATGCCGTGGAAGCCCTGGAGAAGCTCGGACTACGGATGAAGCTTTTGGATCACTTGCCAGTGCCAGAGTTGGATTAAAAGGTTATCGCTTCCAACACCAGAGGGCCGCCATGAGTGTGTGTTTAGCGACATGCAGGTGGTACAGCCCACTGAGAATAACTAGTGACACCGCACACCAGTTCATGTAAGGCGTACAAGTAGTCGGACGTTGGGATTGTGAGATGGGTTGGGCACGTGTTAGCCCAGCATACCTGCCCACTTTCCTATAATACTGGTACCATCCTAAATTCGGCAGATCACAAGTTAATACACTCAAGATTGGTCTCTGTAACGGATCGCCTGAAAACACATAACGCACGGAGTGCGGTTGTGCAGTGTCAAGGACAAGACTGATGAGCCCCTGGACGAGGGGACCACAATCAGAGCCTTAGGGTGGCATTGCCAAGACATACAACTCGGGTAAAGCTAGTGTTCCATACCACAACTCATATCTCTAGATTGATTCTGCAAACCGCCTTCATCCGCATGTATCAGGAACATGAGTGCGTTCCTGTCCAACGACGCACCAAAGTTCTTCCTGAATGGTCGAGAAGGCTTTCTACCCTGGGCACACACAGATGCCAGATGCATGCTCAAGCAGGGCAACGGACCGTAAGCCAGAGAGAAACGTGGCCGAGTTGAAACGATAGCAAAATTGGACTGGAGGCTCTCATGCGCAGAGGGCCACGGACCATGACCTCGGTCGTGGCCACGAGCCTAGGTAACATTTGGAGCAAGAGGCGATCTACGTTGACCGGATACGTAGGGATCAAGGTGACACGGGCTTCAGGAACCGATAGAATCAACAGAGACACCAAGACCGTTTGCGCAAGTGAGAAAGCTGATAAGAGATCCTCCCATTGCAACTTGCCGTAAACGTAAGCTTTGACGTCACACTCAGCGGACGCCAAGAAACCCCTATTCTGTCTTTGTTTGAAGTTGAAGTGCCGTCCCGTGATCTCGACGTTCCAATTCGAGGAAGGCCCTCGACCGAGAATGGAAGTTCTGTCTCTAGGTCTATATACAGGGCAATGTAGGCCAAACAGCGCAAGGGGAGGATATACACGACCGACAAATGACGGGACACGGATGTCGTTGCGGTTGCGGTTGTCGGCAGTGGGTTCTCGATGCGGCTAAAAGGCCCATTCGGTCAGTCGGGGTGCGGGTGAGGTGGAGCTGCCCGGCAATCTACAGTTCGTCGAGCGGGTATCTTGGCGTCTGGTCGCTGCGATAGTCTGGGAGGCTGCTTTTATCTCCGGATGGATAGGACCAGCGGGCGAAGGTGACATTGCAGAGTACGTAGTCGAGCGCGCCCACCCCAGAGGCCCCTATCGCAGCTTTATAGATGCCATGTGACGGGCCGCCGCCCACGAAACCGGCACGGATTTCACGTGGCTCGCCCACCCCTCGAGGCTTCGAGCTGCCCAAAACCGCCTCCCTGGGCCTGTCTTGGCCGTCTTGCCTGTCTCTGCCCGTCTGCCAGCCCGGCCGGGGTACCTGGTACCTACCTACTCCAGTAGGTCGCAGTAGCTGGGGGCTGCCGTGGGCTCTGCCGTGGTAGCTTGTGAGCACGCCATCGAGACTAAACGTCGGCCAATTGATCGTGCTCCATTCTGACAAAAGGCTTTTGGCTGCGGCGACCGGCTCCGATTACCTGTATTGGGACGACTCGAGCACCATGCGCGCGCGCCCGTGGCAGCCTCAGCGCAGGCGAATCTGGGAGAATTTGTTAGTTTTTATGACAGCGGCTTTAGACAGGCACATGTGTGCACAGTAGTAGTGTACCTGGCATCTGAGAGGGCCGGAGAAGCCGCCATGTCATGGTTAGGTCAGCCTGGGGGTCCTGTCATTTTTCAGCGGTGTTGCGCCTTTCTTTAAAAGCCAGTCGCGGCCTTGGGAAACAAAAAGTCGTCTTCTCCGAGCTCGCTGCCTCGTCCTTCGCATATATTCCTTCGTCTTCGTGCTCCCTCGCCCTCCTCCCCTCCCTTCCGATCATTCATTGTCCCTCGCTGTTGCTGGCTGGTGTAGCGTGTGAACAGGATCCTGCATCTGCCTCGCCTATACTACGGTATACTCTCAGTCTCTCACAATGGCCAACCCACCCCACGGCGGCGTCCTCAAGGACCTCATTGCGCGCGATGCTCCGCGACACGACGAGCTCTCTGCTGAAGCCGAGACTCTGCCCGCCGTCGTCCTGACCGAGCGCCAGCTTTGCGATCTCGAGCTGATCCTGAACGGTGGATTCTCTCCTCTCGAAGGTACGTAAAGCGCACTCTTGCAGACCCTTGCAACAATTTCTCTGGTGCAGGCGGTAGTGGGGTCGGCGCAGTGCCCCGCCATCGTCGTCATCGGGCGCATGCAAAGTAGAGGTCGGAAAGAGAGAAAGAGGCAATACACGATGATTTGTCGCTTACACGATGTTCTCCGACAGGTTTCATGAACGAGGCCGACTACAATGGGTATGGAAGCCACCTCGAGACCCAATTGAGGCCCCAACCCGAAGCTAATGACAACTTCACAGAGTCGTCAAGGAGAACCGACTTGCGAGCGGCGTCCTCTTCTCCATGCCAATTACTCTAGACCTCTCGCAACAGACGATCGATGAGGCAGGCATCAAGCCCGGGCAGCGCATCACCCTCCGTGACCTGCGTGACGACCGCAACCTGGCCATCCTCACCGTTGACGATGTGTACCGGCCCGACAAGTGAGACCAGTCCCACCCGCCAAGTTTCGCGTCACCCAAGCCACTAATCACGTTCACACCAGGGAGCTCGAGGCTAAGGAAGTCTTCGGCGGTGACGAGGAGCACCCGGCCGTTGCCTACCTCTTCAAGACGGCCGCGGAATTCTACGTCGGTGGCAAGATTGAGGCCATCAACCGCCTGCAGCACTATGATTTCGTTGACTTGCGCTGTAAGTGTCTTTTCTGGCCCTCGCCTTGTCTCCTACTTGTGGGCGAGCTGTTCTAATGTGTCGTCCCTGCAGACACCCCGGCCGAGATCCGGCTGCACTTTGACAAGCTCGGCTGGACCAAGGTTGTCGCCTTCCAGACCAGAAACCCGATGCACCGTGCTCACCGTGAACTGACTGTCCGCGCCGCTCGCTCGCATCATGCCAACGTGCTGATCCACCCTGTCGTCGGTCTGACCAAGCCCGGCGACATTGACCACTTCACCAGAGTCCGTGTCTACAAGGCGCTCCTGCCCAGATACCCCAACGGCATGGCCGTCCTGGGTCTCCTGCCGCTGGCCATGAGAATGGGCGGCCCCCGTGAGGCCATCTGGCACGCCATCATTCGCAAGAACCATGGTGCCACTCACTTCATTGTTGGCCGTGACCACGCCGGTCCCGGCAAGAACAGCAAGGGTGTCGACTTCTACGGCCCTTATGATGCCCAGTACGCGGTTGAGAAATACCGCGACGAGCTCGGCATCGAGGTCGTGCCCTTCCAGATGATGACCTACCTTCCCGACAGCGACGAATACGCCCCTGTCGACACCATCCCCAAGGGTGTTCGCACCGCCAACATCTCGGGCACTGAGCTGCGTGCAAGACTCCGAAGCGGCCGCGAGATCCCCGAATGGTTCTCGTACCCCGAGGTTGTGAAGGTTCTCCGCGAGTCGCACCCGCCGCGGTCGGCCCAAGGTTTCACCGTCTTCTTGACCGGCTACCAGAACAGCGGTAAGGACGCTATTGCGCGTGCCCTGCAAGTGACGCTCAACCAGCAGGGCGGCCGTTCCGTCACGCTCCTGCTCGGCGAGACTGTCCGGTCCGAGCTGTCCTCGGAGCTGGGTTTCAGCCGGGAGGACCGCAGCAAGAACATTGGCCGCATCGCCTTTGTTGCTGGCGAGTTGACCCGCTCAGGCAGTGCTGTCATCGCCGCCCCCATTGCCCCCTACGATGCCGACCGCAAGAGCGCCAAGGAGCTCGTCGAGAAGTTCGGTGACTTCTACCTCATCCACGTTGCCACCTCGCTGGAGTACAGCGAGAAGACCGACAAGAGGGGTGTCTACAAGCGGGCCCGCGACGGACAGATCAAGGGCTTCACGGGTGTCGATGACCCCTACGAGGCTCCTGCCAACGCCGACTTGGTCGTCGATGCCGAGAAGCAGTCCGTGCGTGCTATCGTCCACCAGATCGTTTTGCTGCTGGAGAGCCGCGGACTGTTGGACCGCCTATAGTCGCTGACTGTTTCGGGTCTGCTGGTTTCTTTCCTGCTTTTGGGTGCATTGGGATCGTGGGTCAATTTCTAAAACATCAAGGGCCGATAGATGTGTTGCTGGGACGAGTGGGGTGCTGTCTAGAGAGATATAGTCCTGTATATACCATTTGCTAATGGATTCTGACTGCGTTACTGGAGAACCTGACGGGGTCATCACGAAATCGTGCGCAGTGACCCATGAACACCAACGGCTCTGCCCCATCTACGGATGAGAGGACAGCAAAAACTACTGCACCTGGCCCCGAAAAACGAAGTGATCGGCTGGCCAGCGCACCTCCGAGTGTCTCGTGTGCTTGCCGAGCTGCCGCGATCCCATTGAAGCGTAGCACGACTGGCGTGGACGGCCCTCCTGGGAATGCGTAGCTAGAGACTGTAACGGGACACCCCCTCCTGCCCCCGCCAGACGTCAGGCTCTCCATATTACTTCAAGTAGAAGTTGCTTCCATGCACGGACACGTATATAGTCAACCTATAAAACTGACCGGTGAACAAGCGAACGGCATCCCGAGCAGAGCCAAGGGTCATGGTGCAACGAGCTTGGGATCCCGATGGCCCAATTCCCGAGCATCGAGTGCCAGGCTCGGCCCAGTGGGCATGCAAGACTTCCGGGGCTGGCGGCTACAGACAGGTATCGCGTACTTTGGTGCCCAATGCGTTTGGCGGTGAGCGTGGCGGGCACGGGTGGGTTCCAGCGGGTACTCGATACCTCTTTACCGCCCTCTGTGCCCCCAAGCCCTGCGACCGTTGGCTCTCGTCGTCAGTCCAGCCCGTGGCCCCATGGCCTTCTGGGTGCTATTTCTGGTGCGCCAGCTTCCCTGCAAGTTACAGCCAGATCGTAGGGCCCCCTTACCTACCCTACCCTACCCTACAATACCGTAACCATGGCTGTGAAAACACTGTGGGCCTGTTCGCGGTTGGAGCACATGCGGGTGGTGGTGCTGGTGCACGACAAAGATCCACGGAGGGGGAGGCTGTTGCTTTGTGGGATGGGGATGCGCTGTCGCAGTGTCACTGGTGGAGGACTATTCCTGTATGCCGCTTCGGGTTTCCATGTGCCCTCCTGGAAACCCGTCAGTGAGCTTAGGTATGGGCGGATGCTCGTTGCTGCGAGTCATCGTGGGCGAGGTGACATCCGGATAACTTTGGACTTGATTCTTCCTTTCCAACTACTGTACTGTACCATTGGATAGTATCCAATGCAGTGAACTGAGTCTAGTGTGGGAGCTGGAGGACGGGAGGAGAGTACAGTGTCCAGTCCCTTCCGCTCTGATACCCCGCCAAATCTCATACAGCACAGTAGCAGTACCGGACGCATGCACTGGAAGAAGGCCAGAAGCCAGAAGCCAGAAGCCAGAAGCCAGAAGCCTAAAGCAACCCAACTAAAGGTCGCAGGTTGCAGGTTGCAGGGTACTACCTAGGTATTGCACTAGACACATCCCCTGCTCTGCCCTGTGATCCCGTCCCGCCCCCGTCGAATCAGGATCCGTTGCGTTGCTCATCAACGACGTGCAGCCGCCGGACCAGCGAGAAGGAGTTCCCAGCTTGCGTCAAATGGGGACTTGGCCCGGTGCCACTGGACTGTAACCCGAACGTACGCTCGCCTGTGTGAATGACGGTACCTACGGTACCTCGTTCGCTGGCAGACTCAACGTTGAATCCCGATTCTCTCCCAGCCGAATCACAGACACAATCCACATGTGAGACAGCAGCACGGCTTTGCCCCAAGCTCAATCCCCAGCCCAGCGACCGGGTTTTGGATTGCATCATCAGCATCACCATCAGCATCACCATCAACCTCGCCAACCCACACCGTCTGGCCCATCCGAGATCGACCGCCATCTGCCCTTCCCCCAACCCACGCCTCCCTGCCGAGCCTAAACAGCGGTCGAGCCCGGTTGGGCTCCTATGGATGGTTCCACCTCGACTATAACGGCCGCTCTACCGGTGAACTAGAGGCGAGGCACAGATACTCAGACGCAGTTGCGCAGTGCGCAGTACTCCCCCCCCGCCGCCAGCCATGGGCTCCTCGTCCAAGGACCGGCCCGACGAGGTCGACCTGTCGGGCAGCGTGGCCACCGCCAGCGACGAGCGCCGCGGGCCCAGCAGGACCAAGAGCGAGCGGGTCAAGGGCGAGAGGGACCCCGAGCGATCGCGCGAACGAGACCCCGACCGGGAACGGGAGCATCGCCACCGCACGCACAAGTCCAAGTCGTCGCGCACCTCGAAAATGGCCGACGGCGACTCGCATACCTCGTCACACCGCCGCCATCGCACCCGCGAGGAGAAGGAGGAGAGAGAACGCAAGCGCGAGGAGAGGAAGAAGAAGACGGCCTCCATGAGCGACCTCGTGCCCGAGCTGACCAGGAGCTCGATGCTGGGGAGCAGGACCAGCCTGCCGTACCCCTCCTTCAGCAAGGCGCACAGTCGCGAATGCGTCTCCAACAGCCGCGAAGACGTCTCAGCGCCTCGCCAGCCCGGCGAACCGCTCACGCCTGAGGCCACCGACCTGGGTTCCAAAGGCAGCCGGCGGTCAAAGTCGCCGGGACATGCCGCCACGAGCAATTCGGGCAGCAGCAGCAGGAAGGCGAGCGCGAAGAAGGAAGATCGGCCTCCCAGCCCTCCCGAGACAGACGTATCCGCAGACAAGAGACGGAGCCGCACTTCGACGCCACGCATGAGGGATGGCGATGGTCTCGCGCCCGACAGGCCAGATTCGAGGACCAGTGGCCTGTCGAGGTCAAGTTCGCGGCGTGATGACAAGTCGAAGCTGTCCACCAAGTCAAAGACGTCGAGCCAGGCCACCTTTGTCAAGTCGCCCACCTTCAAACCGCCGCCGGGCGTGCAGCTCGCTGAAGACCAAGATTCCACCATCAGTGATGACAGAACGGCGGGCGCACGATCTGCCGCAACCTCGGTCCTGCCAAAGAGGACGGAATCCAAGAGATCGAGGCGGTCTGATCCGGTCGACGACGATTCTCCTGAATCAGTCCAGGACTCTTCGCCCAAAACTCCCACAGCAACGGCCCAGTTCCCTCCTCCGCAGCTCTTCCCCAACGAGAAGCAGCCGCCGAATATACACCTTGTCGAGAACGACCGTCCTACTCCAGCACAGACACCAATGTCCGACTTTGGACCTCCTCCGCCGGCGCCACCACCCCCACCACCTCTGGATATCCAGGAAGTACCGCGGATCGACTACTTGTTACAAAATGGTGGCCTGATCCACCCGGTTTCCAAGAACTTTCTCTCCGTGTTACCGCGACCAAATGGCACCAGGCCGTCAAACCCACCGTTGACCGGCACTGAGACCATGTTCGCACCATTCTTCAACCTTCTGGATCAGTACCAGAATGTAATCAACAAGCAAGGTTCGGTAGCCGTTGCGACGGGACACAAGACAGTTGCGAGACGCCTCCTCGATCGACTGGAGGATGTCTTTTCGAGAGACCTACCCGCCGAAGGATGTTCATGTCTGATGTGTGAGGGGACACCAGAGGAACACCGCGGTCTTGGTTGGGGGGAAGTCTTGGAAAGAGTGGGAGGTCGTGTTGAGCTGCCTCAATGGCCACCGTTTGACCTCGCTGCTCTCGGTGCGACCACAGCTCAGAAACTGGCAGACCTGCCTCCCAGACCGTCATCACCGATCAAGCTCGACCCCGATATCGCCGAGGAGTTCAGAGACCATTACTTACGTCAGTCCAAGAAGGTTCGGTCCTTGGTCGACAAGTGGATGAATACCTGTGCTGAAGCCCCTGCGCCGCCGCCTTCTGACGTGGATGATGAGACGCTCACGTTCGCCATCTTGACAAGCCTTGAGCGAGAGGAGCGGCCCTACTTCAACGCGCTCATCTCTGGCTCCCGAGAGCTTAAACCAGACGTGAGAGCGCCTACGCCCAATGTACGCAAGCCCCGGGCGGATTTTCTGGTCAAGACGGGGCTCTCATTACAACGCCTGTACCGACTACCTCAAGCACCTCGAGATGCTGAAACCGCGGTGTACCTCATCAAGAACCCCTTTCACCATGACCTCCTCGTCACTATTGCCGACATTAGCCCGCAGGAGTGGGAAATCTTGACTTCGGGGCGCTTCGATGGCTTCCTCTGGTCGGGCGCTGATGGCGATGAAGGCATGACCCCGACAGCAGAATATCCCGGCTCGCGTGGTGCTACGCCCGCATCCGGCTTCTTCTCACCACCATCGTCTCGACCGGGCACAGGCATGTCGGGTCACCGCCAGACCCCAGGCTTCGGTGCCTCGCGGAACACGACGCCTTTCTCGGGCGTGTACAGCCGCGGAGCAACGCCCGCCTCTTTCGTCTCTCTGTCTTCGTCTGCCGCCCCCGGGCACAATCGACAGGCGGTCAGCCACGACGAAGAGCTCGAGATGGCCGTGCTCGCCGAGGTCGAGCGCGAAATCTATCAGGGCATGGAGGCGCTCGAGGATGCCTTCGAGAAGCTGCACCAGCGTGCGGAAATGGTGCGCAATGCACTGCGCCAACGCAATGCTGGCCTCATGATGAGCATGCAGCAACGTCGTGCCGGGGGCCGGATCGACGTCCTGCCGCAGCTCAGCGGGGGCAGCAACGGGTATGAGCGGCCGTACTGGGCGACAGGCGACGACGAGACCAGCGAGAGCGACTGGGGCGGCGACGACGCCGAGAGCTTGGCGCCGGACGATTCGGCAAGCAATATTAGTAGTTCTCGCCATCGCCGGCCCAAGAGGCGGACGGAGCGGAGGACCCCCGCGCCCATTGAGGAGGACGACGAGGAGAACTAACTGGGAAAGGTACAAAGGCGAATACCCAGCATGGAATGGAAGGAGTGTGTGCGCGGGAAGAGCGCAAGGTCTTTTTATCTTAGCATACGGGCCAACAGGCTGCGGGTCACAGTCCCAAATACCTCCCAACGGAATCTGGTGTTCATCTGGCGTGGGGGCCTGTATCGGAGATCAAAGGGTGCATTCCATGTCCAAGTTATCTCATCTCTCCTTGCTCATCTCTGCATTAGCATATTCATGGCGTTTTTGCTCCAGGCTGGCTTCATCTTCTTGGCTATAGTATGCAGGCGAGCGATTGACGACACTGATGGGGGGAAATGAGATACCGATTTGTTTGTTCTCCAAGTTGTGTCCTCTGTATGGGTGTTGTGACAGAAGTGAGAAGACGTCCTGGCCGAAGTCGATGCTATGCTAGCCGTCACGCCTATGCCTCCATCTGACTCTCGTGCATACGGTTCCTTCGCTCTTCGCCGGCTCTTTTGATTCTGCTAATTGGCGGTCTATCCTTCTTCACCTTATACTGAATTGGTGTATACTCATGCGTGAGAGCATCTATCCAGAGGGTACGAGTATTCTCGAGTTCATATCCTGCGTGCAGTACAGTCTAGCACTGTAAGTGGAATTTGTACAACTACAGTGATTGGTATGCTGTGAGAGATAGACGTGGAGCCTTTGCCGCGTGTGTACGGCTAGCCATAAACCAGAGCAGCCCGTTTCACCATGTTGTGAAGTCTCGTATAATTTGATGCGAACCTGCGAAGTGGCCGGTATGTAGATAAGTACCTGACTATCTGCCACAGAGCAGAGACACGTGACGAGGGAGGATCATGAACGGTTTTCGTGTTGATTATTTGATAACTTCAGGAGTAACTAGATTACTATAGTATTATCTGACCCAATCTATGGGCGATGAGCACTGCCGCCTCACAACGCTCATAGTATTAAGCTGATCACAAGGTGTATGGAAATCAGACGATACGTTTTCGTTCCACCCTTTCCCCGGCTGCTGAATATGCTCTGTATAAGGCCATAAAATCGTGTCTTCGTGAAGGCAGCCACCTGGCTAGCCTGTGATCATTGCGTATACTTGGATGAAGTCTCCGATGCTTCGTCGATACGTTCCTGCTCGGCATACTGGTCACTTCTTCGTCCGTCTTCTGTGCCCTTCCTCTCAACCTCCTCTTGTGCTGGACTCATTGGCCGACTGCCGGGAACCGGCGTCTCAGTAGCGCGAAAACTCGTTCTCGAGGTCTGATGCTTGAGCACACCCTCCGCACTGACGGTTGATTGGTTAGAGGTATGTCCTTCATTGAGCCGCTGAGCCAGGGCTGTTCCTGGTCGATCCAATTCCGCCTGCCACGAGTTGAAGTCTCGGGAGCTCCATGAAGTTCTATGCGAGCGAGCTCGACGCGGTAGACTGCTGACCGAATGCCTTGAACTGACGCTGTTGGTTCGTCGCGTACGATTCATGGGCCCGGGATTGAATGTAGAGGGACCGGCGTTTTGCGGTTCCATATCTGCCAGATGATCATAGTCCTCGTCCTCAATTTTGGAAATCCGCCGCACACTTTTGACGGAGAATGCTGACTCTTTGGGCGGCTCTTGGGGCTTTTCATCGGGTTCCGAAGAGGTCCGCTTTGACTGCAGGCTCTCCTTCGCTTGTTCGATCCTCTCCGGCGCAGTCGCGTTGACATGCTCGAAGTACTTGATTCTGATGTCCTCGAGCTTTTCTGATGTGAAGTACTCACGATTCCTAGTAAGGGAAAACCACGAAGAGACGCTGCCTATAATGATGAGGAAAATCAATGCAATCGTCAATAGTGCTTGTATCACTACAATGACGACACCAATGATGGTTGCAAGGATGCGGTCGATGCTGAAGTCGGGCAGGAAGGCGATGGAAAGGCCTGTAGTGGCAATCTTGGCGAGGCCTAGCAGCCAAACTGCGAGGGTAGTGTTTCTTTGCCCTTCGTATGGGTTTATAGCTGTTATGACGACAAAGGACAGTACATCGACGATGAAGAGGCCAAAGACCTGAGCCAAAGGGCTTGTCGTAGCAGCGCCGATGAAGCAAGCCCGAACAAGTTGGTAGCCAAGCCAGAAGACGAAATACCACCACCTTGACAGCTTGAAACGGGCGAAGAGCCAGCCGAAACGTTCAATGTACGGCTGATCGTGGTGGACTTTGATCCGGTTCGGATCATCATCAATGAAGTGCCAATGCACAAAAGGGAGCGAGCCCAAGGGTCGTTCCGCAAACTCCTGTTCCCTTATCTGACTCAGTCGAAGCGGAACGGGCGATGGAATGCAGCCTAGAAAGGTTCCTCGGACGAGTAGGATACGGTCAGGCTCGGATGCGAACTTCCCAAAGCGCAGCCGGACGCGCAGAGCGTATAGAGCGAGTCCACCAATGCCAAGGAGTATTGCTGTAAAGACGATTGCAGCAATGGCGACTGGACCTGTCCGCCCACCATGAGCAAACTGAAATGTCGCCATGATGCAGATAGACGGAAAGGCAATGAAGAGTGTCCTCAAAAGGGACATTCTCACATAGTCCTTCCAATGCACTCGAAAGAAATCGAAGCGATCTGGCTTGATCCACTTGAGCTTTGCCAAAGCCTCTAGGGTAAATCTAAAGGCCGTTATAAGCGAGCTCACGATCGCAAGCACGATCAAAAGCCAGATGAAAGCGACCATAAATGCATCAGCTGCCGGGATCCGGAGCACCGAAAGGGTGCCTGCGAAACCGCTCCAGTCCCCTGGGATGGGAATTCCGGGAGCCACAGGATTGCCGTTCCAATCGTAAGCATATGGGTCGTCCGGATCGGGTGCCTGTCGTTTGATCACCTTGCCGAAGTGCTCTGCCCACCCTGGAGTACGTTTTGCCAGATTGGTGAATGTCTGAACCGCCAGCGAGCGGCCATAGATTTGCTGAACCAGGCTACCGCCATTGTTGTTGATGATAGTAGAACCTGCTCCTCCGACCTGACTAGTGTTGCCACTGATACCGGCGAAAGAGTCGACTGATTGTACCATGCCAGGCGCTGGTATGAATCCAGATGCCCAAGCGAAATTGGACCACCACGCGGTGAGCACGCTTGGCCATGGTAAAGATAAGGCACCCGAGAAGAAAATCGACTGCAACGTCTCGAAGACGACAAGTACTGATAAAGAATGTGCGTAGTGGGACCTCATGTGAGGCAGGCTGACTCCATACGCCGCAGTCACAAATGATGCCACGACGGCCACTGCGGTGAAGACCGCTAGGATGGAGCTGATAGCTTTTGGCTGGGAGAAAGAGGCACCATTTCTAAGCACAGCTTGGAAACAACCGATCTCAGTCTGGCTGGAATTGGCGAACAGCTGAATCCTTGCGTAGCCATCGCAGTCCGGCAATTCATACGCGATCCTGGGTATTCCGGAAACCTGGTCGGCCGCAACTTGAAAAGCGGCAAAGGCTGTGATGGGAACGCTGGCGTTCATCGGGCATAGACTGGAACACAATGAGCAACGCGGTTGCAATCCCAGCAGGATTGAACTGACCTGTTGACACCCACAGAACACGGATCCACGGTCATGTTGAAACTTGGCACCCCGTATGTCTCCAGAGAGATGTATAACATCAAACTCTCACTCTTCAGGTTAGTAAAGCCATCAAGGTGGAACAAAACGGTGGAATTGTCGCGGTAGAAAGCGGCGTCGAATTTGGTGACGTTGAGGAGGCTCTGCCCGCCTAAACAGTCCCCAAAGTCCCCCGTGTACAAGGCAGGCGTCCTGCCAACGGCCAATTGCCTTGTCACGCCATCTAGGTCAGTGCCATCTATGTATGCCGTGCTCTTTGCTTGTGCTGGTGCTACCAGGAGCAAGCCCCCGAGCGTGGTGAACAGGCGCCACCAGAAGGCGTCCATCTTCGCGGGCAAGGTGTTGTCGCGAAGCTGAGGGTGGAATGCATCGAACCGTCGGCGTCGAACCGGGTCTGGGGACATATGTGAAGTCGGGTGTGGCCCAGCTAGTTGGTTAAGGTTATGAGTTTAGCATTGAAGTATAGTGCTAGCGGCTAGGATCAACCTCTTGTCCATCGGTCGGATCGGTGGCGCTTGACGTTGTAGCGGCCGTACTTCAGGGATGGTGGTGTACGACCGGCTGTTTTATCGTGTAAACCGTGCGGCGATAAGTCGCGAGTTTGATGAATGCTAACAGCGCCGAAGGAAGCTCTGCGCAGGCTTTGGTTGCGACGTCCTGCTCGAGAAACGCGCATACGTTAAGCAAGCATAGGTATACTCTTTCCAAAAGTCCAGACGTGCCAGAGAGGTGCTGCTCTTGATCTGTCTGGTGCCGGTCCCGGCTGAGAAGTATGGAATGCCGTCGCCACCAAAATCGCCCGCAGGTGGGGGGTCCTTATCCCTCTGAGACACACAGAAACGGCCGTGGAGCTTGTGTCAGACAGTTATCGTCAGTGTCAAGGCGCGAGCTCAGCTTCCAACGCTGAACGGCTAATGAATTGATATCGTGCGATTTCCGGGGTTGGGAGCAAAGACACCAAACCAGGTCTCGTTCTTCGTAAGAATGAGGAGAGATTTCCACATGATTGTTCCGATCTCTCATCACTGAAACCACAACCTCGACCCGACATGCCGGGGGTGCGCGATCGATGGAGCATCAAGCTCTCGACCCTTGTCCGCCGAAGCACCTACCTTGCTCCTCCTAGCCAGGTTCTGGCCGTTCACCCGATTGAGTGCGGCAAGTGATTCGCTTGGCCAGGTATTTTTGCTGGCTGTCTCCAGCTATTGCTAACCACCATGCAGGCAGGCCATTGGCCCAACTCGACGGCGCCCATAGCTTGGGTTGTAGCGGCTTATCACCGTTGAACACAACCAGGTGTGCTGCTGCATCTCCCTTACTGTAGCTCGTATTCATCCATGTACCTATCCTAGGTCTGTATCGGCCTGTGCCGGAGAGACACTACTATCGCCCTGTCGTGGAGGCGATCTGCCTTAAGGGTTGATCTTGTATCAAAGTAGGTGTGGCCTAGCTCGCGCTGTCCGCACCCTGTCTCCATACATACCTATGTAGCTATGTAAAAAGACGTGACCACACGCGCGTTCTGTCAGAGCGCGTACTGTGAGTGTCGACCGTCTGGCAGAAGCAGGTTAAGAAGCCTCTGCTGGTCTTCTGCTGCCGTACAGTTAGCCAGTCTACCCAACACTACAGAAAGATTACTGCTTAGGAGAATACGGCTTCGAGGCATCAAGTTTGCCATAGGCTTTTAAAGCTGCACAACCTTGACGAGAGGGAGGCATGCCCGAATGATCCTGCAGCTGCATGCAAATAAGCTGCCACACCCGACCCTACGGAAGCTTTTGCCCACCTCGTTCCCCACTCTGCAATTCTACATGAGAACGGCAACGCTGCTGGCTAGTCCCGTGATCCGGATATTCAACAGTGAAAGACCAATACCCGGTGGAGGTATGTCGATGAATGAATGAATATTGGTGACCCACTGTAAGTTAGCGGTCTGCCGTGCCACCGACTTTTAGAGCCAAAACTATTACGATCGCCCGGAAGATAGCCGACGACAGGCGATCCACAACCTCTAGCCTTGGCGGCTTGGGAACAACTGGGGACCCTGCCTGTAGCTACTTATATCTGAAATTGAGGTTATCTTTGGTGCCAGGCTGTACTGATTACCATCACCACATCCCTACATACATACATACACACAGACATACATACTTAGAGTATGTATTGATACACAAATCGGGCCTACATGGAGCAAGTTTTGCTACTGAATTACTGAGCAATTTCGTCGCTAGAATCAACAGGCGTGGGCCTTGACCTGCACTATCGGCCGTTGGAGTTTTGACCCAACGTGCCCCAAGCAGTGGTAATGATGGCAAATGGATTAGACGACACCAGTTTCATTCACCATACATGTAACAATAGTGCTGCGCAGAGCCAGTGCCTTGATGACCGCCGTATCCAGTTCCTTATACTTCGTTCGTCAGCCAAGGCAAAGCATGAGGACCACATAAGGCCTGATCCACACTCAGGGCAACAACTAAAACAATCAACTTCGCGACTTGCCGAGAGAAGTAGAGAAGGAAAGACGCCAAGAAAGCCTCTCATTATGTAACAACCTAGCCCTAGTCTCATTATGTTTACCACACCTCCCTCTGACGGTTTGGGGGGTTGTTTCTCAAGACACAAAAGAAAGCAAGTGGGGATTGGTATTCCAGTAATGACACACGAAAGGTTGGTTGAGACGGTATTAAGCAAAAGCCTGGGAATGCCTGACATCGATTCCAAGCTCCCACTTCATCTTGAGACAGTCCTGTACAAATAAAGAGCCAAGACCTAAGGCGTTCCATTCGGTGTATTCGGTTAAGCATATGCCCTGCGTCAAAGCCAGGATTGAGCGCGGGCTTCAACGAAAATCCATACTGACTGCCAAGAGATGCCCCCGTAACGAACGGTCGTATCTGATTCCGTGTTCGAACTAATTCAAGCCTTAGAGCCGCCGTGAGGAGCAGCGGGCAGAGCGGCATGGCGGCGGTCTGGGATGGATAAGGCAAGAGGGAGCGAGCTGGCCGTGCTGGGAAGGACGGTCAAAGTTGAGGATGCATCAAGCGCACCCGTGTTGCTGTTACTGAACCCAATTGGGGACAAGGGGGTTGTGGTAGAAGTGATCAAGGTCGTCCGAAGACCGCCGAACGATGCAAGGCTAGCTGTAGAATAGTTAGCTAGGAGATGGGCACCTACATTTACCAGAGGGGACTTACAGGGGACAGCGCTTGGTACGGATGACAACCATGCTGAGCTGTCAGTGCATGTACTGGTCCAACCAAATCGACTCGACGAAAGTGTGCCGCTTGATCTGCTGATTGAGGCTTGGGACTGTGCTTCAGCGGTCGAAATTGTAGTTGCACTTGACGTCGCCGAACCGGTTATTGAAATCAGGCTATCTGTCGTAGTTTCACTACATGTTGTGTCGATAGATATCGACGATGAGAGACTGGACTGTGGAAACGATGTCGAAGCTGAGGTTGCCATGGTGAATGACGTTTCGCTCTCGGAACAGCTGCTGGACGAAGTAGTGATAGAAGGGAATGACGATACTGTTTCTTCAGTGCAAGTGGAAGTGCCGCTTTGACTAGACTCTGTCGAAGCCGGCAAGACTGTAGAACCTGGGGTCTGTCCAGCCTGTGTTGTCAGTGTCTGACCACTTGACTGAACATTAGGCGTCAAAGTACTGGTTGTGAGCGCGCCGGAGGCCACCGTTCCGCTTGTTGCTAGGCTTGTGGAATTGATAACAGGGAAAGGCGCTGAAGAGAGTGCTGGTATAGAGGCGGCCAAGCTGCTCGTAACGACTACGGATGAGCTACTTCCGATTGCAGCAGTACTAGAAGCCTCCGAAGTTACAGGAGCAGCCGGGAGATTCGACGTCACGGAAGTGCTCAGTGTTGCCGTGGATGAGGAAGTAGTAGGGGGCAACAGAATAGTCTCCGATTGGAGGTTCGATCCAGCGATAGTAGATGACTCAGGTGATGCTATGCTGTTCGAGACGCCATATGGTCTAGAGCTACTTGATGTTACGCCAGGCAACCCAGTGGTAGGCACTGGACCGTTGGTTGGCAGAATTTCGGTGGAAGTGATGGACGAACCTGAAGCAATGCCAGAAGTGAACGTGAGTGTCAGCGTAATAAATGTCGTGTCAGAATCAGGCGCTAGGCTTTGTGATACACACGCTGGGTCACTGCAAGAAATTGATGACACTGGGATGGGCAAACTTGTCCCCCCGGACGAGCTGGCTTGTCCATCACCGCTGGAATTCGGCCCAGAGCTTGTTGCTGAAATCAACAAAGTTGATGACAGCGTTGCAGCCTGGATACTGGAGCCCGAGGTGCTGGAACCTGAAGTTGAGACACTTGTCGACGTAGGAGAAAGCGTTACAACAAGACTGTTGCTTGATACTGTTGGCTGGGAACCAGTGCTGGAATTAGTCACCGGATATGGCGCCGATCCGGAAGCACTCATCCTCGTAGAGGATAATGAAATGAGTGTCTCGCTCCCCAACAATGATGAACCGGCGGGAATTTCTGTCGAGATAGATCGCGACGATCTGCTCGTTACTGAGCTATCTACATTGGTGTTTGATGGTTTGATGGGCTCACTCCCCTCAGACGATGGTGATAGGGAGCCAGTCGGCTGTGCTGAAGTGGAACTAGGGGTCCCAAACGAAAAGACCGACGTCGCTCTTGATGTGATTGATGGACTGGGCTTGGTGTTTGGGGTAGTTGTCTGGCTGCCGCTGGAACTTGGATTACCACTATAACCGTTTTCCGATGACGAACTAGAGTCCGTACTGAATACCGTGGTCGGCTTCGTACCGGAGAGGTTGGTGCTCTGACTCGCTATCGTCCCACTTTCCAGAGGCGTAGACTGAAAACTCAATGCCCCGGAAATTTCTGATGTGCTGCCTGAAGAGGTGATGGTTCCAGTAAAGGGAGGAGCTGCTGTTTGCGAGGTACCAATGGAGAGTGGGATTGAAATTCCTGCAGTGACAGTAGAGTTTGTCGTAGGGGAAGACCCAGTTTCACTAATCGGAATAGGCTGGTATGAAGATGCACCAGTTGTTCCTGTAGGATTCGCGATGATGGACGAATTCGACATTGGGTATGGCGGCATCGTATCTGATGGTATTTCACTGGAGGCAACGGAACTGGTGCTTATTTCAGTCGGTATTGGAATAGTGATAGATCCCGAAAGACTCTTCGTGATTACTGTGCTCCCAACTGAGCTCGAGGCTGATAAGGAAAGACTTGATAGGAATGTCGAACTCGCAACTGAGAATGACCCGGCTCCTGGTGCGTTGGTCCCTTTACCAGATGGATTAGTTGATAGCTGCGTAGCCGAACCGGTGAAAGCTTCCGTCTGGCTAACGGTGGACAAAAGAGACGTATTGATTGGACCTGTAGGGGTTATCGTTTCAGATATTGGCGAGGGAACCACAGCTCCACTTGAGTTAGTCCAGGTGAATGGTTCTGATAGGGATAGTGTCGTGTTGGCTGGGCCTGGTGCTGTAGGAATGCTGCCCGACGCAGTGATGGCTGGACCAACAGTAGACCCAGTACCACTGGTTAGCGTATAGGTGCCAGGGACCGAAGCGGGAACTGGAGATTCGGATATAGTGATTGTCTCTGAGCCAAATGTAGTAAATATAGAAGCCGTGGAACCATTGTTAAGCAGGCTCGATGATGTAACACCAGAGGGTGTAGTCACTTGAGGTGTCGTGGAACTCTCTGTTTCAACGGGTGGAGCATTAGTAGGCTCCGAGAACGACACGGTGGAATTCGTGACCGGGAAAGGTGGCTGTGAACCAGTAGTGATACCCGTGATATTGCCTAAACCATTGCTGGAATATGTAGATAACACAGGGTTAGAAACACTTGTGCTAGTCTCCGTCAGCGATCCGGACGGAAATAGGCTAGTGAAGACAGTTTGTGCCGACGGAGTCGCCACTGAACTGAGAGAAATAGCTCCGCCGCTCAACGACCCCGTGGGATTATAGTATCCGCTAGAGGTGTTAGTGACCGGGAATGGCGGCTGGGAAGTTCTTGAAATAGTAAGCGAAGGGTCGGGGAACACCGTGGAAAGGACTGTTATAAGTGACGATGAGCCAAATACCACCGACTCTGACGAGGCGCCGGTTGGTGATGTCGTATATGAAGTCCGCGTAGAAGCCGTGGTAGGCAGAGGTCCGGTAGAAGAATATGGGGGCACTGAAGTACCATTGTTCACAGATGAGACTGTCTGCAAGGCGGATGATCCAGGAAGGAAAGATGCGGTCCCTCTACTAGCCGTAGTTACGGGGGAAGAAGGATTGAACGACCCAGAGGTTTGTCCAGGACTTGGGCCAGTAGGTGAACCATCAGTGGGGCCAGTGAAGATGCTTGGTGGAATAGTCAGTGAGGATTGAGTTGGTGGTACGAAGACTGTTGTGGTTGAGCCGCTAGTGCTTTGGGTGGCTGGCCCGGTTCCTGTACCAGCATCAGGAGTTGAGGAGTTTGCCATTGGGTATGGCGCAGTTGGGCTAGTTATCAGGACTGTGTTACCAGTCGTACCACTATATTCACTGTTGCTGATACTCTGCCCGGAGAAGCTTGGGCCGGTGCCAGTCGGTGAGGTGATGAAAGAGCCTTGAGATGTACTCGACGTCGTGTAAATTGTATTAAATGGTGCATAGGTGGGGGAAGAAGTTGACTCCGAGCTACCTAGGATTCCTGAAGGACCAGTCGAAATACTTGTTACGCCTTGGCTTCCTGTGAGAGGTGCCGAGCCGCTTGGGCCGCTCCAAGACGTATAATTTGACAGTGGAAATGGAGGCGAACTCGAAGGGAGACTGATCTGACTAGAAGAGACTGAACTAGCCGAGGTCAAGGTGAACTGGCTTGCGGAAGATGTGAGCGAGCCAAAAGACCCAGTAGATCCAGAAAGTGTTGTTACATTCGAGTATGTAAAGAGGGGTGTAGCTGATCCCGAACCTGAGGGAAGTGTGAATGTGAATGTCCCTGCCGTTGCGGTTACGGGCAAAGTTGTCACACCGGGGATCTCTAAAGACAAAGTTGTGTTGAGAGAAGATGTACTTGCGCTTTTTAGTGAAGCTGTATCACTCCGAGCTGTCGTTGTTGAAGTGAGGCTGCCAGATGCAGGAATACTGGTTAAGGAGGTGCCGTTTCCAATAAGCCCTGACGAAGATGTACGCGTAGATGTCGACAAGAAAGGAGTAACCGTCAGGCTCACAGAGCTTCGCGAGAGTCCATATGAGGATCCGCTAGGGCCTGATATGGAGGTCGAATTAAACGTAGGGAACGGTGGAAGCCTGGATGAACTCAGTGCTGAGCCAGACCTGGACTCAGAGGTGGGCATCGCAGAGTTCGTCTCACGTGAGGTGACTGAGGGGCTGGTTTGACTACTGAAGCCAGTGGATTCAATGACGGAGGTAGAGTTCTCTGCTGCATACGGTGCCGTGGTTTCCGAAGTAATTGGTTGGAGAGAAGATAATGGCCCACCGTTACCAGATGAAGAGGAGTTGAGAACAGTGTATGAAGATGCTCCAACGGTGGTGCTATTAAGGCGAATTGACTGAGTTTCTGTGGAACGGGAAACTGAAATGCTGCTCGCTAACGTGAAGGTAGTCGATGCTGGCAAACCAGAACTACTAACAGACGTAGTAACTGCAAGGGAAGGGCTGGAAACGTTCGAAGACTTGTTGATAGTACTGGTAGCATTGGCCGTGGACTGGGACTGCCCAGAGGCTCCGATCGAAGAAGTTGAGCCTCCTACCACCCCTGTGGTGCTGGTGCTTCTAGTCTGAGCGGACCCAGTAATACTATCAGTAGATATTGGAGTGGTACTGTAGCCAGCGTAGGTAGTGGGTGACGTGCTCAGAGAACTGGTGGAGAAACTTGAGACCGTAATAGATTCAGAGGTCTCGCTTCTCGTCGTCAATGAAGAAATACTGCCCGGAGAACCTGAAGTACTGGCAGTGATCGCGCCAACGCTGGACGCGAAAATGGTGGTTCCTGGGCGCGTGGTGACGGTTGTGATTGGCACACCTGACAAGACAGTGATGATTGTCAATGTCTGTGGAGGCAGTGTTTGTGCTCCAGGGGCTACCGTGGCCCCAGAGCCAGCAGGGACGGAGGTTGCAACAGAACCAGAGGCAGTCCCAGTCGTGCTCGAGAGATATCCAGAAAACTTATGCAACTTAGTACCAGCGGTAACGGACAACTCCCTGAAACATTCGAGGAATGCGACATCACTTACAGAAGAGGTTATCATCAACGACGTTGAGGCACTGCCCAGCGCCTCGGTCAAGGTAGACGAGCTCGATTCACCCTCACTAGATGTACTAGTAGTGAGGCCGCTTGAACCGGTGATGACTGACTGTCCAAATGTCGATGACTGTGAACTTGAGGGTGCATTGTTCTCAGACTCAGTGTTGTAGGCTATGCTAGTATCTGAGAGTGACGATCCAGAGGCAGAGGCAGTATTCGATGATGTCGTGCCCTGGTATGACGCAGAAATGGAGCCGCCTATCGAAGTCTGACCAGTCGAGTCTGTCGAGATGGATCCTGAGGTTAGTATGGAGAATAGTCCTTCATTGAGATTAATGATTTACACTGACCAGAAACTGAAATCGAAACACTCATTGAACCAGCAGCGGTACCAGAACCAGCCAGGGAAGACACGGAGGTAGTAGAGCCAGGCGCGGTTACGGTTAGAGGCGAGCCACTTGAGGAAGAAACAGGCGACTGGGATGAAACCGGTGGAGGAGAAATATGACCATAGGGCGGGGGATAGTTGGCATCAGCAAACTGATAGCCCTTACGATCCGAAGGGGGTCCGCCGTAGAGGTCATAGTGTAGGCCGTCATCAGCAGCATGCTCAGCGACACCACGTCGCTCGACCAAGTTGCGTACATTTGGCCACGCCCAAATGATGGAGAGAAATCCTGACAGGAAGACTGTCAACAGTACGTTGACAGCGAGAGTGGGCCCTCTCATCGTCGACGGTGGGACGAAGTATTGTGGACCAAAGCCGTGATGTGATGTGAAGATGAATCAAACAGAATACAACAAGACTTTCCTCAAGGTCATCGATGAGAGGATGAGGGAAAGGTAAAGAGTGAAGAGTCACAGGACTCAGTACGAGGAATGATGATAAAGAACGAACGAGGGCGCCGACGACCTCGGGAGGTGGGGTGATGGATGTGTTGAGGGCAGAAAAGAAAAGGAAAGGAAAGTCCTGCGTGGTCTGAGGAGATCAGATTAGAAAAGAACTCTTTTCGTCTGTTTGCACGCGAGAAAAACTCGGTTAAAAAGAAGGCACGCGTTGGGCTCGCGGTGGGTTGACGCGTGGACGTGATAAGTGAGAGGTCTCAGGACCAGCGCTGTACGGAGTGCAAGTGCGCTCGTCTATCTCTCCAAGCAGATTGGTTCTAGACACCGCAACACCCTGGGAAAGGCATAGCTACATGGAAAGTAGCTCCGCGACTCTACCGAAAGAATCATTGCTCAGGTACTGATCCTCTCTTGTGAGGCTGCCGATGTGCCTGCGATCGAGGACTGTGTGAGCCGGCCCGACATTTGAACATCCTTTATGTGTTACACCAAGAGGCAAAGATTTAGAATCGGCTTATGTCGAATGTATGCAAGGCCGTTTGACATCGGAGAAATTCTCAGTTGCAATCCTTCCCAAGCTGCTACCTACCGATAGCGACGTGGTCGCGTGCAGCTTGGCATCTCAACACCCGCTACTATGACCTGTGGGTGGTATCCAGCATTCATGCAATCCTGGGCTCTCTCATGACAGAACCGGAGAAATCCAATCCAAAGATGTCAAGTATATAGCCTTTTGACGTGTCCGGATCATACAAGCGCATCGTTGCAAAATTATTGACTCCAAAGCAATGAGTCAGGGAGATGGTCAAGACATGGAGGACTTAGTGTGTCTTATACTACAGCATTTCGGTCGAATATCCGCCTCTTGAGATATGATTACCTCACAATCATCTCTCAACTCTCTTATGAGCCCGATCGCCCCTGGAATAACGGTCTTAAGTGGGCGATCTTGCCACAACGGGTGCAGTAGTCGAGATCCTCCGTGATAGCTCCAGAATGGGGTTGACGTTGCATCATCCATATAACTCTAGCATTGCATGATGCTCAACGTATAAACCTGCCTAGTTTACCAAAGTCAGAACTGGAAAGCCAAGAAAAGAAGCTGAGGAAGCTATCCAATGGTGTGGTACGGCAGGGGTAATTTGAGGCTGTATGCAGCGGCATGCAGGCAGCCTACAGTGGCACAAAACCCCAATATGCAGCTGACACCTCAGGGTAGGAAAGCTCCCTAGAGTCCCTTTCAATTCCCATATCTTTTCACCTTGTTCTAGCCACATCAGGCCTGAACCCCCCCTCTTTTTTTTTTTCTTTTTTTTTTGTGACCGACATCGACATACCAGTTTCGTTGAGCTTGGTGGCAGTACGCATCGGGACTATGCATGCAGCCGACGTACCGAACGGTGATAAATTCCATCCTTAAGATTTAATTCGAACAGAAACACGAAGCTTGCACGGGAGATTGGCGATCTGATGTGCTACACAAGCTGCCATATATCAGATGAATAGCAAACGAAACGAAGCGAAGTCTGACAAGCATGAGTGCATCAACCAGATCTCGCATGGCGTTTTATCATATCCGAGCGTTTAATGATGGAAACATAGAAGAGCTGCTGAATTTGAGACATGGTCGTTTTTGTTCTGTCTTGAACCACATGTCACCTGGGAGGGACTCAGAAACACGTGCAGATGCTGTCAACGGCTTGAAACATTTGCAGGTTATGTATGCATGGGAGATGTTATTTTGGAAGCCTAGCAAAATTGATGCGCCCTTAAACGGGAGTCAGCAAAATATTGGAGTCTATCTCCTGCAATTAAGCGGCAGCACCAAGTTTAATAAGTGTTCAGGGTTTCGCATCACCAAGGACGGAAGGCAGTAGTCAATATGAGTTCTGCCTTTATGTTTGACTGCATCATGTTAGATGTGATACAGCTATCTTTGTACATCTTGGTGTCTTTCTGAACCATCTGCGCCGATAGAAACGGTCCGTACGACGGGGAAGCTCGTCGATCAGGTAATCTCGGAGGTCGCGGCCCGTTGCATATCGTGTGTTCCCTACTCGGCTTTCTTTGCCGCTTCTCGGAGTCCAGGGGCAGTGCTCTGCTCCATTTGAGTGTTCTTCTCTTCAATGTCCGCTGCCCAGAGAGCAGCCCCAACTATATTCTGTCAAAAAAAAAATCTGGGTTTTGCATTGGAGCGAAACAGCCTTACCTGCGTTGGTAAATCCAAAGAAAATTCCAGCAAAGGGAATCATCTCCAAGACAGTCGCAACAGTGCCGAACCTGTAATCATCTCAATTAGTAAAATCTCCCAGAAGTGTTGACTATGTTCCTGCTTTGTATGAAATACTCAGGAGCTGTAGCAGCAGGAAGCACCTGTGTTCCTCGTCATGGAGGTGGCTGCCGCGACTGGGCAGTGAGCCATGGCCAATGTGTTTACTTACGCGGTGTACGCTCCGGTGTGTCGCGCGAGCCAGTCAGACCTACGGGACGATGACCATTCTTTCAGTTGGAAGTACTATATGACTAACGTTAGACTGGAGCATCAAGCTGAAGAGGTGCGAGAACATACCCGGCCATGGACGGAGTGACCTCGACTTCGGCCTAGTTGAATAAGTACGTCAGAAAATATTCCCCAAAAATTACCTCAAGGAGGAATCACCTTGGATGAAAATAAAGATAACCGTGCCAACAACTGATTGCTAAGTGTCAGCTTCTCTGTGAATCGCGGGACGATGCACTTATGGGGTCATCATACTTGGGATGAAGTTAAGCGGCAAGTACATAATGTATCGAATCAAGGCTTTGGGGCTATATTTTTCAAAAGGACTCTTGAGAATCTTCCCAAGCCGTTCAATGGGATCTCCGCCAGACTTGAGTTGCCGACCTTCACTGACGACCCCTGTGGCGTTGCGCGAGACCAGAGTTCCGTCAAAGGTATCGAGCAAAGCATCCTGAAGTAGGAAGTTGCGAGACACAATGTTGATGAGGGTCGAGCTCTCGTTGAGAATGAGCAAAACTGTGGTGAAGACAGCCAGAGGTCCATTGACGAAGACCAGAATCGCCAGCTGCGGCAGATACGTGAAGAAGAACATGCCGGCAACCACAGCAGCCGAGAGGCCCAGTGTGGGCAGGAGCCGGGAGGCAAGCGGCTTCCATAAGGCTCGATGGGTCAGGAAGTAAAAAATACCCCTACGAATATCAGCCTGGGCCTTTGAGGTACGCGGAATCGGGCCCTACTTGAATGGATAGAGGAAAGCACCGCTTCGTGCTGCATCGGCGGCGAGGGCTCGAGCCTTCTCATAATCTTCCTTGCTTCAGAGGGTTAGCATCAAGTCTCGCCAACTATTGGAGGGCTGGCCATCCTACGCAACCTCCTGGGCCTTCGCCTGCATACTGCCTGCGAACCCTGTCGACATTTTGATAGCGACGATTGTGGTAGTCGTGCTTTGCGGGGGCCAGAAGGTCAACTTGCATGTAGTGATGGGAATGTTGCTGAGGGAGACTTGGGATGTGAGCTGGAATTGTGAATTAGCTCAGCAGACGACTGATATGTTGAATGCCCGCTGCTTTGCCGAGTGATGGAATCAAAGACATATGTTAGACAAAGACGGTAATGATGTCGTCATGGTGAGTGTTCAGGGACCCACTTTTCCTGCCAGCCTGAGGTGCGGAACGTGCCTAATTTAGCCTCTCTATCATGCCCGGTGCCCACAGATTGTAGGTCTCCACATTTGCCCGTCCTACAGGGCTACATAATAAGTCACGTTCCTTCATGCATTTGTGCGGTGCACAATCCAGGCGCCATGTCGTCAAGGAATCTTCCATAAAAGAGAGATTGATGAACCCGAGTGGACTTGCTGTCTCCTCAGTTTCTCTCCACGGTTTCAGTGCTAGAAAGCATTTGCAAGCACAAGATTGTGCACTTCTTCTAATAGATAGATTCGATTTGATGGGATTCGCTACTAGTCTGAAGGTTTCCCAAGTCCAATGAAACGTTTAATTCGAACACAAGGAACGCTTTACCAAGGTCAGGTATGAATTGACTGAAGAAAATGTCATGAAAGGTACAGCTCATTGAGTGAACACGCCTTCTTTGTTATTGAGACGCGATTCACTGTTTCCGTATGAAAGCCAACTATACTTACACTATGAGACAATGGAGCAGCCATGTTGGTAAATTTCAGCAACTTGGAAGTTTATCGCAAAATGGGCCACCAAAATGCGAATGGCAGATTTACCAGACGCGCCGTGTAGACCTTTGCCGGTCTGCTCCAAACACCAGAGAAGGACTTGCTACGAGTGTTTGCACAGCTATAATTGCGACAACCATGGGTGTCTTGTCGACGAGAAAGTATTCGCAGCCGATACATGCAGATTGCGGCTGCCCTTGCAAGGAGCGAACGCACTGTTTGTGCCCCAGTTGGACACCCACCTCGGACTATGCGCAGGAATTGGCAGTGGTAGCCCAGAAAGACCCCAGGTTGAGGAGCTGTATAACGAGGATGGCACGTTCACATTGGTGACGCCACCAGCGATGGCGCCTTCAGAAGAGTGGTTCCATTATTGTAAGGAGTGTGACCTTACCTGGCTCATGGGTCATGATGGCCCGGCAGCAGCCATGTCGCATCCGTCTCACACAACGCTTCGCGATAAGAGAACCCTCGTGCTCTGGGTAGCGGCTAGAGTAGCGGAAAAGGTTAACCAATCTCGCAACCCCATCGGCCTTGTGTCTTTTGGATCAGAATCTACGTTGAACCAGGTTCAACAGGTCTCGGCTTCTGACGGGCCAAGGGCAGAACAGGATTCTCTGATTGCAGCGGCAATTAGTGGCCTTCAAAAGGCACGCACCTTTATCCGGGAGCAGAGGAAAGCTATCTTGGAAAAGTGTGTCAAGACCAACAGCCACTACTTCTCTAAGATGGCAGAGACGTTTCGTGTTCTAGTTGTTGTTTCTGACCCCAAGCTTGTGGGCTTTGTTAGCAGCCTTAACAGTCACGTCACCTGGAAGCCGATTACCAGGACGTACAGGACAAGGTTTGGTGAAGGGGTGCCTGCCAATGCCCAGGCGGGTTCATACGAAGAAATGCATTCTCTGGAAGTAGAGCTAGAGGCGCTTGCCGTTGCTGGCATTTTTGTTAAATGGTACCTGGTCCATCCTTCCCTAAACAAAGCAGTGATTCAGCTTGCTTCCAAAGAGACTGCAACAGATACTTCCCCGCAGATACTGAATGAGAAGATCATGTTGGAACCCGAGAAAAATTACAGGGCTGGCACTAGTAGGGACGCCAGAAATACGACAGAAACGGACACGATGAATAATGTTTACACGAGTGATGGCTTGTTAACAGAGCGTCCCCCTAGCTCAGAAGGACACGTTCCTGTGCCAAAGTACACAGCACCGCGGCTTGAATCGACACCTGTGACATTAATTCCCTTGAAAAGGAAACTGGACAGTGTGGAAACTGTTACGGCAGATAACACTCCTAAAACTGGCACCCTCGAGACATCTGGTATGCCATTTGCGGTTGCAAGCGCTAGTGGCGAGGTCGAAGAAAAGATGTCGTTCTCAACTACGAACCCAGGAAAGAAACCAGGAATAGACGCAGTTGCTGTGCAATCGAATCAGATGGAACGCACAGATACTAGCACACCTGATATCATTGGACGTGACGCTGGTCAGCTGCAGGAACAAACTTCCGACCAGGAAGAGGCAACAACAACAGACCCGAAGCCGACTTTCCCTTCATCTCCGAAACTTACTACGAGCGCTTGGGAGACTGCATAGAAGTGAAAATCATCTGGAAGTGATAGAGGGAGCTCTAAATTCCCCCAATGGGACGCCATAGGTAGCTTGAAGTGGTCTCATGCATGACCTGTTGGATTCGGTTACACGAGTGACCAATACGTAGGAGCAATTAACAATGCAGAATGACAGCATACAGTACGTGTCAGGTGACTTGATTCATAATGAAACTACTTTATGTAGATTGTAGAACCTCTACCACCCCTCAGAAGCGATTTAGCTTCAAGGCGAACTCCAGGCACCACCGCTGTCCAGCTAAACGTGACTAGTGATGGTTTCATAGTCCATAGCTGATGATCAACGATAATCATCATCTACGTCGTGAAAACGGAGTATTATGAATGCTAGAAACAAGGTTGAAGATCGCTTGAGATCGCACAGCTTCTCACGTCGCCTCTTTACACTTTCGACTGAATGAAGGAAACAGCGGGAGAGACGCTGGAAGTGTAGTCGGTGTGAGCATCGGTGATGATGAGGGTTCCCTCACAGACTCTGTCACCGTTGTTGCAGAAAATCTTCGTCTTGGAGGCGGAGATGTTGGGAATAGCACCGCCATCTTGCTTCTTCTGTGTGTCTCCGAAGGTGACTGCAGCAGCGATCTTTGCGACAACTGACGAGCTAGCTTTCTCGATCGAGCGGTGTACCATGGCAGCACCCTGGCTGTACCCGGCGACGACGAGCTTGGCGTTCGGGCACTTGCTGGCAGCCTGGGTGAGGAGGGTTGTCATGGATGCAGCCTCGGACGCCGGGCATCCACCACTTGCCAAGTTGCCGGTGAGACTGGCAGAGTAGCTGATACCCTGAACGGCAAGCCTCGTGCCCAAGGCGTTGCTAAGCGCGGTAGCGAGCTGCTGGCCGGGCATCTCACCCTGTGACATCAATGTTAGTGAGTGATGACCTCCAGGTGAGAAATTGTATCACTTACCAGGTTGCCTCCCTGGTTAGTACCACGGGCAAAGAACAAGATCACGTCTTTGCAGGCACCTTGAGTGTACTCATTGGCCGTAGTTCCGTAGGTTTTGCGTTCCGCAAGCTCGACTGGAGCCGAGCTGACGAAGGCAACCAGGAGCGCGGAGAGGACGGACAGAGACAACTTCATGTTGGCGGCTGGGGTGATGGACTTGAAGCTTTTCACAGTCTATATGCTGGCTTGCTCACACTCAAGGACAATCCGACGAGCGTTGAACCGGGACACATCGTCAAGTTATATACTTGGTGCTCCAGGCCAGCTAGCTTGATCACCCTTCCAGTCCATCGTAGACCAGATGGAATACTTCCTAGAGCATGCCGATGTCCCGCTGACACGCCTTGCTCATCTCCTTGTCGCAGCGCCAAGATTCATGTGACCATGTATTGTTGAAGTTGACGGGTTGGCGGCATCTACCAAGACATCCTATACCGCACTATCTGACCCAATGATCGGATGAAGTGAGGCGCGCCGAAATATCTTCCGGGCCTATCGACCCTCTGCCCCCAATTTTTCCCCAGACTCAGGTGTGGCATCCGGCAGCCGAAAACCAATTCGACCGGCATAGATCCCAATGCACGCTGCATAGATCCAGCTGGAGCCGGTGCTAGACAACTTTATTTGCGCGCTCCGTTCCTGACCGGGAAAGTCTATCGCCAGAGAGCCGGGGTGCCGGATTATTCGCCTGCCGAAAGCGGCCATCAACCGACGGATGTGGTCGCACTCGGTCGTAAAGCCCGGAGCTTGTCAAGGAAGTGGAAGCTCAAACCTTCGGTTTATATGCGGGGTGTAGTGTTGCAGGGCACCGACAAGCTTCGTGGCCGGCCGGGGATTGCCGAATTTGGGGGTTTGCGCCGTTGTCCCAATTGAATCCACAGAACGTGTCTGCCCTACCTCAAGCCACAACAGCCAGCCGTCTGTGATATTCTTGGAACAACACAAGGGACAACGAGCGAAAACACGTGGTAAGTGCAATAGCCTTCTTGGGGCGGCCTGCCAACTGTCTGATGACCAGGCTATCGGTCGAACATAAGACCGTCTGAACCTAGGGAAAGGTGATATCGCGGCCCAGTCTGTCGCGCCAAGAAGTCAACAAATTTGCTAAGCAGCCGATCCGCCGGCCATTTGGCCTAAAACCATGATCTGAAACTCGATGTCCACTGCATCGTTAAGCTCATTGCCCTGCGTCTCAAGAGTTAAATGACTCATGCATATCATTATAGCAACCTTATAGCACCACTTTCCTTTGATCCTCCAACTCTAGGAAAGAGATTGGCTTCGCAGAGTCCTGCCACGGTCGCAGACCCGATGAAGGGGGTGTCTTGAGGCACGATGGAATAATACGGGTACCTTCTATTTCATATGTCTGCTGTACAGGTAGAGCGAAGCTTGCCTTTTTTTTCTTTTTCTTTTTCTTTTCCTCCGTCGAGAGCTGTCACACTTGACTATTTTTACTGTCTCTCAGGCCACGCCTCTTTGGTACAGTAGCTGCTCCCGATCCTGTGAGCGCCTATGAACGCACAATTTGATCAAGCCACACTACTGGCGTTTTTGATACATCCACATATGCCATCTAAGTGTTATCTCTGTTTCGCTCATCCGCAGGCTCAGTAACCGCACCATGGACTACAGTCGATGGCGAGCCGGAACCAAGAGTTTTACGACAGTCCAATGAATGATATCCAATGCGGTTGACGTACATGTAAGGAAAACACATATCCTAATCACGTAGGTGTTGACAGCTGTCCGCGCTAGAAGCAGAAGATATGATAACGAGGCGTCTTTTGGGGCTCACCAAGCGCGTCAATACTGAGTAGTGGGATTTCCTACCAGGTACAGAGAGCCATCGTCTACAGTGGCTTATGCTGAAGCAACAGAACCAGGCTGTGGGTTTAGAGTCTGGCCAACGATGGCTACTACGGAGCCTCTCACATTGGCCAGCTAAAGTTTGTTGTGAGATTAATTTGTCATCTGTGAGATTATTCTCCTGTCTCTATGCACAGTTAAACTAGTTCGACTGCCTGCTCAACAGTGCCTTTTACCTGTCCAGTTCCATGCGTCAGCTCGTTCCGTCCCTTTTGCCGGCTCCCCCGTCTCTCGAAGCCTATTCACTCTTCCGTAGTAACCACAAATGCCACAACATAAGCTCAGATGCTGTCACCTCCGGAGACTGATCATATATCCTCAAACCTTCTGGTCCCTGACCGGAAAATGCCTGTCCGTATTTTCTTGTTCCACTGTCCGGACAACCTCAGTTGTCTCTATTATAGACTCGTATCTTGGCTTGCCACCTATCACTGATGTCTTTCGAGCTTTACCATAAACATAGTCGATTTCGTTTGCGTACTTTCTCTCTGTCTGTCTCCTGAGAAAATGGCCCTCGGAACCACGAATAAAGTTGCCAAATGGTACGAATATTACGTGTGACTCTGGAACTCTTGCATGTTCAGGTACACCTTCATTTTCGGGGGCTATAGCTTCGGCCCATAAGGTCGCGGCTGACGCACGATCAACCCCTTTGGACAACTCGATCAAGGCAATCGGCTGTGCGTTGTACCTGGTCAGAACGATGGCGTTCTGTACCTTTTCATGATATCCGAGTGCCTTCTCCAATCCAAAGCCGAACTCGTTGTTTCGGCTTTCGAGATCCGGGATACGGCTAATGAACCTCCAAGCATATTTCGACTTCTTTGGATCCGGATGTGGCGTCCAGACCTCGGCAGTTGCATATTCAGGGTAGGGTGGTTTGGTTGGCGCAGATGTAATACCACGCCCTGCCCAATAACCGGCAAAGCGCTGCGAAGTCGGATTGAATACCATCACTAACTCATACAGCGGAAGTCGCGATCCGTCATCATCGTAATACTCGAGGTCTCGTTCGCGAAACTCGACACCACCATTTTTTGTATCAAAGAAGACATACGCGTAATCTTCAGGATCTCCTTCGAGGAATGGGGGGCTTAATAGCTCCGATGCGCCCCAAACACATTGTAACCGAGAGTGCTTCGACCATACTTCACCAGCATAGTCAGATACGCTTCCTAAGGCCATGTCAATAAGAGCCATATATTAGTCTGCAATGTAAAACGTACCATTCCCGTACGTCATTGAGTCGAACTGTTTGATGTATTGCTCTGCGTCGGGCAACCGGGCAATAACATCTGCGAGGAAATACGGCATAAACCCAGTTGTTGCCCCGGAGCCTTTTATAATGCCGCATACTTCATTGATATTGTCCACAGACCGATGCCGGAATCCTGGGATCAGAACTCCGCCTCCAAAAGCACTCACTGTCATTGCCAACACGACGGCAATGGGGTGGAATGGTGATGCCATCATGAGGTACCTTGTACCAACGTCACACTTCCAAGTCCAATGAGGGCGCCCGTCCACATCCTGAAGCTCTGTCTGTGAATCCATGCATGCCATGCTTGCATGCGTGAAGGTCACTGGCCGTGGGTCGCCTGTAGCGCCTGATGTTTGGCATATGACGAATGGATCGCGCTGTGCCTCGGCGAAGCTCTTGGTATACGGGAAAGGGGCTACAGGATCGGATGGATCGAGTAAATCATCAAGTTCCGGGATCTCCGCTTTGGGCATAGGCCGGCTGTTGGTGATGTCTTCGGCGTACACACCGCGGGCTAGCAGCATGGCGTGGCATTTTGCCTGGTCTATGAGAGACAAGTGAAGGTCCAAGGTGTTGAGGTGCGAGTTGAAGAGGACTTTGTGGCCAGTCTTGCATACTGCATATAGCAGCATGTAATAGCGGAGGTCCGGGATGCCGAGGTAGACAATGGTCTCGAAGTTGTCGGAAGTACCAAATGCCTTGACAATGAAGTGCGCCAACTTGTTGATGCCATTCGCAAACGCGGCGTAGGTGATGTCCTCAAAGCCTTGGGAGAGGTCATAGTCGTCAATGGGTAACGATGCCCATGCCTTATGAGGATCGTCTCGGGCGACTTCATCTATGATGACGGGCAGCAGGCGCCGGCCGACGTCACCACCGGGATGTTTAGCCATAGCAAGCGAGCGCGGGGGCAAGCAGGCAAACAAGTAGAATACAGCGGGTAGTCGTCTTGGTTTCTTGGGTAACGTTCAGTGACGGCAAGATATGGCCAATCTGTGAAGGAACAGTCTGAGGTCTGGAGTGTGTCCGAGTTCTGCTCTTTGGCCGGCTGCGGGCTATTTCGAGCTGCATGATTGGCCACACCACTGCCGCAATCGTTACACAAAATTCCCCTTCCCCACGTTGATTCCAGACACGTCGTCGGCCACCCCGTGTCATGCATGCGTTCTAGGTTCAGAGTCTATTAAGCGGGCCCTGGGCTATGAGATAAGGGCTGGATCCAAGTCAAAGCTTGGCAGTCATGAGACAGAATCTCACGAACGCCTCTAGTACGCCGTCGGGCTTCAGTACAAAGAATTCAGCAGACTGTCCGGCTGAAAATAGTAATCGATCTGGCACACGTGGATGACAGGGGTAAGAGAAATCTCCCCAAAAATTCGCTGGGGTAGAAAGACCACGGCCTGTCCCGTCTCCATTCGGGTAGAAGCCGACGATCCACATGGTGCAAGAGGTCAGGTTATTTTGTAAGAACGTATCATAGTCCGAAACATCGACCATTTCCTCTTCATCACAACTCAAAGGTGCCACTCCTTGAACACGACTCGATATAGCTTTGTCCTCCTCGCCTTTAGTGCTATGGCGGGTTTTTGTCACGTTCGCTCGGATTTTCCCTAAACACCAGACGATACGGAGGTTGGAGGGGTTTATACTTTCTTAGTTTTTAAATGGAGAGTCAAGACCCCGCGTTTGGGGGATACTGACGCAATGCTAAGCATAACAGATATGCGTTGCACTAACTAGTACCGCTAGTACTTGAAGCCACCGGCACGCGATCTGAAAAGCCCTTGCGGATCAACCTCTTGCTGCAATGCTTTCAGACCAACGTATCCTCGATATGAGCCGGTTACGTTCTGATCTCCCATAGCATCATTCATGAAGTATGGCAGGTAACTGGACTCACCAAGGCCAGCCTGCACATTCCACTCTGGGATCTTGGTCTCTAGCCACTCAGTAACCTCCCGCGTCAGATTGTATACAGTGTCGTCGTCCCCAGCGCTGGCCCACGAGCACTGAAGCTCCAGAAATAAGCGGTTTGGATCTGACCCCGAGAGCCCTATGGCGTTACCGCCGCGGTCCTGGCTGTGTTGGCCGATGAGGGATGGCACCGGTTGATAGTCAATACTGCATTGGGCTGTAGCGTGAAGCGGGTTGTCAAGGTATTTGGAAACAACTGAGGCCCAATACTGGTGTATTTCAGCGTATATGCTTGTGTTCTCTGGGACATGGGGGATTGTAAACGTCTGCAGCTTTCAGCATTAGCGAGTAACGTTCATAGAGGAAAGATAGAGCGCTCTGATTGCACGTCTCAGTTCCCCGCCTTTTCTGTCTGGGGCCCCGATGGCTGTCGCTGAGATCCATGGCTTGCCATGGATGGCTGCAGGACAGCGAGAGAGACAGCATCAGCACCGTGGCAGAAGTGAGCGTCTGGTTTGCCAAAAGTGGAAGTTGTCTGAAACTTGCGTCATTGAGGGTTTCAGCCTCTGGAAGTCTATTTCAACATCCCGTTTTCGCATCGTGGAGGATGGCCATTTGTACAAACAAAACGTTTTCATTTAAAATCAGCATGGACGGTACTGTTTACCCGACCACTTCGAGTTTCTAGATACACTGCGTATATACAATAAAAGCCCTCATATGAACACCACAAGACGACCACCCCGAGTTTGTCGGCGCAGGAACACCAGCTCTCCTCAGCTCATCGGGGTCGCCGCCTCGCAAGGATGGAGGGAAAGGCACAAAGCTATAGACAAGAATCGAAGGAGGCTGACATGAAGAAACCAGAGGAGCGATGATTGAAGCCAGGAAAGATGCCAGTCGCGAAAGGAAGACGAAAGCGGATGACAATAGCAACACAACACCACAAGTCGGCCAGCATTTCCCTTTCCAGGTCAGACCCAGCACGTCCGCTGAGTCAATAGTGCCAGGCGCCAGCAGCACCCACAACGCCGCTTTGCGAGGTGGCAAGGGAGTTTCGGGCAGTTTGCCGCACCCCCCGTGGAGCACGACGCCAAAAACGCCTTACAAAAAGACTCTGGTGCGTTACTTTTCTAGAAAGGACACAGAGTCCAGGATCATGTGTTTGTCAACTTAGAGGCCAGAGTCGATCTTTGGGGGAGCACCCGAAGCTCTCCACGCCTCGCAATTCTCATTGAAAGCAGCCAGGTCGGCATCGTTGATGAACGCGAGCTGCTCATCGCGCCTCTCCATGAAGTCGGCGCTCAGACCACCGCTGACGTGCCATGCGATGTGGCAGTGGAACAGCCAGTTTCCGGGGTTGTCAGCACGGAACGCAACGACGAGCCAGCCGTTGCCCGGAAGCATGGTCACGTCGCGGCGGCCTGGGTTGTCCCACTGCAGCGAGGAGGACAGACCCGTGTTGAACGTGCCGGAGCCGTGGCCGAGGATCAAGAAATCGTGGCCGTGAAGGTGCATCGGGTGTGGAACAATCCGCAGGTTCTGGATCACCCAGTAGGTCCAAACATCCTTCTCGTCGACAAAGATCAGGTTTTCGCTCCGCGGGTAGCTGGTGTTGCCATCAATGACATACTGGAGCACTGGCTTGTCCCAGTTCACGTTGACGGCGCTGCTGTTGACGAACCACGTCACCGGCGTCACAGTCTGGAAGTCGATGTTGATCTGGTGTTCCGGATCGGCGGCGTCGACAAGCAATGCAGCCTCTTCGGCCTTGCGCTGGACAACGGGACCGTAGTTTGTGACATCCTGGCAGTTGGCGTTCGTTGGCTTGGGCCCGGCGACGGTGGGGTTGCTCTCCGTTGCACCCTCGTAGCGGAAAATGGCGGCTGGCAGGAGGTTCTCCGAGTTACCACACAAGCTATTTGGGAACATGGTCACGTTGAACCAGTAATTGCCTACATCCTGGTTGGCATCGATGATAACATCGTAACGCTGGCCGATACCCAAAAAGATGTTGTCGACAGTTGTGGTGGTGATGGGGACGAAGTCGGTTTGGATAATGGTGAACTCGTGTCCAACAAGCGAAACCTGGTAGTTGTTCTCGACGGACGGGTTAATAAGGCGGAGACGGTGTCGCTGACCCTTGGTGAGCTTGACGACGGCATACTCTCCCTGGGATGGATCTTTGGGGTTGATGTTGGTTCCGTTGAACAGAACATTGTCACTATGTGGCAACTCGCCTGCCATGGTTCGCAGAACAAGGTCATCGGCACTGTCGTAATAATAATCGCTGATAGGGAAAACACCGAGGTCAACTTCGTAATTGTCCGACGATGGACCATCGATCTGGATGGGTCCCCAAACACCATTCCCATACTGAGCAGAAGTGTGGGAGTGGTACCAGCTCGTGCCGTATTGCTCGGCCTTGAAAGTGTATGTGTGCGAATGGCCCGGTGGGATGGGACATTCAGTCACTCCATTAGCACCGTCGTGGATGTTGGTATGGAATTGCCGGATACCATGCCAGTGGAAAGACGTTCTATTTTGATATGTCAGTTGCAAAGCTCCTCTGCCGACAGGGCCTGGCTTACCCATTCACAGGAAGCTTGTTGGTGATAGTCACGGAGATGGTGTCACCCCATTCCGCGAACAGAGTAGGCCCCGGGTACTGGCCGTTGACGAGCTGGACATAGTCCTTGACAACGCCGTCAGGACCCTGCCATTGGGTCTCTTCAGTTACCGTCCAGCTGTACGATCTTTGACCGCCAGAAGGCGTGGACTTCTCATAGTCTGTCGTGACGTCGAACCCATCCTGCCAGCAAGTTCGGTTCTGGGGCGTGTTGCAGGTGCTTGCACGAGGTTTGAGTTCATCAACGACGGGTGCAGCCGTCACGAGGCCACTCAAAAGAAGGCTGGACACGAGGCCCTTGAAAGATAGCAAAGACTGCATACTGATTCAGACCAAGCGAAAGGCAAGAAGGACCAAGGTATACACAAGATCAGGTTGAAGTAAACGAGAGGTAAGATTGAACAAGACAAGCCAGGAAGACCGTTGCCCGAGATCTATGTTGATGATAATAGGAACCAAAAGACATCAAAATCGAGGATGGTACGGGGTCTTTATAGTCATCAGCATGACAATGGAGGCACCGGCCAACGGAGAGGAGATAGCTTCACTTGAAGCCGAACTCCGCCACCGATCATGCCATTTGCGTGGAGTTACGAACACTCCAGGATGATGGATAACAGGGCCGATGGCTCCTCACAAATTATCAGTGCAAAGGCAAGGGAGATATCTCACCAGGCGGTTGCATGAACTGGTCACCCGCAGCTAACACAAGGGTCGAGTATTCTGTCCACGAGATGGAACGAAGAAACGACCAGGCTGTTTCCCAATCGGTGGCAGCAACATGCAAGGTTCGGGCGCCGAGACAGTCATCTTGATGCTATTCTGAGACCGCTTTGGCCGACTCATAACGTGTACTGCTTACCCTAGGGCCAAAATCGATAGTTCGTGAGGCGTCGGGAATGGCAGGGTGAAAGATCGAGAGGTAACAGTCACCTCAGTATGTGCTATCGTAAGAGACTAAAGCCGTTCAGATACCAATCACAGCCGCTGACGAGACCGTGCTTTGCCAAGCATTGAGGCTTTGACCCAGAGAGGCAAGCTGAGGGTGTATATGGCTATCAGACGGCTCGCGTTCGAATACGAAGAGGAAATTGAGAAGGACCCAGGCGGCAGCCTGGTTGGGTTCAGAATCCAATACTCACCGTTCTCGTCGAATCATCGTGTGTCAGACGAGCCGAGAAACCCTGATGAAGACGTTACCGCTCGAAGCGTGGCTGATGTGAGCTCTTGAAAACCAAGCATGGGCTTTTGGTAGATGGAGCTTAATGAGAAGCACCAGGCATGGCGTTATGCAGACGCTCCTTCGTCTGTAGGGTTAGGTGGCTACACCGCAGCCCGGCTCTCCAACCCACTGGGTCCCGCGGCGCGCCCTATGATAATGAAGGTTTCGCGTGGTAGTATTGGTGTTTGAGCCTCCCGAGGACGGCTTGCATTGGTAGCGCCTGATCTGCAAGACTTGGATGGATGGCGTCAAGCCATTTGCGGCAACTGGGGCACATACGCTGCACCTGCTGGTAAAGTGACTTGCTTTGTCTGCTAAAGAACACCCGTTTCGGGCCGCCTCAGGTGCTTCGTGCTGTTAGTTCAGACGCTGGGTTCAAGTGACTCAGATGGGAAATTGGATGACTTTACAAACATGACCTGGAACTGGACTGGACGGCTGCCGCGGCTGGCTCTGCTTCTGCCTGCGTGCGCTTACAGACCTCCCCTACAGCCGCGCACAAGCAGACGATTGGCACCACATTGCCGCCAACAATTCGCCGGAGTTGATAGAAGATCCATGCATGCACCAGTGCAGCAATACGGTCTCGTTTGGGTTGAGCCTAAGCAAGGGTCGACCAGAAAAAGCTGTAGCAGAGTGGGGGCTGTCGGATTTGCGATCGGGATGACCCCTGAAACAAGAGTGGAGGAGGCTGAGCTGTTGGCCGTTGATCTGTTGATCAGCGCTGCACGGCGCGACCGGCTGACATTCTTCAGGTGAACCATTTGACGACTTGACCTCTTCAGCAGTTCAATTCGGCTCACTTGCTGTTGCTCGGAGCCGACACCTGCATGATGCAAAATTTCTCAGAAACCAAACTGCATGTTTCGTGGCGTCGCGGAACAGCAATTTACTGAATGAAGGATTACCGCCACACTGCATACGGGTCTGCAGGAACGACAACACCAAGTCCCTCGTGAGGTTCAAGCGCGATAAGGAGTGTAACCTCTACCGACCATACTGCAGCACAACATCCCGCCGGGGTTGATCCTGTTCCCATGAAAGCCCTGCATCGTTCTAGTTTGCTACACCATGTTGATGCGATGTACGGAATGTTGCCCATTCGCTGGATTTGCACAGATGCTCGTTCGCTAAATATAGTCCATTCTTCTTCAGCCCTGAAAACAGGGGCTTCATTGATTCTGTTAGCCAGCTACCATCAGCTCGGTCTCGCTAAAGCTGTCACATACGAATAGGGTAGCATCATAAGGCAGACGGGGGAGCCATGGCTAGCGCAGAAACATGCTTACTCTGCAAGAAGGTTCTTCTCTTCTTCCACACGTGTGGAAGAGTCACTGCTCGTCAGCGCGTGGCTTCAGCAGAATGAGACCCCTGGGCAGGCGTCCCTCCCGGGCACAACCTGCGAGCGTTGCGCTAGTCATCTCCCCTGATCCTGGATCATGCTATAGCCATTGCAGTCCATTATGCAACACTATCTAGAAGTTCCGAATGGCGGATGCGGGATTGCATTGCCTCAAACGACCATGCAGCAGGGCATCACTTCCGACACCTGACCATCAAAACGAAATGTGATCCATAAGATTTTTTTTGGCGGTGCAAATGTCGGTCTGTCGGTCTACCTCGTGTGTAAGCACTAATACCTCTCAAGCAAAGGTGGGAGGCATGCAGCCCCACGGCACATGTTATTGCTGGCCTACGGCACCATCCGAGCATGCAACCGTCACATTACAGAGTGTGACCCGACCATCCCGTGGTTCATTCGGGTCTTGGAAATGCTCTCTAAAACAAGTGAGTGCCACGAGACCGACCTAGCCCTGCTGCGTCGTACTTGTGGAACCCTCGGACTCGATTCAGATGTACGCTATGCCAGTTCCCGTCTGAAGGTGTTCGTCTATCAAGTCTGATGCGATGATGAGTGACATCCAAGCGTTTGGCTCAAGTAGGGCACAGGATTGCGGAATATGTTAATGAGAATTAAACTCGCCAATCACAACTCCTTACCTGTGCTCTACAAACCTCATACACCCCTGAGTGTGGCTGTCAATATGAACCAGGGCCTCAGTCAGCGAGGACTGGTATGTCAGCTGAATAGAGTCACAACCAATGACTGCTCGATCGGGATATTTCCCACATGGACACACAGCATTGATGAACGATTATTGCTGCGTCAGCCAGGGTGGTGGGAAGCGCCTGGGGTTTAAGCATATGCACCTCTTCGCCCCTGGGCTCGTCCCAGTTAGGTTTCTGGAAACTGCGGTACGTACCTAGCACTTCGCGGCCATGCACGAGTAGAGGTTGCTCGTCCCGTCTCAATATGGATAATTGCGCTGCCAATCTATCTTGACAGAGCAGATCTGCTTCATTTTGAGCACATTTCCAATGCTCGGGCGGGGCAGCACGTAGCGATGCTGAGCAGAGCCGTGTTTGATATATAAAGAGCTATTGAACTCATGGAATGTCCTAGCTTCATGTGCTTTTGCAAATGGATTTCCCATCAATCTCGCAACTTTGGACATCGGCTGTGCCCATGTCAGAATTCGACTGTAACCCCAGACGCCCAGCCAACGTTTGCAAGGCAGAGGCAATAGCTCGCATAATGTGCCAGGAGCGGTGGGAGTAGTCTTGCATACTATTGTCAAACACCAGCTTTCAACATGGGCTTAGTAGCCGCTATGCCGAATCCGCGCAATATCCACCAAGAACGAATGTTTTATTTCATGCGAAGAGAACTGAAAAGACGATACAGTGGCGCGTGTGGGATTATTCACATCCAAATTAGTCGACCTTGTGTTCCGGTACCAGCTCGTGGCTGCAGGTACAGGACGACGCGGCCGGCTTCGATGAACTGTACACTCCTTGCAGTAAGGATCGAAAATCAAGCGAACGTTCTAGTCGGTTTGAGACCAAGCACTCGCTTGCATTTCGGGACCATCTCACCCGTGCAATCTCCTTGTGCGGCTGTCTGGATTGATCTAGGTGGGCTAAAGGTGCAACCATAGGATCAGGACAATGCTCTGTGTAAGCCTCGCAAACTCAGGATTACTGAAATTTTGGCCAGTCACCAGACACGCCATGCGCTCGTCGTAAGACACCCACTCGAACCATTAAGGCGGACATCGTGTAGTGTGCCCTTTGTCTATTGGGAGTGTGCATTTCAGGGAAGATGAACAGTCTTTCAGGACCATCAAAAACCGCCATCTGACCCCGTGATACTCCAATACTGAGACAACTGACAACGTTGTACAACATCTCACAAAATTCCGGTAAGCAGAATTCAGGGTGGCTAGGACCAACTGCCCCGATTGGTGGATTATTAAAATATTGACAAAGTGCGATTCTACTTTAGACGAGCAGGGGAAGAACTACAACCCGACACAATGGGCGGCCAGGATTCAACGGGCGTCCCCGGGTATCCCGTACCCAGAAAACTGCAACATCTGGTCAGCCCGTATTGCCCATAGCAGGTGAGAATTTCCTGGAACTATTGACTTGATTTATGTCAGATCCAAAATTATCAACAAGCTCATCTCGGATATTTACGCGTGCTTGTGTCTCCCGTTACACATCATTATGCCGCTTGGGGACAGCAATATATCTCAAGCATGAGCAATCCGAATCCCCCTTCTGGAAGGGTGGTCAGACTGAAGAAGGAAATCAAACGGTTTTCTGCTGTTTGGGTAGGAATGCGCCACGCCGCTTCAACCGCCTTTTTGTCGCACAGAGAGGATCAGGTACGAGTGTGGCTGAGGCGGGTGAGTGACCTGGGTCGACACCCCGTATCGCATATGGGCCCATGCAATAAGGCAGACGTCAAGGCCGCACGACCCGATCGGTGTACGACAAGCATTGAAAACAACCCGACCCCAGGCTGTCAGCCTCATCAGGAATTTCTTGCAGGTCAGCACTTTGCGCGAGGTCAGTTCCCAGATACCCAGGTCGCACAGAAGTCGGGGTGTCGGCCCGCCAGTCAGAGCGCCGCGATGGCTGTCAGCTTACGGCACGTAGCTGCACCTGCAAATATTTAGATGTACGGTTTCCCTGGTTTCTGGCCATTCTCGCGAGGCGAAGTCGCTCTGCCAATTTGCGTACCGCAACGCTCCCTTACCTCAGCCGCTACCCAAGGACTCGTCGTGTCGTTGGATGCGTGGTTCTTTCCCTTTAGGCGCCAAAGGGCAATGCTGACATGGCCACTGATTTGCCTTGCTGCACTTTTTGCAAGACCACAGCAACAAAGGAGCAATTGATTGGAGCCCCGCTGCGCTGCCATGATCCTCCCAGACATCGTGTCTGCACATCATTGACGAGACTCCATCTCAGTGGGCCCGCCTCGAAGGTAAGTCAGATCGACTAGCGGCCGAGCTATGGGGCTGTTCGCCGCACTTCGCTTTGCGGCAGCGCGCCTATAACTGCCGACCTATTTGTCGGACGCCGATCCTTTTAGTTTGGCGCCGGTGCCTAAAGTGAACACGAGAGAGGTCGTGCGCTTCCTGATCTGCGGCTCGTATCTTGATCGGCCCAGACTTTCGGACTTTGGTTCCGGGCTCAAATCCCTCGGAATGTGCTCCTCGGCCCCGAGAACCAAGTTGCTAAGTAGAAGCTTATCTGTATGTGAGATGAAGTGGGTATGTTCCAAGATCGGAAAGGCGGTCGAATGTTTTTGATGCCGTCATCATGCTGCTTACATTCTGGTTGACTGCATCTGGTGTCTGGCATGTGACCTCAGGTGTTGTCCAACGGTGATGGCCGTTTGACTATCAAGAGTGAAAAGAATAATATTTCCCATTTCGTAAAACATATCCTCCGGACTTTCAGGCACATATGGACTTGTACATGTGAGACGAGCCTCGCAAGCTTATCGTATGTTAACTTGCACGTCTTGAACTATATTTCTCATTGACTGCAGAGCTTGACCATGTATGATAGTATCATGCACATCGTAAAGCAATAGTTTCTTGGAGGGCTATTTTAATTTTGTTGTCTTCAGTTCTATGTCGCCGTTCAAGCACGCGGGTGGTTCTCCTCATAGAGCCGCCACTCGTGCCACAACGTTACGAAGTAAGTGTATGAGTAGTTTGTTCTTGAATAGAGGCAACATAGATTTGAGTAGTTCCCGAGATTAACTGTAGAGCAAGGAGGGCCTCTTTAGACACGGCTGCACTATGTTAGCTACATTCAGCAGTTTGGCCGATTACACACACAAGAACCTGTTAAGCTCTTCGCCAGCCAGAAACGCAACACCGGTGCCGAGGTCAATTTCAACGGTAACTTAGCCACCGTGTCCATCATCCTAAGCAATCACGCCGAGGTTACTGCTGTCAACGTTGTCGATGGACCGAAGGCTACACCTCGTAAAAGGCGAGCGCTGGGAATTATGGGCCGGCCAAGGTAGTGCGTAGAATCTACCGCGGTGAAAAACTTTTATATCAAGAATAGCGCTGCCTACTACCGTCGTTAGAGTGATATTGATAAACAGAGAGTATCATCATTTGAGTATTAGAGTATCAGTCTTGTAGTATATCACGAAGTTATAAAAAAAATGGTGCCGTTGCGGCCCTGTTTCTGTCGTGTTTACTTTGCCCACTACGTGTATTCAACTGTTGAATATCCAGAACGACGACAATTTGCAACAACTTATAAGCTCTTGCTAAAATTGTAAACGTTGTACTCGCGTCGTCTGCTAGTTTTTGCTGTGGAAATAAGTTGATGATCCCAACTGTCAAATGCCGCACGTCAAACGTTTTAGCGGCCCAATGTGAGGTCGCTGTTTACGCCAAACATGCCCAAAGATGTTATACGCTAAGTGACGCGCTCTCATGAAGGCCTAATCAGGGGTGTATAAAATGAAGATGCGTGTTATCGACAGTGCCAGCAAAGAACTGACAAGCCAAGATCCGTTCTTAATGCCAGGTTATTAATTATAGCTGTAGGAACCAGGGATTACACACATTCGTACATGTCAACTCTAGACTGCAGATTGCAGAGGTCAATTACCCAAACTGTCTCCTCGTTATGAATTCGCTCAGGCTAGAACTATAGACAGAGATTTGACACGTAGCAAGATTACCTAGCTGCATAGGCGGCAGCAACCTACCTGCACCGCTCCTTTAGCTGTACCAGACGACGTTCGCCGGTCCCGTAGCCAGGTCGACGTGAGCCACGGCGGTGGCGTCGGCTCCTTCGATCTTCCAGACTTCGACAAAGTTGGAGCCCGAGTCGGTGATGGCAAAGTAGTCCTCTGCGAAGGCGGCGGGTGAGACGGCGTTGGCAGAGCCGCCACTGTTGGTCGTGGGGGTCAGGAAAAGTTGCTCCGTGATGGCGCCCGTGTCGGCATCCAGTGCGAAGGCTGAGACGTAGCCAGGCACGCCCACGGTGCGCGAGCGCGTGGCTGCCAAGAGGTACTTGGGAGATGCCGCGCTGCTGTTGTTGCTGGGGACGGAGAAGAGCACCTCATCGGCCCAGTACGAGGACGAGTTTGTGAAGCCTATTGTCCAGCCAAGGTCAGCCCAAGTTCGATCCCTGTAGTTCAGAGGGTTGGATGGATGGCGCTTACCCGAAGGGAGCAGGGAGTAGGTCGTGTTAGTGAAAGTCAGCTTCCCAGTGCACGCACTACGGCTATAGACGGCAACTGAGTTGCCGGCCTCGTAGACGACGTAGACCCATTTTCCGTTGGGGTGAGCGGCCAAGTGACGGGGATCCATGTCGTCAGCAGCGGCCAGGTACTGAATCTCTTCGATTGTGCCTGTCTCGTTATCGTACGAGTGCACCCAGACAGCGTCGCCCATGTCGTCTGCTGAGTACAAAAACCGCATATCGGGGCTCAGCGAGGTCCCGTGCACACCACCGGCGCTGCTGTAGCTGGCGTTGGCGAAAGTCGACTGCAGTATGCCTGACTCGTCCACCGAGATGGCCAGCGTTGGGCAGCCGCCGCCGTACGGGGTGCCGAAGACGGTGTAGGGCTCTGTGGTCAGGACCGAAATGAAGTTGCCATTGTTGCCTTTCTCCTAGGGGTTAGCCACGTCTCTATACCGACACGGGCCGCACGATGTGAACTCACAATCCGAAGTCAAGCTGACGTTACTAGAGTATGTCAGACCTAGATCGTCTGTGATGGCATAGCTCTGGAAGTAGCCGCTGGATGCGACGTATAAGTTCTTCTTAGCAGCCTAGACAACTTCGAGTCAAAACAGAGCCAGTGGAGGGTGCTTTTGCAATGGGGAATTTACGTCGAGAGCGATCCACTTGGAGCCGGAGCTGGCGTTGGTCGTGATGTTATTCGCGAGGGTGAGGGTAGAGGCCACATCATCGAACTCGAAACCGAAAATAGTAGAGCCGGAAAAGGCTCCCGCAAAGAAATAGTGTTGGTCGGCCAGAACGGGGCCTGCGGTGGCCGCGAGAGCGAGCAGTGTACCCGAGCGCATATTGGACGACAACCTTTTAGAGGAAGACGAGTGATTAAAACAAAGAGAATGAGAAAGGGAGATGATAGTTTCGGTATGCTGATCCAACTCGACGGCTTGGCATGGGTCCATATACTTGAGTGCCAAGACACCTTTAGGCTTACGTATCTCCCACCTGATTTGACAAGGCCTGTGTTCGAGTTAAATAATATACTTACGTGACCCTTGTGCCCAATCAATCATTTAGGAATGTGGGAGACCGTGCACTCGTACTTGCCTACAACGCACCGGGCCGCTTCACTACGTGGCCCTGTGTACGGAATACGCAGCCTGACTTTCCGTGCTGTAGGCTAGCTGCCCACGAGCCAGGGCGGCTTGATTACCATACTACTATTGACGTGCATGTCATGTTTGCCAGACCCTTAGCATGCGTGCGCCGTTGGCGCCGCCTAATGCTTGGTACTCCACCGTGCATTGGCGTTGAGTACCCAAGGTAGAAGAGAAAAATTCCAAGGCCCACTGCACAGGTAGGCGTTACTGCTCCTCTTTGAATGTTTCGTGTGTCGCACGCCACCGTATGCCCGTCGTCAAACATGGCGCGAATGGAGCCTAGCTAGCATGACATTGTTGGTACGCGGCCTTGGGCAGCTAATACCCATTGGGCTTGGAACCATCCACAGCGTTCCACTTTATGGCTTAGTGTCAACCTCTGCCGTTCCTGGACGCGAATGCCGCGGCGTAGTTATGTCCGGGAGCCGTTGACGATGACGATGCGCGGCTTGCTAGTTGGCCGGAGTCCCTGGAGCCCTCGATATCGTGCCCAGTCAACTTCTTTATATTTTCTTTTAGTTCCTCTCTTCTGCCCTGAAACTGCTCGTCAGCCCCGTGGTCCTCACCCTGGGCCACTTCGCGGACCGCGAGGGCCGGTACGACCTGTCCGTGTGCGGCAAGGCATACCTGGACGTGCACCACTGCTGAGCTTCTGTTTAGCCTTGACGGCTCGGAATAGTTGCTTGAAGACCGACAGGTTACCGGCTTCCAACATGACGTATGAAGTGGCGGAGTCGGAGTACCGTCTACATGTTGTGTTCAGAAGCACAACGGCACATAGTGGAACTCATGAAATATCCGACTCGTGGGCATTCATCAGCTGAACTCAGCACAATTGGGATCAAGTTACGGAGCTAGCCTGCTCCAACCCCACCGCCACAAGCTTCGAACGCCAGCCGGGACCTGGCTTATCAATTCCGCGAGCATTTATAGTGGTAAGTGTATAAGTTCGAGTAGGATGTTCCATAATTAATAGGCGTAAGTGTCAAACCTCATGGAAAGTAAAAACTTCGTATAAGTCTATATCTAAAAAAGTCTATTGCGAGACTAAGTGTGTACGTGATGCGTGCACCTAAGGGTGCGCTAGAATAGCTTATCGTAGATAAGATAAGAATAGAGATAAGCCACTTAAGGCCAATTCTGCTCCCCCGCAGAATTGGTGAGGGTAGCTTTCTACACATCACTTTTATGACCCTATGATCCACGTATCAGTACGAATAGAGCCGACAAAGAGACTGATCTTGCCAAGACTGAAGGTCCCGCCGTAAAGATGCGAGCGGCCCTGACTTTGAAATGTTAACGACTGCTTTAACTAATATTTAATAGTCCCCATCCACTGTCAAGTCTGGTTTAAGTTGATTCCCCAATCTTCTCCGTCTATCTGCTCCACAAAATTGATGAAATCAGCTTTAATCTCTTCAGGGAGCCGCACGTGAAGCCCTTCATTGTGCAGGCCGACACCAACTACAGGAATTATCGAGGTTAACATTGCAAGTGGTATCGGCATCTTGTCTGCTAGTGGTACCGAGCAGATTTTCCATTCGCCTATCTCCAGCATTGAAAGGCTCTGACCCTTCACATCGACAAAACTTACTCCTCCGAAATCTGGACTGCACCCGTTTTGGTCTGGAGTCTGTCTCATCAACCACCTTTCACTCTCCAATTTAAGATACCCGAAAGCGAAAGATGACCTTAGGACGTCTCCAACTCCAAAGATAGACTCCCTGCTAGAACAGTGGGAAAAGATTTGGCGTTGCTTTTCCATCTCAGACGTCATTTTATCTTTGATTCTCGATAAAACGCTGAGACGCCTATCATCTAGTTGATCTGTGCTAAATATTAGCAATTGATTTGTTTTCATAGAAGCATTGGTCGCCATACTTAATATTGTTAGTGGCAGCGTGATACCATACTTATTTCCAGCTCCTCGTTGCCAGATTGATATGGAAAAACGGGCGTGACGTTGAATAATTGATGATAGCTTTTGGAATTGAGGCCCCATATTTAACTTCCACAAGACCCAGAGCCATGGGACGGCATTGTCGTCAAATGTTTCTGATGGCTGCATACGTGAAACCCATACTTTTGCTTGCTTTATTGGTCTATGTCTCGCGCATTGGCAGTATTTGTCGGCCAGGCAAAGAAACCGCATTAAGACGTCGAAATCGATGGTTCGGGGCGGTTGGTATGTATGATAGAGTACTATCATCCTCAAAACTGAGAAAGTAGCCTCGTCATCATCGGGACCGGGGCTTTCCGGGAACCCACCGCTTTGGGCCGTCTTTGCTCTGACTTCATCATGTCCGGGTTGATCTTCATGGTCTTCGGCTTCGGAAGGCGCACGTTCTGTGCCCGAGTCGGAATCATCTGGTGTTACTTGCGGTGAGGCGAAGAGCCGAACTGGCATCGCGCACTCGACGCGATCTCCCTCGTCGATAAGTGTATGTTTTCGACACCGGCCTTGTGCCAAAGTTCTTGATCTATTACAAGCAAACGATGCAACGCTGTCGTCTTGCTGACTATAGTTATCAGGAAGCTCATTAGTTGACGGCTCCCCCACATGGAAAATGGCAAGCTGGATTTTGCATGGCAGCTCTTGTGACGAGAATTCTTGTGACGGAATACAGCTGACATTTTCAAGATTCATGGTCATGTGCCTGCACCGAGGACTGCATTGATCCACACATAGGTTCATGGCCCAAAAGACCTGTGAGTCCTCCAGGATGGAAACTCGCTCAATGCAGAACTTTCGAGTCGCAAACCGCATATCAGTCTCCCAAACGTCCAGGTTGGTCCCAGGCGGAATAAGAACAGACGAAGTGCGGTAAGGGCTAATGATGATTGGAGAGTGCGGCTCTATATCCGTTTTTTCCGCATCGGTAGCATATGCAGTAGGCTGTGCCCCTGTTAGAAAGTCCGTGAGCTCCTCTTGATCCATATGCTGAGCTTTCTCCCATTCCGACTCGGATAGAGATTCGACAACTTCTTCGATTCTAACAGCGGCTGAAACTAGATGAGGATAATCGTCGTAAATGTGGGAATCTGGAGGATCTGTCGCCGATTGATGCATCGGCGAATTGGCCGGCACCTGGACGAGTTTCCGCTCGGTACTAATCACAGTGTACTCGGTCTGATGTAGGTTATTGTGCAAAGTGTGTTGATTGATAGTGCTTGCAATGCCATGGTGCAGAGGTTCATCATTATCTCCCGAGTCGTTATCAGCATCGTGGCCGTCATCATAACTGTCTTCGATTTGTGGTAGTTGTGATGAGTCTTCAACATGACTAGATGATCCTCGGACAGTAGAGACAATGGCTTTTAGAGCCTTTCGCCTTTTGCCTTTGCTCCGCAAAAGACCCTGTGGTGTGAATCCGGGCCGGAATTTGTTCTGATTAGAGCAGTTTTGGGGTGTTACCACAGTCTCCCTGGCTTCAACGAAGCTTGATACCTCGTCGCCTGGGGACGCGCCATCATCCATATTCAACCCAAGCGGTTTTTTTCTTAGCTTTGTACTCAGGTCGATCCTGTCAAGGACAGGGCCATACTTTGCCAAATCTGCCTTGATTTCGTTAAGAAGGCTGCCTGCTTTTGATTGCCTTTGGCGCTCACTTAGCCGAAACATAAATAATTTAGGGTGCGTTGGGATAAGAAAATGTCGCCTTACCATGAACTAGAAGAATGCAGAGATGCTAGCGTAAGCGCTATGTGGAGATGATTATATGCTCGTTCCACAGACTCGACTAAGCTGGCGATGGTATCCAGATCCAAGACAAGCTTGGCCTTTTTGCGCAGGCGAACAAGAACGTTTTTCCATTTGGACAGATCATTATGCCTTTTCACCAGGATATTTGCGTCATTCGTCAGTTGCAAGACGACATCTTTGAGGTGATTGATGAGTGAGATCTCGTCTTGTTGTCCTTCAACTTTGATTGATAGGTATCTGGTATCAGCAGACTTTAGTAGGATGTTTTGGAGAACAATCTCTATCTGTATTATCGTGTTAATCAAGCATCAACCACTGGCTGCACAATTACTTACGTGTGCAACAGCTTTCAAGCCGTCACAATATCTCTGCCACTGCTTCTCTGCACCCTTAATGGTTACATACATGCGGTGGAGTTTCTGTACGAGGTCGAAGATCGTAATAGTGCTCGAAACAGCGCCGATCACTTCCATTATGGCGATGTCCAGCCCATGAAAACGAGTGATGAGTTCGTCCAGGCTTGGTACAGAGGATGCAGACGTCTGGAGTTAGCGCTTAGAGTAAGTTTCGACGAACTTGCAGTGGTTACTCCAGCAGACGCAGCGCCAACATATACTGTACAAAAGGACGCGACATATCATTCTTCGACCAACCAGAAGCCCACCACGATTTCGGTAAACTGAGATCGCCTTGTGGGAGCCCGTAGGGACGCCTGACCCGACTGCCTCATCAAAGGCATACTTCGGACCGGCCACTGAGAACTGCAGTTTCGGGGGAACCATCACACCACTTTAGGCGCATAATGTCCGGGAAACAGGGCGGCACCCTTGCAAAGTATATTGGTTGGACAGCAACGCAGAGCTCCAATGCAGCCTAAGGCTCCTGGCGGATACTAACGTTGTTACAGCCGATAACGAAATCAGTGTCGGGTGTTGATATTCATTTAATTATATACACACTGTTACGGGCTGGCTAGTGCAAGTGGTTTGTGGTGGGGGACGAGGGGTGATCCACCCCACCTTTGAATAGCAACGCCACAGCTGAGAGAGCTCTTCTTTCCTCTCTCTCCAGCTTTGGATTTTTTGCAATACTACAGGATTTGCAGCACAGCCTCGATCCCACCTGTGGTGCCGTGATAGAAATGGTTAAATTTATAAGAAAAATATGAATAAACAGTCAAAGATTCAAAAATAAGACGAATAAGATATTAAAATATAAATCTGGCTTACCACGTAGGGTGGCTCGCCACGTAGGGATGGACGTTAGAGGCATTGGGGAAAAGAAGGCGCATGCAGGCAGGGATAGCCGGGTTGCCAGGCTGCTGCGGTGTAAGGACGAAGGGCCATTGTGCCTTGCCAAGTCCTTGAATCATTTATCACAATGTTGGGGTCTAGACACATCCCATAAGGAAGCAGGAAACAACGTTTCCGAGGGATTGGCGGTGCACCAACCCCCAACACATGCAACATATTTCGACGTAATGCAGCGCGGGGTCTATTGGCGCGGCTGACTTTCAGGAAAACAGTGCGCGGAACCGAAATGAATCAAGTGGTGAGAAGACTGAGCTTGTTGCGAGAACAAAGTAAAGAGTACAAGGCTGGTTGTCAAAGGGGGTGGAATTTTTGCTGCTTTTTGTAAGGCTGGTGGAAACCTGGAATCAGAAGCGGCGACCACGCCCAGCCTTCCTGAAATGCTGCCAAACCCGGCGCGGACAACAGCATCCTCGTTTGCATAAGATATTACTAGATGATCTTGGTTTCGTCATTGGTCCTAGAATCCAGAGATGGTTCGACGAGGACCATGGGGAATCTTGAGTTGCTATTTTCAGGATTATTGAGCGAATGAAGATGTCGATTCTTTCGATAAAGACAGTAGTAACACATCCCTGCCAAGATCGAGAATTTGAATGACCAAGAAGGTTGGTTGACAAGGTCTGTAGATCACAGCCATTTGGTGCACAAAAATAAGGGATTAGAACTGGTTACGAATTCCCAAGCTGAGTCGAAAGAAGTTCACACCACCTCACGCCACTGCCAAAGCGTTCAGTTTCCTGCTGGTCCCAACCCTAGATAGAGATCCCGGAAGGTCAACTTTCATGCATTCACGACTTGACCAGGTGACGGGGACCCCACCAGATATGTACTACTAAACCCGAATCTTAGAGTCACATCTTCGTCGGTTGAGAATTTCACATGTCAGGTTGCCCTGAACACCTAGCATTACCTTCGCTCAGCTGTCCACGGCGAGAGGATGGCGTTCACCCTATCCCGACTATGTGACGGAGAGGTAGTATAAAGGGGTTGTCTCTCACGGGTAGCTCCGAAACCACATTCACTTCGCTGTTCGCGGCACCCATAATTGAGCCAGCAGACCCCAAAGCATTGAGTCGGAGCAACGATAGAGAAAAGGCACATGGGCATCAACCACCGTTTCACATTGCGCGTGCGAACGCTGGTCGGCTTGACGATATTAGGATGCGCGCCTTCGTCCGCCTCAATCTTGACTGTTCCAGTCACCTCTGGTGTTCGTGGGCAGGTTTTGGTTGATTTCTTCCCTAGACTATCACCTGCGTCTGATATTTCAAACGCCAACAAACAGTGCATCCTCTCAGCATCGTGATCCAGTATCTCTGGGCAGCTAGTCACTCCTTCATTCTTGACCCACAGGCTGATGAAGAGGTCCTAGCATCCTGACATTCTGCCCCGACACATGGGAAAAGCGCGAGATCCCGAGAGCTATCTACCACAAATCGCCTCGACCAACTGAGCCTGAAGGGTTTCATCCCAACACCACCCGACCTTCCGGCAACAACTTTTGCGGTAAACCCATTTCTCATCAGATCTCTGCATTCAGTTGTGTCTGTCTCCTGAGTTTGACGCGTCACCGACGCGACACTCGATCCTTGCCCCGCCACTTCGTGAGTCTTGCAGAAACTTGATATCAGCATTCATATCTGACGACCTCGTAGGTCAATCACCGATAGCTACCGTCATCATGTCTTCTCAAAACATCCCAACCACTGGCCAGAAGCTTGCTGGGCAGGTCAGCAAGGCGGTGAAAGCCAATAACCGAGAGGGCACTGCTCCTGCCATTGCAGCTGAACGTCCCCCCGGATACGCAGTGTTCGACCCTGAGTGCCTAGTCACTTTTTGGCCCCGCGTGCCATCGCCCACTCTCTCGCAATCAAGTGGCAAAGGGCAGCGCAATGACTGGCCCCTGGGCGCTGATGGCGCAGAGCGACCCGACTCGTCGATGGGCTACACCTCACCAGGACCCAAGACCAGAATGACTAAAGCTGCCAAATCGCCGTCTCGCATGTTCCGGGTAGTGAACTCCAACTCAAGAACCCAGAGTTCCTCCCACGATGTTCAGGCACCTCCTGCTGTCATAATTGCACCCGAACGTAGCAATATCGATGTTCCTGCTGTCGGCTCTTCTGGAAGCTTTCTCTCTTCTCTCGCCAACAAGCGAGCGGGAGGCGCGCAGAAGAAGCCCGGTTTGCTTTCCTCAATCTCTCACGGCGACTGGACAACAATCGGTTCATTCTTCAGCTCGAACCCGGTCTCACCCCAACGGCCCAAGATCAGCGCCCCCTACAACTTTCGCCATGAGGCTGGTATTGGTCCGGGTGCGTCGGTGCTCGTCAGCCGACCCAGCAACGGCAGTACTGTCCATGCCCATGACTACGCCAGTGCCAGTACCACTCCTGCCCTCAACGACAATGTCGAGAACAGCGAGCAGAGACAGTCTTCGATTGTCCTTATGGACATGAGGACTGAATCTCGCGTTGGCAACCGCACGTCGCTGCCGGTGAAAATGCCCAATGTTGTCTCTCCTATCAACAACACTGTCTTCGACACTGGCCGTAACTCCTCGGTTCACACCTCAGCGCATAGAACCTTAAGTCGCTTCCCTTCGCCTCCTAGCCCCGAGGTTGCCGTCGCTCTACCACAGGAGTCATCAGTGTCACCTAATCCTGAGAATATGAACCCAAATGCGAACAACGGCATCCGTAAGAGGGGAAATTGCTTCAAGGTGGTGAAATATCGGAAGATCCTTTGGATGATGGCTCTGGTGATACAGATCTTCGTCGCTCTGATCTGTGCATCAGCCTCGATAATAGCCTGCGAGGGATTCTCTCAAGGCACTGTCGACATTGGCTATCTCGTCTGGCTACTTCTTGCCATTGCGGGACTCATAGTCTCCCTGATTAGTATGGCGGCCTTGTATGTCCGACACCTTACCGTCCGCGTCATCCATGAAGCGCTTGGCGGCATCTTCCAAGAGATGAACCACTTCAAGATGAACACCGACCGAGTCATCTACTGGGTCTGCGCTATGATCACAGAGTTCAGTTTTCTCGGCGTCATCATGACATTCTCGATCATCATGTATGCCAACAAGACCGACAGAGACCCTCGTCGAGCTATCATCGGCATGATCGTCTGTTTGCTCCTGGTGGCAACCTTTGGTTCCCCGCTGAGTTTTCTTCGCGCCGGAAACATCGACGGCGACAGCTTGCGCCGCAGCCGCATCGAGCAGCGAGCCGAAGGCCGAGACAACGATTGGATTGAGCTGAATAGCCGGGGCCACAGTCTCCAGTCCGCTAACAGGCAGCCTGAGCCCACGAGCCGAGCTGTCAGATCAGCATCGGACGGCGCAGAGTTGCCGATGAGGTTCCTGCTAGTTGACCGCTCTGATCTGCCCGAGAACAGCGCCGCCCACCGCCAGGGTGCCATTATGCATCATCACAACGGCACCGCGGCGCCTCAGGCAGGCTCGAGGGACACACCGATGCATGGCTCGTACTCACAGCACCCACAAGGAACACCCTCTCAGAACCGACAGGCCAGCATGATTGGCCTCGCCAGGTCGGACTCCCTGTTGAAGTCGCAGCAGCGTGTTCGCCACGCCAACAAGTCTCCCAGCACTTCCTCGTCCGCCACCAGCACCACCACGGTCGAGACCTTCGAGTCGGAGGGCACCGAGAAGCCAATTATGAAGAAGCAGTCGTTCCCAGTCCGTCTGACCAAAGAAGGAGGCGAGACGACCGACGATCATATCATCTACTCGGCCGAGGCCATGTCCATGGTCTCGCTCCCTCAGCCGACGCTGTATCATCACATACCACACTCAAGATCCATGGCCGATCTCTCCACCGAGACCGCGGCGGCACCGAACCCCTCGGCGTCGTCGACCGCAATCTCAAGCTCCAACACCAAGAGCACCATCTCGTCGCTGATCGGCTCGTACGCCTCCGAGGCCGGCACTGGCGAGCCCATGACGCACTCGTACTCGCAGCAGTCGCTCGGCCGCGCCAGTGAGTGCTTCACGTCGCACCCGGTGCGCTTCGGCATGGCGACCCAGCGCGGCCAGAGCCCTACGGCGATCTTGCCGGCGTTCCAGCAGCCCATTGTCACCGAGGCCGGCACGCCCAACTCGCAGAAGAGCATCGACCGCATCGGCGACGGTGAGGGCGGCGACGCTGCTTCGAGAACCGAATGGGGTGTCCGCGATGGTATGGCCACGCGACTGGTCACCATGACGCCCATCGAGGAGCGCAGCGAGAGGGGCACGCGCGGCAGCTCGCTTTATGGCCATTGAGATCTACTCTCGGTTCTTTTTGGCATCTCGCAGTCTTGGAGTTGAGGCAACTGACCGGTGGATATGCTTCTGGTTTGCGGAGTCCGGACTCATTTTCCTCTTTGAAACGCTTGCAGGCCCCCTTTCTTTCTTTCTTCTGAGTCCTGAAAGGTTCTCTGTGATCTTTAAGATACCCCCTTTTCCCTTGTATGTTTCGTCGGCTCCCTTTCTGTGCACGATGGACTTTTTGCATTTCATGTTGTGTTTTCATAATGGCAACCAGAGGGCCTGTCTCTGGCACCGCTGATCTTGTTTCTACGGTAAATGTTGGCGTCCCAGTACTTTGACTCTCTTTTCCTGCATCACAGCAGCAGTTCTGCCAGGTCGGTTCTTTGAGAACAATATTTTGGCCTTCGAGGCACAGACTACATACGCAACGCCTTCGCAGGCATCTTCAGCTGGACAGGGTATATATGATAAGCCACATGTCCTTGACGTCGAAAGTTGATGATGTTCAGCTCGACGAGAGGTGATGACGGACATGAAATCGATGAGTTCACAAGACTCATAGGACCAAATGACTTCAGTGGCCAACAAAGATAGCGGCGTTGGAATTTGGTTTATTGGAAAGGGGTCCAGTCAAGTCAGTACTTGAGAGATGATGTGGTGGGAGTCTACATGCCTATGTAATAGGGACCTCGCTGGAACAGGGGCCAGATTCCGCTCGTGCTCACAATATTTGCACGGGTCGGAGTCTGCGGGACATATAGGAACAACCGACACTTGACTACTGGGACCTCTGCGAAAGATTTCTACGCAGAGTAGAACAACATGGTCGCAAATTGAATTCCATCTGCAGCCGTCGGACTGTGATCTACGCTGGTATCATTTCATGATGCAATTGACTGAAAACTCTGTGGTGAAAGGTACACTGGCCTGGTAGACATCAACAATGTCTAGATTGCACGTGCCGCTCTGGCACGGTTCTCCCTGTTCCGCTTCTCTTTGCTGGCCGTCTTCCTGCGCTTCTTCCACGAGCGGTTGAGGTCACCACGGTGCTCCCAGAACCACTTTTGAAACTCGCTACCCTTGGCGTCGTCCTTCTCCGTGGTCTTGGCCCCCGAAATATCAGTCATGGCTGTATCTTCTTCTCCGTGCTCTTCGTCTTCTTCCTCGTCCTCATCGGCAGCTTCCGCAGACCCTGAGCGAGGCCACAAATTGTAGGATCGGCTGGGGTGTGCAGTGTCAGGAGTGGGCGCCGCGCTCCGGACGTTTCTGAAGTCAAAGTCTTGTCTGGTGTAGGGCGTCATGGGATGCTGCTGGCTCGCAGGAGGGGCCATTCCATCGTCTTCCTCATCGATATCATCATCATCGCCCGCCCCACCAAAAAAGCTGAAAGGTTGGGCGTCCGGGGCAGCGTCGCCTGATGCATCCGCATCGCCCTGTGGGCGCTTATACAGTGCTTCCAGCGGATGCACCTTGCCAGTGGCAGGTGTGGCAGGTGGGATCTTGATGGTCAAGCTGGTGGCGGATCCCGAAGACTTCGGCCGCGCCGAATCAGCAGATTTGAGGGCAGAGATAGGGCTCTTTGGAGTTTCGGTATCTAGCTGCAGCTTTTTGGCCAAAGCTTTCTGTTTGGCGGGAGTTACGCTGGGAGTCTCCTCCTCATCGTTAGATTCGCTTTCAGACGACCCACTACTGCTTGTCTCCTCCTCGTCTTGTTGCACCGGCTTAGGCTGAGTTTTAGCCTGCTTCGAAGTTTGAGGCTCCGAAGCGTTATCCTCTTCGTCGGAGTCAGAGTCTGAGTCCGAGGAGGAGCCGCTGCTGCTCGTGTCATCGTCGTCCAATACAGGTGCCGGTGCAGGTGCAGGCATTCGGGACTCCCGTTTCTTCGTGGCCGTGGACTGCGCAAAAGAGGGTCTGCTGATCTTGACAGCCTCCTTCACATTACCCTCAGCATCAACCCAACCTTTGCCCTCCTCGAACGTCAGCGGTTCTGATGTAGACGTTTCGCCGCTCGCCTTCAAGAAGGTGGGGTACTTGGTCGTCTTCTCGAACTCGTGTACCAGAACCTGACGCGCGCCTTTCCTCTTCTTCCGCTTGTGGCCATCGTCGCCCTCCTCATCCTCATCCTTCGGAGCGGGCGGCTCTGGCGACTTGGGCATCTTCTGCTTGAACAAGCATTCGGGAGCGTTGGTGTGCTTAGATTTGATCTCCCTCTTCTTGTTCTTGTCCTTTTTCTTGTCGGCCTTGTCTTTGCTCTTGTCGCTCTTCTCCTTCCGCTTCTCCTTGATCTTGTCAGCCTCGGTGACAGTCCAACCGCGCTTGATCTTGCGGTCTTGGAGCTCCACGCCGTCGACGATCTCGCCGCCCTCGCGCTTCCGCTTGTTGGACTTGTCGGCCCTGTCCTTGGCCTTCTTCTCTTTCCTGATCCGCTTGAGCTTGGCCTTCTCGTCCTCCTCCTCGTCGGCCCCCCTGGGCTGGGGTATCGCCTCGGGCCGGGCTTGTTCTATGCGCATCTTGGAACCCTTGAGTGTGGCGCCGTGCAGCCTCTTCTTCACCTTCTCGGCGTCTGCAGTGGGCAGTTCGACGAAGCCGTAGCGCCTCTCGGGGAAGGCCTCGAGGGTGTGGTAGGATATGTTGCGAGCCTGGGGCAGCACGGCGGCGGGGATGACAACGCTGAGCAGGTCCGAGTCCAAGGGCGCGATGTGCAGTCGTGTGTATCCGTCGCTGTCAGACTGGAAGCCTTTGGGTTTCGCTGGGGAGTCTGTGGCCATGGCGCGGCTGCTAGCTTTCCATGCGAACACGATGGTCCGAGTCTGACAAGACAGCCGAGTCGGATTGTCAGCTTCTGGGCGGCTAAATTCTCTGCTGCAGCAACGAAGAAGGATCAGGACCCTTTGGACGGAAGGCCGCCATCAGATCCCATACTTTTTTCTTTGGCGACCCGCTTTTTCTTCTTTCGTCTACGGCTCCTGGGCATCTTCACCTCGGTGAGCTTCCGCAGTGCACGGACTCGGCTTGGCCCCTGTGCCCCCTGTGCCCCCTGTGCCCCCTGTACGCCCCGTACCCCTGGCCAGGCCCGGCGCCCGTATCCACTGAACTTGAGCTACATTGGACGACGACCACTGGCACCCACTGGGACCGACGTCAGTCCTTCATCCGATTCCCAGAACAACTGTGCAAGAACACCGGGTACACTGATTGGCTCTTTCACAATGGCAGCAAAAGCGTCCCCAGCCAAGTTCGTCAAGGGCGTACGACTTTTGAATACACAGAAAAGCATGTCGACCGCTTGCTGATGGGTGCACCAGGTTCTCAAGTCATTTATGGCCGAGTCCGGCTTAGAGCCGAGGTTAGTTGGTTGCCAGTCGTCCTCGTCCATCAAGCTGTGATACACACACATACGCACAAGAGTCCACGTTGCTGATTGCGCCGCCTCTAGATTGTTTGGCCCCCATGTGAGTTGAGTTCAACGGCGCATAATCGTCGCAAGCATCACACATGGCTGACCGAAGGTAGTTGCGAGTTGTCAATGCGGTCCCTGGCAAGGTAGATTTTGAGCTGGACATCACCAAGGATCACACGGTATGTAATTGGATCCCCCGGCGCAACTTGAATGTTCTCGACACGCTGACTGTCAAACTCCCCTGCAGAACCGCTTGAAGATTATTCATGGCGGTACAATAGCTAGCATGGTTGATCTCGGCGGTTCGCTGGCTGTCGCATCCATGGGGCTGTATGCTACCGGTGTTTCCACCGATCTGAACGGTGAGCTGCATGGTATCAAAGTCGCAATTCGTCCAGTATTGCTGATATTTCATAGTCACATATCTCAGCAGCGGGGGTAAAGTCGGAGACAGGCTCTCGGCAACGGCAACCTGCGACAAAAGTAAGCTGCGACAAATGCGGGCGCTGCGCTGATAGACTTCTAACCGGGTCCAGTGGGCAAGACACTCGCATACACATCCATCACGTTCCGCAACAGCAAGGGTGAACTTGCTGCCCGAGGGAGCCACACGAAGTGAGTTGACCCGGGATCCGGAGCCTCGTGATACTCCTTGTCCAGTTGTTGACCCTTCACACAGATATGTCACGCAAGCCTGGAAGTCTCAGACGGGTGAGCCCTACACACCTCCTGAAGGTGTCAGTCTCGACGACGTTGACTGATGGGCTTAATTGAGCACCTCAAGCCGAGGCGTGTCAGGCCCGCGGCTAGAGGTTCGTTTGTAAGCGACTATATAGATCAAAGAATAGAGCTCTAGCTGTTGCTAGAGGGCCTGGTGCAGCTACATGCCAGCGTGAAGAAGCCAGTTCGTCCACTCTTGTGGTAGCACCTTGCTCGTAACCCTTCAACCTGCAAACCTCTTGCGTCCAAGCCCCGGGTTCCCGTGAGAATGACGTGATATGATATGATTCCTGGAGCAGGACGAGACGACACAGCACTCGCTCTCGCCAAGTTCTAACCTACCACAGTCACCTTCACAATAAACCTCTCCAAGTCTACTTGATGACACGTTTTTCTCGGAATCGTCCGCTGTTGACCACAGGAGTCTGCTCAGAGAGTCTACATAATTTGACGGGACTCGGGCGCAGTACACAATGCAGGATTGGATTATGGCAGCCTTAGCAAAACACACCCCGCGTTAGAGAGAAGTCGTGTCTTTTGTCACGGTCTCATCATCGAAAAGATAGTCCTGTGCCACATTATTGCTGTTCGCCATGTCATGCAGCAAGTGCGAGAGTTCCCGGATCTGCGTCCCCGTGGATTGGTCTGTCAGGATTCCGCTGCCGAGAAAGTTACGGCAGATGCCGAGCGGCAGGGGTTTGAACGGATGCATATGGAAGGGAAGACTGATGTTAGAGAAACATGGATGGAGGACCGAAAATGCGCCCCTGGTGTCTGTAGCTTGAATAGCTCAGTGATGCAATGGACTTCGAGAGCCCGATGATGCCAAACACGGCCTTGAGGGCGCGATGCTGCCATGACGTGGCCAGCTCATGATAATTTTCCGCCTCATCAGATAGAGCCTTCCTTAGGCCGCTACACAGACAGAGAGTGAGTGCATGGGAGAGCATGCAAATAAACAACAGGATATGGTGGGAGCGGAGTGATGAAGGCGGATGAATGGCACGCAGAGCCTCCGTCTGCGACTCCAGCGTGGTCGATAGGGAGTTATGCTGGCGGAAGAGCCCCGGCCTCGGGATGAGAGTGTCGCAGAGGACAAGCTGTTGTCGCTTGAACATGGCAATGTTGCGAGAGAGTGTGCAGAAAGCTATTAACCCATTCATTGGCGTGTTCCAGGATTACTACCAATCCTATCAGCTGAGTTCGTACTCGCCCAGCGCCGTCGCTTGGATCCCTTCCGTAGAAACCTGCATGATTTTCATCTGGTTAACTTGTCTGAATTTTACACCGGCTCTGGTCCACTCGATTAACCATTGATTGAGCAGGGCCCCATTGTAGGCAAACTGTTCGACAAGTATGGACCCCGGTGGCTTCTGCTCATCGGCACTATCCTACACGCCTTTGGCCTCATGATGATCTCGCTCTGCAGCCAGTACTCTCAACTCATTCTCGCCCTGAGCGTCTGTAGCACCATAGGTGCTTCCTTTTTGTTTTTCACCGGCGTGACGGCTGTTTCGACCTGGTTCGTCTGCCGTCGCGCCCTTGCGATTGGGATAACGGTATGTGGCGCAAGCGTTGGCGGCGTTGTGTTCCCAATAATGGTTAGTCATCTCAGCTCAAAGGTCGGTTTTCCATGGACGATACGAGCCTGCGCATTCCTGATCCTAGCCCTGTGTATCTTTGCCAATGTCACGGTCACCTCACGCCTACAGCACTCGCCCACGCGGTTCAATCTGGACGACTTCTGGAAGTCTCTGCATGAGGCTCCCTTTGCCATGTTCACATTTGGATATTTCGTCTTCTACCTCGGTTTATTCGTGCCATACAACTTCATCATCATCCAAGCTGAGCGGTATGGCGTCTCGTCGGATTTGGCCGGATACATGGTTCCAATCCTGAATGCCGGAGAGTAAGATTCGTTTCTCCTTTCTATCTAAACCTGAGAGACTAAGATTTCTTCTTTCTAGATTGATTGGTCGTATTGCACCGAGTTGGCTTGCTGATCGATGTGGGCGCTTCAACATGATGAGTTAGTGCTATTGTGCTATATGCTAAAAAGGGAACTCTTGAGTTAACGTATGTCTCAAAAAAACAGTTATCGTGGCTTTACAGTCAGTAATATTCGTTCTTGAGTTATGGATTCCCGGTAAAAGCGTTGGCGCCATCATCGCGTTCTGTATCCTTTATGGCTTCAGCTCTGGCGCATTCATCTCACTGGTGCCCGCCATACTTGCCCAAATATCCCCGCCTGCCCAGCTCGGAGCACACCAGGGCACCTGTTCTGCCTCGATCGCAATTGCTTCCCTTGTAAGCAATCCGATAGCTGGATCTCTAGTGCTAAATACCTCAACCGACCCGTTTTGGAGGTTTCAGCTCTTTACAGGGATGCTCATGGCTGGGGGTGCGATCATGATCATTATCTCATGAGTCATTGTAGGAGGCGCTAGCTTGAAAAAGGTTGTTTGACTTCTTGAAGCGTTCAACTGCAGTGGTCATACGTATGAAGAATTGAGGAATATGCGAAGCCGTTCACGTCGATGAAGGATATGACTGGGACAAATTTTAGAGAGCCGTCGAATAAAGGTATATGATTACTCAAATTTATCTGACCACGGCTTTTAGCGGGTCGTTTGGTCCGAAAGGATAATTACTACGTCAGAGGATATTGAGCTGGAGTGGTGCTCCAGGACAGTGTTGTCCCAGATCTTCCACAACAGCCAAAGCAGTCTTTAACGTCACTACCGACGAATCTAACGTGCTTTGTCTAATGGGGCCTGACTGATCAGAAGAATAATACCTCCCATAAAGGGCACAATAAGGGTTGTCGGTCGCCAGAACGCAGGGGCCAATTATGTGGGTGAAAGGAGCGTTGTCTTGTTAGAATCCACACGCGGCAAAGACTATAGGAAATAAAACGTAACGCCACATTAAGCCACCTAAACCAAGCCACACCACCCGAGCTCAATATATAACTGGTTCTTAAGTACCGTACCTCCATATTCACGCATTTGATATTGCAATGTCCTTAAAAACACGATGGAAAAAATGGCAGAGTAAAATATAGCGTGGCATGGCGCATAGACCCAAAAACATCGACGATACACTATAGAAGTAGACACATGGAAATCCAGTTATAAGCTGAGCTACCCGATGCTGGTTTTTCGGACCAATTGCCCTCTAGCAAGCTCTATCTGCAAAGGGGCCTCATTAGGCAACCTGGACGCTTTCTGGGGTGCAAAATAACCTAATACCTTCATAGGCAGCACACTAATCGCCATCGCTGGAGACAATAAACGCATTAACCTTATCCATTAAGTTGAAACCGTTACTGCTAATTGGCTGGGAGGTGGCTTCCCCGGGGTTTGCCGATAACATCGGGGCCCGGCCCGGTTCGGAGTTTTCATACTATCATCTTTGTCCCTTGCCTTGTAGCCGTGACGTCGAGAAGATGCCAGAGATCAGTATGGTATTTCACACTTGGCCTGGGCACTGCTCTTCATGCATCCTGATATTTCAAATCTTCCTTCTTTTCTAAAAGAATCGGTCGCTAGTTCCTACTGACTCCGAAATACATTGTCCGAGAAAGCACCACTAAACCGCACTAATACTCCGTGATATCCACTTATACGAGACGCCAGGCTCCTTTATAACACCATGAGACTTATTATACGAGACGATGCGGAAGCCGCTTCAAGTTACATCGCTAATTACATAGTTGGTGCGATCACCCCCGTTCGAGTCGGTTGTGTGCTTAGCTAAGATAAACATACTGTAGCCAAGATCAACAACTTCATTCCATCAGATTCCAAGCCATGCTTCGTCCTGGGCCTACCGACGGGGAGTAGTCCTCTGGGAATCTACCGGGCCCTCGTAGCCGCACATCAGCAGGGCAAAGTGTCATTTCGGCATGTTGTGACCTTCAACATGGACGAGTACGTGGGTCTGGCACGGTCGCACCCGGAATCGTACTACTCTTTCATGCACAGCAACTTCTTTTCGCACGTCGACGTGCCGGCGGCCAACATCCACATCTTGAATGGCAATGCCGTCGATCTCGAGGCCGAGTGCGTCGCGTACGAAGACGCGATCCGCGCCGCAGGCGGCGTAGACTTGTTCCTGGGCGGAGTAGGTCACGATGGCCACATCGCCTTCAACGAGCCTGGGTCCAGTCTCGCCAGCCGCACGCGTACCAAGTCGCTGGCCTACGACACCATACTGGCCAACGCGCGCTTCTTTGGCGGCGATATCGCTGCCGTGCCTCGTATGGCGCTGACGGTGGGCGTGCAGACGATCATGGACGCGAGGGAGGTGGTCATTATCGCCACCGGGGCCGCGAAGGCCAATGCCGTCCAGGCCTCTGTTGAGGGGAGCGTCAGTCATATGTGCACATTGTCGAGCTTGCAGTTGCACCCATGCAGCATGGTCGTTGTCGATGAAGATGCGACGTTAGAATTGCGGGTCAAGACAGTCAAGGTGAGTTGGCCAAAGTTGAATTTCGAATGGCGGAAACTTCTGAGACTAATGAGATATCCAGTACTTCAAGAGCATTGAGCGGGTGATGGAGGAGCCAGGTCTTGGTCCGAAATCGCGGGTGCTGAGTAGAAGTGAGATTCTGGAATCGCCACCGCAAACACCGACTGGTAAATCAAAGTCCATCGAGTTGGATGTAGAAGAGATGGAGCTCACGCCTGACAACATGGCCTCCCGTATACCCTTGCCATTCCGCTCGTCAACGCTATGAGGGATGTTGGACTGAGTAATCATGACTGCGCCGGCTGCATTTGTGAGGAATCAGGCAGCCACATAGGGTACTCCACCTGTTGGAGGCTCGTCTGGTCGAATATGTTCCAGGGGTAGTTTGGATACGAGATTACGGGTGAAGTTGACTCCATCGATGCTTGTATGGCGGATGGGCTGGGTATATGGATACTCTCGAGGCTTCGCTCCAAACGCGTGGCCAGCTTATCGCGAAGGCTCGGTTTTGGCTCGTTGGTTTGCCGAAGCATCTTCACATGTGTATTTATGTCGTTAAGATCTTATTGCTCGTTAGCCTTGCCGCGATATATTCTCTGACATTCAACAATTTTATCAACATGGAAATTCCTTACCATCAGGCTCGCCGGCTCCCCCCTCAAGGCCTTGTATCACGATGAGTGCTGCCCATGTGATCATCACAAGGTCCCAATTGGACCAAATTGTACTATCGTTCAGATGAAGCTTCAGTGCAGCCCGTGCGGAAAGTAGCAGTTCATGTCGTTCCTTGGGTGTAGTGCTGTTCGAATACAAGTTACAGCCCCGTGCTGGATGGTAAATAGAGAGAACTAATAAGCGATGAAGGACGTATTGTCTGAATACCAACCCTCTATCTTGTTCAGTATCTTGTAGAGCTTTGGTAAACTCAGCGAGCCAATCATCGAGCTGCCTTGCCCAGTCACGGATGATTGCCCCGTCGACGGCGGTGAAGGGAATTGTCGAGTTACCCATTTCGGGCAGGTCAGATTTAAAGCAAGACCATATTGTGGGAAGGCTTCTTCCTGTGAAATGGGTTAAGCCAGTATGCATCATTCGGGAGAGCCGGTACAGCTGGTCTCGAGGTGGTATTTGCAATGCAGGAATAGGGGCTTCGATAGGTATCACAGGGCATGTCATGTGCAGGGACGAATGCTCCAAGTCAACTATCTGCACGCCGCTAAACAACTTACGCCAGCCTCCAGACCGCGTGTCGTCTTGTCGAGGGCAGTGCTCAAGGATCAACCGGTAGGCGATGGATATCCAGATTCCGGTCTCACGGGTACTGGCTTCGGTCAAAAGACCAGCCAAGACGATACCTAGCACTGTCTGGAACGCCCATTCCTCAGCCGCGGCAGGATCCTCTGGCGGTCTCCCGATTTCGCTGTCTGGCATCGCAAACTGCGCAATGGCAGTACATAAAACCTCGAAATATTCGGGTGCCATTTGGGCCATGTCTGGCTCTCCTCGCTTACTGGAGCAGTGGAGTATAGATGCCAAGAGCAAAGGGTGAGGTGATGAAAAGGTCTGCTTATCTGGCATAAAGTGCAAACCAGGCATCTTTTCGTGGAACCTGTGTGCGCGTTAGACGAACTCTGTCAGGTTCACCAAGACAGCTCAGTGTTTCAAGATGCCTACGTTGACCACAGATGCTTCACTGTGCTTCTCCGCCATATGTTGGACCCGGAAGGTTTAGGACATAGCCGTTTCAAAGGTTCAAGAGCGGTCCAAAGAATGGCCAGTGCGCTGCTCGCAGGTTCTGCCTCATCGCTACTCTCATCAGAGGCAAGGCCAGTGTCCATTTGCTCAGGTTCTTGAGATCTTGTAAACCCCAAGTACTCCTCAATAGTCTTCAGTCTTTGGAGGACATCATTGAAAGATCCGGCGTTTGCCAGATCTATCGAGGTGCCAGGCAGGACTGCCGCATTGGCGCGCGGTACATAAATACAGGCAACGTCGTTACGCTGACAACGGCGACATTTACTCCCATTGTCTGAGATACATTTCATCTTTTGCCTTCGGCAATTGACTATATCATGTTCAGCATGGTCTTAATATACTCAATTGCTCGCCGGAGCCACTAACTGCAAGCCTTGCGTGCCTTGGCTTCCCCGTGCCCTCCAGACTGTGGCCAGACCCTCGAGTCGTGAGCCTCAGCCGAGCCCACGTGACGGTTTGGCATGATGTCAAGAAGTGAGATGCTCTTGAGACTTCAATATGTTGTTCAACAAGCGTGGTGCGGCTCCACTGCAGGCGGAGCATTCAGGCGATGTCACGAAATGGCCGGCGAGGAGGTTCTGCGGGGAGGAGTAATCGACAGTGAGAGGATGGTAAAGACCGGTGATTTGTCGTCTCCCCGGAAAGCAAGAAACGGAGGCCATAGTGGCAGTTACTGACGCTGGAGTCTTGCCCATGTTATCGGGTGCCCAGTAAGTGGTTGGTCATTTCATTTCCGTGCTGTTTTGGCGCTAAACAGATAACTAGACGCGAATTAGCAGTAGCTAGTGAAGATGCCTCGGCCGTCATCGGCAATCCTGGCCTGCGGGGGAACCCACCGGCGTTATCTTGCCGATAGGTACTATGGTACAGTTACAGTAGAACCCCTAAATCGGGGTTTCGCCGATTGGAGCGCTACCTTAGGGTCTTGGGGAGACGCCGGGGTGCGCGGATTTCCCATGCTCGCGTCTGGCCGGCAATATACGGCCCTTTCGCCGGATGTGGGACGTTACCATGTTCCGGGAGCTGTCAATACAACGTTTTCGACCAAATCGAATGCCGCACTGCGCATCGTGAGCGAGATGACTTCGATGAATACTAAATCCTCTAGTCCTTATATCCTAGCTGCGGTGACCGAGATGCAGCGCAGACAGGCATACCCGTGACGATTTGTCCACGAGATTCGCCTCATCTAATCCGCCCACTTGGCGATGTCGCAAGCCAGTACTGAAACTCCTGGCTTGCTTGCCCAAGCTCGAATCATCGCTGGCGACTTCGAATTCAGCCCAGAAGATGTTGTCAAGGTTGCAGAGCACTTCGTTCAAGTGATGAGTATGTCCAATACCTGCGCGAAGTGCTTCACAGCCACTAATTGTTATAGAGGTGTCCTTGACGAACGATGGACCCAGCCAATTACCGTCATTTGTAACGAAACTGCCGCGAGGCGACGAGAAAGGCGTGTATTTTGCAGTAGATCTCGGGGGGACAAACTGCAGGGTTTGCTCCGTAACCCTGCATGGCGATTCGACCTGCACCCTGTTGCAGTCTAAACACGCAGTGCCCTCTTCGCTGAGGATCAATGCGAATTACGAACCTCTATTCGATTTCATTGCCGAGAGGATTCAAGAATTTCGGGGGGCGCATCCGGAGACGAGACAACAAGATCCAAATGAATTGGAACATGTGCTGCCAGCAGTCAACGAGAAGAGGAGGCAGCACTTTCAAAAGCTGGGCTTTACTTTCAGTTTCACTTGCGAACAGCACTCGTTAACGCGTGGCACTCTCCTCCACTGGGACAAAGGATGGAACATTCCTTCGGCGCTGGGGAAGGACCCGTGTGCCATGCTACAAGAAGCAATCGACCGCATAGATATGCCCATTGTCGTATCAGCTTTGGCCAATGACAGCGTAGGCACGCTGATGACGAGGTCGTACTCCTCGCAGGAGAAATCGCGGCCGCTCCTGGGAGCAATTTTCGGAACTGGCACCAACGCTGCCTATATCGAAAGGCTGTCAAATTGTACCAAACTGCACAACCAAGCTGAATTTCAGGACTTCGGGTCGGACGACAGGATGCTCATTAACACTGAGTGGGGATGCTTTGATAATAGTCTGGAGGTTCTCCCTAGTACCAAGTACGATCATCTCCTTGACAAGATGTCGGACCAACCTGGAGACCAAATGCTTGAGAAACGGGTTTCCGGACTGTATCTTGGGGAGTTATTAAGGCTGGCTGTATTAGACTTGGTCCAGGGAGGGTTGTTCGATATGACTGTTGACTCATCTTCTCCCTTATTTCAGCCAGGAACGTTGGACAGTTCCGTGCTGACGGCCTTGGCTGAAGATGATTCCGAACACTTCAACAGGTCACAATCTTTCCTGGGCAAACTTTTGGCAGCTGGAGGTGTATCAGAAGCCGATGCACACGCCATTCGCTTAGTATCGGTTGCAATTGCGCATCGAGCCGCGCGACTGGCTGGCGCATCTATCGCTGCTATCATCATCCAGACCCAGGTGCTACAGCCACGAAGCCCGGTGTCAACACCCATGAAAGCAAGTATTGGGGAAGAAATTCATCCATACTCCAGCACATCCAAATCTGCAACGCAAGACTTCTTACAGCTCTTCCGGCGTTTTATATGCAAGCCTCTCAAGCTCCTCAGCTTACGCGGACTACTGGGGAAATCGAGGACACCGCCAAGTCTGTCATCAGATCATCGGGTGGTACAGAACGGTAATTTAGGAGAAGATGTGATAGACATTGGAGTAGATGGTTCACTCATCGAGTTTTATCCTACTTTCCAACAGGATATTCGCGAAGCGCTGCGCGAGGTTCCAGATATTGGCGTCGAAGGTGAACAGAAGGTTCGAATCGGGCTCGTGGAGCATGCATCAGCGGTTGGAGCAGCATTAATGGCACAAGCGGCGCAAGTATAGAACATCATTTTAAGTCACATAAAAAGGCGTAGAAATTACGATGTACATTTCAATACAATGAATCCTGCTGCGCGTAGTAGTGCGAGCTTTTTGTTCCAGTCAGTTTGCTAGAATTAAACCATGCTCCTATACCTGCAGCGTCACACAGCCACTTTCAAACTGGATGGCCTCTTTACCACCATATGACCGAGACATTAGCGGAATGGTCACTTTGTTTCGACGAAATGATACCAAATGATTTGTATCCACCAAGTATTGGTCACGTAACATGTGGATGGAAGGTCTAAATTAGAAGTGCCTAGTTAGGCTTTGAAGGGATATAGTACAGGTTGCCATTCGAGTATTGAACTCATTCTCTCTGTTTGTGAATATGTAAAGATGGATCCCACTCTAGCTTAGCATTGTGACTATAATGGTATATCTAATTGTCTTGGCGTTAACTTGCGCCAGAGCAATCACGAGCATTCAATTCGTCAGTTCATGTGAATTTTATCAATCCTCCTTGGCAAGTGCGATCTTCTTCTTGTAGGCATTCTTTGCCACAAACCACCAACCAATGATCAAAATGGGCAGAGCACCAATAACCACACACGTGTAGTTCATGCTAGACACTGCAACGGGCATGCTGTATGGAAAACTGAAGAAGACAATGGCGAAAACAAGCCACGCCACAGTTACTCCGTTGACCAGGAAACCCCAACCGCCCATGTGGAACACTCCCTTGTGCATATTCTTGCGGCCGGTTGCCAGGTTAGTGACGATGGGTATCAAGTAAGCAACGTTGTTGATAGTCACGGCTGCGCCGAGCATGCTGTTGAAGGCAGTGCTGCTGCCGAGGTAAATGCAGCCCAGTGCAGCGTTTATAGCGGTCACGGCCCACTGCGCGTTGATCGGGACGCCGAACCGTTGGCTGACTTTGGCCCAGGTGGCGGAGAATGGCATAGCTCCATCTCGTGCAAAGGCCCAACAGACGCGTCCGGTTGACAGCTGTGAGGAGATCACGCAAGGGCCCAGAGCAATGAAGAGGATGAAGGTCAAGCCAAATGCGCCTCCAGCCGACTGGGTGACCTGTCGGAACAGCTCGGCAAGAGGCAGGCCAGTGGAGGTGTCGGCAAGGGCGGCATAGTCTTGCACGCTGAACATGAGTGCAATCAGGTATGTAAGACCTGTGCAGAAGGCAATGCACAGCGTGATCAAGAGAGCGAGTGGTGCATTTCGTGAGGGCTGGGTTGATCATTAGTGAGCATTCAGGCAGAAGATGATCGTAGGACGAGATCTAGACTCACATTGGGCATCTCTTCCGTGATATGTGAAATACCGTCCAGACCACCGAGACTGTACAGCGGGTTGACCAATCCAGTGATGAAGCAAATGACGTTGTTCTCCCATCCGGTGTTGTTGATCCAGGTCTTGAAGACGAAGGTAGGAGTTTGGTAGGTCGGGGCGCATGCGACCACCGTCACCAAAACGACGAACCAGCCAATCTGGAGGTAGAAGAGAGAGAACTTATTCAAGGCTGGGATCGCCTTGTTTCCAAACATTACGACCGCGGCGGTGATCAGATTCAGCCCTTGGTAGATGATGAATGTTTGCCACGTTTGCAATTCTAGATCAGTTTGGTACAGTGCGATCAGGGCAGCAAGTGTCTGCGCATAAATGAGGTTGGTAGACGCAGTGGTGAAGATCCCTATTATACAAGCGTTAGGTGGTATAGGCAGCGAGGATCACGAAGAACTTACAGCCCAAGCATGTGAACCACCCCGTCAGAAAACTCAGGAAGGCTGACATGCGCGGCGGGGCGATGGCTGCGATCCAGTGATACATGCCACCCTCAGTCGGGTAGCTTGACACGAACTCGGCGAGAGAAGCGCCCAGGAAGCATTGGAGAAAAGCCACGAGGATGAAGCCATAGATGATTGCGCCAGGACCGCCAGCATTGATCTCCGTGACTATGCCAAGGCCAAGACCGGTCCAAGAGATCGTCGTGGTCGACGCAAGACCAATCAGAGAGAGCGTGGTAAAGTGACGCTTGAGCTCCTGCGTGTGGCCTGGCTCTATAGTCAGCAAAGCATATTCTATTCAATCGCACAGACTGCAGCTTACCCATCTGAGCCAAACGCTCCTCGTCAGCGTTCATGACGCCGCCCTTTTCGTGCGTCATTTCCGTGATGGTGTTCTTGCGCTCAATTGAGTCCGACATCTTGGACACAGACCACAGCCTATATTGGCTTCACAAGACTCAGTTTGGTAACTCGAGGGTTGTGCAGATCCCGGCGGAGGTTGACACTTGGGCAGGGTGTATGTAGACTTTATCTATCACGACTCAGATGTGGTGTTTTATTTTAGTGTATCGTGCGAGTAAGACGACAATCTCGTGCCACAATCCATGCATGCATGGTATTGATAAGCTTCCCCCGACCGGACACTAATTCCCCATAGTTTCTCGACGTTGTGGTCCCGAGGCGTTGGTTGAGTATGGGACCATGAGATGGGGCCAAACGTTTCTCATGGGGTGACTGAACGCGATTGGTATCGCGTGCCCTACTGTCGGCTATTTCGCCGACTTTGCCGGGAGATTGGATTGGGGATAGCAAGTTAATTGGGTGGAGAGGTCGATTTTCCCTGCAACAACTGGTTGATGTCGGTATTGTCCGGCGACGGCTTATCGGGACCGGCCATAACGGCTAATGCTGGCGACGACTCGTGAGGAACCAGTGACCTAGTCGAATCGGCAAGCGTCCGACGGCATGGACTCAAAAGCGTTCTGGAAGTCTTTACCTGCTTCCGATCTGCGGGGTCCCGTATATCGCAGTTCGCATTAGTTCTCGATAGAATGACTGAGTGTCGAGCTGTTAGGTAGCGCTAGTCAAGCAGCCAGATACTGTCATAGGTTGCCAGCGGCTTGGTCCCGTAACTCACTTGCACGCGAGTGGGCATATATATCGGGCTGGTGAATTGTGCACATCACTGATATATATATATATGCGGCTAGCTGGTTATCTCGTGTATAGATACAGTGAAAGCTTAACGTCCTTGCAATGCCTTCTGTACGTTCGTGTGCGCTGGCAGCGCTGGCAGGGCTGTCCGCCCTCGTAACCGTTCAGGGTGCCGACCTTACTGGCAACACCAAAAACCTGTTCGATGAATCGATGACGTTTTTGGACAAGATTTACGATAGCAAGGCTGGCTACTTAAGGTACTTCTACTATCCTTTGGCCGCTTCAGCGCACGAGACACGGTCATCTGGGTGGTACGCCACAGGCCTTCTCCAACGGAACAAAGGCAACGACAGGCAAGAGGCCATCAAAATTATTAGAAATATAATCGACGGGCAGCATAAAGATCCAAAAGACGAATGGTAACGTCTCACCCTACCGAAGCAGATACAGCCTCCAACTAACATATATCGCAGGTATGGCGACTATCAGGTGTATCCGGAAGAACCCACGGTTGGCACGAAGGCTTACCCAGCAGTTGTATGTTGTTCTCAAAAACCTTGTCCACTCTTAGCGGTCCATGCTAACAGGTTCAAAAGGTTTACAGCACGTGGGATCCGAACTGGAGAGGATTTGTTGGAACCACCCTGATGGTTATTTACGAGGAATTCAGCCATATGCTGCCATGTGACCTGAAAGATTTGATGCTGGAAAGCTTGTACAACGACACAGTGGGCGATGGCTACCGGAACGGTGGTCTCGTCAAGGGAGCTCTCAACCCGTCATATACCAACCCATCGGTCATGCGTGCTGTGCAGGCCAGCTGGGTAGGTCGCAAGATGAAGGATGGCAACATGACTGCATATGGCGAAGACTACGGCTCGCAGATCATCGATCTTTTCAACATGAACAACACCCTGTCAGAGTTCAACAGCGCCGTATACAATGGAGTCTCATTGTACGCCTTGACCATGTGGGTGAAGTACCTGCCAGCGGACTCAATCCTGTACCAGAACGGAGAGCGTATGATCAAGGAGATATGGACTTCCCTAGGACAGTTCTATAACGCAAACTTGAAGAACTTGGCCGGCCCCTGGGACAGAACGTATGGGTATGACATGAATGAGTACTTCAGCATCTTGGCTTGTTACATCTGGACGATGGTTGGAAAAGAGTATGCGCCAGTCTACGATGAGGTAAGTCTTCCCCCCTTACCGGGTGGCATTGCATCAGACAGACACAGCTAACACGACAGCCAGCCCTGGACCATGGCGCACGCTGATGACTTCGAGTATGCGCCGATCATCGCTGTCCTTGCACCGTTCCATGATTCGCTGGTTCCGGAAGACGTCAAAAAGAAATTCCGCTCTTTCCCCGGCGATCACATGGTGGAGACTGCGGCCTTTGCTCCCCCAGGGGACGCCGCCGTGCGCAACATCACCTCCTGGGTAGCATCTAACCTAACAATGGGCGCCATGTCGTTCTTGGACGACCCGAAGAACTGGGACCATTCGTCGCAGTGGAATGCTGCCGTGACGCAGTGGGGTCGGTTTGATGGCTCCGTGGGCTACTTCACCCTGTACCCAACGGTGCACGCGTTGGACTCAGAGGTCGGTCAGGGATGGATGAACCTCACATACCCGCAGGGCAACTCGAGCAGCAAGTTCACTTTCGTCCTGGCGCCTAACCCTCTGGGAGCCAAGAGGGACATGAACTCTCTTGATGACATCTCGGGTCTCAACATCAAGGTCTCGGGGTCGGTCAACGCTACGCCTGCGATCACTTTCTGCGGACTGGTTGGCGGAAGCTGCAGCCCCAAGTTCGGCTTCGAGTTCTGGAATGTCACATTTACCATGCCCAATACCCCCGAGGGCGCCGCGGCTCTTCCCAATATTTTCTTGGAGATTGAGCTGGAAGAGTAGTCGAAGGTGGCGCGACGAACAGGAGAGCATGGTAAAACGGGTGGTATATCACAACATACAAGAAGTCAACTTAATTGATAATCTTAACTCCTCAACGCGACCGCACACAAAGTCCATGTTCATTTTAAGCATGAGAACTAAACATGCTCTTTAGTACAGGGCAAAGTGACGGTTGTGAATCGATGCTTCCAGGAGTTGAGTCTGATGAACAGATGTACGGTGTGGTTATCTCAGACTCTACAGTTAGGTAACTACTAAAGAGCCGGGGCCGAGGGGTTTAGAGTTCATCCGGTGTGGGCAGGGTTTGTGGGGTGCAGCATTCAAATTGGCCCTGGCCGTCTGCTCCGGGAATCCGACTCCAGTGTCTCTTAGCCTAGGTAAGGTAGAGAGACAGCGAGATTCTGATCAGATCTTCATCCATATGGATGGATGCCCTCGATGGGCCGCTTACGAAATCCTGTTGACTCCGACTGCCGTGGCCGAAGCCCAGCTGTGCCCACCTGGAGCACTGTCGCAGCCGCCAAGGACCCGCGGGGTTGAACATTTTCCCCCACGCTGGGCCCCCCAGGCCCCCTGCCGCGTCGCCTGCTAGCTCCTCCGCCCGCAACTGCCGCCACGCAATTGCATGGCAGCCCGAGGTCATTTTGCCGGTCCGCATCCATGGATACAAACATGGGTCGGATCAATCTGAGCCCAGCGGCGATCTCGAAAGTCAAAATCCGCCGTCTTCATTCATCAGTCCAAGTTTGGAGGCTATACTATACGTTGCTGTAGAACAAATATCCCCCGTCTGTTCCGTGCATTGTCGTAGCATCGCAATCAAGTCTTCGCTGGCTCAGTAGTGCTTTGCTCATCTTGCCTGCGGATTGACAATGGCAGCACTTGGTGAGTTACTAGCCCCGCCGCGGTCGCGTTGACGAAATCACCGTTTAACAGCGAGCCCTTAGCCGTCGCGTCCGCTGCTGCCACGGCAGCGGGACTGTCGTACCTAGACGCCAGGTATCACATTCGTCAAGACTGGAAGGTCATCAGCGGAAAGAAGAAGGCCGGGAAGCTGCTTCAAAAAGCCCGTAAGTGGTTTATCCTGCTCATTCCCCCACCGCCCCGAAAGGTCGCTAACGCTCGCTATACCGTTGATGCAGTCCAAGAGAAGCGCCTGTCTCCATTCTACTTCTTTGAGAAACATGCGCAACAGAAGCCAAATGCTGAGTGCATCTGGTGGAAGGGCGGCGGTTACACGTGGGGCGAAACATACCACCGTGCTAACCAGTATGCACAATTCTTCCTGAGCCATGGGGTCAAGCCTGGCGACCTTGTCGCTCTGTTTATGGCCAACAGTCCCGACTTTGTGTTCGCATGGCTTGGTCTTTTCGCCATTGGTTCTGCACCGGCTTTGATCAACCACAACCTCACCAAGGCGGCATTGCTGCATTGTCTTGGTATCAGCAACGCCCCTCTCGTCCTCGCGGATGGTAGGCCGGAACTCATGGCCAGGATCGAGGAGGTAACGGAGGAGCTGGCTCAGAAAGGAGTCCAGGTCGTCAAGCTTGACGATGTAAGGGGCGAAATCAATGCAACGAAGGGTGACAGGCCCGCGGACCAATTGAGGGAGATTGTCAAGCCAAACTCCCCCTTCGGCTTGTTCTATACCAGGTCCGGCTCCAACCCCAACTCTTTTGCTGAACTTACATTCTAATGCCATACATACAGTGGAACGACCGGCATGCCAAAAGCCTGCATCATTCCCGCAATTGCAGGATTCAACCACGGAGTCAGCGTATGTCCATTTGTGTCGGGTACTGTGCACGAAACTAACTCTTCACAGAAAGAGTGCGGGTTCTCTATCGTCCAAGGCGAAAATGAAAGATACTATGATTGCATGGTTTGTTGTGACGCCGTGATTCCTGTAGAGCCCTTCGCTAACTTTGAATCGAGCCACTGTATCACGGCACCGGAGGTATCAGTGGAATGACACAAATGCTTGTAAGTCTGACCCTTCCACCGTGAACGAAGCTAGTCTGACCCGGCAAACAGACGGGCACAACACTCTGTCTGGCCCCGAAATTCAGCGCTTCTCGCTTCTGGGACGACATTAGAGCATCCCGTGCAACATGGTTTGTTTATGTTGGTGAGACGCTGCGCTATCTACTAGCAGCGCCGCCTTCTCCACGGGACAAGGACCACAATGTCCACTCCATCTACGGCAACGGCCTACGACCTGACGTGTGGAAGAACTTCCGCGATCGTTTTGGTATCACCAGGATCCATGAGTTCTTCAACAGCACCGAGGGCATGTTGTCGCTGGAGAACCCTTCGAGAGGCGATTTCCAGGCCGAATCTGTTGGCCACCACGGATTGCTCCTGAGGAATCGGTTTCACAACGTTTACGTTCCTGTCGCGATAGACGCTGACACGGGCGACATTGCGAAAGATCCCAAGACGGGTTTCGCCCAGCGAGTTCCGTACGAGGTTGGCGGCGAGATCCTGGTAGCACAACCGAGTGCATATGCGCCACCATTCGTCGGCTACTATGGAAATGAGGAAGCGACCCAGAAGAAATTTGTTCGCAATGTCTTCAAGAAGGGTGATCTGTACTACCGGACCGGCGATGCGTTACGACGAGACTCTGATGGCAGGTGGTACTTCATGGACAGGTGAGGCAACAATTAGTATAATTGTGGAGATGCAATGGCTGACTGCTTTCCAGACTAGGTGATACCTTCAGGTGGAAGGGAGAGAATGTCTCGACGGCCGAGGTGTCAGAGGTCCTTGGACGGTATCCGGGCATCCTAGAAGCAACTGTCTATGGTATTGGACTTCCAGGTCACGATGGCAAAGCCGGAATGGCGGCGGTGTACATTGATCCGGCTTCCAAGTCATTCGACTACGATGGTCTCTTGAAGTAAGTCTTTCGCAAGCATATCTACACGTGTAACAGTGCTGACAAGGCCAGGCACGCGCGGACACACTTGCCCAAGTATGCCGTGCCCATCTTCATCCGGCAAATCAAGGAGCGATCAGCCACACACAACAACAAGCAGAACAAGGTTCCCTTGAAGAACGAAGGCATCGATCCTGCGAAGGTCAAGGGCGACCCGCTCTTCTGGATCAGCGAACATGGGAAGGGCTCCTCTTATGTGCCGTACGGGGAGAAGGACTGGGAGGCTCTGCAAGGCGGCCGAGCAAAGTTGTAGGAAACACGGCCATTGCTGCACACATATCCACCAGATAGACTTCAGAACACCTCATGCGCTGAGTGTTCGGTCCATAGTTATGGTCTCTACATTCGTGGGCTAGACCACGAAGGGCCACCTTGTAAATAAATGGGGTTTCTAGATTTTAAACAAGAGACGTATCGAAGACAACCAATTTCGGTACATTGTTAATACCCGAGGTATAGCAGGTCCCGTTGTAGGCTGACTGTAGACGAGTGAACAAACAAATAAATTTGGGGGAAGTGGATTTTTATTGGCGATAACCTTAAAGGGTAAGCAGGGGCCCAGGACCCCTAGTTTCAGTCTAGCCCTCTGCTCTCTGGGGATGATGGGGCGGGACCAGGCTCGATCCAGGGGTTCCCAGGTACAGTAGCACGCGAACGGGTGCCGAGTGGGGCGCCTCATTTCAGCCCTTCCCTTTCACGATGCATCGTCTCACCCGACTTTGTGCGCGCCGCCCGCGCTGCCGCCGGTGCTGGTGCTGGTCTTTTTCTCCCTCACCCTCGCTCATGTGAGTCGCCGGCAACCCCCAGCGCATTCCCCCCAACGACCGCCGCCGCACGAGGCGCGGCATGCCGCTCTTTACGCACGATATCTGAGTCTCTCGTTTAACTGGAGTTGGATACTCCGCCCACACTCGTTACCACCACCCCCCGAAGCGATGGGCCTCGCCACGCTCCTTTCGCTGGGGCTCGGCGCCGCGACCGCCGTGTCTCAGGTCGCGGCCGCCAGCGGCACCGTCTGGGCGACGCCGCACGACAGCTACTCGTCGTCGGTCGGCGTGCTGGGCTGCCGCATCGACACGGACCGCGTGGCCTACTGGCCCAGCTCGGTCGACTGCACCAACCTCTGCGTCTCGCTGAGCTACGAGGGCCGCTCCGTCAAGCTGCTGCGCGTCGACCAGTCCCAGGGCGCCCACGACGTCTCCTACGACGCCTGGAACTACCTGTACACGGGCTACGGCGCCACCGAGAAGCCCGCCGCCGGCGGCGCCGTCGCCATGGAGTACGAGGACCTGCACCCCTCCGAGTGCGCCGACCTCATCCACACCGACGGCGGCAAGCTGCCGCTCAGCGCCTCCAACAGCATGAACTTCCTCGCCAGCTGCCTGGCCCAGGAGGGCAGCTGGGTCTCCAAGAACTATGTGCTTTACAACATCCTGGACTCGATCTGCTCCTGGGGCTACGACGAGGAGTGCACCCTGGACTGGCCCGCCGCCAACCAGGCCAAGTGCGCGAACCCGCTCGGCACGCCGGTGACTCTGACGTCGGAGCCGGTTTACAACATTCAGTACCCTTCCGGGCAGAAAGTGCTCGCCTCGACAGGGCAGGTGGCCAGCAGCGATGCGAAGAATGGAAGCGTGAGCTTTGGGACACGACTTACGACGCCGTCCGTCATATTTGTGGGCGCAGTGACGGCAATGTTATGCCAAGCTATTTTATGTTTGATATGATTTTAGGAGGCTTTTTCTGATACCCCGGGATATAATGTTGAATTCACTTTTACTGCTTGGATTTGCGTGCCATGTTTCTCAGGAAATTTTCTGATGTGTATCAACGTAGCGTATGCCAGCCGCTACGTGTAATTCCACCCTCCACCTGTGAATGGAACCATGAAATCGTTTTGTTCTGGATCATAATACCCGTTGAACTGCATGTCAAACATGTTCGCAGGCTCGAATTCCGCATGACCCTCGAAAACCAGAGGTTCGAAAGGGTCTTTGGTCACTTGCGGTCTGCCGAGATCAACTGATTGGGCCAAGGAACTTGACGTCAGGTAGCTTTGTCCGGCCGAGGTTCGAAGGTGTTTTGACAGGCGGGCCTTCCCGCGAGTATCAGATTTTTCTGTGCTTTGCTCCAGAGGATCTGGGATCAGTGAATGGAGTGATGGTAAATGCTGGAGGTTAAGACGTTGTCCGGGGTCCAATAACCTCGGCAGGTCCCTCCTATCCTGTCCGAGCACTTGCAGTAACTGCCGCGTGTCTTCAAGGCAGCGCTCGATTCGTGGATATCTCTGTTGAAGTTTACATGCCATTTCCAGCGACTTGCTGAGAGTGGTTCGAATGTTGGAAACGCTGTGTTCCCCTTCGTGAGGCAGCAGCCGCTTGAGATGGTGTATGATTTGCGTGACCTGGTAGATGCTCACTGGAAGAAATACGTCATCAATTGGCTCGCCCAGGTCAAACCTAGAGATGTCCGACCAGACATTACATAGCCGGAGTGCGTTTTCCAAACAAGCCTTTTGGCAATAATCGATGTATTCCAAAGGAGTGCTTTCGAAGGCCTGGCTGTTTACAGACTCACGGATTCCCCGTATAAGAAAGCGGTAAAGATCGCAATGGCATTGCAACCAGCGCGTATGGAGCATGACGTACCCCGGGGCATCCTCCGAATGCATCACTAGTAGGAAAGTGTCCGGCTCGAGTTGCAGGTTCTCGGGAAGTCGCTCTACGAAACTCTGGAGCTCCCGCTCAAGGCTTTGTAGAGTCATCTTTGTGAGCACGGGGCTAGAGCCATCGCGCCGTACCCCTTTTGTGTACCTTGGGCCTCGTTTAGTAAATCATTTCCAGAGGAGGAACATGGAACAGGGACGTACCTGAGTATGCGTTCTCTGATCGCATACAATCTGATATGTTGTGCGAGAAGATCGGCTTGAAAGGTTTCGTTTCCTTCGCAGAGATCAAGATATGCAGCACTGGAAGGCAGACCGCGATGGAAGCTATGATCGTTGCATGGAAGGCGAACATACATTCGTGAGGCTGGACAGACTTCCAAGTCGTCCACTCCACCAGAGAACATGCGGTCGAGCAGGTAGATAGACCAGACCATTCGCCTTCTACACTCTTGCTCGATAGGGTGGATTTCCGGGTGCTCATAGTTCAGCCTGAGGGTGAATGCCAGTCTCGCTGCCAAGGAAATGAGGTTCCAGGCTTCTCGGACGTGGCCAGCCAGGAAATGGAACTGAACTAGGAGCAGTAGAGCCTGCAGGTATCCCACAGTCTGCTTAGCGATGGTACCCAAAATTCTCAGCTGCGCTTCGTCCACCCAAACCCTGGCGGTATCACGCTGTTCGTGCGAGCGACTGTTGAGTAGAAGACCGAGGGCACATATCAGAATCGTCAACACAGGATCCAGCTGGTCTTGGCTCCAGTCCGCCAAAATTGTGGGCTTGTGGAGGAAGACACACGACATCGCATTGACCTTGTCGAAGTACGCATCAATATACCGCTTGATGGTAAACCTATCGGATGGTGCACAATTGCTCTCCGGAGTCTGACTGTTTGGCAATGACTCGGGGAGAAACTGTTCCATCACATTATTTTTTGTCGGAGCATGGTGGTTTACTCCTTGCGTCTCCGTAACCCAGTCGCAGTGCTCACCGCGGGCGAGACATCTCTCGCAAGGGTTCATGCCCGAGCATCTCGTCTTGTGATGTCTGCATTGCTTGCAGGCATTTCTTGTGCGTCTTCTTTTCAGTCCAGTCTCTGTAAGCTGAGCCGTTGCCTCACGAGCATTTTCCGAGGGCGTGTCAGGGTGGCCACCATAAGAGCAACTCAAGCGAAGGCGAAGACATGGGCCACATCGGCTTCGATTTCTGTCACACTTGACTTTCCTTCTGCGGCATTGCCTACAGGACGCTGTGGTTTGATTGAGTTCTTGAGATTGTCTGTTATGCCACATACCCAGGCAAGTATTAGGGTGTGACTTACCTCTCAACCTTCCACCAGCCGATGCAGCCCCCACACGACTGGTAGTGGAGTCCATTGCTGTCAATGCATCATTATACTCTGCAGTCTGCTGCTCTGTCATGGATTTGAGGTGCAGGCCTGTACTGCTTCGGGAAACCGGCTCGGTCCAGGTTTAGAGGTTTTCTATGGGAATGCTAAGCCCCTCAACCCCAACTAGAGTGTGGAGATGCGGATGGCATCATTCCACGGGACATGGCAACCATGCAGCGATCCGGCAGGTAACATCAAGCTTTGCTTCGCACGTAACAAGATGGCCAAGGCTGGCATCAAAGGAGGCAGAAGCAATTATCTGGCCTATTAATTTCAAAAATTGCATGAACTCTGTCCTAGTTACTTGACCCACGATATGTAGCGGGTGCCTTCCAGAGTCAGTTGGGTATAAGTTCGTCTCGTAGGCAGACTCCCGGCTAATCACTTCCTAGGTTGCGTGCTTCAGGCCATTGAGCACACACTTGAATAACCGGCTCTGAACGGCCCCAAAGTAGATACTACGGACCACTTCTTGCTCAGTTGGCCTGTCGAAATGGAGAGAAATGTTGTGTCAAGCGGGAGTGGAGGTAACATCGGTATCGGGCACGGGCTCCACACCGACCCGATGACCGACCCGGAGCTCGACGACGAGTTCCCCAAACTGCCACTTATTTTCTTCTTCCCCGGCCGACCGCATCGAGCGTTGTCTTCTGTGAAGCACTTCATTCTGAATCCAAGTCACCATCAAAATGCGCGAGCCATACAAACGTCCACCATTGCCGTTGCCCCTTCATGTCGACTCTAAAAATGGGGGCAGCCGACCAAACTATATCATGTTCATGCCAGATCAGCTGCGCTACGACTCACTAGGTTGTACCTCCAGCGGCAGCCGTGTCGTCAAAACCCCCAATATAGATGCTTTCCGGCAAAGGGGCACGCTATTCACCAATTGCTTTACTCAGGCCTCTGTATGCTCGCAGTCCAGGTGCAGCATGTTCACCGGCACCTACCCGCACGTCAGCGGTCACCGCAGCCTGGAGAATCTGATCAAGCCCTGGGAACCAAACTTGTTCCGGAGCTTGAAAGAGAATGGCTACCACGTCGCCTGCCTCGCGCCTCGCGGCGACACCTTTGCCCCGACAGTGACGGAGCTCAGCGTGGATGAGTATGGGTTTCTAGAGACCCCTGAGTTCGTGCCCAAGTTCGCGGGTGGTCAAGAGCCAGAAGACAAGGAGGATATATGGGGCCGGCTGTTCTACAAAGGACTCCGGGACGCCAACAAGGCTATGGATTATGACGATGCGGTCGTTCGATCTGCCCTCGCATGGCTGCAATGCCCACCGGATGACAAACCATGGGTGCTGTTCATGCCGCTCCTATTTCCGCACTGTCCATTTCAGGTGGAGGAACCTTACTTCTCCATGTATGACCGAGCTCATGTACCAAGTCCTGTGTCAAACCCAGAAGCGAAGACTGGATACGAGCCGCGGTATATGAAGACCATACGCGAGCGCTATGGCACCGGCCGTGCAACGGACGAGATATGGAGGGAAGTCAAGGCGACGTACTTCGGAATGATATCTCGACTTGATGACCAGTTCGGTCGGATCATGAAACTCGTTGATGAGCTGGATTTGTGGAAAGACACAGTCACGATGTTCTTCACAGATCATGGCGAGTACCTCGGAGACCATGGGCTGATAGAGAAATGGCCATCAGGGCTTTCAGAAACGCTAGTCCACGAACCGCTAATCATCGGTGGAGCTGGGCTCCCAGAAGGGCAGACCATCGCTGCCATGACCGAGATGGTCGACTTGATTCCGACAATGCTCGAGATCTCGGGTATAGGGGAGCATTTCCCCCACAATGGTTTATCTTGGATCAAAGTATTACTGGGTAAGAGCAAAGAGCACAAACAGTATGCCTTTTCAGAAGGTGGATTCTTGACTTCCGAGGAGCCCCTACTGGAGCAGGCCCCTTATCCATACGATATTAAAGCTGGCCTGCAACACGAAGATACTACCCTCGTTGGTAAAGCTATCTCAATCAGAGACGAACAGTGGACATTCGTTTACCGCCTGTACGAGCCACCAGAACTCTACGACCGGCAACAAGATCCGGAAGAGATGCACAACCTTGCTTCCGAGCCAAATTCTAGGAAGACCATTGACAGGCTGGAAAAAGCTGTACTTAAATGGTTATTCGCAGGGAGCGACTTTCTGCCGTGGCAAAAAGATGACAGGTTCCCCAGCGTCAATCTCGAGAGTCCCAGAAAACAATTGGAGAGACGGCTAAAGAAGAGCGGGTAGCAATAGGTTATAGCCGATCTGCGTCTCCATCTGTTTCAAAAACAAGTCTTTGAATGGTGTAAAGTTTGTCTTAACTGTATTAGAAATGTTCCATGAAACTCAAAAACACCAACGTAGAGTGCGGAAACAGATTTGACGTTCTCTGTGATGGATGAAATAATCGCATGGCGGTTTCAGATGTCTTAGTAAACCCCAACTTTAACGACTACTGGCAGAGACGCCAAAAGAACATTTGATAATTTGCATTGCAATGCGCCACTACTGTTAATTGGGAGCCGAGCGTCTAGGCCATTCCCCAGTATGACCAAAAGGTCTGCAGCTATATGTCAACAATGAACGTAGGTTCAGTAATGGCTTACGGCACTTACTTGTCGTCGTCGGTAGAATTTGCCTTGGTCTTGGTGAATCTTGAAACTGACTGTTGGAGGAGAGTGCCTGATCTACTTCTAGAGTGACCTTTGTTCGATCTGTCCAAGATGTATCTCTAAAGAAATATTGCATTAGGCAGAGGAACACAATTGTAGACTCATGGTGTTTACCTCCTCGATTTCCCCCCAAGGACCGCGACCTTCAACCATATCAACATAGGATGGTTTGGGCTGACAGCGAAGCATTCGTCGAGGCTGTTCTCCTTCAGATGCTGAGTTCAGACTTGTGGCATCTGTCTTCTGACTTGATGATTTTGCCAAGCGGCTCCCAGGCAACGGTGTGGACCTTGTCGCCATAGATGTGTCGGACTTTATGACGAGTGACTTGACCATGGGGAATTGGGTACTGGGCGTGCCTGGGAAAATTTCAGTCATAATCAGGCTTGCAACCTTGTGTATCTCCGCTCACAAGTTGGGACTTCTCCCTGGGCACCTTGTGCAGAAAGAATTTCTTCGGTAGCATCCTCGACTGATGTGCTGCTCGTCAGTGCAATTCAGCAAGCATACTTGGATCCTGTTCTCAACTCTACCTTCGTATGCATAATTTTCAAATATGTAGGCTTCTGTACGAAGCTGATCGAAGTGCTCCCTGTTGAAGTGATTGAAAGCCCTCTTATATTTGAAAGGAACAAGTTCGGCGATCCGGAAGTTGCAGTTTTCTGAGTTACAGCGCAGAATGTAGAATTTCTGTGTCCCGGGAATCTTGAAGACACATTCATCTACTTCCAGCTCGTTTACTTTGATTTTCCGGTAGATCTCTGCGTATTGAGAGACCGGTGTGTGCTTCTGCACTTTAGCATCATTACTACTTTGGGGACCTGGGTAACTCACCACTAGTGGTGTCACCTTGATTTTCTTCGCATTAAGTTGATCCGTAACGGACTTAGACCTAGGTCGTTTATCCCGAGGCAGCGTTTGACCGCTTTCCGCCGCCTGATCGATAATCAAGGCGGATTCAGAGACTTCAGAGACTTCAGAGACTTCTAAGGACTTTCCACTGTCAGTCGAGGACCTTTGATCAGCCTCCGAGTTCACAACGGTCGTAGCTAAAGGAGTCATTGCCGAAGCACTGTCAATCGATGAACGTTCCCCATCCTGTGAAGGTGTACGTGGGGTTGGAGGAGAGATGCTGACAGACGTGGCCGAAGGGAGTGCAGCCATATACTTCGAGTTTATCTGGCCCGCTTCTGACAATGTAGCTTCGACTGAATCATTCTGCATCTGAAGAGACACCAATGTGTCTCTCAAGCCTTCAATCAAACTGCGCTTTTCTTCATCCAATATGATGCGTTTGGCGTCTACCTCCACAAGAAGCGCACGTATCTTGATCACCAGACCGGTCTCCAGTTCTTCGTCGTACATGGAGCACAGTTGCTGGATCTTGCTCTTGATCAGCGAAGCCGAGAACTCAGAAGCAGCTCTGTTCAAGTTGAAGCTCATCGGAGCCCCGCTCTGGTTCTGTGCTTCAGCTGCCATGTCTAGTACTTGATTTTGACCTTCAACACCTGTAAGGTGAAAATCAAGTACAGTCGTTTGGATGCAGAGTGAGATTTCCGGGTGGCTGATGCACTTGGCTTGGACTTATTGACAAGCAGGTCACCCAGGACCCCTCCTGAGCTTCGCGCGAGGCTGGATAATTGCGTTTGCTCTAGTGGCGGTACCTTGTTGGCAAGCCTGGGAGAGAAATGTAAAGACGCAGTTTTTGATCGCGTCAATACCTCAGCATAGGCATTGAAGCTTCGGCAGCCTAGAAAGCGATGATGTAAAGACAGACAGACTTGATGCCTCGAGTTTTGAGAGAGTGGAGATCAGTAAAGCGTTCACTGTCGAGATCCACGGGAGTTTCGGGGCGGGGCTACAGCGCCCAAATCAGACGGAAAGCGTGACCTAGAACACAGTCCTCAGAACCGCGTTCAGGGTTCAGGTACAACTAAGGTTTGCTAGAGCTCCGTTTCCCATGCTCCCCTTTCTTGGACATGGCGCCGGGCAGCTGCAGCATGGCTCCAACCAACCTGCTGTTCAACCAAACGATGAAACTGGATACAACCTCACTCTGGCACAGCAACTATAAATACAATTATGACTTCTTTACAATGCACGTTTAGATAGGGCCATTTCGAGTACTATAATTATAACTATACAGAATATTAGCTAACAGGCTCGTGTGTCTCAGGTGAGACGAAACAACAGCAGTGTTAACACTAGTGGCTGCATTAACATTAGCCAAGTCTCACGCTTGTAGAGCGCGAGCTTGTATAGTCTAGGCAGATTTGCCCTCGTCATACCCCAGGGGTATAACGGACATCGTCCAAGTTGTATTGCATCCGAATCTTGCTCTAGGGTTCTGTAAATGGTACGTTGGACCATCACAGATTTGCTTTTGGGTGGAGTTTTGATAATTTACATGCGCAGCTGAGTTCGAAAATTTGGTACGTGAGCCCTTCAGCGACCTCAACCGAGGACTGCAACATGTACCATTAGAAGGGCAGTGCCATGTAGTTACAGCCAGCGCCTGAACCTAAGGTGGTAGCCTATGGCACATCAAAGATGTTTGACGTCGACCTTGCGATATCTGATCACCTCCACGCCATTTTCATCCACAATTCTATGCGCCTCAACCCGATAGCCGCCAATCGCGGGCCAGATCTTCGTCCAGCAGACCCAGTAGATAGCTCCGAGGAACAGAACACCAACACCGACGACAGGGAACACGAAGTAGGGGTACCCTTCGGCGTTCCAGTCGCCATCCGGTGGTATAAATGGGACCAATGCCAGGAAGATGTTGGCTAGCAAGTAGAGAAGAGTGATGGGCAGATAAGAGTGCCAGGGGGAGGTCCAGTTTTCGGATTTCTTCCAGTGCAGGTAGATCAAACCAGCGGCCACAAAGCCATTGATCCAAGCTCCCGGATACGTGTAGAGATCGACAATAAAGTTGTACGCAGGGCCTGCTGGCGGAGCCACGAGGACGATCACCGTAACTATCCAGTGGAGGAAAAGCTTGTCGATATCAGTGACTACGAATACCCTAAATGAGCAAGAGACTTACCGCTGGTGCCGGGGCGTTGAAGGGTTTGATAGAGGCCCAGAATTTGCTAAAGGGCAAAAGACCTTCTTTCCCAAACTCTTGGTTCAGACGGGCATGAGCGAAGCTGACGGCCAACACGTTGCCTAGGTTGCTCAATGCAACAAAGACTGGTAGACTCCGAGCAGCAGCACTGTCTCCAAAAACGTTACGGAAGAAGACGCCAGCAACAATGACCTCTGATGTCGCCAAATCCTCCTTCGAGATAGCTGCGAAGTATGCCACGTTGGCAAGGATGTAGAGGATCGTCACGCCTCCAATGGCTATTGGCGCCGCGATTGCAAGTGTCTTTCGAGGGTGCCTCAGCTCGCCAATCACGTAATTGGCATTTTCCCAGCCCTTGTAACTGTAGATGATACGCAAGAGTGCTTGCGCGTAGGCATAAGCACCTCCGCCACCCCAACCATCTCCTTCGTAGAAGTTGAACGCATTATCGAAATTGTGCGGATCGGGTACCAGGCGGCGTCCAGCAAGAGCAGCAAACCCGGAGAACACTATGAGGAGTAGGATGATCACTTTGAAGATCCCCAAGACATTTACCAATCGCAAGCCCCATTTTGGCAGCGTCGCATGAAGCACGATAGCGAAAGTGACACAGACCACTCCCAAACCACGAGCTGTCCAACCATCTGGCTCGGTGCTTCCTGAGGCGAACAGGATATAGCGCCCAAAGGCCAATGAGTTGCCGGATGAGAAACCTAGTAGGATCATCTGAGAAGCCAGCACGCACGTAGCCAGATACCGAGGGTGTCGGTAGACTCGCTCAAGGTAGTTCTTTTCACCACCGGATAAGGGGATTGCAAGACCGAATTCAAGGAACACGCTCAATCCGCAAAAAGTCAAAACGCCACCTAAGACTATATGTCAGGACCGAGCACTCAGTCGTGTTGGCAGCAGGCTGTTCCTACCAATGAGCCACAACATTAGACTAACACCAACAGACCCTGTGGCTGCAAAAATGCCCGATGGTGTCGAGAAGACTAAAATGCGGGACAGGGGTTAGCGCCGGTCGCAAACTACGTATATTTGTTCGAAACTCACTTCCAGTCCCTATCATCTTGTTCAAGATCAGGAAAACGGCGCCCGTGATTCCGATTTTCCTCGAATCGTCGTAGGCCTGGACGATGTCGCCCTCCTGAGCAGTCTCGGGCGCTAATGCGACGCCGTGTACCTCATCGTCGCTGGCCAGCCCGTGGGCGTGGCGCTCGTGGATCTTCGACATGTCGCGCAGCAGAGGGCTTTCCTCTGTGATGTCGTTGTGAGGCATCTGCAGGTAAAAGAGAAGGCAGCAGCCTATTTATGGGTGGCTGGATCAAAAAGAAGTCCAGGGTTTGTGCGGCTCAGTGTAATCGCCTGGGATCGCTAACGGTGGTATTGCAGGGTGGGGTGATGTCTCGGCGTACACACGCCATCAACGGGTGTCTTGACGTGCAATGAATTGGGAACGTTACAAAGTCAGCTCCCAAGCCTGGGCAACCAAGGCTGGTTACAAGGGATATTGGACTCGTCTAGTAAATTTCAGCAAGAGGTTGCTCAAACTTGTACGTAACTTCGACCTCGCAATGGGAGTGGCGCGCTTGGCAAAATCCTGGCTCAGAACTGTACCTAGGCGTCCCAATTCAAAAAGGCAGGTGATTTAAGGTAAGACTCGGCGCGCACAGTTGTAGGATTCTTTTCGTTGGTACGTGAAATTGCTTCGAGCCTCAGTAGGGCGATGGCGTGCTTTGGGAGGTGTATTACGGCAGTTTAGAGGGTCAGAGTCGCCTGACCAATAGAAGCAACCGAATTATAGCGCCATACCCAGGTATTTTTTTAGTGAGTCAACCTATAAAAATTCCTGCTCCGAACCTATTTCGGGTGGCCTTATTCTACGCCCACGTGTGTGAAGCGTGATCTGGCTCAATTTTGGCCCTGTCTCGCTTACGTGAAGGCAGGATAGGTCTGTACTTCTGCTGTTCTGCATGTAGTGTTAGTATCTCAAGAGCTATGACGACACTGCAGTCGCAAGCTTCAATCGTCGTCATATGGCTTCGTTTCCGCGATCGCAACAACTTCCGCCTCTGCGCGCCTCCCATTGTGGTGCTATTCTGAATCCTGACCAACATGGTTGAAATGCATCGAAGGTTGGCCTGTTTAAGACCACCAGAGCCGTTGCACTGCCTACAGCAAGACACAAAAGGCGCCCATATCTCAATGACGAATTGCTAGGGCCAAACGGCGAATTGTGATGCATGGAAGGAGCGGTTACTTAACTTGCGGTTACCCGCCGCCTGTATACAGCTTGTTTACAGATAAGGTATCGCTTCGTGAAGTTCCTCCCGTAAGTGTGGCAAATGATAAGCTTTCGTCTACTAGTAGAAGTAGAAGAACTGAGCTTCTTGAGCTGCACCATCACTTCAGCTTATGCTTTCAGCTTATGTTGAACAGCAAAAACAATGCCGGAAGTAGATTATGTGCCGCTCGGGAAGACCCATAGCGAATAAAGTTGTCAACAGTCTTGGGGATGGAGCAGCAAGTTCTAAAGCATTGGAGATGGGTTACTTCAACAACAAAGTCACTTGTCAGCTGTCAGATTGATGATGCAGAGAAGCCAGCACTTAAAGCTTGGAAACGCGCCATTCCGTGCCTCTCCCGCAGCGCATACCGGATCTTTTATATGCACCTAGCTTCGATTTTCTGTAAACAATCGCGAATGAGCCGATATGACTGGTCCAGTTGGTCGCCTGCTGATATTAAAGAACAGAAGTGACATTATTGCTACTTTACTTTCGATGCCGTATGTATCTCGCTAGACTAATAGGATTCAATGACAGTCTGGAAAGTGGGTCTCTTCGACGCATGGTGCCGAGTAGCATCCATCAATAGATACCCGTTACACGTGCTGAATTCATGGACTCAAGATGGAGCTCTATGGGACATGGTGCGGAAGGTCAGGTCTATGCATTGGTCCACCCTTATTGCATGAATCTTGAGTTGGAAAGAACATCTATATTGGCTCCCCTGTGATGTCGCCAATTGCGCGATGACACCCTGTATCAAGCCAACGGCAACGATAGCATATGGGGCAGCCATACTACTTAGGTTCAACCTGGTAGCTAACAGAGAATTGGGGGCACAGATAGAAACCCCAGCCGGTATACCTTCAGCAGAATCATGTCTTCTGTACAGGACACGGAAAAAGACAAAATGCCTAACTCCTAAGTTCCTAATACTATAGAGGAGGCTTACATGTTTGGACAGAGGGTCACTCCCAGTCTCTTTTTACCAGACCTCAAAGACTAAACCGATTTCTGGCCTTTTTTTTTTCTTTTCCAAATAAGAAAAAAAAGGGACTTGGCTTATTACTCCACGCCTGCCGCGATCAAGATTTTTATAGGCTAAATTCCAAACCTTGAGCCATTTGACTTCGAACTTTAAGTAGGTGAACCGGATATATTTGTTGGGGTCACTTGTTTATTACAAATAATAAGTCATTTGATCAGGCGGTGATTACAGAGTATGGTGAAGGGCCAGTTCGGCTATTTCCCGCTGTTAGTAAGAGTACGAGAAGCCTACTCTTGAGGCATTGCTCTTGAGGCAAGCTGCTTTAATCTGCAACTGAAAGAGGCCCTCATGTTACCGATCTGACGCTAGATAGCCACCCACTATTCAGTTAACAGAAGTCGCGACAGGAGCGAAGAGGAGTCGTAACGCATCTATTTTACATGAAACTTACCATGCAGCTGGCCAGGCGTTGAGGCGAGAGGCTACGAATAAAGAATACGGGAAGTTGCAACGATGTTGTAAACGGGCAAACTATCGTAGACTATATTCACCTATCGAAGCCAAAAGGTCTATTTTAACAGTAGAGAGAGTCGAGAAGCGGCTCGAGGAGAGCATGTGGCTATAATTCTGTCACAATAGTGGACAATGATCCAACAGAGATTCGTCTTTGTGAGACTCCTGAATGGTCATTGTCCACGGAGAAAACCTGGAATAACACGAAGTTCCAGCGCTTTCATTTGAGCAGAATCACTAATTGGATTTGCAGGTCTGGTCAATGGAAGGAGCAATACGCAATGGATAACCAGATGGCGCACCTGAGAAAGCCAGCTATTACAGAACATGATACAGCATCCACAGCCTCCTTGAGGTTCATGAGGCTGGGATTCACCCAGACGATGAAAGGACTGCAAAAGTGGCTGTAGGAGGCCTCCAAATCCTGTTTTTTCTCGGTGAGTGTACGGGGCGTATATGCACTATGACATACTCTCCTCCAGGCAGAAGCAAGGCTGTACCATCACTAACCTATCATAGGAGCTAGATAACAGAATTTAGGGCAATCCTTCAGCCACGTTCTCTCTCGATCGAATAGGACCATGGCCTGTCGACGCCTATCTACTCCCTTAAATGTTGTCGTTCTGAAACACCCAATTGAGATCATGCCAGCACCACCACTAATTTCAGAAGCACCATTCATCTTGAGCAGACGTGTGATCACAATAATAAGAGCTTCAGGCCACACCTGGGTGTTTTTGGTTTTGCAGTATCGAATTTCTGCGTAAATCCACGTCTGACTTTCGCATTTCAATAATCAGACATAGCAGTATTTTAGCTCAGGGAGATGCCTAGTCATATATACAAGTGCAGCAAGATCCTTACTCATAGCGTCTTTCGGCCTCCGACTGTGCCAAGATATCCCTACCCTCTCGACTCAACCTGCTTTCCAGATAATTGGGCATGAATGCGACGCAGGCTCATAGGCCAAGGGGGCTTGGTCCTGAGGAAGAAAAGTCGAACAATGTACCGAGAGACGACGGCGACGGTGGGAAAGACATAGAGGAAGGACTAGAAGTCGACTACGCAGATGGCGGTATAGAAGTAATTAATGCGCATGCGGGAATGGAGGTTCACCGCAACCCTGAATACTACCGTAGGCCTTCGATACCTGTTTCCGCTCTCACTGAGCTGCCGAGCAGACGATTCTCGGACGAAGTTGGGGACGTGTCACACCCTGAACCAAGAGTGTGCGGCATTGGAAAACAATGGTTTTGGGCCCTGGTAGTATTGGTGATTTTCATCGTCGGTGCCCTCATCGGGGGACTGGTTGGAGGCTTGAAGAAGCGAGATACGCCTTCTTCTGCGCCCGTGTCCTCCCTATCATCTAACCTGGCGGCAGTCAACTGGACCACGGCTGAAAACACGACCAGCTATGTCATCTTCACACAGGAAGCCGACCTGTCTCTGATGGCGTATTTCGGAGACACAAAATCATGGAGAAGAGTTAACATCAGCGAAAAATTTCAAGACATTGGCAGCTTGGCCGTTGGAGCTGCCACTCCACTGGCCGCCGTGGCCATGGCTGACCCCATTAACACTACATACCGCGAAGCAAATTATCTGAGCCTGTTTTTCGTGACGCCTGAGAATTGGATAACACAGATCGTCACAAACGACACTGAATTACAAGATTGGCACTGGGGCAGTATTGGAAGTCACAGCGACGTCAGCATCACCGTAGCATCGGGATCGAAGTTGGCCGCGACTTGGGTGCGGTGTAATAACTCGACTCTCTGTAGCAGTGGATGTGTATCTCTGAGCTTTGAAGATGAGCAGCAGAACTATATTGTGGTCAATTCGACTTATCATTGGTCCACGACCTTGGCCAACAAGAGATTGGCAAGGAACTCCAGTATGGCCATGATATCTATGAATGATCAAGTACTCGGTAATGACTCGGATTATGCGTGGGCATTCTACAGCACCAACGGAATTGTCAGCTCTACCTGGCAGGATTATCAAAGCCACACCTGGTGGTGGACCGATCTAGGTGAGTCGTTCCCAATACCCCGTTGACGATCTGAACCCAGTGCCCACCGTTTCTTCGGTGGCCTAACGTTGTCATTCAGGCCGAAACATTCTATCTGACATGCAACCTACCACTCTACAGCAATTCGCCGCAACATCATTCAGAGATAGAAAACACGCTTTCCTTGGTGCTCTGTATTCCAATGGCAGTATTGTCGGAAAGCATTATGACCCCGACTTGGAGAATTGGCATATTCAGGCAGAAATCAAGTTGGTGGACAGTCCTCCCACCAACTTTTCGACCATTGCCATGACAGCAGACGCGAGACTATATGGAATCTCCAATGGGACAATTCAGGAGTACCAAATGGATGTCGACGATCCTTATACCTTTCAATGGCTTGGTGGTGTCCAATAATAGCTTGAATACATATAAGAAGTGCCAGGCGTAGGACGTGTTGTAGTTATGTGAAAATGACCGCGCAACCCCATTTATATAATATGATCGGTAATTATCAACTACTATTCAGTTTCCTCTTTGTTCGAGAATTCTCACAATCAACTCTAATCGTTATTCATTTAGTCTTATGCATAGAGCTTCTATGACTGTACTCTCCAGCCATCGACAACATCATACAGCGTCTCGTTGGAGCCGACATTTCCTGGGAAAACCACGTATGGTAGGCCAGGCCATTTTGCGGATGGCTCGTCGCATCTCCAAAGAGGTACCCCGGGCGCAGCCTGTCCGACAATCATGGCGCGCTTCATCCTTAGGCCCTTAGTAGCCATGTCTGACGATGTGATGCCGCCTTTTGCAATTACATAGCGTGGTTTGGTCTTCAGGTCGACCAAAAATGAAACCAGTGTCTTAGCAACTGTTGCGCCAATGTCCAGACTCTTCGCCTCATCTTCGCCAGTAATCAATTCCCGGCTCGTCATTATCAATACATCTTGGCCACGCCCAATCTCTCTTTCCGCTATTTCGGTAGCCTTGGCGATTTCTCCCTTCGCGGCATCCTCGGACTGGAGAAGCCGACGCACGTCGATTACGATATCAGTGAGGTCATTGCCGCTTTTGGTTCGCAAAACTTCAAGTTGCGCCGTTGTTTTTGGCACGTAGGAACCAGCGATGACCAGGCCACCGACAGCACCCGACATACGCAATTGCTTGGCTGATATTGGTGGGATAGGGGCAATGCCTAATCGAGCAGACACAAATGCGGCACCTGTTCGGAATAAGTATCGCTTTCCTTCACTCGCAGCCCTAAGCAATGCAAGGATAACCACGTCGACATCTTCCTCCGCCGCTGCGTTGACCACGACCACAGTTCCCTTCTCAACGGCCTTCAATTGGTCAAGAACCTTTTCCGTGCCACCCATTCTGATAATTTCCAGGCTTAGACTGGTGACTTTCTCAGCGGGTATCTGACCTTTACTCTTCTCCACCACATACTCCCTCAAATTCGAGCTCTTATAGCCAAACGTCGCATCCTTTGCAAACGGGGTCTGGGCGGCGGGGACTAAGACGTCTCCCTCAGCAACGTAATGCACATCTTCCAAGGTATAGCGTCCGCCCTGCAAAAAGAACGGACACAGTAGCCACGCGTCAGCGACACCGAGGACTTCTTCTGCAGCTTCAGCCTCGAGTGGGAAATGTCCCCGTAAAGTGGAATCGCCTCGGAGGACAACTTCGAAGGGCGTGTCCGTCTCGGCAGATGCGGCCTTCAAGTTTGCACATATCTCTCTGATGAGGGCCCGTGCCGGTCCCGGGTGGAACGCCCGCGAGTTGGTGAGGATAAAGAAGCCGCCGCCAGGTTTCGTAGCGCGGAATTCGGATACCAGTGTCTCCGTGTCCCATACGGTGAGGACTGGAATGTCATGGCATGTCTGTGTGCCCGTTGGGTCGTCGTCCAGAGCGACGAGAATCGGTATCTTCGAACTCGGATCAGCTAAAAGCGTCTGCACCCGCTCCCTGAGGTTCGAGGACGGAGGCGGCGGAAGACCGGCCAGCGTCGGCTTGAGTTGTAGGCTTCCGGGTGCTGCCATTATTGTAGATGTGAACTCAGTATACCTGGGGGGTCCACAAGCAATTGATCTTTCAATCCATTGACATCTTCCGGTCTTATTCAGTTTGTCCTTATGCACATCACCGTGGGGCTTTGTCGACAATGGTGAGTGTGCCCCACCGGACATGCCCCGCGATGTCGGGATCTTCTCCGGGTCGCCGGACTGCTCTCCGAAAACCGGGGGTGCATGCCGGCAGCAGCCCCTTAGCCGACCTGTTGAACGGATCCGCCAATTTGTCGGATATGGGTTCGATCTGAGACGTCTCAATGTCCTCCAATGGCTGTCAGAGCGCATACCTCCGGGCCGATTGAGTAAGACATTGCAAGAGCCCACCAACGGGATAGGCTGAGCTACGTGGCTGAGTATCTCGGACGAGTGTGACTCGACCAATCATTGAATCTCGGCTTACAGGCCATCGTTCACCATCTTGAGACTGGTTGTTGTCTCATAGGTTTGGGTGCGACGCATGAAGGTGCGGGCCGTCCCGTTTCTTCCAGCCCTAAACGATAACACGCCACGGCCTTTTTCTGCATGCATGTTCGCACCGGAAGCAAATCAGTGTAGTTTGTGATAAACGAGAATTATCAGTAGCATCATCAATGGTTGATGGGCCAAGAACTCCGAAAACACCCTCTTATTTTGTGCGTGGCCATAGGCTCCAACTGCACATAGCTATACCATAATATGCCCATTGCGGACAATATACAAACAGGCATGTAAGCAGGGATATATTGCCATTTTTGTAACCAGAAGAACTATTTAGAGACCGGAGAATTATGCAGAGAATCTTGCAAAACGTGTGCGTAGAATGTGCTTTGGCATATGAAGATATAATACACGTTTCAGCCGTCGACCAAATTTGCGACACTGGCATTGCAAGCAACAGGACTGAACGCAGCGAATTGCATCCGCGTAGAGAGAAGATGAGCAAAGACCGCCAGCCCCCTTTGTTCATGTCTGCTATGCCCAGGAGGTCGTCTGGAATAGTGTTCAGCGTTCGATAGCTGAGCGCAATCCGACGACTGAAGCGCATCATGCGCGTGTTTGCATGTGACGACACTACTCACCTACACGCTCGATGAATTAGAAAATCTTCCTTCCCGCATAAATGTGTCGATACCCGGCGTCTGCGTAGGAGGCATAACGGGTGGCGGGATGGCACCTGCGGCTTCTTATCCTATAGTCACCACTTCATTAGCACATGACTACCCGCAATGGAAGGGAGTTCCAGACGGGACGGAGTCTGCCATTGAATTTCTTCAGGTCAACTACCAGTTTGGGTAGCAAATATCCCAGCTGTTATCGTGCCTTCACGGCCAGCCTAGCCTTGCCCAGCAGGGTCGGTCGTACCTTCTCATAGGAGGATGGGTCGTTCCCACCGCTATGTCATTGAAGTGTCTCGGAAAGAGTGAACGATCAAGTACGAGGAGAAGTAAGTAACCACGGATTACTTGCTTCGTCTGTTGCTAAGCCATTCTATAGATCTTCGGACCACCTGCTTTTGCTCCAGACTACATATCATTGAATCAGCTGAGTTGTCTCTATTGACAGAATAGACCACTCAGGAACAATCTCCTCTTCCGTGGTGAAATCGAACATCATTTAATCTGCACTGGCAGTCGTCATGCCCGTTTCCAACCTAGGACCCAGATTCCGGAGCGATTCTCTAAATAAGAGTCCTTCGCGTGTCAGGAGCACTACCTCTGTCAAGCCAGGAACTATCGAAAAGCGCCGTCATCAGAAACGCCCTCCAATCTATCACGCATTCCTTGAGAATAGCTTGGCCGTGAAGGGTCCAGAGGCCAACGGTTCCCGCCAAGCTCAAGCCGATCATGGAGCCGTTCAAAGGGCCGTTTCCCCTGCCAAAACACAGGAAACAAGTTTGAATGGTCACCATTCCCCATCCGCGAGGGAGAACCAGAGTACCGAACAGAATCCTAAGAACGCTACAGTTAACGGCAGTCATCGAAACCTCGCCTCCAAGGGCAATGATCCATTCATATACTCGCCACCTGCTTCTGAGCCGTTCTTCAGACGATCAGCTTACAAGATTCAAAACTTCCCTGATGACGTGCGAGATAAACTATCAAATCTGTGGAAGCTCAAGTCATTGGGAGAGCCGATGGACTTTGTGGAAGTTCAGTTCTCCGACACAGCTGTAACTCCTTGGGGCAAGCAAGTGACTGAAACTCTGATCGACAATCTCCGCGAGTACGAGGCTGAACGCAAGAGACTACAGGACTCTGATCAGCTTGAAGGAGCTGCAGAGCTTGAGCTGAATGACAATCTCTACTACTCGTACAGCAGGCTTTCCACGGCCTCGTTGCGATATTCCGTGGTAGTCCTCATGGAACGGACGCTCAGGGGGGACCTGCATGATTTTCAAATGCTTCAGCTCGAGCGATATATGACATTGTATGGCGCCTACACCTTCACAGATGGCCAGATTTCGCTGCCCGAACTGCACGCAGACTTCTGGGTATGGGCCGCAGACCGCAAATGTCGTTGGAAAGCAGCCTTGTATCAGGCCCCCGGACTCGGTTGGGACACCATGCCAGCGAAACTTCGGGATCTCCATAAGCTCATCCTGGAAAAGCCTGCCGATTGTACAGCACTATTCCAGTATGTCAACCGTTTCAGTGGGGACCCCATTATTGCAGGCGATGATGACGATAGCTCAACAATGATCACCAAGAAGCAAGCTCTGGAGGATCTCAACATGATCACAAACAGATTCCCGCCTCAATATTCACACCTGATCCCACACTTCCGTGTCGCCATCGGCTCCTGCATTGAGGCCAACTTCTGGGGCTTCTACACAGACTGTGTTGATCCTGACTTCAGAAACAAGGTCGACGCCTCCAGCAACTTCGTTGACCGCCAAAGCCCGAAGAAGGCTTGCGAGACGCCTAATGCGACCGCGGATATCCCGACTCTCCGTTCGAGCCCCAACGGCAACGGCAAGCGTAGTCCTACGATTGATGATGGCGCAACAGCAAGTGACACTGATGAGGTGTCTTATTCAAGCGAAGACGACAATGAGTTGGCGACGTCGTCCATGGCCAGCAACGAAACTGTCAAGATGCTACCAAGGAACTTCTAAGCCAAACAAGTGCAGATGACTTGCTGTGGCCTTCAGGCAGCACATGTTGGTCATTCAATGACAAGTGGTCAGGCGAGCAAGAATAATCCCAGATTGCCTCTTGGCTGGGAAGCGAGTGGGATGGCTGCTGAAAGCCGAATTGGGCTTTTGACATCGTATGGATTACAACTGTTCCTAATGCACTGGTGTTAGCGCGGAGGCGGGACGATATACCGAAGCAGCCGGGTATTCTTTCTTTCTTTCTTTGTTCTGATTTGCGCTTGACTCAAGAGGCGCCTTTCCACGCACCAAGTTAGTCGAGTGATGTTTTCGGTTGTCAGGTCTCTAGCCAATACTTTCCGCGTTGGTAATACGGACGACCACTGGAGGTGCTGTCTGTGACGCTGTCACCCGTTTGGCTCCTTCATTTTTAGCCTCCAATTCGCAACTAAATAAATGAGTTCCACTATATCAAGCGACCTACTTCACCGGATTGAACGGGTGCGCGGGTGATATGGAAGTTTTCGTGAAAAACCTAGGTGGTTGCAGCTTGCCAGCAACTAGCGGCCACCGTAACAGTCACACTTGTAAGGGCTAATTTGTCATCAGCCTTGGGCGCTCGACGGAGTTAACGCCAAAGAAAGGTATCCGTCTAGAGCACTGGATCCATCCAAATGCATCTTGAAATTGAAATGGCTCATCGGCACTCAGCTGCATCGTATTTACATTGTAAGTCATCAAATTACACCACCAATGCAACATTGACCCCATCATATAGTGTGGGCGTCCACCTCGGGACGACGCCAGGCCCTGCCCAAATATCTAGGTAAGCCGCTTGCTCAGCCTCAGACACGACCCTGACTGGTGGCAATTTGACGTTTCGCGGGAGGAATCAAGGTTATATGTCTTCCCCTGCTTTGCATCTACGAGAACCCGGCGATCAGGTTCAGGTGGAGGACGACTTATTTCGTGAAAAAGGGCAATCCCTGCACCTTGACAGGCCCTACCAAGCCAGGTACGGAAATCTCTCCTTCGCGTATCTGATTGGTTGAATAGGCTGAAGGGCTTGGCTTTGCTGGGCCGTACGACAGTTACCAATCATGACCCTGGCCTCAATTGTTTCATTCAATCAGCAGCTTGTATCCTCTGGTAGGTCAGCTTGAGAACAGCTACGTCATAGACAGTTTCGCATGCTCCGCGACGCAGCTAAGGTTCATAATGGCATCTGCACGCGGATTTTGACGCGATATGCAATTTTCTTCATCGTAATTTTGCACATCCAGAAGGAGGGTTCCGCATGGGGGCCCGTTGCCGGTTCAGTCGGCGGTTTAGAAATACGCCAGGCGATGGAGTGAGTAGAAGCGGGAGGAGCAAAAGCTCCTCTCCTCATTTTTGAGTTTGCACAGCGCGTGGATCTTGCTTGTAAGTCGCGAGCAGATCACCAGCCGGCGGGTGCCAACCCACAAAAATCCCGTGTCAAGCGAGCCCCCCCGTGTCCCCTCACCTCGGTCGATCACTTACTGAAAGGGGCCCGACGTTGGAGCGAGAAAATCAGGATATGGGAGATGCAGGGTCTCACCCATGGCCAAACAGAATTGTCCATCCTTTTTGCCATGCAGAATTTCCATGCACCTCTCACACTCTTCCATGCCCGCCCCTCTTTAGAACCCGAAGCGCATTGCCTTCCTTGGCCCACGACACGCGTCATTGGGCTAGGCGCCTATGCGAACTGGGCACCTGTTGCTGGTGTTCTCTGTGTGAGAATCCCAAACTTCCCTCACAACTGAGACGGCGACGTTTGTATCGTGTGTCTTGTGTTGTCTAATCCCGTAGTGTATGCTATTTGCACGTGTGTAGTTATTCCACCTCGAGAGGCGCTAATCCTGACCCAACCCTTCCCTGTGGTAGGGCTGGGGCTCAGCTCGTCCAGTTCAAATGTTACCGGCAGGCTGGCGCGCGCTCATCAATTCTACACTTCTAGAACTCTCGGCCCGCCCCATTCAATATCTCATGAATGACACCGACTGGTTGGCGCGGTTTGGCTTTGTTATGCCTCTTAGATCTCTCAGCTCTCGTCCAATTCAATGCCTCTGAAATGTCACCGCCCGGCTCATCGGTGATAGTCAGGTGAATCAGATGTTTCAAGGCCTCTGACGCTAGCACCGCGCGCCAGTCGCTTTCACGTTAGCTCCAGGCCTTGTCGACCTGCAATAGGGTCTCTTTCAGCCCCCAGCGCCGCGCATCGACCGTTTTACAGCAAGAATCACGATCTTGGGTTCCGGCGCCGAACATGGGCTGATCTTGATCGATACAAGCCCCATAAAAGCATTTACCATTCGGCAAGTTCCCTCGGGCGCTCAAGTGCCTCTTAGCAGTGAGAACCTGGCTCGCATCGGAACAATCTATAAGGCGGCATGCACGTTGCATGTCTCGAACTCCAGTACCGGGAGCACTTCGTTCAGCCTGGTACGGGTATTAGTGGTCGGGTTCTTACGGACAATGACCGTCCCTCTCTGGATTTCTGCCTTGTCTCGTTTTTTTTCCTTTGCTGTGGTATGGATGCCCAAGAGCGAAAGCCCAGGCGATGCTCGTTCCAAAAAGAAACCCGTAGGAAGCAGGCCGTGCGCTGCTCTGTTGCTGATCAATGGGCTCGAGCTACTATGTATTTGCGGCCTGGAGGTTATGTATCATGGCGATCCAGAAGTCCCCGGTTGAAATGCATGGCAACATGGACTCCCAGTCCCTGGCCTGTGGTTTCCACCCTTTTCTCCCAGCAATATGCCAACATGTGCTGGCTACGGCATGATCATTATTGGAAACCATATGCCATGCGTTCCAAATGCTACTTAGCTTTAGTGCTCATAGTTGTACTGCGTTCAAGTCCAAGGCGCCGCTGAGCATTCGTGACACAGGACGTCCTTAGAATTACCCAGCGCCACCCCCGGCCCCCAGGGGCACCGTCGCTGCACCCCGACCCGAGTCAGAGTACAAAGCACGATCTCCAAACTTCACCCCTTACCTAGGTAGCCCAGGAAGTACTTTTTACGTAGGCATTACCTAGAAGATCTTGTACAGTATGTGGTGACGACCTACCTCCCCCCTAGATCTGTTGCAGAACATTCTCATGAGACCCCTTCTTCTCCGTACCTAGATACCCTGTGCAACTTCTCCCACGCGACCAAGGTCTTCCATGTTCATCGTGCGCCTTCTGGCCTTCTGTCACGGTGGGCCGCTTGACAGGGTACCCTGATCGAGTCTCGCAGTCTAGATAGGGTCTGCCCCACGAATGATCTGCAAAGGCCCGCGGGCACAGCGCTGCAACAGGAAGTCAACGGGGCTCCTGGGCAAGCCTGGCCTGGGGATCATTTCCAGTCCAGCCCAGGGACAGTTGGTCATATCCAACTTCTGTAGCGCTGGCGACAGGCTGGAGTAAATGTGGCCATTTGCCCAAGGCAAGGGGGGGAAAGCAGCCTTTACGTTGCTAGCCTACAAGGCCAAGCCCAGAGCAGCAGGGTACATGTAGTACAGGTCCTCGTGGTAGGTAGCCTTCTCCGTCCACCAGTGCACCCTTGAGGTTCGGTTTGGGTGCCTCTAAAGCAGACCGCTGGCTTGTTCATCGTTGCACCTGCAAGGCCACAAGCCAGCGAGTCTAGCAGGCCTACTGGTGCCCAGGTGACCGGACAGGACAGCCATTCCCCTCTCTGCCTGATCAACAGGAATACCCTCCCCCAAGTTCGCTGGAGCGACAATTCCCTAGAATGGGTGATGATGCGTACGAAGGACCGTACGAAAGAACGTAGAGAGAGCATCAGAACCACAACGACCACCGCTTGCCGGGACTGCATACAACCTACCTGGGTATGCTACTGAGCATCCATGACATAATCCACGACAACCAGGCTCTCATCACGGCGCTCATTCACTCTGGCCGAGTCGTGCCCGCCCTCCATCCCCAAATTTTACCCAAATTTTACCCCATCCCAGGCCCAGTAACGCCAGCAGGCCAGGTATCACGTATCTAGTAATCCATCGTCCACTCCTGCCCAGATCTCCCCCATCTGGCACACCTTGCCCGAGAGGCGTTATGTGACTGGCCCGCCTGCCTGACCCAGAACTGCCACCACGTTCCTGGCCAGCAGCGCGCAGCGGCCTGTTACCTGCAACTCTAATCGTCCTGTGCTCCATCGCCGATCCACACCACACCCCCCATCCCTCTCTCTCGCTCACTGTTTCTTCCCCGTGGATCACACCAGGGGTTTTCAGACCGCGAAATACCACTTACGATAGGACAAGCTGGCGAGTCTCAATCGGCCTCCGGTGATTCACTCAATCACCACCGACCCTCTGGAGGCGGCTTGTACAGTATACCAAGGGCCGAGGCGAATAGAGACTTCTAGGTTTCTCACCCGCCACCACCATGGAATCCAAGGACGGTGCAGACGAGCATCACAGCCCGCCAGACACGGCAGCGGCGGTAGGAGCAGCAGCAGCAGCAGCAGCAGCAGCACGATCAGAAAGCGCAGCGTCTTCGTCGTCGCCGTCGCCGTCCCCGCCATCGGCGCCGCGGGCCAACGAAGGCGAGCCGACGTCATCGGCGGAAGGAGCTGAGGAGGACTACGATGTCACCCCCCCCGCGACGAGACCAACCGCCCTGCCGCCGGCCGCCGTCGATCCCAACATCGACATGGCAGTTGACGGGCCAGTCGGTGCTGCGGCACCAAGTGTGGCTTCGTCTTGGAGCGCGACTTCGGATCGACAACTTGGATATGGGAGCGCTAGCAGCACCGCTGACCCTGCCGACCGTGTCTTCCCCATCCGGTCCATGGTCAGCGTTGACCAGTCGCAAACGACGCCATGGCCTTCACGCTTGTCAGGCGAGCAAGAGTACTTTTCTCGTGCTGACAGCGCATCCGGGCGTCGGCCCAGTAACATGCGACTCGACACGGATATTGAGGGTCTGAGACGCTCCGAAACTATGCCGGCCACCCCCGCGTCGTCGAGGCGAAAAAACACCGCCAGAGATCCTGAAGGCTCAAACCCGCCCACGGCTAGGAGGGGAAGAAAGAGTACATTATCGGAATCAGTCGGGAGTCCCACCAGCGACAGTCACATGCCGAACATGTTCAATGACCACTCTTCGAACGGCGATTCGGAATCTCAGCACGGATCGGTTCATGCAGCCGATAATTCCTTTGGTGGCCGTAGGACGCCAGGCGAACTCAGTGAACAGCTATATGCCACACGCTTCAAGCACGTCAAGACGGATGACGGGCATTGTGTCATTACGGGCAGAGATGGGACTTTGCAGCATTGCGAGGATGAGCCCATTCATACGCCAGGCGCCGTGCAGTCCTTCGGGCTATTGGTAGCCTTGAAGGAAGAGAGCGATGGCCGTTTCACCGTCCGGATCACCAGTGAAAACGCCGGCCGTGTCATCGGGTACTCGCCGCAACAACTCTTCAGACTCAACAACTTTCTGGATTTATTCAGCGAGGAGCAGGCAGACAACATACTTGATCATATCGACTTTATTCGGGACGAAGATGCTGATGTGGCTACAAATGGGCCCGAAGTCTTCAGTGTTTCAGTGCGTCCCCCGGGAACCAGAAGCGTAAGGTTATGGTGCGCCATGCACATAACCCCCTCGCATCCAGACTTAATCGTATGCGAGTTTGAACTGGAGGATGATCATGACTACCCTCTCCGTTCCGCTGATGACATGACACCCCCGGCCCCAGAGGATACGCTTTATCAGAACCCCACTCTGGAGGAGTTTACCGAAAGCACCGAAGTCAGTAGCAGGCCCCTCAGAGTCCTTCGAAGTGCTCGGAAGAAGCGAGGCGAAGCGGGTGCTATGCAGGTTTTCGACATGATGTCTCAGGTCCAGGAGCAGCTTGCCGCGGCCCCCAACCTCGAAAAGTTTCTGAAGATCCTCGTAGGGATCGTCAAGGAGCTGACCGGCTTCCACAGAGTCATGATTTACCAGTTCGATTCGTCCTTCAACGGAAAAGTTGTCACTGAACTCGTCGATCCCACCCAAACACGCGATTTGTACAAGGGCCTCCATTTTCCGGCGTCCGACATCCCTAGACAGGCTCGTGAGCTCTACAAGATCAACAAGGTTCGCTTATTGTACGACCGAGATCTAGAGTCAGCCCGCCTGGTCTGTCGGACTGTGGAGGATGTTGAAATACCCTTGGATCTCACCCATGCATACCTTCGAGCCATGTCCCCCATCCATCTCAAATACCTCAAAAACATGGCTGTCCGAGCGTCAATGTCCATCTCCATTAATGCATTCGATGAGTTGTGGGGCTTGATTGCCTGCCACTCGTACGGCAACCGTGGCATGCGGGTGGCATTTCCGATTCGGAAAATGTGCCGACTGATAGGCGATACGGCGTCGAGAAATATCGAACGGTTGTCATATGCTTCCCGCTTGCAAGCCAGGAAACTGATCAACACGGTTCCCACGGACAAGAGCCCCTCAGGCTACATCATCGCTTCATCTGAGGATCTGTTGAAGCTTTTTGACGCCGACTTCGGTATGCTGTCAATACGTGGCGAGACAAAGATTCTGGGAAAGCTTGAGAGGTCCTCAGAGGCCATTGCTATGCTCGAATATCTGCGGGTCCGCAAGTTTACATCGGTGGTGACATCGCAAGATATCAAGGATGATTTCCCCGACCTTCGCTATCCACCCGGCTTCACTGTTGTGGCTGGATTGCTGTACGTTCCACTGAGCGTAGGGGGCCACGATTTTATCGTTTTCTTCCGAAAGGGCCAGGTAAAGGAGGTTAAGTGGGCCGGCAACCCCTACGAAAAAGTTATCAAGGAAGGGACGTCAGAATACTTGGAGCCTCGAACAAGTTTTCAGGTGTGGCACGAGACTGTGCTTGGAAAATGTAGAGAGTGGACGGAAGAACAAATTGAGACTGCCGCGGTACTCTGCTTGGTCTATGGTACGATAGCACTCCTAGTCTTGCTCTTCCTATATACGTCCAGTGGCTAACTACTATACAGGCAAATTCATCGAGGTCTGGCGACAAAAGGAGCAAGCGTTGCAAAACAGTCGTCTCACACGGCTGCTTCTGGCCAATTCTGCACACGAAGTTCGCACGCCACTGAATGCCATCATCAACTACCTAGAGATTGCGTTGGAGGGGTCGCTAGATCAGGAAACCAGAGACAACCTGGCCAAGTCTCATTCGGCTTCTAAATCTTTGATATACGTCATCAATGACCTGCTCGACCTGACCAAGACCGAGGAAGGTCAAGAACTCATCAAGGACGAAGTACTGGATTTGCAGGCTTGTCTGAGGGAGGCCACCGAGCCGTTCAAAATTGACGCAAAGAGGAAAGGAATCGAGTATGAGGTCATCGAGCACCCCGGTCTACCTCGTTGGATTCACGGCGACCATCGACGAATACGTCAGGCGATTGTCAACATGACCGCAAATGCCATGGAGCACACAACTGAAGGTTTTGTGAAGGTCGAGGTCTTTGTGACGGAGGTTGATGGTACCAGGCTCAAGATTGAGATCGTTGTCCAAGATAGCGGACGAGGCATGAGTAACGAGAAGCTCGATGCTTTGTTCCGCGAGTTGGAACAAGTCACCACAGATGAAGACGAAGGCAGGAGTCTGGAAGACGAGATGGAGAAACCACGTTCGGAACGCACTCTTGGTCTCGGACTTGCTGTTGTAGCGAGGATCGTTCGGAACATGGATGGCCAATTACGCCTTAAATCCGAGGAGGGTATCGGATCCAGATTTGTCATCCAGCTGCCACTTGAGATTCCGACCCCTGAGTCACTCGAACAAGCCGAGGCTGGTGAAACAAACAAGACTCAGAAAAGTACACACTCGATCGCTCCCTCTGTCACTAAGTCTCTACCTCCCGTGGAGGATGGCGAGGTTACTCTGGTCGATCGGGGTGCGATCAATACTCATCCGTCGATGCAGTCACTCAGAGAGCGAAAGAGTTTCGACGAAGCTAGTAGCGTGCAGAGCCTGAAAAGTGGTACTAGCATTGGTAGTGGCGGCAGCAATAGGAGCGACGCTGATCGCCTTATTGATGCTTTACAGACCCCCCTCCCATTCGGCGAAGGAGAGCATGGAGGTAGCGCTGGTTTGCGACGTCATCCTTCAAAAGAATCCTCACATTCTCACCGTTACTCCAACAGCAGTATACGTTCGTTACCTGGGGCCGCCGCATCGGTCGAAACGCGTCCTTCCCCGCCAGGAAGATCATTCACATCTCCTCCAGGGGAAATAGCAACGTTGTCTGCCGGCCCTGAGAGGACACAAGTTACCGACTCAAAGACGCCAGTTGCACCGATCAAGATTCCGGACGAGTACCAAGATCTCCCATCGTCCAATCCCCAGGTCGAGCAATCTTCTCGAGTACTTTTTGAACTTCCGGACAAGAGTGAGACAGAGCAGAAACCAAAAGACAATTCGCCGCTTGCCGGGTTTTCGGGGAAATTGCAAGTCCTCATAGCAGAGGACGATCCTGTCAATATGAGGATACTCCGAAAGCGGCTCGAGAAGACTGGACACGAAGTCTCCCATTCGGTGAACGGAGAGGATTGCGCAGCTGTTTACAGTGAAAGACCTCAAGATTTCGATGTCATCTTGATGGATATGCAGGTACGTGAATTATTACTTTGGGCATTATGGTCCTGGGTGCGTCACTAACAACTTCCTCTAGATGCCAATAGTGGATGGTCTGAATAGCACCAAGATGATCAGATCTTTTGAGCAATCAGATAAGTGCCCGGGTCTGTCCACACTCGGAAAGTTTCAAGGCCGAGTGCCTATTTTTGCCGTTTCGGCATCCCTCGTGGAACGGGAGAGGCGCACCTACATCGATGCCGGATTTGATGCTTGGATTCTGAAACCTATTGATTTCAAGAGGTTGAACACCCTGCTGGCTGGCATCACGGATGATGACGTGCGCGACGACTGCCTGTATGTGACAGGGCAGTGGGAACGTGGAGGCTGGTTTGGAAGCCGCAGCACATCCAACGATGTCACACCAATGGGACCTGACCATGAGCGCGAGCTTACTTCTCCGGCGTAATCGAGCTCACGATCCTACCTGCGTAGTTCCCCTGGCACCCTACTACTCACCTTACACCCAATCCGACCACTATATATATATATATATATATAAGGATGCCTACTCTTCATGCACCTTACAGCGTAAAGGTGGCTAGCCAGATACGACGGGCCGCATTTGCCGACGACACAAGAGTGGCCATCCCAGCCCTCTATACACCCTTTCGAATATTACAAACTTACTATTATTCTGATTATAGAGGCGTCTGCCTTCTTTTGCATGACGTAGGGATGGAAAAATTAAAGGTGCAGGGTCCTGGCGTTGAGGTTGGAATTCGAGCAACGGCATTGCTTGCCCTCGAGCAGGCAATTTTTTCTCTCTCCTTTTTTGTCTTTTTCTTTCGTACATGAAGGTTACGGTTAGATTCTGGGGCAACCATGTCAAAGTACACGCATTGCATGGAGTTTGGATTTGGGAGGCATGGGGTATACCCGAAGGAACACGCTGGGGTTACCCGGTTCGGAACTTGGTAAGCGGCTAGGTAGGGTTGGGTGCCGGTGAAGAACGTTGACAGTACATATTACGAAAGAGACCAAGCAAGGCGGGCGCACGCATATCTGACGCTGTAGAGTCCTGACTCCCCCAACAAGGCTTGGACAGAACACCACGTGGCGAAGAGATAGACGCCGGTCGCTTGAAAATAGCGCTACAGAATATCAGTACAGTGTAAAACACATCGTGACAAATCATCGTCGGATAGATTTAACGTCCTATGACATGCGTTACCTGGTCTAGCTTATAGCAAGCTCTGCTGTCAGAGTTTGGATCGATTTCAACCGCCGCTATCGAACACCATATACTTACTATGTATGCCTACTGCCTTTTGCCGGCAGGTAAACGAGGCATTGTTTAATATGACCATAGACTGGGGACAGCGTTCCGCCAACCACGTGCAATAATAACGTGCCAGAATCTCAGTCGACAGATAGGCTTGTCACTTGTGAAGATGCAGCCTACAAGGCACCGATGATCGGATGCACATTCATGAGCCAACAAGAGCATCGGCCTGGTCCACAGAATACATATATATGCCGCCTGGTTTGCGCCACGCTGTTAACGGGAGGGATTCGTGTGTTTGAGAGTTGCAGTGGTAATACCAAATCACCTCAAATATCCGTCTGGCATCAGTTGGTTCCAATGAAGAGCCGGCGGAGACCATAGAGCAAGTCCCTAGGATCCGGCGAGCAGTTAGGGGAGCTGTTTGCGATTGTGAGATGTGGGCGTTCATAGCCCATTGGATTTCTTCATCTTCCTCTTCTATCTACATGGCTCATTACGGCATTCTATCCTGGTCTTGTCCCAATATAACTAACATCCCATCCATCTCGCTCATATACACATAAAACTCTTTTTCCCCCTCGCCTCACAGAATACATGACTGGAAAGCTCCCAACGCTGTGCGATGACATACGTCAAAAGATTCCCGAGGAAAACAAATACCCAGAAAGCCCCCCCGTCCCGAATAACGCCGATGCCCGGTCATGATGCTCTTTCTGCTCCCAAGTTGCGCGTTGCTACTCGGACCGCTATGCCAAGGATAACACAAAAATATAAGACTGTGATGCTGGGGTGCTCATAGATCCCACCTGGAAAACCACCCCCTTGCTAGATCATGCTTCGGCGACCACCATCGTCCGCAGGCAGAGACACCTGAAGCCAGAGGATGGGGGATCGCGACGCAAATGCAGAAACCAAAAAGAACACGGCATGGGCCATGACAGTGCGCCCAGCTGGCCCACAGGCCCACCCACTCCCCCTACTCGGCTGCTCAGTCGGCCAGCTCGTCGTCGGTGCTGCTGCTGGCGCTCGTGGTGGTGATGGAGCCCTGCTGGCGGGCCATGTGGACGAGGCGGTAGATGCCGAAGGCGATGAGGGCCAGGACGATGAAGAGGATGATGATGATGATGGCGATGACGTCGTTCTGCTTCATGGCTGCGGTGTGTGCGTCGGTTGTGTCTGCCCCGGGTTGGGATATGTGCGCAAGTCGCCGTAGCCGTGGCCGTCTAGCTAGATGAGACCGAACTGACTGACTGACTAGCTGGCTGGCTGGCTGACTGACTGACTGTCCGCAGTTTGCGATGTGACAGACAGGAGGCTAAGAAGATCGAGCACAGCGGATGCTCTGGGAGATGGCGGTTATCACGACGACTGATGGATCGGTCGATTGAAGCCCCAGGTTGAATGCGGCTGCACCACGGTAAGGTGGGCGATGTGGTATAGTTGGGTGTGTGTAAGTCGTGAGCAAAAGCGTTGCGAAGACCGGGGCTCGTGTCCAAAGCCAACTAGATGCAACTTCGATTGGCAGCTGATGTCATAAAACTGATATACAGACAGCACAGCAGATGGATCAAGGAAGTCGTTCAGAAATCTTCGTCTTCTTCTTCAGTGTATGCAGAAAGAGAGAGGGAGAATGGGTGTGTAATGTGTGTGCCTGCATGCGCAAGCCGGGCGCCCATTAATATGCGGGTTGCCCCGCCATTAATCGCCAGTAAATAAATGGCTGGTGGCAGGAAAAGTGCCAGAATTGGAGGGAGGCTGGTGAATGTGAGAGCGCGACAGGGGTCCAGTGCACGCTTGAGGCGAGGCGTGGTTGGCGACTGGGCGGCGCCAATGACGGAGCTTGAGCAGGGGCCCGCGACGAGCTCTTTAGCGGGTCCCCAGGCTTTGCCAGGGACGTCGAGCATTGGAACTCGACGGGTCGGGCCCAACCCAATGTCCAACGTCCAGCTTTGCCAGCAACCAGGGCCCGGCCTAAGCTTCCTGCCCGGACTTTGGAGAAGGACGGGGGCTCCACTTGAGCTTCTTGCCCGTTTCGCTCGTGGCGGAGAGCTGTTGGACCCAAGGCAACGGGAGCTAGAAACGACGAAGAAAAAAAAAATGTTGTTTGTTGCCAACACCGATGCTGCAACTAATCCAGTATCGATCGAACATGCTGTAGTAAATCCCTCTGTCCATCCTTTCATTCATACATCTGTACACACCTGATTGATCGATCCCGGATCTGCGTTATGATACAAGCCGTGACGGAAATCCATATGCATGCGCAAGAATCGTGTTGCCTCGTCGTGTCTCTATAGACAAAGACAAGACCATGAAAACCCAAGTAACGCCTCCTGGGCTTGCCTCGCATTGCATCGCAATGCCAGCAAGCAATTCCTCGCTGACGCCGGCCCCAAATCAAAATCAGAAGACGGGAATTGTGTCTCGTTGGATCGGCCACCATCAGAACACACAGCTACCCGTCCAACACCAGCACTGGCTAAATCCCACGTCCCTGCTCAGCCATCAATGTCCCCCGGCGTCTTGACGATCTTGACATGTTGCTCGTAGAATTGCAGCATCTGCAGAGCCTCGTTAGTTATGGGGCAAGAGCATCGGGCAATTGTTGGTTTCACCCGCATGCGCTTGCTTACCTTTTGCGGACACCGCGAATAGACAATCTTGGTGTCGTGCTGCGTCTTCTGGCCATTCGTCCACGTCAAGTACACCGTCAGCCTCCCCGTGGTCTCGTCGTGGCAGGCATCTATCGAGGACACCATGTCCTCCCACGATCCGGCGGGCGGCGTCCAGGGTTTGCCGGCGCTGGCCGGAGGCGTGGCCGAGGCCGGGTGACTTCCGCGTTTGCTCTTCTTGGCCCCGTTGGTAGGTGTATCTGCCCTTGCCGGTCGGCCGCGCTTCTTGCCCTTGGCCGACTGCGCCAGTATCGCTTCGCGGCCGCCGACCTTGGCCAGGTACTCGTCTAGGATCACCGAGGCGTTCTCTCTGGGCGGAGGGGCGCGTCGTATTAGCCATGTTGACATTTCCCCGAGGATTTGGGGTTGCATGGACGCCTGCATACCTTAGGTTCTCTTCATCCTCCAACGTCTGGTCGGCCTTGTCCTCGTAGCCCTCCCACTTGACGCGAAACTTCAGCTCGCCCTGTTTCAGTGTAAGTAGCCGGCGCAGGGGATAGAGAGCCAGGTCCGATCTTATCTCACCTTGAGGACGACGTGATCGACAATCTTTTCCACAACGAACCTGAAAGAGCACATGCGTAAGTAAAATGTGGCCTCTAATATGGATCATGTGCTGGCATCGTACTCGTCGTCGTCCATATCCTCTTCGTCCTGCTCGTCTCCGTCTTCGTCTTCATCCTCGTTCTGTCCGTCTTGGTCGTCGTCCTGCACATCGCCCTTGACCGGGGTCGTCACCTCGTCACCGTCCTGCTCGCGCTTGGCGGGGCGCCCGCGCTTGGTCTGGATGGGCACCTGGACCTCGGCCGCGTCGGACGCTTCGTCGTCGCTGATGGCTGCGCGGATATTAGCCAGCCATCTGAGAAAGGAACTCATTGCTGCTGCTGCGTTGGTGGGTGGGCGAATTGGGCGGGCGGGTTGGGACGGGGGTGGCCGCGGCCCAGGGTTTGGCTCGGGACTTGGGCAAAGTTTCTGGTCGCAAATCACCTGCACTCACTCACCCGGAGGCATCCTGTAGGTATTCGCAGGGCGGTCGGCGGCGGTTGGTGGGGGGACGCGGGGGTTTCGCAGGCGGGAAGGGGGAAGGAAAAACGGACGGGAAGAATAGGAAGAAGAAAGAGTCGTGCAGACCGGCGTAGGTGAGCGAGGCCCCGCGAATGTGTCTGGTAGGTGGGCGTTTGGCGCAAGGTTGCCAATTGAGTGACATAATTCACACCAGAGCTTCGCGATCGTCTCTCTGTTCCGGTCGCGCGACGCGGGACGGGGGGCTGCCGGTACGCCGAGTGCTGACGCGTGACGCCGGCTGTCGAAGCCGCCACGATCCCTGGGTTGTTGATTGACTGCACCGCCACATCAATTCAATGCGGGCTCTGGGGACGACAGGCGAATCATTTGTAGGTACGAGCAACACTCATCAGCCGTACGCAGCTCTATACTCGATTCCTTTCCCAGGGGACTTCTGCATTCGGTGTCTCTGTTTGTTCACATTGGAAATTATATTGCGCCTTTTTCCCGCAGCTGGGCTGGGGGTCATGGAGACCGACCAATACGTAGTAGTCTTCCCAGATTTGCTGCCTCATCCGTGACAAGGCCCCGGAACTGCCCTTTTCTCTGCATCGGAAAAAGCAATAATCTTCTTCACGCCCGTTATTTGAGAACCTATGTGCACTTTGTCTCCATCGTCGGGAGCGAGAGCAAATGGCTTGCTATTGCCATTATGATGATCATGCAACATATTAGAGAAGCCAGGAGTTCACAGCAAGGGAGAATATAATAATCTCGTCGAGCAAACAATCTTTCCGCCATCCGTACATCAGAACACGCTGCTCCAGACCACGGCCTGAACATCCTCCCCTCGCTCGTCCTGGAGATGACATCGGGCTTCGGAGCAATCAAGATGGCTAGAAAGGCTGAAGACAAAAGGCCATCATGCTCCACTGGACATTCATGTATTCTGATGCTGGGGCCCTAGGGTCATCGAGTCATCAAGTAGATGCGAACGGCGGATGACTTCGCCGGCGCTGGGCGCTGCGAGTTCCCACGTGTTCCCTCCGTTGCCACTGCTGCTTCTGCTGCTTCTGCTGCTGCCGCTCAGTGCGAGCACGCGACAAAAGGAATCATTGTGTGTGGGATGAACAGCTGCGCAGCCCGGGAATAAGGCTTGCAGCATCTGGTGAGACCCGTTTCACCGACCAAGTGTTGCTGTCTAAGACCACAACTTCCTTCCGGAAGCCCGAGGGAGTTGCGTGCAGCTTTTTTTTCTTGCTGCAGATAATAAGTAAATGCACCTCTTCTGCAGGGGAGAGAAGAAAAAAAGGGGGCGAGCCTGGCTGGCTGGGCGGCACTGCTTCAGGTGAGCCCAACGCCATCTATTTCCAATTACGAATTCCACTCTGGGCTCTGCGGAGGATTGATGTCCACTATTGGGTGACTTGTCAGCTGAGAAGCAACTAGAGCTGAAGGCAAGGAGCTTTCGTGACCCAAACATCAATAGATTGGGCTCACTATGTAATGTTTGAGATCCATCCAATTTTCCGACCGGGGAAATCATACGAGGAGATCACGGCGGGGACTGTTCGCAGCTATAATCTTACTCGGCCAGTTGCTCAGTTTGCTGCAAACACGCAACGAGAATTACGGGTACGGGCGCAATTGGATTCCCACCCCTTCCCCCCCCCCCCCCCTGAATGCTGGCTAGAGACAATGGCTGCAGGATTCGTTGTCACGATGTTTTCCGACAAGTCATCGATGCTGTTTCCTCGCTGCATGAGCGGTTGAGGCAGTCGGGCTACGATGCACTTGACAGGCCTGAAGAGAACGCGTTCCCCTGGCCTGGTTGCTTGGCCTGCAGGTCTTCGCTGGAGGAACCCACCGATCCCCCGTCGCCGAAGCTTGGTCCCCCAATCGCTGGCGGCCGGGTAGCTCTGGGTGGTGCCGCGGTCGATCCGCCAGGCACTAGGCCAAGCACAGCGAATGGCAGCAGCCCATACCCCGGGGATCCTGTAGTTGAGGTACCGGACCCTAAGATAGCTGCCGTAGCCCGCCCATGCTATGGTACATGTTACCCAGGTTGCGACGATTGTAGTTTATCACGAGTTGTAGGTAGTTACTTGGTGGCTTGGTCACAGCATCCAAGCACAACATTGTCTCCCGAGCACGTTTCGAATGAGCAAACGGCAGAGCATATGGTCCGCCCAGCCTTGATACATAGGAGCCCAATGCAGCGCTTCCTCTGCGAATCCTCAGGCGCCGCTGGGACGCTGTGGGGAAGAGGTGCCAACGAAGGGCTGAGAATGTGCTTCGAGGTCGAGAGTGACTTTCAACAGCCAGCCAGTCAGGGGCACCATTCCTAGGCTGGTACCGTGTAAACGGGCGACCTTGGACGAGCCGGAGCAGGAGCTCGAAAGACAGGGGAATTTGGAAGGGAGCCGTCGGTCGGCGATAGCGGCGCAATGGTCCATGTGTGACTGTGACGAACAACTAGCTGAACGGAAGTCGGCCGCGGTCATCTTTAAGTTGGTGTCCAAGGCCCGAGGTTTCTTGGTTCGGTCGAGGGAGGGAACAGCAGGAAATAACGTGGAACGGTGGGAAAGCAGGTGGCCACCAATTAACTACTGAGGTAGACGCTGTTCCAGCAGCTGTTGTCGTCCTGACTCCTGAATCCCCCCTTGCTTCGTCGTTCGTATGCACCAGGCAAGGAGACAAGACAGCGCGGCACCCCCGGCTTCGGATTCGTCGTCCAATCCTGCGGGACCTTTTTCTTTTCACTCGAATGAACAGTCTCCTCCTTCTCTCTCTCTTCCAACGGGGGATCCAGAAGCTTGAGACAGCATTTCCCTCGAGAGCCAAGTGGAAGCTTGGGTTTCCATCCAAGCGAACATCACCCAACCAGCACCGAAGGGGAGAGAAGCTTTAGGTTTGCCCACCTGGCTGATCCCGGTGCCCTAGCGCCCCTAGCGCCCTGGAGCCCCAGCAGCCCGCCAGCCCGCCAACGAACGCTACCCCTTCTAACTTAGCCCCCCCTGGACCAAATCCCGTCCCCCGTCCCAGGCCCCAGAAATCCCCGACTGCAGAGAGAGAAAAAAAAAGTTCCAGGGACACAGGCTCATCACAGCTGTGGCCGTAGACCTCCGCGTCTGCGTCTGCTGCAACCCAATCTTACCGCCGTTTATGTCTGTTTTCCTTCACAAAGACCCATCCTAGCACGTGCTTCCATTTCTTGTACTCTTTTCCACGGCAGATTGGGGGAGATCGAGGTTGATGCAAGACGACAGCAGATCAGGGAAGAGCAGCAGCTGAGAGTGTGAGAGAGAGCAAGAAGAGAGGAGCGTGAAGAGACGCGGATGGAGGACAGAGAGCTTGCTGGAGACTCCCTACTGCCCGGCCGTTGATGGTTGATACTATATACCTTTCCTTTCTGTTCTGTTCTGTCCATTCGTTTCCGCCCACGCTTTCAACCCACACCTGAACGCTTTACCAACCGCAGCCATGTCCGAAGAAGGCGTCAACGCCGCCAACACGGATTCCCCTGACGCCTCCAAGACCCATGCACCCAAGGACAGGAACTGCCCCTACTGCGGCCAGGCCTTCACCTCGTCCTCGCTCGGCCGGCATCTGGACCTGTACATCAAGGAGAAGAACCCCAAGCCGGCCGATGGTATCCACGATGTCGAGGCGATCAAGAAGCTGCGTGCTGGCATCACCCGCAGGCAGCCCCGAGGCTCCCTGGCCAGACGGGATGCATCCACCCCGGGCACCCCCACGGGCTCGACGCCGACTGCGGCGAGGAAGAGCCCGGAGCTGAGGCAGCAGCAGCAACGCTCGTCCGTTCCGAAGGACGGGCAGTTCGTGGTCGACCGGTCGCCCGTCTACCCCTGGCAGCTCCCAACGTGGGAGGCCACGGGGGTCATCAACGACCTGCCCACCAACAACGGGGACCAGTCCCAACCGGGAGGCTGGGATGAGGGTACAGATCAGGCCAGAAGAGCAAGTGCACAGCAGCAGCAGCAGCAGCAGCGTGCTCCGAGCAGAATGGCCCAGAAGCAACAGCTGGATGCGAGGCAGAAGCTGACGGATGCTGTTGACACGGCGAGGGCAGCCGAGCTGGCGCTAAGGGAACTTTTGAGCTCGTGGAGAGCAGCCAAGTCAGTTCATTTCCCCTGTCTACTTGTCTGAAGACATTGTGAATTTGGAAGCCGTGTGCTAATGTGAAATTGCGATCATTCTAGACAGCAGATTGACATGAACTCTGTGCCCTTCGATTTCGACCCCCTGTCTCTCGACTTCCCTGCGCTTACTCTCCAGTGCCTCCAACCACCACCGACCTTGTTCTCTTCAACCCCTATCCCGACGTCAACTTCGTGGTCGATACAGCCGCCCGCACAGAAGCAATACGATGCTCTCGTTGCATTTTTTCAAGACGAGTTCAAGAAGTGGAGGATTGCTTGTGCAGCCGCTACCACCGCCATGAGTGAGGACTTGACATATCCTCCGTCGCAAACCCAGTTTTATATAGATGGGAAGGAAAGCGTAAAGAAGGCTGAGAAGGCCGCCGCCAATCTGGAGAAGCAGGTCAATGAGCACCTACAGTCAACCTTTGCCGCATGGGAACAGATCGGTCAGCAGAGACAGCAAGAACTTTGGACTCTGGAGTTGGCCAGGAGCGTCGGTCGGAGACAGAAAGACGTCGAGAAGCTGAAGCAGACGCAACATTCGCTCAAGCAGGAGAAGACGAACCTCCAGTCCCAGATCGACCAACTCAACCGTCTTCAACAGCCCCGAGAATTCAGGGCCATGCCGCCCGCCACTATTCCTTTCGATCAGTCGTATATCTCTTTTGTCTTGGGCCTGGGTGTTGAGTCCGGCGCCAAAGCAGTAGGTCTGAGCATGGAGGACCGCCACGTCGACACCGCCACTCTTGTTCAGCGCGCAATCGAGCGATGGAAGAGCGTCATCGTGTCTACGAGGGCACCTGGCATGAGCGGCCAAAGATCCCTGGACCAGGCTGGTTCGGCGCCATCTTCGGCCTCTACGCCCGCGCCAGTGCAGAATACCGCAGCTGCCGCCCCGACCCCTACCCCTACCGCAACAAGCCAACAAAGACCGGCGGCACCCGTTCAACAGCAAACTCAGTCGAGACAAGTGTCGGCTGCTACTACCGGCCCTTCAACCGACTCCAGGTCAACTACTACGGCCACCACTTCAACATCGGCCGCCAACGACGAGGTCAGTGATGAGGACGCGGATGCAGAGATGGAGGACGATGACAGCTATCCGCAGCCTACGAACGCCCATATGGCGGCTAAAGCTACCCAGCAACAGCAGCCACTTCAGAAACTGCAGATACCGCGGACACGGGACCACGCTCAACGGAACAATGCGCAATTTGCTGTTAACGGCGCAAGTACCATGGCTGCCAACCAACAACGCATGAACATGGCTAGACCTATGGCGAACATGAACTCAGGGGTAGCCGGGATGCAGCATCAGCAACAAGTTCAGAATCAACAGAGAGTACAGCAGCAAGCAGCTATGAAGAACGACTATGGCACCCCCGTCCAGGGGATGACCAGTAGCGAGCCCATGGATATGTACTAGGAAGTTGTACTCGGAAGGGTTGGGTGGTTTTTGGTGTCTAAAATTAGCATAGAAAATGGGGGGGGAAGAGGTCTTAGGAACATTGATCTCCCAACTGAGCAAAGCGGGAAAATTGTGTGCGTCATGCTAGCGATCAGCCAAATCTAGTTCTGCTATATTGGCGTTTGGCCCGTAGCTTTAAATCGAGGAAATTTCAAACACTTCGTGGTTGCAGGTGACTATAATTGGAAGGATATAGCCTGTGGTTCAGAGACTAAGCAGCATGCCGAAGTTCGAAGAGATGCATTTCTCTTTGTTTGGCCAACAAATTGGTAGGTTCTTGGGTAAGCAATAAGCACAGTGAATTCATTCTCATATATGACCATGGATTTCAGCTGTGCTGGAAATACTTCCCGAGTGACCGTTCTACGTCTCGTTTGTTTCTTGCTGCTTGCTTGAAGATTTCACGAAGTATATTTGTGTTACGCCATTAATTGGTCGTGTGCTGAAAACGGGAGATTTGCACCAGACAACAAAGAGGGCGAAATCAACAATGACTCCCAGGGAATAGAGACGAGGAGAACGAGGAGTGGGAGCAGTCTCTCGATCTTAAGTTATCGACAGAATGCATTGCTGCACATTCCATTCGGCGGGAAACAAGTCGCATTAGTAGTGCTGAAGTTCTATAACGCTTGATACAAGTCGATTTACACCCTGATAGTTTCCCCCCTATCTATACAAACTGGTTAGCATGGCCGGACCATGGATACCAGTCCCAGTTGTCGTCGCGGGCATGGCTCCTTACACAGTTGTGCCCCCATCCCCGCCGGTGCCCTTACCCGCCAATTTCGCCCGATGGGATGCTCCCTGGCCCTTCACGGGCAACGGCAACTGGATGAACGGGTGGACGCCGCAGCTGACCATTGACCAAATCCAAGCCTTTCTGCGCGTCATCCGGGCGATCAGGAACGGCGAGTCCATGGGTTGGGATAACCCGGCATGGCGCCAGACGGCGTCGGAACGGCAGCTTACCGTCGCGCTCAACGCCATGAACTACCTCACGGCCGGACGCACCTCCGGCGGCCGCTGGGCCTACGTCTACGGCGTCACCACGGTGCTGGACTCCGGGCCCCATAGCAGGCCACGGGATATCGTCCTACCCCCTCGCGTCAGGCAAGACCTAGCGGCCCCCTGGAACACGACGTCGTTGGCATATAACGCGAACCATCAGAATATGTCCCGCTACCGTGCAGTCATCTTCATCCATAGACACAAGTCGTCGATCGAGCCGGGTGGTGTGAGCAGTTACAACACCCCGGTGTACTCAGTGACTATATGGTGTCGTCAGGTGGGTTTGCTTTCATTTACTACGATACCGTGCCACTGTCTACGCTGGAAACTATTCTCTTCTAAGAGCTTACAGTGCTAATGCAAGAAATCCAGAGAGCTCGGCTGGACTGGTTCGACACCGGCGTGGGCAGCGCAACCGAGCGAGTCAAACGGACGGTCGACATCAACAACTTCTGGCTCCGCGTGGCGACCAACTTCCCGGCCGGGGCCACGCCGCGGCCGAGCCTGCCCATGCTCACGCGGCACACGACGTCGCGGCTGACCGAGGCCGTCTTCAACCGGGCGTGGCAGTCGCCGGTCAAGGGCCAGACGCTGTGGACGGTGCTTGGCTGGACGCTGCAGACGCTGGCGTCGTCCGAGCACCCGGGCCCCGTGCTGGGGCCCGACAGCCCCTGGGACAGGATCGAGACCATGGGCGGGCTGCGCGCCCAGCAGATCCCGCGCTGGTACGTCTGCTTGGTCTTCCTGCTCTGGAACAACCGCAACCGGCCCGTCATGCCCGTCGCCATCCGCAACTCCATGCACACTGTCAACAGCTTCCGCGCCGCGTACGGCAACCTGGCCAACAAGCTGCTGAAGGACGGCGTCCGCGTCGCAAAGTTGGACTTCACGGGCGCCAACAGGATACCGGTTGCGAGATCCAACGCCTTGGTAGCATGATGAGATGTCGCATAGTGCTGGGATCCACCTGACAGGATGTGTCTCTGCCACCTTGCTCGGATCTTGAGCTTTAGGAGCGTATTATGTAGAGAATAGTCCTTGGATCTTGTGGGTTTAGAGGTGTTCCATTGGAACAACTGCCGGCAGAGCATCATGATGAGCGCTGCTATACTTTTGATAATGGTATAACGTTAACTTAGACGAATAAAGACATCACCATCTGAGGATTATCTCATGGTCAGGCGTTGGAGAACCTTCCTTATGGCATATTCTCATTAAGCAAGATATAAACTTGGACTTTACGCCTAGTAAGAGACGAAGGCCACGGTTTTCTATCCCGGTTTAGCCTATTCAATCCTTCCGCATTATATCAGGACCATAGTCGATTGGAATACAGCCCATAACTACTAGAAGGGTATAAATGACTCAAACTTAATTACTAAAAGTTATCGTATTCAACGTCTTCATTACCGGCGATTACAACACATTAAAACAATTGAGTTCACTTCACCCTACACCGCCAACCTTTACGTCATCCTTCAATGTCCAGAATCCATCTACTCTTCCTCCTCTTCGGCCGCCTTCTCGACCAGGAAGTAGCGGTCAGCACCAGTGTGAGCGTCCTTCTCATGCTCGACAGCCAACTTATTGAGATGGATGAGGATATTTTCCAGCCTGGTATCCCGGTAGTGGCGATCCTTACGACCGAGGTCGTTGATCCAGTCAACGCGCTGGAGGACGAAGTAGATGATGGCAATGAACACAGTGACACCGATGGAGTAGGCCCAAACGACGACGACAGTGACGATGTCGGTCCAGCCGTTCGAGGAGTTGTTGAACGCGGTCGGCGGCGTAGTCTCCATGACGCCACCACCACTGCCAGAGAGCCAGCCGAAGAGACAGAAGATGGTGGCTAGAATGTCAACACCGAGGATGGCGCCGACTAGTTGCCACGATGGCCAAGTCCGCCCACCACGCGTGACGAAGATCAGCCAGTTCTCTGTGAGGGCAACCTCCAAGAATAGCACCTCCTGGATTGAACCGAATCGTTGGATAATACCTCCACTACGAAGGAACATGGTGCCACGAGCGATCCAGGTCGCGGCGGCAAGTATCATGCCCAGAATGATACTGACGACCCAAATCTTCTTCAACTGCCACTCGACCGGACGGGGTTCCACGTGTGCATTGTCGTACGCAACCGCCACCGTTGCCAAATCAGCAAACAGTGCGATGAAGACAATGAGATCTGGCCGGATAGTCTCATTCAGAATGACCATGGATGTGGTTAGGTAAATCTCTAGGTGAAGGCACAGGGCAATACGGTATTGCACGTAAGCTTTCTATGAGATTGTTAGCATATATCTCTGATAGGCCCCTGCATGAACAAAGGCAATTCCATTTCACAACCCCCAGGAAAACTTACCATACGCTGGAAGATCTGACGGGACGTCTTGATGGACAGAATGATTGTGCTCAGACCAGGCGCCAAAAACACAATATCGGCTGCGGCTTGGGCAGCCTCAGAAGCACCTTCTACTGCGATTCCACAATCTGCCTTCTTGAGGGATGGAGCATCGTTGACACCTATGTAAATCACAGTCAGCCAACGTTGCCTCGCTTTGCTTAAGTCCGGCAGAATCATGAGTTTGTAAGAACTTACCATCACCAGTCATGGCCGTAAGTGACCCTCGCTGTTGTAGCATCTCTACAACGTTGTATTTGTGCTCCGGGAAGACCTCAGCAAAACCATCCGCACGCTCAACGAGATCATGCTGCACGGTTCCAGACAGGCCGCTCTGCATCAGCTTTGTCGAGTTGTAAACCTTGGTACCTAATCCTAACATTTTGCAAGTCTCCTTGGCAATGGCAAGCGCGTCACCTGTCAGCATCTTCACGGGGACGCCGAGTGCTTGGGCTTCGACAATCGTCTGGGCAGTGTCTTCGCGAGGCGGGTCAAACATGGACAACAGTCCCAGAAGGACCCAGTCTTCGTCGTTCTTCTTGTATGCCACACCCAACGAACGGAATCCTCGGCGGGCGAAGTCCCTCGCCTTGTGGTTGTATTCGGTGCGAATCGCTTCAGTGACACTGCTCAGCTGCAAAATCGCCTTGGGGGCTCCCTTCGCGCAGATGTAGCGGTCCTTCCCAAGTCGACATTCAGTGGTGATGCGCTTTGAGACAGGATCGAATGGAGTGAACTTGTCGGTTTTCCAGCCTTCACGAAGAATCTCGCGGGCCTTTGGGAATTTTTTCAACGTCAAAATTGTCACTTTGTCTATGGGGTCGAGAGATGCGATGTTGTGAGAGCTAGCAAGGGCTGCTACTGCCATCATCCAGTTGACATCCTGGCCCTCTGCCACGTACGGGTCGCGTAAACTCAGCTTATTAGCCGTCAGTGTTCCAGTTTTATCGGAACACAAGACGTTGACGCCCTAGGATGTAGTGTTAGCTACGCACATAGTTGCTGCATTTCAGAGTACTTACTGCCAGCGACTCGATGGCCGTAAGCTTTTGAACAATAGCCTTCTGTTTTGCGAGATACGCAGCACCAACTGCCAGCGTAGTTGTTGTAACGACTGGTAAACCCACGGGAACACCAATAATGAGGAGCACCAAAGCGTAGTGAAGCAAGGTCTGCACTCCAGGTGATGCAATAGGGATGTGGTGGAAGAAGCCTCCAATCCAAGCAACCAAGATCCAGAACATAACGAGAACGAGTAGGGTAGTACCAATACTATCCATGACAGCTTTGAAGTGGCCACGATCTTTCGTTCCCTGGACCAAGTTCGCCGTCTTGCCCACGAATGAATATCTGGCCGAGGTAGTGATGATAGCATATGACTTGCCGCGCTTACATCCGGTGGTGTAGTATACAATGTCTCCCATGTACTTATCGACAGCCAGCGACTCACCCGTGATTGCAGACTGATCACAAGCAATGAGAGGCTGTCCGAAATGAATTGACTCGTCGTCACTCTCTTCTGCCTTCTTTTCCTCGCCGTTCTTGCCTTTCTCGTCGCCGGGCTTGTCGTTGCCATTCGGCACTTCAGTCGGATCACTGTCGAACTTCTCCTCGTTCCTAAGCTGTATGAACTCATCGTAATCCTGAGGCCTGCTGTAGTCACAGATAAGCTGAGCATCACCGGGGATAGTTTGCCCTTCTTGTACGAGAACCTAGGTGATGATTTAGCACCGCTGCCGGTGGCGCCTTTCAGAAAACAAGAGAACTTACTATATCACCCGGTACGAGCTCTCGGGCCAGAATCTGCTGTTCTCTGCCGTCACGAACAACCATTGCCTTCATAGCGATGTCTCCTTTCAAGCTGGCCACGACGTCTGCAGCCTGTTTCTCCTGATAGAAACCGACAAAGGCATTAAGGCCCAAAATACCCAAGATGACACCGAAATCGATCCAGTCACCAAGACCTACGGCCAACAGAGCAGCAAGCTCCATAACTGAGGCATTTCATTAGATTGTGCTCTGAAAGCGACAGTAGTGACCAGTTGCATTAAATAGAGGCCTTACCGTAAAGAATGGGACCCTGGAAGTATCCAAAGATCTTGGCGAGCATGTCCTCCTTCTCAGCGGTGAGCTCGTTCCAGCCGAAGCGCTTGCGGCGCTCCTCCACCTGGCTGCTGGAAATACCCTGCTTGAGGTCTGTATTCAACCAATGGTCTGGTGGTTTTCCCTCATCTGAGATGGGGTTCTCATCAATCGTCTCAGGGGTAGACTTCCAGAACTGCCACCACTTCTTCGGCTTCCTGCTCGAGCCACTAACGCTCATCATTGAGGCCCGACGCTCGGCATCATAATTGGTGATGTACCGGTCAAGGGCCTCATACTCGGGCAAATCGCCACTGGCGCGGCCGGCAGCAGTGCTGGGTCGTGGTGTTGGAAGGTGGCCTGGGAACTTGATATGTGATTCATCTTGGCTGTTTCTCTTGGCCTCCTGGCTACCACTGTTGCTGCCGCTGGCCGCGGCCGGATTGGCCTCGGCGCCAGCATTGGCTTCGACATCCTGCTCCCCGGCGCCGTTGCTGTGGCGCTGCCGAAGGAAGGACATGGTGACAGATTACGATGAGCCGATAGCTGTGTGATGCTATCGACACAGCACAGCTCAGGAACTAGCTAAAGGCAATAGAGTCCCAACCCAAAAACACGACACTTCAAGAACAACAGTGTCAGCGGCTGCGGGTGACCTTAAAAGAGAAGCAGCAGAGCTTCTTGCTTGTACCATCCATCTCAAAGCCTTCTGGTCCTGTGAGGGGTTTCATCAACGGATGGTTCCTGAGCTCTCACGAGCCAGTGACGTAGGCGTGACATCCCATCCAATAGGCGGGGGCTCAAGAACGACCAACTCAATATACTTTGGAACGTCAGTAAGCCGCGCATGTGCACCCTCGGCCTCGTCTTTTCGGGTATAACGGATGGGGGACTTAGAGTTCACTTCCCCGCGACAACGAAAGCCAATTGCAGAGCTTGGTGTTACTTGACTACTCCAAGCAACCCCCGACCTACCCGGCTACCCCGAAAAGTCCTACAAGCTCCTGTGCTACCGGGCTGACACTCGTCATTGATTTGCCAGAGGATGCCCAGCATTGCGTATACTGCGCTTTGTCCAGGTGTTGTGGGGCCGGGAACCTTTACCTGACCAGAGAGCCCACCTCCCAAGCTTCTGATACACACATCTCTGTTAGTCTGCCATGGTACCTACACATAGTCAAGCATACGCCGATGATGCCGGCCATAATTAGCGATTAAATACATGCATGTTGATGTCGGGCGAAAGCCATGCTGCTGAAAGTTGACTGATTTGATCGGCCCGAGGAGCATACCCAATCAGGCCAATGTCTATAGCGTTGACTGGGATACAAACCTCTCACATAGAAGCGCTGCCAGGCAAGGGCTCACGCCCAGTGGTGCTGTAAAAAATCTTTCGTATTGCTGCAAGGTTTCTCAGAGGCCGGGAGTCCACCCCTTTGGTCGAAGCTTGTCCACGGTTTGTCGACCTAAACATCAGCTTTATTCGCGCAGACATGGGAATGCTGGCCAAGACCCCCTTTGGAATCCAAGCCGAATCCCCAAATATCACAAATCTCACTGCGTCACAAGTCATGCAGCATCAGGGACCATGCATTGCCTCCCGTGATCGACTGTCGCTGCGTGATTTTCCTGCATGAGGGTAATATTGGGTTGGGGTACATTTAGCAGGATGCTGTTCGATGCATCTAGTCCATGCAACTACACGTAGCCTATCAAAGCTTGGCTTTCCTGGAGGCATCTCTTACCTCCTGCATGCTTTTTAGGAGCGCATAGATACTTTGCAATCGCGGCATCTCAACGCCAGCTTGCCTCGCGATCCTCACCGGATTACCCAGAATGACCTCGAGCTCCATAGGACGCCCGGCTTCCCAGTCCAACAACATGCTTGGCTTCGCGCCTGCATTTCGCTCAGTGCTCCGGACGATCCGCTCTGGGGTTGCCAGGTTCTCCGGAAATGGCTTGCCGAGAATTTTTGGTACTGCGGTCCATATTTCGTTCATGATGCCCAGGATGTGTTCCCTCAACTCTGGATCTTTGAGCTGATCAGCGTTACCACGACCGCCAGATGCGACTGCCGTTGGGTTGAACGCCGCGTTGATGGTCAGTTTATGCCAGCGGATCGTCTGCAGCTCGAGTTCCGTATGTGTCTCGACGTCCTTGATTCCACCCAGCTCGGTCCACCACCGTGCAAGGTCGTCCATGCGCGCGTGCCCTTCGGTGAGCAGTCGCTTTGTGCCGTTGCTTGCTGGCCCATTGCCCGTACGCCCCTCGCCGTATGGTCCTAAGCTTATCCTGGTCCACCTGTTTTGCCGTATCGTGCCTTGCTTGATCTGCTCTGCGCTGACCACGGTCACACCACTGATGATGGGGTTCCGTGGGAAGCGTTTGCGGTACGGCTCCTCGACACCGACCCCATTCTGGATGAGTACTATGCAGGACTTGGCCGAGATGAGAGGCGCAATGAGTTGAGAGTCATCGGACTGATCAGGAAGGGCCTTGGTCGTGACAACAACGTAGTCCCATCCATCACGCGGAGCACCAACCCCGTCTTCCGACTTTGTTTCAGCCGCAGCTGTGACCGAAGGAAATACAGCATGCGGCGTGAAGTTGTAGTCTCCGAATGAATGGGTCTGGAGAGTGACCCCTGACTTAGCGATGACCGAGTAATTGGAACGCGCCGTCAGAGACGTATAGACACTGCTGGCGGGCTAGAGTATCTCATCGTCAGCGGTCTTTCCCAATCATGATGGACAAACAGAGAGGTCTTACGTGATGGAGTCGTGATGCGTAGAAGCAGCCCACCGCTCCTGCTCCGACAAAGAGGATGTGGACCGGCCTCAATCAAAGTCAATGCGCATGGCCAAATGGATACGGCAATTAAAAGGGCTATCCTACCTGGATTCAGCGCTAGATTGCATTATGACGCTGCTTGACAAGTTGACACCTCAGGTGTTCGATATGCTGTTGGAAAGCTAGATTTAATGTTGAGGCGATTGCGACATGGCCGGAGACAGCCGCCATGCATATGTTCCAAGTCCAGAGCGAGCTGCAAGGAGCTTGGGCCTTGATGGGCAGCTCTCAGACTAAAGTAGCCGAGGTCTGAGCTGCACAACCAACCAATAATAAGTTACAGCACCTCCCAATTCTCATTCTTGTAACAACTGCACACATTGAGTTGTTATTGATAATATCCTGAAAGTGCCAATGGCAATGGGAACTACTGTACACGATAAGGCCAACCAAATTTTTCACGCCCCACATTGCTCGACCTGCAGCTCTGCGTAATCAAAAGATTCTTTGGTAATGAGTGAACTAGTGTAGCGAGAAGAGGCGAAACACCCAATTATTGGACGTGAATGTCCTTCAGCAGCTGAATAATATGGCACATTGTTCGTTCTCGAATGTAAAGCAGCAAGGTCTATCACATCCCGACATACCCACGACATGGTATTCTGACTAACACAGACACGCATTGGAAAGCCTAGTTGACAGCTTTAGTTGACAGCTTTGACCAGGTGTGATTGATGCCCAACAACCAGAGCCAGCTCGAGGACGCCAAGGAGACATTTATACTTGGTGGCTGATGTCATTTCATGTGCATATCAAAAAAAGGAAGAACAAGGCCCTGAGTTTCCAATATGGTTCGACCTAACGATTCTGCCACTGTCGAATCAGAGGCGGCCAGACGCCGAAAGGGGCAAGTCGACCTAGTCCTTACCTTTGTTCACTATCCACCGAGAAAGCTAGTAACATAGTCAGAAAGTCTGATGTAGGCCTGTTGCCGATATATGAGCTATGCCAGCCTCTAGTAACGTCGTTGAGGCTTTCATGTTGATGCTTCTCATCGCCGGTTGTGAACCCAGAGAGAAAGTGACACACGGGCGTGATGGGTCATTCGTGTATCACGTCTGGTCAGAAATATAGCAAAGCATTGCCATCTCGGACCAGCAGAGCATTTCCAAGCGAGAGAACTCCATCTAAAATTATGCCAAAGCTCTCTATCTCGTGATGACAAGGCGTCCAGATAGGAACAGTCACTTAACCTCCGGGTCTCAAGCGAGACAGACCCGCCAGCGCAACCCCGGGAACAGACATGTTCGCGCGCAGGGTCTCGGGAGAAACGACGACTGAGGCCTCCAGTGGTCTGACGACCATCTATATAACCGAGCAGCGTTTGACACAGAATAATTTGCGCGTCGCGCTCTCGTTCCGGCGCATTTTCGTGCAGAGAGGGAAAAAAAGACTCTTCTCGACGAGCCTGCCTCGAACGATCCCCAGGGGTGAAAATGCCTCAAAACACGACGCTCGGGTCGTTCCATCCCACCTAGCGCGCGAGACATTTTTTTTTCTGATATTTTAAATCCCATCACACGCCCGAGGGTCTGGCTTGGTTATATATGCATGGCACATTGCCCACCTTGGGGAGCTTCCGGTCTCTTCCTTGAGGCTTGAGGTGGTGGTCAAGCCCCCCTTCGTGCGCGGTGTACTCCCTTTGGATGCCCGGGTGAATCATTGGTCTGATTCGCCGGGCACGGGTGTCGCAGGGTCCGATGGAAGTCGGCATCCCGAGTGCCAATCAGTCATTCAGGAATCTACGGATACGGATGGAAGAAGTGCAGCTCTCGGATGCGCCCAGCTTGGTGCCACATGTCGAAGTGACCTTGCACGCCACCCCTCACGACGATGCCTTCACCGACTTCGATCGACCGTCTCATGACTTGAGGATACGAACATGGGACTGGGGCAAGCAGAGAGGAAGAGGCATCTTCCGTCGGTGTTGTTGGCTGGGACCCCAAAGCTAGCATTGCCTTGCGGCGCCAAACCGGTCCCCATTGCCAGCACGACATCGTCGCTGGGTCCATCGTTGGCGCTCGCCCCATCGTTTCCTCGGCACCCCCATTGCCCATCCAATAGTGTGGCCAAGTTGGTGTCGACCGTCGGGGGCTCCACACCCTGCTACACCTTCCCTATCTCGCCGACCGAACTGTTGCCGACCGTGCTGCCATCAAGATCCAACGAGCCCAAGCCCCGTCTCGCGTTGCCCTAGCCAATTTCCTGGGAATCCTCTTGCATCGCAGATTGCCCGGAAACGATCCTACACCGACCTGCCTCTTCTCGAGGCGACTTACCTAATAGGCGCATCCGGGGCGTATTTTTGGCAAATTGCCAAACGACGGCCCCATCTGCCATCGGGCGATGCGACGATTAGCGACATCGGCTGCAGGAACTCACGAAGGCCAACACGGAGAAAGATCAGCCATCTGGCCGAATGGCCGTCTCTCGATCAGGGATCCGGCCGGCCGTGTCCACCCGACAAGGCAAGGACCAAGTGGCTTGTTGGCTCGAAATAGCAGCTGAATCCGAACATGGCCTCAGTGTCGTCATAGGATCTGCGTTGCATTTCTTTCAAAAAAAGTATAATCCCAAAAAGGGCAAGTATATACTGCAAAAACGTTGTGCAAGGTCTTCCATGTTTAGGGGACCTTGGATGCTCTAGGACCCAGACGCCGCCGCCGCCTTACCCCTTTCTAACTCTAGTAGTTGATGATATGATATGTGCAGTAAAGAGAAACAACAGCGGAAAAGAATCCAACCACCTGTCTACCTCCTCCCCATGCTCTTTTCGAGGTCTAAGAACCATAATGCAAGAAACAAGCGAAGGGAAGGATGTTGGGTGACATGATGCACACGATCCACATCCGCGAAATCAGCAAAGCCCAACGCCGTCATCCCAATGGCCATTTATGAGTGTAAACGTCTCAACCTTTCTTTTTTTCTGTGACCGACGCCCAACCAGGATCGTAGAAAATGATCATGTATAGTCGACCAGCAAAGTAAAAGGCCCACTAAAGGGTATAAGATGCATGAAAGTGAGAAAGAAAAAAAAATTCGACGGCATAAGCATCATGGTATCATGGTATCATGTGCAAACCAAACTCCGGCGCATGAAATGCATTGATTTATTGGGCATCGCCCCAAAATGCGGAGGCGACGGGATCTGGGGAGTTGGTAATCCCGTCGGCGAAGTTGTTCATCGACCAGTAGGGGTCTTCCTCGAGCATCGAGAAGCCGGCGTTGGCGTCGTCTAGAGAGCCAAGATTCGGCAGGAACTTGTTGGCGGCCGCGGCACCCTTGAAAGACATGAAGTCGCCGCTGCCCAGTTCGCTATCGCTGACCATGGACGTCTGGCTCTGGGACATTTGCATGTAGTCGGTAGCTGCGCTCATGCGGAAACCTTCCATCTGGGCTTCGCTGAAAGCCGGTACGAAGTCCTCAGTCTCCGACACGTCGCCTGAATTGGAGGTAAGAGTCGGCTCGGTCGAGCCTAGATCGAAACCGGCAAACGACTGGGCCTGGTCGTAGCTCGAGGGCGCGAAGTTGTCGGCCTTCATATCCAGCCCGTCGTACTGCGCCCAGTCGACAGAAACAGCACTCAAACCGGCGCTGTACATTGGTTGCTCATCGAGGCCGTGGAACAGCTCAAACGAAGACGTGTATTCGGGGTAGCGAATGCCGGAGAGGTCCAAGGGCGGTAGCTGGCCGTTCAGCTGCTGGAAGGACGAGTCGCCGCCGTCAATCAGGGGCGAAGCCTGTTCCGACTTGGACTTCCGCGTCTCCTGCTCGATCAAATCCCTGCTCCGAGAGCGACTGGGTGCCTTCCCATGGAGGAGGTTGTCCATCGATCGGTTGCCCAGACTGCTCGAACTCGCGTTGCTGTGCATGGAGTGCCCGCGGCTCAGCGAGTAGGGACCGCATTTCTGCGATGCCTTGTTGTGCTTGTGCGGCGGCTTGTGGTGGCCGTTCTCGTCAAAGCTCAGCACGGGCTCGGAATGCGTCGTATTGGCGCGTCGGCGGCGTGATACCGCTTTCGGCTTGCTCGGCTGTGGTTCCTGATCCGACTCGGACTCGGGGACGGTGTCCAGGGACGGCTCCTTCTTGTGCGAGCAGGAGCAGCGGCCTCCATGGTTACAACAGCAGCTGTCTGATCAAAGCTCAGAACTTCAGGCTCCCCCAATGTTGCGACGGCGATCCTGCTTACCGGTGTGGCCCACGACGGTGGGCTGCAGATGATGACACTTGTGCGTCTTCTCGCCACAGTCACATTTTACGTGGGACGACCGCGACTTGCGCATCGAGCGGCAGTGCTGACATTGCGATACCGGCCGACCCTGGAAGCAGACAGGTTAGCACGACGTTGCTGTCTGACTGAGCGTCAGCGCCGGCCGGAGGACTTGCCTTCTTGTTGATGTGTTGTAGAGGGCGATCTGTGTACGGGGTCAGCGGACGGCGGCCTTTGCTTTCCATGCATGCACGAACGGGGAGAGGGCAGATGCGATGCGGTGCAACGAGAATGCGCCGCTCGAACCTGGAGCTTTCACAAGCTCGAGGACCAACACTGCGCAGTCCCTTGTTGAGGAGTGCCCCGCGGTTGGTGCTACCCAGGGTCGGCTTGCAGGTCGAGGTTGGAGGGGCAGATAGACGATGTGTGCATGTAATGAAGGGCCAGGGCAATAATCACTCACCAGAATGGTTGCAGTTGGAGACGCGATGGCTGCAACAACGATCAGTCAGTCAAGTTGCCTTTGAATGCGTAACAGATGTCACTGTTTCTATGACGCCCGGCCTGGCACAGCAGACGTAGAGAAAAAAGTTGGCGAAGAGAGGCGCCGGTTTAACTCACCCTCGCACACAGGCCTCGCAAGCCCTATCCAGCCAGCCGTGTTAGTGATTCCCCTTCCACGTTGCAGAGGAACGGCACGAGTTGGGACTTACCACTTCTCGCCGTCTATCAACATGGTATACGGGCGTCTCCAGGGATCAGCACAAGACAGAAAGGTCCAAAAGTCGCAAGGCGGGCGCAAGGGTGGGAAGGGAGGGAAAAAAGAGCTCTTTGTTGCCAGAGTGCGCGCAGGCGGCACCGAGAGAGCTTTGAGTTGAGGCGGGCGACTGACACGCCGAGTGTGTCGCAGATCTTAATGAGGGTTGGTGCGCAACGCTTTTGCGGGAAACGCGCCGAGGGACCCAAGGGCGACCGGGGGTGGGATAAAGGGCCGAAGTAGTGAACAATAAAGACGGAGAAAGAGACGTGCGGTAAAAGCGGCCCTAAGCGCGCATCATTTTCCAGCACCGGGCAAGCCAGCCAAGTCCCCCCAAGGGTGTGTGGTCGTTGTGGGTTTTGGGTCAATCAAATATAGTCGCTCGCTTGCAGCTTGTCCGCGCGCGCCCAGGTCCGATTGGTACAAGTCCTCTTCTCGGGTTTTCCCAGCTATACAGCGTAGGTTGGTCGACGGCAGCACCTGCAGACTGCAGTCCGGCCGGCAGGCGAGAAATGGGAAAATGGAACAAAAAATTGAGTGGAGATTTTCTTGGAGGTTCTGGATTAAGGGTTTTGGACCTTACTCACGCCGTGGCCGGGCGAAGGTTGGAGCACCAGTTGGTTTGATGGGGAACGGGCGGGCACTCTAGTTTAGAACATGCTCGTGGATCTTGCCGTCGTCTTGGGGTGGTCCTGGGCTCTGCTGGGTTGCGTCGGGTTGCGTTGTGAAGGGTGACCGGCCGGCGCGGGCGGCTGATCGCTCGGTCGAAAGCTGCACAGGACGAACTGCAACGGCTTCGTCCACTTCGGCCTGTCCTGTCTGCTGAAGGTATGCTCCAGCGGGCGGTACACTAGCGCGCCCAATGAATCCCCCCAAAAGACCTTGTAGGTTGTCCTCCTCCTAACGGTTTGTCTCAACAAAGGCCTGAGGGCAAGACACAGCAAAAATGTCTTGAACTCTGGGGGAAGCCTCAGCAGGGGAAGAATGACAAACAGGGCGGCGGGCGCCGGATTCTGTTCTGAAGGGAGAAACCAAAAAGGTTAAATCAAATGGGCCTCCCGTGTCTCCGATCGTGACAGAGTGTCAATGAATAGCAGCAGCAGAGGTGCGAGAGTGCGAGCCCGGGATGTCAAGGCTTCTGGGTCGGAAGGGATGCGCTGGATTTATTATCTCAGAAACTCAATTGGGGACGCGTCCCGTCTGGCTGTACTGTGCAGTACGTATCTACGTCGCAGTCACGGAATTATTCGACGACACTAGTGCTCCTAGCTGGAGCGAGGAAATATCGATCCTGGGCGCCAGCCCACGTCGAGGGATTGTTCGTATGTAACTCGGTAGTCTTGTACCTCCCATCCATCCATGGCACATCCCTCCATCCCCCCATCCCTCCATCCCACCCGCGCCGCGCTCTGGCGGGTTACCCAAGGGGGTGGGCAAGCTCGCCATGACCTTGGAGACAAAGGCACACCCCTCGCAGGCGCCCCCCCCATCAACCCATGGCCGCCATGGGCCGCCAGGCGGTTGGCTGGACGTCGCCTAGCCTCTACTCCATGCGACCTCGACTCGACTGCGCGAAAAACGAGATGGTGGGCATCGCGAATGGAGCCCCCGGAAATGGGTGCTCCAATGTCTCCAGAGGAGCTAGAGGAAAAGGCCAATAATCCGCCCACTGGCGATCGAGGATGTGGGCTAGCTGTCCCTGCCCCCCATCTTTCTCCTTCATCTCCTCGCTCGCTGGCGTGCACCCCCATTGTCGCCTGCCGCCAAGCAAGCCGTTGGTCAGTGTGTGAACGATCGGATCGCTCCTCGCCAGTGTCCAGCTCCAGGCTAGTCCGGGAGCTGTGCGGGTGCACGAGGGAGCTAGGCAAAAGGCGGGATCACTTACATGATCCTAGCAGGGGAGCCATGCCACGATGATGGAATCGGCGGCGTGGGAGGTTTCTTGCCAGTGTGTGGTGGGATCCAAGAGAGAGTGAAACATCTTTCGCACCTCGGTAGCGCAGGCTGGTCGTTACCAATTGTATGGCCCAGGTTGTTGCACAGCTTCTCTCTCTCATGTGCCATCCCATCCACCCGCCTTTGCCCGCCAAATCCTCGAGTAGTCACTCACCTCTATCTTTTGTTTAGCTCAATAACAGACTGAATTATGCAGTGGCTGCTCCGACTTGCCCCCCATGGCCCGTGGGCGCTTGACTCCCCTTGTACATTCCGTCACTGGTCACGGGGGGCGGGTTACCAGGTTCTTCTTGGTGGGGCTTGCAGGCCTGAATCCGTTGCCCAGCCTTGCTCGACGACTTACACGGCCCTGACTGCGGCAAACAGTCGCAACATCCAAGCTCAGTGCGGCAGTATAGATCTGCAGTAAGGAACTCTAATACCCACCCAGACATCATATTGTAAGACGCAGAGAATGTGATGTCACTTGGAAAGAAAAAAAATGTTCACAGAGAGAGAGGGGGGAAAAGTTGAAAGGGAATTGTCGTCATTAGACCAGATGATCAGCAAGCTCCCGCAGAGGGGATTGTGCTGTTGTTGTGCTGTTGTTGTATAGAGAACAAAAGCCCAATGCTACGCTGGGTAGTCTGTCGCGCTAGAAAATCCCCAAACCTTTGGATGCCCAGTGTCGAGCGGACAAGACGTATATGGTGTGCATATGTAGTCGTTAGGCCTGAAATTGCATGCTAGTCCATGTAATTAGACAACCATATCGCCTGGTATATGCAACGCTTACATAGTCCCAAGGGCACTCGCCCGAGAGATCTATACATGTCCTAAAGGCGGGTGGAACCGGTGTTGAGATGCATTCGAGGCGACCACAGCAATGCACGTCTACTGTTCTCGTGACGATCTAGCGATGCCGGGAACGCAAATGACCGGTATTACTCATCCTCAGCAGAGTCAGCAACAGGATTCTGAGGATGAGACAAACAGCCGTCTCATGATTGGCGGTATGGCCCTCAGCCATTATGACTCGGTGCTGTACCATAGTATGGGGGGGTTGCATGGCCCTGTGTTTGCTGTATGGACAACGCAGGTGCAACTCGGTGCAGCATAATAAAGATCGCCAAGACTGCCAGCTACAGGCGGGTACAACCGCACGTACGGAGTGAGGTAAGATTTCAAGAGATGCTGGCGCTGAAACATTCGGAGGGTCATTGCACAGTGAATTGATCTGTGCAGACGGCAGGTAGCACTGCAGGCTCAACAAATGCTCTCTCGATTATTTCGCCGCCAGGCTTGCTTGCTTGCTTGCATGCATGCACCTCTCACAAAACAATACCTTGCCGGCGGGACAAGTCTCCTGGCAACTCTCGAAAACGGTAGGTCTCGCGGGCAGAGATATTCCGCATCTCGGCACTCTAGCGAGCAAGTTAGCCCACGGATATCGGGTGAACTCCTATTACCCAGGCGAACAGCTTGAGGCCCTGATCGTCCATTTTGCTGCAGGAGCTGTATGCAAGTATGCACATGTGGTTTAGGAAGCCGAATCTAACCTTGCGCTGACCTGCCTGGGTACACAAGATGGCAGGCTGGGCTGGCTGGCACCCTTGGTACCCGCGCCCCTCTGCTGCAAGTTTGCAGGTTGCAGGTTGCAGGTGGGAGGCTGACGGTGGAAGTGGACCCCTGGCTCCCTGGCTCCCTGGCTCCCTGTTGCGGTCGGGCCCACCTGGATAACGGTCCTTTCTGACTTGCTGGCTGCTAATAGCATCTCCTAATAATTCGGCCCGCCCAGCAAGCCTCCCCAGTAGTGAACCCCGTGCCCCCGGAGTGCAGCGGCGACCTTGGGACCTTTGCCCCAGGGGCACTGGTTGACTGGAGTCTGGGACGGGGCACGCTGGCACGCTGGCAGACTGGTCCATGTTCTTGTCACCGCAGTGCTGTCCACGGGCCACGGGTAAGTGGGCGGTGGACACTGGACTGCACTGGGCAATGATCAAAGGGCAATGGGCGATGGGCAATCGGCATGGAATGGACTCTCAAACAGTCAGAGCAGACGAGGACACGAGGACAGCCGAACTTGGGGACAGCCAACCGCAATCTTCCACGGAACCCGATGTCGCCTTCTCGGCAGCAACCAAGTGAAAAATTTCAACCCACCCCCCAAAAACGCCCATTCAACCCGCGCGAATCAGGTTGTGCATGGTGCCAAATTTTGCACCTTGAGGCTGCAGTTCCTTTTGTCCATCATCACCCTGACCAAAGCCTTACCTCAGACTGACCTGTCGAAGCCGACATTCTCCGGGCCCTCCTGCATGCGGTCACTCCCATTTTGAGATGGGCTCGCGGACCTGCATCCTCTGTAATCTTGCCCTTTCCCCCATTGATGCGATGTGATGCGACGTGTTGTGTGCGCTCTTCTTGGCTTTTGGACCCTTCGGACATCAGGTGCCGTTGGTCTCCACCCGAAACAGAGTGCCCACCGAGCCTTAGCATAATACTGCACTGCCCGCATGCCATTATGTGAATCGTTCATGTTCGTTGTGATATAAGACCTTTGGAGACGCGGGCGAGCTAACCACAGGAAGGCTGTTGCAAACCCGGCATCATGGTCAATCGACAGCAATGTGCCGCGCAAGGACCCCGTGTCCCTAGTGTACATCTGGACTAGCTACATGGTTTAGTCAACCAGGCATGTTCTTAGCAAGCACGGCAAGTCGAACCTGGGTGAGGCATGCTACACGCTTCAGAGCTCTCCCACAGGCAGAGGAAAACTCAGCGAGGCATCGGCGCCGACCCGGGCCTGTCTGACAGTATCACACGACAGCTTGTCACTATGTACAGGACGGATCGGGCAGCTCGCAGACCGATGTGCAGGATCCTTGCCTGCGCACCGAGTACGACTGTACGACCCAACGACCCAGCAGACTTTCCCGCGGACTACGGGCAGAACAGGCAAGCCAGCGCACCGCCTCCCTCCTTCGCCGGCAATCGCAGAGAATTTGCCGGGTAGCTCAGGGTTCTTTCAGCCACCTGATGGGATTCAAACCGGCTTCGCGCCGGACCCGAGAGCTTGATTGGTGCTCTGCCCTCAAGTCGGTCTTCCCTCCTGCAAGAGAGCTGAAAGGGTTAGGGGTGGCACACTCCTTGCGTCTTCGGGTAACTGAATATCCAACGAGGCGCACTCTAGGCTGAGCTAATGGTGTGTGTGACTTGGCCTGGGAAAAAGGAGACAAGAACCAGAGATTCGGGCCCTATAGGCTCTCACTTTGACAACCATGGAAACCTTCTAGAAGCTGCCCAAAGGTTGCATACAGCGTCGAATCCCCACATGTGTCGCCTTCCTTGCAGGTGCAGATGGCGGTACGTATTTGCGTCGGCACTTGAAGACCACCTCCAGTAATGCACGAGACATTAGATGTGCCACACCGACCTCACAAAGTATGGCATGAGTTATTCCTCCTGGGACAATTCTCAGATTGGGTGGGAAAACCAGACAGCTGTAATAGTGGCAGACACGTGAGCCAGGCTGTTGCTCTCATTGCATTGACGTTCTGGATCCCCGGCACCGACACCATCCATTGCTTTTCCGGCTCGCCCACGAGGCTGGCTCCTTTCTTAAGCGCCTGCTTAGCTTTGCAACTACTCAATGAGGGATGCAGGGCTGAACTGCATTGTTAGTGTGTTGTTTTGCTGGTGCATGCAACCGACATCCGTGTGTCATATAATGCCATCATAGACCAAACCCCCACGCCAATCAGCAGCACCCAATTGATTCTCTAGGAAGCTGTATCCGAGAACAGCACCGATGGTCACGAATTGGGCGACTTTTTCCGCATTTCTAGTTCCACAACCGCCGGGCTCGCCGTGTCCAATCCGAATCGAATTGCTCGGTGAATAGCAGCAAGCCACTGATCAAGGTCTCAGTCGAGACGTCTAGACCACGGTTTAACGGAACTTCGTGATATCGACTACGAACTATAGGAATCGTCTTTGCGGTCGCCTAATTTCCAATGTGTTCAGAGATGGATTTTTTCTGCTAACCGCCCACGTGGGTATTGTGCAGCACCTCACGTGGCGTAACTGCACGGAAATTTTGAAGCATTTCTTTTTTTCACGTAGCTGTTATCGACGGGACCGCCTCAGTTTACGCGCTTATTGGAATTCGGCTTGATGGTGACTACGCGAAATGGATTGAAGAGTTCTTTACCAGCTTCACATTTACTCTATGTCTTACATGATACCATCCTCAGCCGAACGACGTGATTACCAGACTCCCGCGCTATCACCCGGCGCTTGCAAAGTGATGTAGCGTTTGCGTCGGGACGTCACATCGGATCGCCTGAAGGAGCACTGGCGGTAGTCGACAGCAGTTTATCATTATGGATTGAATTTGTCCTGTGTATTTGGTGGTGATGAAAATGCTTTCTATATAGTATACATACCCTATAGCAGCCCAGACATTTGCTCACTATATGGCCCATACTGAGGCACGCTCCGAGCGCAACCGCCTTGGCTATTTCTACGAAGATGACCCAATAACACCGCGGGCCTGGCCGTCCCGCCCCGTGGCTGGCCTACGATCGTCGGAGCGGAGTTTTGTTGTGAATAATTACTTTGAGTGGCGTTGGCGTCGGACTCCTTGGATGATGTGACAAAGCTTATAGCAACCTCAATAAGCTAGTCGCCATCACGGAACACGTTACACCAAAAGCAACGACGTACTTGATTCCCAGATCTCTTACACACTAGCCCAAGTCTTCGGGCAAGCAGAAGTGACAACATAAGTGAGCTGAAGCGCTAAGCACGCTCAGCAGCCTTGCACTAATCTAGTTCACGGATTATACATGAAGATCTATAGTCACATGTGCGTTATAGTAAGCCCTCACGTGGTTTAGTGCCCCTGCTATCGATTTATACCCTGTCGCCACATTCTCATCACCACCTATCATCCGGTGAAGAGCACAATTAATGCTCATACCTTCCCTGTCGCCACATTGTGTTTTGTTTCAGTCATCGTTGGAACTAATTCTCGAGCGACCTGACCTCCTTTTGCCATGACCCTCTTCCCTGTCGCCACAATCTCAACACCACTGATTGTGGAATCAACGGACAAATGTCGTTATTTGAGGCCTCAATTCCGTCATCCAATGATCAACAATCACACTCGAGCTTGTGGCCAGGCCCGCCTGGACGAGCGCCGACGTACTGTTGTATAGCGAGGATCCGGCGAGCCATACGCCGTCATTACGTACTCTGCGGCGATCTGCGGACGAGTCGCCGGCCCTTCCCTTCTCGGGGCTGCAGACAACACGGGCTAGGTGCTACCTGGTGACGATCGATGAGACACCCGCACCATTGGTAACGACGACTATTGGTTCCCTGCGAGCCCGTCCGCGGGGGATCCCACGGGGCATTCTCGTTAGTATGCAGCCGCCGACTGTGCGTGATGCTGGGATGACTTCCCCATCAGGCACACCGGGGACGTGGAGGGAATGTGTCATCGGGATCTTCGGTGGCTCGGTCTACAGGCGCTCTATAGTCCGAGATCCAGGCATTTCCCAAGAACAGCAGTCTCAAAGTCTGGGCCCTCCGCGCTATGGCGCCATGTCGACAGTGGACGCTAGATATGTATGTACATCACTCGGTGCCTGGCGGATACCGAGGCCGTATCTTGAAGATGGCTTTCTGCTCCTCGTGAAGGCCTAGACCGTGCGGACATGTAGCGCGCCACATAGTCTCCTTGATCTAAGAGAGCATTGGGTACAGAGAGCAAAGAGAAACGATCGCGAGACAGCGCGGGCACTCCTGCTCCTAGAAGTCTCGAAGACGATCTACCCAAACAAGCATGAACAGTCTCCCCAGGCGCGCTGAAGATATGGCGTGATATGCAGAAACAAGCCTCACCCCAGGCACCATGCAGTCTCGGGTCCGTACGTGACGCAGGGGCAGCGGACCAGCAGGAGTTCACACACAGCCTTTCGCAATCACCAGAGGCGAGTGCAGGGGCGTAGGGAGTTCAGCTGATCCGACGAGGGTCATGAGTGACAGGTCTCTGCCATGCTGACGATTGTATCGAAGACGGGCTTGCAAGCGAAGGCATGTGGATCTGCCCGGAGCACCAGCTCCATGATATCAAAGCAAGTCTTCACGTCTTGTGGTGTCTATACAATATGACTTGTCCAAGTATGTCCGCGCCCTAATCTGTCCTTATGAATATGGTCAAGTGACACTAAATGCTGCAGGGTGACCTGCCACTGAAATGGATGTTGGAATTGTTGGATGCCCTGCGATCTTGATCGCAAGATTCATGTCATCTCATCCATTGTGATCTCGCAGCATTTCCCCAATCTCGACTGGCAGATATTGCAAGGTCACACACAGCAATTCAGGATCCGCGTTGACAATGAGGGGGAACTATTGCTGGGGAGCGAGTCCCCTTCGCATCAAATAATAATATACACACATATTCGGCCAACAGACATGTGGCCAGAGACTCATGCATTGGACATAACATCCCCTTCTATCACCATAACTGGAGCTTATGCAAGTCAATAGTCAAAGATTCGGCCCGCAGCGCAGTCTTTTGTTTCCGCAGATTGTCTTCTCGTGAACGCAACACGCTTCTAGAAACCCCCGCTCTCGATACTAGCCGTTATCACGTGTCGAGAAATAGGATGAGAAGTGCCTCTGATGGCAGAGACACCTTGAAGTGAAATCGGGAAGGGGCAGGAGAACGCCTTCCAGTTGTTATTACATAGGTAACCGGCATAAGGGTATTATGCCTGGCAGCGCGCACCAGGCGATAGTGAGCTATTGTTACAATGTCCCTAGGGACTTGCCGGCCGGCTCAAAATAGAACGGACCAGGGAGTACTCCCATAGGTCAGCAGTCTACTTCGCTGTGGCAGGCCTGGTCTCCACGAGGGCATATAGGTACCCTGCACGTGTCAGCGGCTGGGGATCGAAGCTGCTGTGCTCGTAGTCGTTGGCTCGCAGGGAGCCAAAGTCTACTGATTTTTCGAGCTTTGTGGAAGCCTCTACTTCTGTAGCAGTCGCCAAGTCTGCCAAATGCTGAAGACTTTGACTTGCTGTTGCCTCCATGGAGGAGTGTGCGGTGGTCGGCCGTACCTGCTCAGCAATCCGATCCCTAATGAGGTTGTCCCAGTTGGACGGTGCAGTAGGAGTATCAAGGAGCTCTTTCAAGAGCGATGTGGCGTCCTCGCGTTGAGACTCATCTTTCAAAAGCCCCAATAGTGTCAAAGTTGTCAGACAGAAGAAGTGGTGGTTCAAGGGGTTAAGCGACTGGGCGTTCACCCTTAGAAGACCAACCGATTCTTTGCAAGGCCACATCATGTTGCTTGATTTGACGTTTGGTTGGAACAAGTAGGCCAACAACCTACAATGCCAATACACGGAATGCAGGATAGGGTGGGTCGCTGGGGCGATAGTAACAGGCAAGACCTCCCTGAATAGCTCCATTGACAGATTGAAAAAGGAGCTCAATAAGGGTGCTGCGCCAGAGTCGAAAGCCATTGCCTGTGGAGGGGCGAGAGCAACCGGCGAGAAGTGGCCCAAAATATTCGACAGACGGGCGAGATGATACACGTTCTCGCCAAGCAAACCCAGCAAACCCGGAAGAATGACAACACTGGCATTCGGGATAAACAGCGGGCTTGCGGTGGAGATAGCGTTCCACCGGTCTAGCATCACCAGCGTCCACCAAGCCCGGGTGGCAACATTGTCATCAGAGTCGGGGTCAAGCTCAACATCAAGGTTGGAGCCAACCTGCGATAGGTGCAATCTCATGGAATACGCCAGCCCGACTGCTCGGCCCAAAGTAGCAGCCTTGGCTGGGCCGCCATGTTCGCCCTTCAGGGATGATGGGCCGTAGTTGTCAGCGGATATGGCAATCAAGACGAGAGTTTGCAGATGGATCAAGTTGGCAATATGCGAGCGGGGCGACGAGTCTGTCTCCCAATCTGCAATCAGCCGTACAGCTGACGACAGCAGCTCCCTATATAGCCCGTCTGTGTTAAAGGACGGCAACGACTGAACGGTGCCATGTAGCGCATCGATGAAAGCATCGCGCAAAATCGACGAGCACTGGGCAAGTTGGGCCTCCAACCGTGACTTGTTGGCAGTCAGGACGGGGAAACAGGGATGTATGACCGCGAGGTATCTGGTCAAGGTCAGTTGAAGGTCGTTCCATGTTCTGGCCCTAGAAAGCAACTTACGCTGCGAACAATGTCTCGTCCAACTCGCGTGCCTGTCCAAGATGACTTAGGTCAAGATCCATGCCGTCCATCACAGCTGCTGGTCGGGAAGGCGTTTCCGAATCGTCCTTCTCACCCGGCGTGGGTGCAAGTCCATTCGCGGAATAAGGGGGCCTGTATCGTTCGGGAGTCGGTTGGTACGGCTGAATAGCTCGTGGCTCGGAGAAGGTTGACTGGCGGGAGGCGTCAGGAGGAGTGCCAAAGTCTGCGCCTGAGATGCTGGAGTACGGCCTTTTACGGCCGTCTGCGGATCCAAAGATATCGTTCGTGTCTCTTCGTGTGCCGTTCAGCAGCTCGTTCAAGTCAGCAGCACTAGCACCCTCCGCATTCAATTTCCCTTCGATGGAGTGGATTCGATCCGCGAGCTCCTTGATGTATCCCTTGCTAGGACCGCGCTTCTGCGGGATGCGACTGAACAAGCATCGCATGTTGGAACGGCGGCAGTTTGAACACGGTTCATCACCACCTTCCGAGGGAGCGTCACATTTCACCTTCTTACGCCGGCATTCATCACAGGCACGAGACACCTTTGACCGCTTCCGAGGTGGTATGCTGTTATCCGTCATGGGAGGGAACTGCTGGGGCATGTGATCCATGGGCGCAGCTGGTTGCAGGTGTGGTTGCTGCTGTTGCTGGTGTTGTTCGGGGATGTACTGGTGCTGGGCTTGATGATGCTGGTTGGCTTGCTGTTGCTCATCGTGGTGTTGTAGCTGCTGCTGGTCTGAATGTGATTGAGGTATGTCCTGATCATGACTGTGGATGTGCTCGTGGATATGTTCATGGCCATGCTCATCATGCGGAGGCAGTCCGTCGTGCTGAGGGAGCGGGTCGTGGTGCAGCTGCTCATGGTCGTGGTTCAACTGGTCGGCTTGGTGCTGCAGATCGGGATCGTGCTGGTCCAGGTCATGCTGTGCCATGACATGCTGCAGGCTTTGCTCGTCCGTTGGATCCATCATGGGCAACCCATGGGCGAGGCCTTGGCTCAGCTGGGCGGCAAGTTGAAGCTCTTCGGCGCTGCTCATGGGCTGCCGTCCGCTATGGCGTGGCGTTGGCGGCTCTTCAAGCTGGCCTTGGTCATCATGATGATGACTTAGATCGGATTGCGGCTGCTGGTCCTGGCGAGGGGTCGTGTGGTAGAAGGGGTTGTTGTCCTGGCCGTCGACGGTGGGCGACGGGTAGGACTGCATGACCACATCGGTCTCGGGGTTGACGTCGGGCGGTGGAGCATCATGCTTCTCGAGCATGGGATCTATGTCGGACATGTCGAGGTTGGTATATGTCATGAACGCGAATGCACGTGCGAAGACGGCAATGCGACAGTCCAGGCGGAGTCGAGGCTGTTGAATGCGACACGGTGAAAATTGCGCGAGGCGCACAAAGCCTTGCGACGGTTTGCAACAAGGTGCGCCGAGGCTCCACTGGCCCCGAATTGACGGCGAACGATACTAGGAAGGCGTTCAAATGCTCCTGGTCCTGGTCCCTAAGAGGCGATGGCGATGAGGATACGCCAAGACGAGGGTTGATGCTGTCGCGTTGTGGGATCTCGTGCAGCCGGACAGGAGCGGAACTTTTTTTTTCTGGGCGGGAGCTTTGAAATTTGCGCGTCGGTGACGTTGCGCGTTGGCCTGCTATCTGTCTGTTAGTACTGGGGCGGCAGCCAGTTGTCACGAAACGGCGCAGCGCAGATTGCATGCAGCATGTCGAGATGAGGATGGGATGGTGAATGCACGGTCAATTGAAGGAATTATCGACGGCTCGCTCTAAGTGTATTACAAGAGTGCGCGACGCGCTGCGGCGGTCGCGACTTGAACCTGGACCTGGACCTGGACCTGGCCCCGTGGGCGCCGGCGCTGGCGCTCGGAATCGAGGGCATTGCGACAGGCTCTCTCCCAAATGCGAGGCAGCGCCGGGCGTCTGGGCGTCCAAGTCGTGGTTGGGGATCGCTTTGTGGAAAGCGACGACAATCTGGCACGGCACGGCACGATCGAAAAAGAGGTTAAAACGCACCTGTCTCGCGAGTCGCCAGCGGTTTGGCTATGGGAATGGAAAATACTGATCTCCGGATGCCCAAAAACACGGGCGGAAGAACCTGCACGGCCGAGTAGACTTCTCTAGAGCTCACTGTTCCGTCTCGGACTTTGTCGCGCCGGCCCAGAGTCGTGTGCAATTTTCGGAGACGGTGTTCAAGATGGAAAAAAAATATTGCGGCCAAAGCGATCCCAGGCGAAAAACAGAGCTGCCAAGGTCGCCTCCCGACACAGTTGGTTGCGTGTGGGTTAAACTTCGGCTCATCGACGTGCAACTGTTGTTGGCCAGAGATACTGGGCGGCTGGCCCTCTCAATGGTATCAGCCCAACCGAGACAGCACAAACTTACTTCTTCGACGCAGTGTATGTAATGTGTGTAAGTAGGTAGGTAGGTAGGTAGGTAAGCATGTAAACAAAGCCAAGATTCGAGATCACTGTTTTCGTTCTCTTCGACAGCTCATATTCGCTTCGTTGAGCCTTCGTTTCCCAGTCCGAGCTCGCTTCCATCTCCAACCAGATTCCACACGTTCGGAATAACTCACCCACTTACATCATGTTGCAACACGATTCCCCGTGTCCCAGGACAGCCATTGTGCTGAACTTCAGCCGCAATATCTCAGGCCGACCTCGCGACCTATTGACGGCATTTACCTACGCATCTGTAGATGTTACGGAAGAAAACCAATCGATCGACGTTGCTCGCAACTCAGAATAACTGCACCTAGCTCGGCAGCATGTCCTCCGGAGGCCAAGACTCCAATCTGGGCCCCGTTGGCCAATCCGCCGCCGAGCCATCGCGAGTTCAGAGTTGCGAAGTCCGTGGAAGCGAGTGTCATACGCCTCTATCTCTGCCTCTGGCCTTGTCCCAAAGCCCATATGAACCACGTGCTCCTCCGTGACCTCAAGCCACAGCAACCACGGCGCAATATATTGCCCGCGGCTAAATAACCCCCGGGTTTCGATAGATGGAATACGAGGCGGCAAGAGACGCGCCTAGCGAGCCGTACCTGTCGATCTATGGGGAGTATGTCAAAAGGCTGCTACCCAGAGATTGGCCATTGAGACAAATGTCCTTTCCACCTATCGGCTGGTTGCCGCCTATCTACAAGAAGCGCACGATGCACTATCCAAGTGCGCCGTGTGTTTATGACCTTTCTCTACCTCAAACGCTTGATCTGCACCTCGCTAGCCTCGTATCCGAGCGTCTTTTGAATTCTTTTGTTTTTTAGTCCTTGCATCATTAATCGAGGTCGCCATGGTTTGCCGAATAACCTTACCGTTCCCATATAGTTTATCTAGCCCTGTCCATGGCGGTGTTGAAGGGGATTCGATTTGTGTAGACATGAGAATCTTAATATCAACATCCAACATGCTATAGCACATATATACCATGACATATTATGCGGGTAAAATTGGGCTTGACCCAAACCTCTGGGACTGCAGCCTCTAGGAGAGCTTGTAATATAAAATGCGGTCGAACTTGTCAGAATCGGGCCTTTTTCATCGCCCGAACCCTTGTTGTCTCGTTACACAGCTCGTCAAGTTCCCCAGGCGACTGATCTTGTGACCTTGGGGGATGAGGAGGTTTAATATGCGCCCGACATGTTGCCGTTCAGGTGAGGAGTTCGTCCTAGCGGCAGATCCTTGCATCGTGGGACTCTCCATCCCGCCGCGGTACCATGCCGTTCAGTGAGTTCGCAGTCTCACCCTTAGCTACGCATGTCGGTCATAGCTGGCGGCATATTGGCTCGGCCTATGTGGGCCAGATCGGAGACCTTTGGAACGGTGGGTTGTGATGGACAGATTTTGTGAGGGAGACTTGCGATGCATTGCATCCGGTCATAATGACCATGCCTAAATCAGACTCGCCGATCCATGTGGTTTATCGACTGTACTTCGGGAATGCCAAATGCGATGGCATGCGAAGACGTGTGGTTGGAAACCCCATGCCAGTTCCAACATCTGAGCGATGAGAGGACTAGGGACGCGCGATGAGCCAAAACCATCGGCCTGCGACTCCAAATCCCCCTAGCCGGTTGGCTCGTGAACCTCTTCCTGCTCTGCCTTCCGTTTGCCCCAGAAGCCCTTGCCGTAACTGACACAGATCTCCTCACCCTTGGCGATGCCGCCCGCAGCGGCCTTCTTCCCCACGCCGGCGCCGGCGGCCTTGCCCGCCGGCAGGACAAAGACGGCCATGCACCTCTGGCCGACGCGGGCGTCCCAGCACTCGCGGAACTCGGCGTTGGGCCGCGGCCGCACGCCGCGGTAGTCGTTGACGAAGCGCGCCTCGTTGCCGGCCGCGTCCGCGTCCACGGCCACCCCGGCGTCGCGGTCCAGCCAGAGGTCGTAGTCCGACCGCTCGTGCGCGGCGCTGTGGGGCGGCAGCGCCGAGTGCACGACGCCGTAGTAGGGCAGGATGAGCGACCCGGCTGGGAGTGCCCGCGCGGCAAACAGGCCCGCCTGCCCGCACGCCGGGTGCGAGGCGTCCGTGATGGGCGTGATCCTGGCCAGCGCCGAGGCGCCTCTGGCGAGGCTCGAGGGCACCTCCGCCGTGAGGTCGGCAGGCCGCGTTTTGAGCGCTTGCACTTGCTCCTTGGTTAGGTGGGGTGCGTGAGAGGGCTGCAGCAGGTATGGGAGGCCCGGCGGCCAGTTGCTAGGAACCGCGGCACCGCTCTGCTTGCCCATCCTGAGGCTGCGGGCAGGCTGAAACCTTGAGTCCAGTTGAGAATCCCTCGGCCACGGTAGATCTTGACTGAAGGTTTTGCTGCTGTTGTACTCCGTTATGTAAGTAACTAAGCTATCCAAGTTAGGTAGGCAGGCTGTCGTCCGCAATGGTGGGTCCTTGGCCCGATCAACTCGGCAGGGAAGGGGACGGGCCGGTGCGGTAGCTATACTTTGGTTCGCCGAATCAGCCTTTCGTCTCCCCAATGTGCCTCTGCAGGATAACATGTTCATCAAGAACACTCAATTATCAGTAGCAGTCGATTTTTCGGGTATATTTCGACCAGAGCCACCAGCTGACTTAATGGTGATACATTGACGCAAGAAGTATGTCTATCAGGCGCACTCGGCCGCCTATAGCCAACAGGAGATATTTCGAGTCTCCTGATGTGCCCTATACTCCGAAGTAAACTTGAGCAATGCGAGGGGCTTCCAACAGATATGAATGGCACGGGTGTCTTTTTCTGGATATGATCTGATTTAGTAACATGCCATTTTCCAGATGGGTTTTTGTATGAGTGGACCCAGTTATCTTGTACTTTGGAAATGATCTCTAAGAGATACTTTTATAATTCATCGTATTTCTCAATAGGCAGAATTTACTGTGTAATGGTTTGAAATATCCTTAACTAGAAACGTGGTGCACACTCACCTGCACTCAGAGAGATCCATGGATAGCGCCAAAGTCGAGCGGCAGCAACCAAATCCAGGGTCTTAATTGCCCCGCCGCCGCTGATTAATGCAGCGAATCACAGAGCTGGCAAAGCTAACGACATCGGGTTACCGGGCAGACTGGGGTGCTGGTCGGCCGGCTTCAAAATTATTATATCCATGCCATCGTTCGACCCGCGCCTCTTCTCACTCTCTTGCATCTGGCCACCTCCCTCCCAGCCAGGGCACCGTCACCATGTCCTCTCTGCTCCCGGGCCTCAGCAGAATAGCCCTCCGGGCACCCGCCTACCAGACCATCTGCCGCCAATGCCTCCGCCAGCAGCGCCTGTCGACGCCGACGCCGACCGCCGCCCCCTCCCGCATCCTGCGCATCGTACGACAGGCCCGGTCCCAGCACACAACCGCTCCGCCGACGAGGTTGCAGGAGCTGGGGAGCAAGGCCTCGTCCGGCTCTGCGCCCGAGAGCGGCGCCAAGCAGGCCGCGCGAGGAGCATGGCCCGAGGCGTCCTCCAAGTCCGTCGGATACTGGCTGCTGGGGAGTGCTGCTAGTGTCTTTGGTATCGTCGTCTTTGGTGGACTTACACGGTTGACCGAGTCTGGGTGAGTGCCACAACCCTCCGCGTGCACATTGGCCTCTACAATTGTTCAGAAAGCTTGAATCGCTCTCTGGATTATACCTCGGAACATAGCCGCTAACCTTTCTGTCCCTTCTGCAGTCTAAGCATCACCGAATGGAAGCCCGTCACCGGCTCGCTGCCGCCCATGTCCACCGAGGACTGGGAGTCCGAGTTCGCCAAGTACCGGGCCTCGCCCGAGTTCAAGCTGCTGAACTCGCACATGGACCTGGCCGAGTTCAAGCAGATCTACTACATGGAGTGGACGCACCGGCTGTGGGGCCGCTTCATCGGCCTGTCCTTTGTGCTGCCGACCGTCTACTTCATCGCCCGCCGCCGCGTCACGCCGCGCATGGCCGCCAGCCTCGTCGGCATCAGCGCCCTCATTGGCTTCCAGGGCTTCATCGGCTGGTGGATGGTCAAGTCCGGGCTCAAGGACGACCTATTTGCCCCCGGCAGCCACCCCCGCGTCTCCCAGTACCGCCTCGCCGCCCACCTGGCCACCGCCTTCGTTTGCTACAGCTGGATGCTGCTGGCCGGCCTGTCAGTGCTGCGCGCCCGTCGCATGCTCGCCGACCCTACGAAGGCCCTGAAGTCGATCGAGGCCCTCAAGAACCCCGCCCTGGTGCCGCTCCGCCGGTCCGTCGCCGCGCTCACCACCCTGGTCTTCGTAACTGTTCTCTCGGGCGCCCTCGTGGCCGGCCTCGACGCCGGCCTGATCTACAACGAGTTCCCCAAGATGGGCTTGGGCCTGACGCCACCCAAGTCGGAGCTCTGGTCCGACTTCTACTCGCGCAAGCCCGACGGCTCCGACCTCTGGTGGCGCAACATGCTCGAGAACCCGTCGCTGGTGCAGCTCGACCACCGCATCCTGGCCACCTCGACCTTCTTTGCCGTGCTGACGCTGTTCGCGTACTCGCGCAGGGGCCGTGTCGCTAGCGCCCTGCCCAAGGACGTGCGCAAGGGGGTCCTGGGCCTCGTGCACCTCGTCGGACTGCAGGTTGCACTCGGCATCAGCACGCTTGTCCTCATGGTGCCGATTCCCTTGGCAGCGGCGCACCAGGCGGGTGCCCTGGCGTTGTTGACCGGAGCCTTGGTTCTCGGCCAGCGCCTCCGTGTGCCAAAACCAGTGCTGGCGTCTATACAGCAGAGGCTCAAGACTGCGGGCTCGCAGATAAAGCGGTGATCTACTGTGTGACAGAGCATTTTAAGCATGCAGGATCTCGTCCTTCATGTCACCCCAGCAGTGTGGCACGAAGAACAGAAGGCATTGTAGACCTATTTGTACTTTTTACTGTATTTTTAGAGGGCAAGCAATGCACGCGCTCCTCTCACGTCTAGACTTGATCTTGAATAGCTTTCATAGCCACCTCCGGATGCCCCACTCGGCATCGGCTGTAAAATAAAGACCTCACATGTATGCAAAGCGCCACCCCCCTTTCTCTTTTATTGATCTACGATTCTCTTATTTGTGGGCTGTAGCGGGCAGCAGGTTAGTCTCGCATCCAAGGGGACTCGGGGGGTTTATGACCGGGACTCACCAATTCCTTCGGTGCCTTCAACCGGGGCCGGCTCGGCTCCCGCCTCAGCGATGGCCTGCGGCAGCTTCTGGGAGTCATCCTTCTTGGAGATCACCTCCGGGTTCATGAAGGGGAAGAGCAGGACCTCCTTGATGCTGTAGTTGTTGGTCAGGAACATGACCAGACGGTCGATACCCAGACCCCAGCCGGCAGTGGGCGGCAGGCCGTACTCGAGCGCGTTGAGGAAGGTCTCGTCGATGAGCTGGGCCTCGTCATCGCCCTGGGCCTTCTGGTTGGCCTGCTCCTCGAAACGCAGGCGCTGCTCGAAGGGCTGGTTCAACTCGGTGTAGGCATTGGCAATCTCCTTCTTGCAGACGAAGGCCTCGAATCGCTCCGTCAAGCCAGGCTTGCTGCGGTGGTCCTTGGCAAGTGGCGACATGATCTTGGGGTGCTCCGTGATGAAGGTGGGGTTGACGGCCGTCTCCTCAATGAACTCGCCTGTTAGGCGATCCAGCATCCTAGCGGTGGTCTGGGGCGCCGGGCAGTCGACGTTCATCTTCTGCAGAACCTTCTTGAGGAACTCCCTCGACTCCTCGGTGTGCAGCTGGTCGGGAGCCGGGAACTTCTCGCCGGTGGCCTCTTCGAGGGTGGGGATCATCTCGACACGCTTCCAGGGGGCCTCCCAGTTGACCTCGTACGTCTCGCCGTGCTGCGTGGTGAAGGTGGTGGTGTAGCCACCGGTGAGCTCCTTGACCAGGCCAGAAACCAACTCCTCGGTACGGGTCATGAGGTCGTAAAAGTCGGCACCAGCCTCGTAGAACTCACAAGTCGTGAACTCGGGGTTGTGGGTCAGATCAGCGCCCTCGTTGCGGAAAAGGCGACCAATCTCGTAGACACGCTTGAGACCTCCGACAACAAGCATCTTCAGGGGCAGCTCCGGGGCGATTCTCAGGAAGACGTCCATGTTGTAGTCGTTCAGATGCGTCTCGAAGGGCTTGGCGGTGGCGCCGCCAGCGATCATGTTGATGATGGGGGTCTCGACCTCCAGGAAGCCGGCATCGTCGAGGTACTTGCGGATGTACTTGATGACTCTGGGTCTGGTGGAGAAGGTCTCTCTGGTCTTGGGGTTCATGATGAGATCCAGGTACCTCTTGCGGTGGCGCTGCTCCTGGTCCTTGAGGCCGTAGTACTCGTCGGGCAGCTGGTGCAGGCAGGGAGTCAGGAGGAGGACCTCCTTGGCGAATATGGACAGCTCGCCCTCCTCGCCCTTCTCGATCTTGCTCTTGGGGGCGGTGCGCCCGGGGTATCCCACAATGCCAATGATGTCTCCTCTCCTCAGGATCTCGTGCTGCTTGAGGAAGTGCTCGTCCGAGGCAGCATCGTTCGCCTGGGCCATGACCTGGAAGCGCACACCCTCATCGCGGACGTCGTAGAAGATGAGCTTGCTTCCAGCAGCACGCTTGCCGTACATACGGGCGGTGATCCTGATCTCCTTGTCCTTGACGTGCTCGCCGGACTTGAGATGGCCGAACTCGCTGGCAAAGTTGCGGACATCGTAGTTGTTGTGGAACTTGTGTGGGTAGGGGTAGGGGTCCTTGCTCTCGATGAGCTTGGTGATGGCGCGGGAGCGGATCTCGAAGTACTGGTTGGGGGTCAGATTGGCCTCCTCCAGCTCGTCGTTGCCCTTGCTCTTCTTCTCGGCCTTGGGGGGAGCGGCGGCGGCCTTCTCGGCCTTCTTGGCGTCGCGCTCTCTGTTCTTCTGGCGCCGCTTCAACTCGGACTTGCTCACACGCTCGCCGGTGACCTCGTCGAGGAACAGGTTGGCGACCGCTTCGGTCGGGGGCTGGACGGAGTCGGCCATGGTCAACGGTTCTTTCGGTTTTCTGGCGATGAGTTGAGATAAGAAGAGATGGCGGGGTGCGACTGCCCCGCGCAAAAATTCAATACGGTAGGGCAGCTGCGCGCGCCGGCGTCGGGTACGTATGACTCCACCGCCCCAGCACCTGGTACCAGGTACCAGGTACATCGGGAGGAAAGTAGTATTGAACGAACGAACAAACGAACCTGGGGCTCAAGGACTGGTAAGCTATCGACAACCGTGAATCGTGTTGGTTGTTCCAGGCGTCCTGCACGGGTGCTCGTGCATTCATTCTTGTAACATGTGATTTCGGTTCATGCTGCCACCCCCAATATCATTCCAATGCCCCTCCCCTCACACTGGATACATTCACTCCAGCTTTAACTGTTGCGTTGTCGTCATGACACCTTGCCCCTACATCGGATCATCCTATGAGTCAATGCATAATGGACTTGAACATCGAAGCTCGCGTGCCCGCACGAATTGACTGCAAGCCTATGTACACAGTCATCACCTACGATCGTAATTCTACATGATGGACTCGAGCTCCATTGTCACATTACACCAACAACCTTGCAGGGTTTGCTAGTTGGCGGTGTTATGACGCCCGCCCAGATGCGTGGAATGGGAATCTCTGTGCCTAGACCGATAATTGGAACCCTGCGGAATCTCACAGCCATGATAAGCCAGACCGTATCTCCTGGCGATGTCTGCATCATCGCCACAGTATTGGTGAGGCCTAGAACGGTGGCCTGGTCAATGTTCAACGGTGATTGGCTACGTAGGTACAAAACATAATCTCGAGATGTAGCAAAGACTCAAGTAAACGGGTATTTATAAATATCACATGTAAACACAAGACATGACTTAGAAAACACTGTATGAATACAATGTCAGCATTACTTTATATGCTTAGTCCATTTTGTTTCATATCCAGAAACGAATGAGATTGAAATTAGAAATGCACCAATATGCTGTACAGATGAAATAAGCAGTCCACAGCACTAGACACTGACAGACTGGGCATATTCTTAAACGGTTCTATTACCGTGGAGAATAAGGGTACAAATGCCATTGGGGAATACGATGCTTTCGGAGCGCCTATATTGAGCATCTGCTGAGTCGATCACGAGCTGCACGTGCGCTACCACGCTCTCGTAGACTCGATCTTTGCTCAGTCAAGCATCCAAGGTATGACTCGGGGATACTAAGCTGTTGGCGATTGATATTCATTGGAGGTCATGATCAGTCTGACGTCCAAGGCGTTGTCCTGGATTATCAGAGATGAATTCTGCATCAGTCTTGAGCATGGTTAGGAAGACGCTTGAAATAAATCTGCGAAGCGGCTGCGACAACGAGAAACAGGCTGATGGAGACCATGGCACACAGATGTGTTGAGTCGCACTAAGTTCGATGCCACACGCGACTCGTATCAGGCGCGGGTGACAAACACGACTGACTTCAAGCACTTGTTTGACCTCCTTCAGCGCGGTGGGTCACAAGAGCGGGATGTTGGCAACTACATTGCATCTATGCTGGGTATTGTGCTGGGTGTTGCGCAAGCCCAACACTTGTTAGGTGCTATGGAGTGAGAAATTAAACTCCTCATCCCACAGAGCAGAAGTACGATTTTTCTGATACTGAGTGCGCACTGAGATCCCTGCCACGGGATTCATCAAGAACAGGTAGATTAGTTACCGGAGGATATTAGTCCTTTGTTGCTAAGTTGGACCCGCTGGGTGACTAAAGTGATGCAATTTCGGATTCTTATCTGCAATCTTCAATCATGATAGATACATACCATCGTGTACTTGCCTCCGCTGAGCTACGCTTAGGAAATAAGAACAAAGCCATATTGTATCATCATCATCATCATCATCACCATCAGAGGAAATCAGCATTACGAAAACTTTTGGGTAAAATTGGCTAATAACTACCTTTGATAACTTTTAGACGGACACTGTATATCTTTATGCTTGTGTTTCTGTGGAATAGTGCTGCAGAATGCTCTGATTGTAGACTGCGGATCAAAGTATGGCTTCGTTGCCTGAGTTCCCCTGCAGTGTTAATCATGACTCGTCGAAACGCAGCAGGCTTTGCAGATGGAGTGAGGGCGTTTATACGGCAGTCTCTATGGTTCCAACATGTTCTTTGTGTAAAATTAAGCAAACACGCCAGGAACAGGAGAAACGGTGGTCGAAATGAGTGCCTGGACCGCTCAGAATATGCCGGAAACCCTTACAACAAAACCTTTCAAGGGGGTTCGCACAAGGCGAGCATGCATCGATGCCCAGGCAGTCGAAACTGATACATGAACTGATTTTGAGAAGGGGAACTTGGAGACCGACAGGGCCTCCTCATAACAAGAACAAGAGACTCGGAGATACCACTCTTTGGGGAAAGGCAGTCATAGGATGTACACCTTTCTCGTTTCGCAACGCGAGCCTTAGGCCTGGACCTTAAGTGAATGTGGAAAAGTCTACGCGCTCGTTGAGAGCGTCGCAATTGAATTGCATGTGGTCCCTCGACTAGTTGTCAAGCGAGGCGACTATTCTCGGAAAGCATCCAAAAGGGGATAAACCGGGTGAACCTGAAAGAAGAAAAGCATTCTATAACGCCTTGGCATCCAAGGTTCTGATACAATGGCATTTCTTTTACATAATGAGACGCAAGACGAGCAAGGACGTCCATTGGGCGGGCCCTTCCGCTGTCCTGCATTCAAGTATGGGGTTCCACGCTACCCTGCAATGCTTGGGCGGCACTCGAGGAGTCCAGGGAGCGGGTATGAAACAGATCTCGTCCATCCATCGTGCTCATCAGCGTCGCTTGCGCAGAAGCTGGAAATTAGATCAACGATCGATGGAGTCGCACGGATGACAGCTTACGCAAGCCTCTCCAGGATCCTGGATCTTGGCATTCCCCACTTCACGACGAACAATATCGAGAAGCTGTGCGGAGGAGTCCATCTGCTCTGATGTAGGTTCGCTTAGATCGAAGAAGAAGGTTCAAAGTAGTTAGTATGGCTTGTGGTAATCTGGGCCAGGAGTTGTATTAGAGAAAGTGGGATCTGGCGGCTACTCTGACACTCTTCGGCTCACGTGTAGCCAGGATCTGGGTAACATGCGCAACTCGCAGATCTAATGATAGTGAGGTTGGGTAGATAATGGCAATGGAAACAATACACATGGTAATTGGTCACAGCTACACGCGAAAACTTCCTAGGTGAAGCAATCCCTCGTTTGGTCACCAAACTACTTGATCCGCAGAGGAGTGAACTTCTGTCTGTGCGTTTTAGTTCATGTGGCAGGCGTATCATCTCAAGTTGCCGGAGCCGAAAACCCACGGACCAGCGATTATACGTAGGGCTAAATTTAACCTTGAATCCCAGCTAAGTCTGTTTGGAGTCTCATCATCTTTTCCCCAGTGTGGGCCGCTAGACGTGTTGAAACAATTCTCCCAGACTCTAGCTACGTTGCTGTCCACAACCGCCAGACCATTTTGAGACGGAGAAAGGTGGTCCGCAGCTGCGCTCCTCAAGAACGACCACACGCCAGTCAGTTGTGACTGACGAGTCGTTGCGACATCGACAACGCCGGAGTCATTATGACATCGACAACGCCGGGACGTAATAAGCAACGAGGCGCTTCATGTGCACGCATGAAGAGCTTCTTCGCCGAGCCAATCCCCAGACAATCATTTCCCTGCTATGGCCACACCGTTGTGGCTATTCATTCTCCCAGCTCGACGGCCGGGCCACTTAATTAGCTGGGACCGGCTGGTATCTTCCCACATCCCGAAGTCGTGGGCTCTTCCACAGATATACATTTCTGGTGAGTGCCCCAATTTTGATCTCCATTAGCAACCTTGGCAGCTTCGACGTTGTGTCAGCCTCACTTGGCAATGAGCTAGTGCATCATTATCCATCGCCAAGAACCTTTGCCGCCGTGGACAACATTGGTTGAACAGTGAAAGTGAGCCATCCCATGTCTTGTTTCCAGGTTGCTTCTGTTCTGGAGAATGTGGAGACGACTCTGCTATGGGCCTTTGTGGGCTGTTACAGGGCTTCGAATGGGACCATCAGAATAGGAGGTGCATATAGCCAAGATGATTTCTCTGCACATGGCCTTTCCCATTTTCTACTCTCAGGTTGTTGATGTTTGTGTGAAAGCGGTAGTGGCTCTCAGGTCTGATTTCCTTAATCTCTGTTTCTTTCCCAGTAGACCTGTGGCCCGCGCCCCGGAGGCTCTTATTCATCTTCTCTATATTTTCTGACTGATACCCCTTCTCGTTCATCCAACATGTCGGAACGCTCGTGTCCGGTATCTGGAACCGCCGGTGGTCGTTGTCCAGTCGGTACGGGCAGCGTGAGAGGCAGTCAGTTAGGTCCCAGAGGTTGTTCCTTCTCAGGATTTGCGCAACCTGGTGACGTTCGAACGGCGTTCAATGTAAGTGAAGGACGGGGAGATGGGAGACCGTAGATACTAAATGCACAATTATAGATTCCGAACGGTGTCGAGACTGAAGAATGGCTACGCATGAGGTGAGAAAGCTCTGTCAAGGCGCCTTCAAAATGGTACTGAACAAGATACAGGGAGAGGAAGGCAATCAATGAGATATTATATTCCGACGTGCCGTCGACCAAAGAGTTGAATGCAACATCGAATATCGACGCATTGACCGCTAATGAGCAAGACCTTCTAGCAGTGGCTCTTGGAGCACCAGCTCGCCAGGTTCTTCTCAGAGCAGAAGAGATTGGACGGCAGACTGGCTGGCGGGATGGGTTTCTGAGTGCAGAATTCGGCTTCGTTCCCCCTGATATGGATGAGGCAGTGTCTGCATTGGCAACCTCTCCAGGTCGAGTCTGGAGTGACCTGTGTGAGAGGATGCCGGGTACCGTCTCTAGGGGCCGCTTTCGAGAGGCTGCCGCTGCATTGCCGGTGATCGAAGGGACAGAAGACGTTATCCCGGATGCCGCCTTGTGGCCAGCGCTGGTAGCCTTGGGCCTGCTGTGCTCTTTATATCGATATGAGGAAAAGCACGACGGCCATGAAGGTGTGAGTGTTACTTCTGGGGTGAAGAGTACTCATTTGGGTGACTGGGGTGATGATGTCCTCGAAGAAGTCAGAGGGTTGCCCAGGAGTATCGGCCGTCCATACTGCCAGATCTCGAAGAGAATGGGGAGGCCCATCCCTCATCTTACCTTTGTCGACCAGAGCAGTAGGTCACCACGAACAATGAATTCGGAATACGGCCTGCTGATATATCATGCCGCAGGTTACAATGTTACAGTCAAGGATCCTAAATCAAAGCACCCATATGTTGGCAGGTTCGACAATACAGAGTTGAGGTGGCCAATATTCGGTGATCCTACAGAAAAGGCATTTCTCAAGGGCTGTGCGGATACGAGTGGTGGGTAGATTGAGAGGACGTTTTTCGTGTGTACGCTAACCAACTGTCAAGCTTCCTTCCAACATGGCCCAGATGCCATCGCAGCTTGCCAGGAAGCTGTGATGAAGAGAGACCATGAAGCTCTATTAAGAGAGATGATCAGGTGAGTTCCAAGAAATGGAGCGGCCAAGGTGTAGGTGCTAATATCGGCTGCCAAAGGCTCAAGGAGATCCTCGAACGAATGCCGAACGCTTTCCATACAATCTCTCCGAATCCGAGCTCAGGCGAGAATTTTGTGTCTGGTGATGAATGGGTACGCTGGGCAAAATTTAGTGCTCCATTATCGGCCCGGGCACCTGCGTCAAGCGGTCTCCAGTTTCCCCCATACCTGCTCATGGATGCATTCCTTGGTCGCAAGAAGTATGAGTCTTTCCTGGGAGCCGAAGGTCTTCACTTGAGAGCTTGGGCACCATCCAACCTACGAGCATTCATTGCAGCGGTCGAATATCACTACAGTATTCCCGAGTTTGTCGCAAAGTCCGACGATCCAAGGCTTCACGGTGTCATGGATGGTATAGTAGAGGCTTATACAGGAGAGAGAGGATTCATGGTATGTCGGTGCGAGAAACCACTGCTTCATATACTAATGCTATGAAGGGAGTTCATCGATATAAAGTTTTTGGTCTGCTCGAAGTTGCTGCCAAGACCGGCAGAACCGAGACAAACGGCAACTCTGGTCAGAGTGGAGTGATAGTCCGGCCATGGGAGGAAACTCACAAGCAATTTTCCGAAGCCATGAAGGAGCGCCTGGAGCCATTCCGCGGCAAGATCACCAGCGAACCACACGAGATGCGCGGAACCTTCGAAGAGTGCCGATTTCGATCCAGAATACTCACGAGACAATTCGTCGACAACGACCCGAAACGATCCATCGCCAAGGTTACCTTAGATCTTCAAGATACCGGGATCACTTTCCAACCCGGCGATAGACTGGCAATAATGCCATTGAATAGCTGGGAAGAATGTGCCAAAGTCGCCCTAGCCTTGGGGGTTGAGGAGATGCTGGATTCGCCGGTTGGACTCACGGGGAAGTGGCCTAGGTTCGCAGACCATCTTGGCTCAGTGGCAAGACAACCTGCACCACAACTAGCCGTGAGGGATATAATCAGGCGCGGTCATTTGGCTCCCTTGACCCAAAGTCTCGTCTTAAAGGTTCACTCAATGTTAAGAGCCTCGTCAAATGTGGTCTTGCAGGTCCTTGCAACTAACGAATGGCCTGTCCGCGGATCTCTGGGAGACCTACTCCAGGCAGCAGTTGTTGATACGCCATCGCATATCTGGGACGATGCTTTCGATCTGTCAAGCAACCTGACTTGGCTTACTGACCTCATAGAGATCGAGATACCAAGGACGTATTCAATCTCCAACTACCCAGACGAGCTGCTTCCTAGCACATTAGATTTGACGGTTTCGAGAGCCGAATATGATCTTTGCGATACATTTGCAGGCAATTCACCATCCGTTAAGAGTGGTGTCAGTAGTGGTAAGCTAATTCAAGTACCCTTCATTCCCTCACCACTTTGTCCGGCAAAGTACTAAACCCCACATAGGATTCCTTAATCCTTCCCTCACATCTAGCGAAGAAACACTGCCGATTGAGGAGGACATACTCATTGGTATCTCCCGTCCAGTGTCATTCCAACTTCCCTTGGATGGAGCTGCCCCTTGCGCATACTTTGCTGGTGGCAGCGGAATAGCGCCATTCAGAAGCTTCTGGCAAGCTCGCGCGGGTCGCGCGGTAGGGCGTAACATTCTTTATCTCGGAGTGCAGTCCAGAGAGAAATTCTGCTACGAAAATGAACTTCGAGAAATGGCTCAGGCTGGTCAAATGGAAATTCACACCGCTTTCTCGCGGGACTCGAGGGGCCTTGTCTTTGATAGACGCTCTGGTGAGCTTATGGAGAAGCACACGCCCCCGCGATACATCGATTCCTTGATTGTCGAGCAAGGAGACACTGTCTGCGACCTTGTTATGAGCAAAAAGCAAGGTGGGCTTGGGGGCTATCTTTACATCTGCGGTTCGGTTTCGGTCTTCGACTCAGTTATGGCAGGCATTCGCAAGGCAATCTACAACCATCGGTCCACCACAATGGAGTCTAGCGAGGCGATCCTCGCCACTGCTTTTGCTGAAAGACGTGTCATGCTAGACGTCTTCCTTACACCGAAGCCTCTTGCAGTTAACCTGCCCACAATTCCCCAGTCTGAACTGGCACTTCACACTGGCCATCGTCCAAACACGCCTGTGTGGATCGGCGTACACGGCAAGGTGTATGACGTGACGGACTTCGCACCCATTCACCCAGGTGGCACCCTTATCATTCGTTCCAATGCAGGAGTTGACTGCTCCAAGACTTTTGACGATTTGGCACATACAGGTAACCCTGAAGTGAGCAGTCTTCTCACCAGATACTTCGTGGGGCTTTTGACACCCAAGCCCGATTACCACGGTGTCGAAGAACTCAGTAACCTCTATGATATGTGGCTAGGTTATCTTCGCACAGTGGTAGAAACATTGGTCGCTCAGCAGTTCCAAATGTCGAGATTTTTGGGTTCTGCTATGGGTGATCCTATCGATACTGACAACTGGTGGTTCCAGAACAGCGTCAACGGTATTGACCTGATCAACATCAAGGGGATTCGCAGTTTCTATCAGTACCAATCCAGACTTTTGCAAGGTGGTTTTTCAGCCATGTTTGGTGCTAAACTACAGGAATTGGTACTGAAGCTGAGCTTTTCTCTGGCAAACTCGTCCTCCGATGGAGCGTCCACCAGACTGCCAGACGTTCTCGGTGCTGTAGCTAGGGCAAAGACTTCCGAGAATGCTGTGGCAGTATCAAGACAAGTGGCCCAGATTGGCGAGTTTGTTCGTGACAGCAGTGGCGCACGTTTCATGGAGAGAGGTATTATCGCCTACGCCAGCAAGTCTGTTGAGCTGGATATCTCTCTATTGGAGGATATCCGGCAAGAAGCATGCTATGGTATTGACGCCTTCGAGTCCATTGCCGACATTGATCACGCGAATGATTCGCAGACCATGACGACCTTGGCTTCTTTCCTGATGCAGCTTCTCGAGCGCATGGCGAAACGTCTCGAGATATTCTACTCCAATCTAGCTCAACACTCCATTGTACAACCCGCCATCGAACGGAACCCTGCCAGAACCCGCTGGCATATTGTTAAACAGAGGATCAAGGACGGCTCAATCTTCATTCTGGCCTCTCAAAACACAGTAATGGGCGCGACTGCTTATGTACCCGAGAAGGCACAGCATATTGTCAATTTTGATACAGTGTTGTCGCATATACACAAGACGCTTGCAGAAGCACCGCCACAGGAAGCACCAGCTACTTCAAAGCCAACATTGAACTCGCTGCACACACAGCGCACGCTTGAACCGAAAAACGGCACATCTGCCTTTGAGTCTCATGCGAATGGAACCGCGCTCCATAACATGTCATCATTTGTTGACAAGAACATGCGGGCTATCAGGAGACTCAGCAAGCTTCCACCTATGCCTACGAACTTCGACATCATGGCTCAAATGCACTCCACATCAAGAGTAGGGGTTACCACACCGCCCTCAAGTCGTTCCTCTAGTCGTTCGCCCACGCGCATGATGCTGAGTCAGGGAGGCGGTCTCAACATCAGAGGCATGCCAATGATGCACCAATCATCGCCGGCGATGGATAGCTATGCGAACATTATGATGCCGATTCCTGGCATGCACACAGCTCAACATCCACCAACACCACCTCTTGACGGGGCTGCAGCCATCAATTCCATGATGGGCAAGCTGAATGTCAGGTCCAGGTCAACCAGCCGCGCGTCGTCGCCAGGTATCATGGGAAACATCTCTCACACGCCTAGCATGGAAGGGCGAAGCCAGAGCTTACACCTGCGTCAAACGTCTCATCCTTTTGTGCCAGGTCATCGCGCTAGGTCGTCAACAAGCACTTCGCTCCGGTCCTTCAAGCTAAGTCAACGAGGTGGCCAGGCACAAGCAATCAAGGTGGCTCCGACATTCTAGAAGTTGTTCAGGAGCTTCAGTCAGTCAATAAGACTTTATTATCTCTAGAACGACATAGATTATTGAAACGACACTTAGTTTACATCAACTATTCACTTATTTCATACTAAGCGGTCACTCGCAGGCAATGTGTGACACGGTCGCAAAATAGAAGCCGTGCTGCGATTATTAGCTGCAACCGTCCTACGTGCTACTCTCACTGCTATATCAAGTTCAACCAAAGAAGAGGAATAGACCCTCCCGCATTGGGCATGACTAAATGTTCTAAACGTCGGCCAACAACGCAATGACGTGCCTCTTGCCTGACAATTTATTACGCCTTGTGGAAATAAGAAACACACAATCTTAATATGTGCGTGGCGTAGATTTTTCATTACTTTGCCACCAAAACAACCCTCTTTTCCAGAATTCGATACATTGTCGATCGTATACAGCTAGCTTGAGGGTGGCTGTAGTTGGGCAAACTTCTCCAATGGATATCTTGTTATTTCGGTAGTAACTATCGCCTGCTCCCTTTGGCACTGCATGGTTCTGAACCCCATACGCAAACGTCGCCCCTTAGAAAACAAGAGTCTCTTCAGGCCCCACCCCCACTTGTCAGCAAACCAGTCTTGACGAGCCTTCCGCGAACAACGCGAGAAAGACACGTATATCTCGATCAGACATTCAATACGCAGGTGTTCACTGATATCACTGGCAAAAAGGGACAATACAAAGCGGCAGATACTTGCGCGTGCAGTGAAACCAATCGAGTAATTCGCCTTTCCGACTTGCTGCCACTTTCGTCGAGTACTTGAGAACATGGCTCACGAAATCACCGAACATATCACCGCACCACACAGCTTTAGCCCTTTTCGCTACTTCGATCTCCCCCTTGGAATACGCTTTCAAATCCTGGAGAAACAAATGTAGTTGCACCGAGTGGATGGGTGTGCTGGAAGCCGAAGAAGGGATATCGACTGGGTGCTTCGGTTGTTCGGGGTCCTTGTTGCAAGGGCGCCATACGCGCAGGCGGTGCCTGTAGACGACTCGATGCCGCATCCTCACACATATGCAACTGCTGGAGCCATCCACAGCCTATGTTCCTCGTTATCAAAGCATTTCATCTCGAGGTCCAGGGAGTGTTCTTCACTCACAACCATGTGGAGATCCTGGATGCTTGGGGAAACCAAGCCGATCCCGAAGACAGAGGGTTAGATCATTACGCTGCGAGTGATTACTTCACTAAAGGGGTGGCGCCCCGTTCTTTCCGCTATCTACGTTCCTTAAGCTTCAAAATGTTTGGCAGCCATGATTCTTCCGAGAAGCCTGCTCACTTCGCACGGGGTGACTGGCACCGCACCATACAATTAATCAAGGACAATGGAGGTCTCGGTCTACATTACCTAACCGCAGATAGTTACTGGGAAACGCTCCCAGCATATCACGTATGGCGCGACAGTACAGCAGATGGTGCTCTTGGCATGCTTAGGGCTATCATTAATGAAGAGATCTGACCTCTTGATGGGCCGAATGGGGTCCCTTTTAGTACGCGACAGCTGGTAGTGGAGCTCTCGAATGACCACATCCAGGCGAGATACAGCATACGAAGAGAAGATGAGGTATATAGAGCTATAGATCGGGGAACAGACCGCTCTTGGGATATGGTGCAACCTTGGGCATCCCGTAGCTTAGCCTCCCGGTGCGTTGAAGAAGATAGATAGAGATGAGCCCACGCAAGTCGCCTGGGAGGAAGCTATTTGGTTAAAAGAGCCTTTACGCTCAGAATTCTGAAATAATATGCACCGAGACAGTCGAGACCCTCAGGCAATCCTACGTTGAAATACAGTTTGCTCACCTGGGTCAGATCTCTATTGATGATAATTTACGATCCACAACGTGCACACGACATTCAATTTAGATACCTTGAATGGTTGTTGATTCTCTTCAAAAGGACAAAGCCAGAAGCAGCGACTTCTATGCATCCAGGGTCCAGACAAGGTAGACTGCGTTACAAGGTGGATCTAAGCATATAACTAGCACAGCCGCCTACGTAAGGGTCCAGGGGAAGAGGAATTTATGAAGCTCGATAGTGTGGCCGTTCCTATTGAGATATCGGATTTTATCTTGCATATGCGTAAATTGGCACACGAGTGGACGGGGTCGCAAAAAGGCTTTGTGAACTGTTGCAATATGTCAAGTCTCATAAGCTGACCCTTAGGTCCTTTAGTACCGCCAGGAATAGGCCAAGTCTGGAGGCCTACAACGGGAGTTGACAACTTTATGCTACTGGAAACACCCACCAAAAAGACTAGATTCAGGACATTGAGACGATTTGCTAGGTCCCGATATCTATAAATCCTTGCGAGAGCACATTACGCGATCAGCTGGCTGACGGCCAATGTTACCCGCCAATATCGTCTCTGAACGATTAAAGGAGGGAAGCATGTTTTTTCCAGTGCCATGCGAGTATCATGTTTTGAAATTCGGCCTTTGTCAACTTCTACCAGGCGTTATAGAGCCTGAGGAGGGCCGAGTATCGTTATCTTTGAGTGGCGTTAGACGAAGAGATTTCCTTCACCGTACATGTTCGTAAACTTCAACAAGTCCAGTGGAATTCAACGTAGAAATGATAAGATGGGAGAGGCGGATACCTCTCATAGCTCTGATCAGGATCTATAAGAGATATCGTGGTCTACGAAGGTTTACGATCGATCATGGGATACATTTCAATCAAATATCCCCATGTTTCTAGAAGGAAGGTGCCCCACGTTTGGTTTCTATGAAGTGTTTGCGGGTTGAAGTCAAGACCGTATGATGAAACCAAGCAGGAGTGTCCAACGGATCTCGAGAAGGGGCTGGTCAGGGCTAGCTGTACCATTTAGAACGACATTAGTTCTGGTGGCATACCTGTTAATGATAATCCCATGAGATATTATCGAGCAAATCTGTCCACTACCAAAAGTCCTATAAAATCTAGGGTTCGTTACCTTAATTCGTTCCCTTCGTTGCATTAAAAAGTGAACTTAAAAACTAATGCCTCAAGACAATTTTCATCCAGGCTCACGCGCATCTTCATTTAATATCATGCATGTAGGGGTTTCCGGTGAATAAGTAACCATGAAAGCTTTTGTGGTATAGTGGCCAGACAGTGAACTTTGGTTTGGTAAGTTATTGGTATGCGTAGTGAATGTGAATATTCACTTCACGCCCACCCAATGCTGAAGTTTCCCCACCCCAGAACAATCAACACACCCGTGGTTTTCCTATTTTCAAGAAAGACCCAAATCGTGCTTTCTGTCTCTTGTGAATCAATTCACGTACCTCGAACGTGAACTCCTTTCCCATATCCACAGCTGCATTCATTCATTCATCCCAACCCCACGTAAATCGCCGCCGCATACTGAATCGTGCCGATACTTCTGCGCCGTCAACAATAATTCAGTGCGTTACTAAACGAGTAACACTGGCCAAAGAAAGATGGCTTCTGAGGATCATGAAACAGAGCACTCAGAACACGAAGTTCACGATGAGGAAGCACCATGGGACCTCGCAGATTATGGTGCATATCATCAATATCACGATGATGCGGTGGGGCTCACCATTGAAGTTGATCCGCTGAAACCTACGAGAGTTGTAGACATTATCCCGCAGGTTCTCCTTTTGTTAAGGTTGAAGAAGACATGCGTTGGAGGAGATCACCAGCCACTGAACGAGATTTACTTCAGACCGAGAGACTTGTCTCAAATAGCCATGGGACATCCCTACGATTTTCCGTACAACCGCTGGGAGAATGGCTCGATGACCTTGAAACCGGTGAAATGGACCGAGTCGCCGGGTACACTGTGCTCATCATTATCGGCATTGACAATTCACCTGCAAAACGCCAAACTGGCAAGAAACTCTAGGTCCAACCTGCTCGACCTTCCGGTTGAGTTGGTCGAGAGGATCCTCGACTATGCCATCCCGCCTTACAGCTTGCGCGCCGATATCGTACGAAACATCGCATACGCCCGCTCGGTCGACACAACTCACTTGATCATATACGGCCCTCGCAGCTGGAAGCAATTGCCTTTGCTTAACGTCTGCCAGGGCTTTCGTGTACTGCTCAGTCGAGCCTATGGCACCCCACGACCAGACTCATTCCCTTTCGACTACCGCAAAGATAGCATCCTGATTGTGGGGCAGCACCTCAACTTCTTTGGCCTACCTGAAGCGGAAGACGGGCTTGACTACAGCAGATATGTTGACATCAACGACTTAAGCAGTCCGGATCATTGGATGTTGAATGATGGGATTATCTACACCCCTCATCAGCGGTCTAGGACCTCGCCGACTTCTCACCTTGTTCGGTTGGGACCAGCCTTCGCGAGAAAAGTACAGAATATCGAGTTCGCACTGGACTCCGGCACGATTCACACGAAGCGGGATTGGCAGGCCGTCTGGCGCTTCCTTGCGAACACCTTCACTGAGGCGAGGATCATCGAACTGCAATTCTGTGAGCTCGACGAATGTGGCGGGGCAGGCCGTGGTTGGAAGAGTCGTCATGATCATTACATGGCACATGACCTGTGGGCGCTTAGTGGTCTCAAAGAGGCGATTGATAGGATTGGACGAGGATCATCTTTCCCAAAGCTCAAAGGCTTGGATGTGGTTAAAGTCGCGGTGAATTGCACATATGCATGGATGCAAGAATTTCATCGCATGTCCGTTAGCGAGTGGTTTTTTGAGCAAGGAAGAAACAAGATACCTCGCCTTCTGCGAGGTTAAGGGGTTGATAAATGGGTACACGAGGCGCACTCTGTGACGAGAACAGTCGTGTGGGCTTTTGCAGATAAGAGGGTTTATAAATACTGTTCCCCAAACCAGACTTAGACCGAAATTGTTCGTTGGTGCCTAATAAAAGGACAATAACTGTATTCGTGGCTGTTGTAAATGAGAGAGTATACTGAAATATTGTGACTGATTTGACTCATGCTTAGTGTCATTATATGCGCAAGAATTTTGCGAAAGCCAGACGTAACACGTGGGTATTTAGTCCTGTGAGACGCCTGATTTCATCGAATCATTTTGAACAATCTAGGTATCTGTCGCTTTCTGACTGGTATGACAAAAGTAAAGCCTATTGGAACTTATCAGGTTTTCAGGTGGACAGGGGTCCGACTTTGGAAATGTTCGTGGTAGCAGGGCTTATACTTCTTCGCTCGCTCCTAATAATGCTTTGACAAGCCGTATGCCTTCAGCGGATCGGAGAGAGTCTGCGACAAGAGCCAAAGGATGTCATTTGAAACAATTTGTTGGCCAGATATACGGCAACCCAGTAGATTTTTCTCTCTACCTCACCTGTTCTCGGGCCATGCAGCTGAACCACTGGCCGTGACTCCGCGCGTATACAAAAGGTGACGGTCGGACAGATTAGGTACTCCTGGTAAATAGCTATCGACGACGAAAACGAGCAGAACTGCCACCCGCCACTATATGCGCCTGATGAAGAAAACGTAGTGCATAGTTGTAAATGAGGACAAAGGCCCGAGCTGGAGAATTGCCAGAAACTTATACAGATTTCAAGAGGAGCAACATTGATTTGATTCCGCCAGATTCCGTTTGGATGCACACTTATGCTCGGACAGCGCGCCTGCCAATTGGTGATCCTTGAAATAGAATACATCGCGCCACGATGCTGCTACTGCCCTTCCCCCCTCCGTGGTTCCCCTACCCTACTCGTCCGTTCCCTGGGTGCTCGTTGAAATAAGCGATTAGGGATTACGTTCGTCCCCCTTTCCCCTTTTTGATTTTTGAAGTTACAACTCAATAGGCATTACATCAATCATCATGGCGACCTGCATGTAGCATGGCCACGACCAAGCTTGATGCACGGTGAGAGCTGTGAAGCCAAGGCTTCTTGATGAATGTCATTCAATGATTTGGATCCCCGTCGTCTACACAGGTAAGTTTACTCTGGCAAGGAAAAGTTGGCTCTAGTTGGAGTTAGGGGGCTCAGGGGCTTCCATCCAGTAGCTCAGCAGCTGGAGACACAGGTGGGTACGTACCTTGGCGGGGCATCATTTTTCCAGGCCGCCGAAAACTTGGGGACGGGGGGGACCCGCAACATTTCGAATTTGGGAGACGCAGCAGCACAAGGCAACGGAGGGGAACGCGAAACAGCTGCGCAACGACACATCCCACCTCTGGTCGCTGCTGAACTTCGTCCCGAGACTTATCACACACATCTGGATTGCAGCGGAGCTCCCACGAGCACCAGAATCTCAAGATGGCGATGAGTGCGTCCTCCCCAGGCCGCCCGCCGTGCCCCACCATGCAGTATATCCTTGCTAACATGAAGCTCAGATCTCGACTTGTCCAACGGTATGTCGGCGCGCACCTGGGTCGCTAGGGCCCCCTACTGACTTGTATAGCTGCGGTGATGAAGGATGACCAGGGACGGCCCTTCATCGTGGTCAGAGAGTGAGTCTTGGCCCCCCTGAGCCCCAGCGCTGCCCGAAGCACACCAGCTGATGCCGTTCTCCCCCCCAACAGTCAGGGCAAGAAGAGGCGCCAATACGGCAACGAGGCCGTCAAGTCCCATATCCTGGCTGCCCGGACCGTCGCCAACATTGTCAAGACGTCGCTGGGCCCCCGAGGGCTCGACAAGATCCTCATCTCCCCCGACGGCGATATCACAGTCACCAACGATGGCGCAACGATCCTGCAGCAGATGGAGGTCTCGAACCACGTCGCCAAGCTCCTGGTGGAACTGTCCAAGTCACAAGACGACGAGATCGGTGACGGCACAACCGGCGTCGTCGTCCTGGCCGGCGCCCTGCTCGAGCAGGCCGCCGAGCTGATCGACAAGGGCATCCACCCCATCCGAATCGCCGACGGATACGATCAGGCTTGTGACATCGCCGTGGCCGAGCTGGACCGGATAGCAGACACCATTGAGTTCAGCCCTGACAGCACAGAGAATTTGACCAAGGTGGCGCGGACAAGTTTGGGCAGCAAGATCGTCTCCAAGGCCCACGACCAGTTCGCCAAGATGGCTGTCGACGCCGTTCTGTCCGTAGCCGACCTGGAGCGGAAAGATGTCGACTTTGAGCTGATCAAGGTCGACGGCAAGGTTGGCGGTGCCCTCGAGGACTCCATCCTGGTCAAGGGTGTTATTGTCGACAAGGACTTCTCCCACCCCCAGATGCCGTCCGAGGTCCGGGACGCCAAGATTGCCATCCTCACATGCGCCTTCGAGCCGCCGAAGCCCAAGACCAAGCACAGGCTCGACATCACATCGGTCGAGGAGTACAAGAAGCTCCAAACCTACGAGCGCGAGAAGTTTATCGAGATGATCCAGCAGATCAAGGAGACGGGCGCAAACCTGGCCATCTGCCAGTGGGGTTTCGATGACGAGGCCAACCACTTATTACTACAGAACGACCTGCCCGCCGTGAGATGGGTTGGTGGCCCCGAGATCGAGCTGATCGCTATCGCCACCAACGGCAGAATAGTACCGCGATTCGAGGATCTGAAGGCCGAGAAGCTCGGTTCCGCTGGAATCGTCCGCGAGATGTCTTTCGGCACCACGAGAGAGAAGATGTTGGTCATCGAGGAGTGTGCAAACACGAGAGCTGTCACGGCCTTTGTTCGCGGCAGCAACAAGATGGTATGTCATGTCATGTCCCGTGGTCTATTCATTGCCGCCATAACTTTTGTAAGCCCTCAACTAACATTCTGTCAGATCATCGACGAGGCCAAGAGATCCCTGCACGATGCCCTTTGCGTCGTACGAAACTTGGTGCGCGATAACCGCGTGGTCTACGGTGGCGGTGCCGCCGAGATTGCGTGCTCGCTCGCCGTCGAAGACGCGGCAGTCAAGACCCCTGGCCTCGAGCAGTACGCCATGCGCGCGTTCGCCGAGGCCCTCGATGCCGTCCCCATGGCCCTGGCTGAGAACAGCGGCATGAACCCCATTGCCACCCTGGCCGAGGTCAAGTCGCAACAAGTCAAGGCCGGCCCCGAGGGCAAGGGCAAGCTAGGTGTCGACTGCATGAACAAGGGGAGCAACGACATGAAGAAGGCTTTCGTCATCGACCCCCTCATCGGAAAGAGGCAGCAGCTCATGCTGGCCACCCAGCTGTGCCGCATGGTCCTCAAGGTCAACAACGTCATTGTGAGCGGATCGGGCGAGGAGGACTATTAGACACGTGATATCCATTTAGGGGAAACATGACGGGAAAAAAGGCTCTAAAAAGGCACGGCCACGGGTGTACCATGAAATGAGATAGATAGACTAATGTCACATCAAGAAAGAGGCCCGATGATAGAGACCTGTCGCTGTCTCCGTCGGCTTCACGGGTTGCAGAACACCAAATTAATCGATCTGACCTAAGCGAGAAGTCAATGCGTGACGTGAATCTTGAGAGTTCAGGGTATTGAGAAAACCGCCCATTTTGGGTCTTGCGGTTATACGCTAAAGGTGATATTAAGACAGGCATGAAAACTCTTGTACACGCTCAGGGAGGAAAACGCCCAGCAGACCCAAGCCCAGCAATCATCTGCCGCCAATCCCTTGTTTTCGAAACCAAATCCCCAAAATTCCTTGTCCCCTCCACATCGGGTCCACCACAGAGAAGGGGAAAGCAGCACGCCCGATACCCATTCCATAAGAAAACGGTCTAGTCTAGGCGAACCCGAAACCCTGGGCGTTCTCGAGCGCCATGGCGAGGCGCTCGCGCAGAACCTCGCGGTCGCGGTACTCGGGGAGGAGCAGGGTGCCGTAGCAGGTGTAGGCGGTGGGGAGGTGACCGGCGTCGCCGTCCTCCTGGCCGTTGCGCTGGACGACGAACTGGACGTTGCGCATGCCGCCGACGGGGACGCGGTCGCTGGCCGTGACGAACTCGAGCAGGCGGCGGCGCATGGGCGCGTCGTAGCGCTTGACGACGGCCCAGAAGTCGCGCACGGCGCGGTGCGAGGCGTCCCAGCCCACGTAGCGCGCGGCCCGCCGCAGCTCGCCGATGTCGATCTCCTGCGTGCCCTCGACCAGCGACTGCAGAAGCGCCGGCGTCAGCAGCCGCAGCGACTTGGCGTCCAGGCACGCGCGGAACCCGCGCGCGAAGGCCGCGAACTGCGGTGCGACGCTGACGTCCGTCAGGTAGCGGATGTAGTCGCTCACGTAGGCCTCGCGGTTGTCGCCCGTGACAAGCGGGGCGTCCTCGGGGTTCCCTGCCGAGAGGGGTTCGGTAAGGTGCTGCGAGAACTGAGGCCAGGAAGGATGCTTCGACGAGTCCATCTCGCGGGAGACGGGCTGTCCGAACATGTCGATCGAAAACTCGTATGTGCGAGCAAATATGTCTTCCACGGCACCTTGACTCTCGTCCCACTCCTGGAGCGTGGTCAGGCCGTTGGCAAGGTCAGGCCAGCCGTCGGCGATGTGATGCAACTCCGTGACAGGTTCGCCCAGCAGCTTCATGTACAATGCCTTTGGAAAGGTGACGGGCAGTGTGAGGCCGTTGAATACGGCCAGCGACATGAGCAGGCCAACCAACTCGAACTTCCACTCCGGTTCTAGCGACCCCGGGCGAAACCAGGTCATCCTTGTCCTGTCGTCGACGGTGAACGCACCGTAGGCCGGGTCCAGGGCTTCTGCGATGGCGAGTCTGAAGAATTCCTGTTGGACACCACCCGAGTCAAAGCCTTCCTCCCCCGTATCCTCGCCGAGATGAACCTTCAGGGGTCGCATGAGCTCGCGCTCTTGTCTTCTCCATAGTTGGTCGAATGCGTCCTTAATGACCGACTTACGGCCAATGTCCAAAATCAGGAACTTGGCGGAGGCAACCTTGAGCAAGTCCTGGAGGACGCCTTTCTGGTGTTGATCCGTGACGAGACTGTCGGTGGCGATTATTGCAGTGATCCGGGTCTGTAAAGAGCTTGATTCTTCATAGGACCGGCTCATCCGTGAAAAGTTTGCTGCTCGGAAGTATGATACCAGAGAAGATGGGTGGAATATGTAGGGGTAATCCAAAAGGTGTGCCTTTTGTCTTGAAGAGTTGAAGGCCAACCAACTCACAGGTAGATCGATGGCATCCAGACGATCACCGAAATACTCCGTCCGGAATGCAACATCGGCTAATAGGAGCGAGTTACGTTTCTGGTCTGTCAAGGATAAAAGGTTAGCAAGAGGTTACTCGATAGCGATGGTTTAGGTCCACTTACACATGGCCTCAATCAGTGAGAGAGCACCGCCGAATGGGCCATCACCAGGAACATCGGGTCTCCCCTCCCACTCATTAAGCATGACTGTGCGTGCCCAATCAAGCAGGAGAATAGGCACGCGCTTTTCATGTAGCTCCCTCTCGGTGCGGGAGGATTCCACAGTCTGTTGCTGTTCTCGTCCTGGTTCCAGGTGAGACAGGAACACCTCTAGTATATCTGGTTCAGTCGTTCCATCTTCTGAGTCTTGATCTAGTTCTATGAGCTCATCGAAATGCTTGCGCGTTGGGATTGCGGCCAAAAGCCTCCTCGCCAATCTGAGTGCCAGGTCGTCAGTGAAGACGTCTTCATACTCGAGACACAGGGATGAGGGTTGACGAGCCACGGCCCCGGACTCTGACAACGTCAAGCCACGGGATCTGATCCGTGACATGTCGAACAGCTGCGAGGCATCAAAAACGACCGGCGCCGCAGCTACCAGAGCGTGGAAACACACAGACAGGACGAAGCCAGCCTCCTCGTTTGTGAGCGACCTGGGTCGTTGTGGAAAGAAGTTGGCAGTTGGCGACCGCGCCGACTGCAACGCTTTGGGCGGAGCAAAGAGACTTTCTGAGGCAGTCCATAGACTATCAAAGACCAAGCTTGGTGCGACTCTTGTCAGGCGCAGCATGTAATACCATATTGACTGCGAGTCGATCAACTCACCCCTGGTAGTAAAGGTCTCGAGTATCGAGTGTGGGTCGCTGAGCACGTTGAATATGCTCTGTTCTATGAATAGTTTCCACTCAAGTCTCAAGTTGTGTGGATATGGTAGTTGGGCTTTTCGTCTCCTCCAGACTCCGTTTTCCCGTGTTCCTTTTGGAGGACTGATAATTCTCTGGGGTTCAAGCAGATGGTTTTCCGCTGTTCCGTCTTGCTGAAGGATATGGCACAAGAGATCCACTGTGTGGATGTTGAAGTGCGAGAGACCTTGAGGCAGGATGTCTTCGGCTTCAGGCCCGTCGCTGGGAATATCTTGCTCAAGAGGGGACTCACTGCGATCATCCGAGATTAGAGACCCGCGGGAGTCACCGACAGAGAAGAATCCATCAGTGTTTTCATCACCAGGCCCAGGACTCCGAACACCATTTTCCAAGCCGACCTGGATCCCTTGGGGGTCTTGGTTGAGTGCGTCGTCAATGGGTTTTCCATTCGGCCTTTGACGTGATATGGAAGATGTCGACCTGACCAATCTTTTCGGGACCTTATCAACCTTGGAGACTGGAGAGAGGGGAGATATGGGCTCGGCAAAGCCATCAGTAAGGCGAACTTCGGAGAAGCGATCTGCTGCGAGAGGTCTGGAAGTCGACGATGTCCGAACCCGTGTACTCGAGTTGGCTCGCGAACGCGTTGGGTAACTCTGGCCGTTAGCATGGGCGTGGGAATTCGTGTGATCTGCTTCTTGATTTCTCGGAGACAGGGGTTCCACGTCCTGTTCGGCCATGGACGCCGAGGACACGAAAAGCCCATCGTCACTGTCATCGACTGTAGACGCATTCGTACTAGTAGACACTTTGCTTCCGCAGTCGACCGTGTTCGCTGCCTTACTGGATATCGCTTCCATGTTGTTCGGCGCAAGCCATTCAAGCATCTTGAATGCCACGGTGCCGAACATGTTTGCTGCGAATGAGCGATAATCTTTACGGATTGGCCGTTCATTTATCAAGACCCTCGACGCCGGACTTGGTGGTGGTGATGGCACATCCTCGAGCTCTTTTGAAGCTGGTTCACGACGGCCCCCGTGGCTGCAACTTCTTCTTTCGGGCACTGACAAGCGTGGTTGCGATAGAGTCGCCGGCGTCGCACCTGTATTCGACTGAGAACGCCTCCGCGGGGGTTGCTTGTCGTCTATCACCGTAGCTCGCACAGAACTACCCGACTTCCTGGTACTGCGCCCATTGCTGAGCTCATTCTTGGGCAAGCGAGGTTTGGGTCCAAATATCAATGGCTTGATGGCATCGCTGGGCCCTCTGGGCGTGTCCAGGTTCGGGCAGATGTTGAGTTCCGGGTTATCCTGGCCGGCCATTTGCACGGCCAAGGTCCTCGCACTGGTCGGGCTATAACGGCGTATGGGAGCCTTGCCGGCCAGTCGCCTTCGGCAGCTGAAACAGGATGGAGTGGTGCAGTCATCGTAGCCACAGCCGTAGCGCAGTTGGGAGATGAACTTCTCGATCAGTAGCTGTAGGCTGTGCCGGCGGATGGCGCGATGTATGGTATAGATCTTCCTCGGGTTCTCTATCTCTACGACCAAGGCTTTCAGCTCTGGGGGAGCGTCCGAGGGCAGTCGAGGAAATGGAACTTCTTCCCAGAGGGCTGCGAGGATCCTGGCCTCGAGGTCGTTGGCGTGCGCAGGGCCGTGCCCGCTGTGGGAAGATTCCTGCGTCATAGCATCTAGGATCGGTCGGCCGGGGGGCCGAGTATGTGGGCGTCGAGAAATTCGATGATATCGTCGCTGGAGCCGATGAAGTCGGCGTCAGGACTCGAGTCGCCGCGATGGTCGGGGATCACTGCACCGACTTCAGGGAAGTTTGCGAGGCGCAGGATGATACAACCCTGGCACGTGTGGCTGCTCGCAGGCACAAAGGGCGTTTGGACCGGCACCTGATCCTGAGAAAATGCGCTGTAGTGTTGAATCGTGGTGTCGGGAAGGCTGAGCTGAAGGCTCGGGGAGGATGGGCGAATGCCGGGTGCGGGTGCGACGCGATGGGCGACCGGTCGGCCGGCTCGAGGCGTGTGGATCCCCGGTAGCACCAGGACCAGGACTACCTTGGCGCCGAGTGACGCCCCTCAGACCCTGGCACCAGCCGCGAGCTCGGTAGCCTGTAGGGAATATAAGGCTGCTAGCCCCCTGAGAACCCTCTACGGACGAATCCACTCGGCCGCTTGCGGACCCTGAGACCACCTGCGTCAATCAACGTTGTCGGGTATGCTGCCCGTGGTCTCTAGTCCTCACCCAGTAGCCTAATCTGGAATCGCATGCTGGCCGCCGTTGGACATGTTTCGCCAGCAGATGCCATCCATGGGTCTTGTTCTTTTTCTTCGCGGCACGCAGGACCAGTAATTACTGTAGGTTCCTTTCCGGCAAACACGTTTTTGGTGTTATTCATGTCGTTCTGCGACCAAATCAAGCAATCAGCAATCATGTGGCGCAACGACCGGACAGCCACCATCACACAGTCAGCGTGAGAAGCAGTAATATACACCATGGCAAGGATGAGGGTCGCACCCTGACTGCCTAGTTTTCCACATCTGTCACGTCCAATTACCCTAGAGAAGGGCCCATTCCTATTCCAGGTCGAATGCACATGTACCTCGAACTGTTCGCGCCTTGGGCTATACGTGTACGGTCTGGCTGCTTCATATGCACAACCGTAGTTGACAAGAACAGCCCTGGAAAGCACAAGGCGAATACTGTGTAACTGGGGGCCATGACCACAACCATAGCGGCGAGTAATAGTATAGCACCTCCAACCATCCCAATAGGATGCACAGAGTTAAGCCGCACCTGCGTTAGATCCTTGGCGTCCAAGCCCTAGCAGGCCGTGACGTAGGGTATCCATGGGAGCGTTTTTATTTGAAATCATATTTTTTTTCCCCCCTTCTTCCCTGCGTCTTTCTGCTGCCAGCGCCAGCGCCAGTGCCCCGCGCACCGCCCACGCGCCCACGGAAATTTTGTCTGAGCAGGGCCCCGATGTCCCTCCATATGCCCCCCCTCCATTGGCCGTCCCTCCATGTGGTATCGGTATCTGATAAAACCCTCGTGCCCCTCTGCCCTATGCAGAAATTCGCTCGATTAACTTACATTGATTCTGTGATGGGCGCTCGCCGTAGAATAGTCTAGGCCTCCGGTTTCTCGGTTTCTCCTTTAGTAATCATCGGCTTCGCTGGAGGCGGATTTTTCAGAACTGTCACAAGGGACCCCGCCTCACGCCCATCCCATCGCCACCCTAAAATAAATCCCTACCGACTAAGTTGCGTGCCCAAGGTCAACGTCAGAACCTGCATCCTGAGGTCCCGTCGCTGTTAAGGTTTGGTTATTACGGCCTCTTCACATAGCGCAGCCCCGACCGACCGGCTTCTGCATTGTTTCAGACCGTCATCAACCCAAACGCTCCTCCCTCGTTGCTCTCAGGGCGGTTCCCACATTCACGTTCACCTTTGGCCTTCCGACATACTCGGTCTGCGCAATCTTCTTCTCTTCGCCCATTCTCCAGCAGTCTCCCCATACAATCCTTCGAGATGGCGACGAGAACCGCGTCCTCGGGCCTCGCTGCCGCCCCCGACTCCCATCAGTACACCTGCAACACCTGCCAGGTGGCTTTCCGACTCGCAGACACCCAGAAGGGACACATGAAGAGCGACTGGCAGTAAGTGACTAACACAACCTTTCTCTCTCTCTCACTCCTCTCAGGCCACCCGGTCTGGCATTCCCGTCTACCCCTGATCTAAGGCGCTGACATGTCTCCCACTCGTTCAGTCGCTATAACCTCAAGCGACGGGTCGCCTCGCTCCCCCCGATTGCTTCCGAAGTCTTCACCGAGAAGGTCCTACAGGCTCGCGCTGCCGACTCGGCCGTGGCCGACCGCGCCGGGTTCCAACAAGTCTGCGACGTCTGCCAGCGCACTTATTTCAGCGAAAACTCGTACCGAAACCACATCGGCAGTCGCCAGCACAAGGTCAAGGAATTGGCCCTGCAGCGCAAGGCCGACGGCAGTGTTGCCGGCGACGATGCCGCCAGCACCATTGTCAGCTCCACCTTCTCGCTGGGCGAACCTCTGCCCAAGGACGAGGTCGACTCGGACGCCGAAGACGAGTTCAGCGAGGTGGTCGAGGGCCTCAAGAAGACCGACCTCAACGAGCGTCCCTCTCCCGTCAAGCGCCCCTCAAACCCACACCCGTCTGTTGAGGCCCAGCGCGCCAGAGAACACCCCGTTTCCGATGCCTCCAGCCAGGCCGTCTCGAGCACCGCAACTCCGGTCCCCACCTTGACCTTGAAGGCGTGCCTGTTCTGCAACTATGAGTCACCCACTGTTCCCTTGAGCGTGGTGCACATGGAGAGGATACACGGCATGTTCATACCGGAGAAGGACTACCTTGTCGATCTGGACGGCCTACTCAAGTCTCTGCAGGAGCGCATCCAGGAGCTGGCCGAGTGTCTGTACTGTGGCAAGATGAAGAGCAATCCGTTTGCGGCCCAGACCCACATGCGGGACAAGGGCCACTGCAAGATTCCCTACACTACGGAGGAGGAGCAGCTCGAGATTGGCGAGTTCTACGATTTCAGAAGCACATACTCGGACGAAGAGGAATCGGACGATGAGGACGCTGACGACAAGCCCTCCGGCGGTGCCAAGCTTGGTATCAAGCGCCAGACCAAGGCTGTTGGCTTGGATGGTGACGAGATCATGGAGGAAGACGAGGGCTGGGAGACAGACAGTTCAGCCTCCTCGCTTGATTCTGAGGAATTGACGTCCATCCCCGTCGACAACCACATTCATCAGTACGAGCGACTTGACAAGCATCCGCACCACTCGTCCCACGACCCACGCCATCACCACCAAATGGATGGCTGGCATTCCCACGCTCACAAACACCGTGCTGTCTTCTACGACGAGACGCAGCTGCATCTGCCGTCAGGCCGTGCGGTGGGCCATAGATCTCTCAATAAGTACTACCGACAGAACCTCCACAGCCATCCTTCGCCCGAGGAACGCGCCGAGCGGTTGGCCATTGAGGGTAGCGTTGATCCTATGGAGGTTGACGGCGACAACAAGGTGGCAGTTCGCCATGAACGTGGCCGCAACGGTGCAATGATCAGCCGAGCCGATGGTGGCACCGGCATGACTGGTGTTACGGACTCCAAGAAGAAGGAGGTCCGCCGTGCAGAGCAAAGAGCCCGCAAGCGCGAGCACAATGCCCAGAGACGCAACGAATGGGCCCTGAACAAGCAGCACAACCACCAGAAGTACTACAACTACCAGATCTTGTAGATGCAGTTGGCTGCTCATGACCGGGGCCTACACCCGAGGGATGCGATCCCCGTACGGCCTCGTTCCGACGGGATCATATGGTTCTTGACGTCTAGAGCTACTGGACTCATAGGCCACGGAGTTAAAAGTTGGCAACATACTGCTTTTTTGGGGCGCAAAATATGAGTAAAGTAGTATATAGATTATGATCAATAGACCGAGGAGTGACTCCATTATTGAAAGATTTATGTTGTACTTGGAGCATATTGCTCTTTTCTTGAGACTGGTGTAATGCCTGATTCAATGCTAATCGAGTTCGTCCAAAGATGATATTCCTAAAGTCCCGCCTAGCCCAAGGCTTCCTGAATTATAAAAGTCTTTGATACAACACTAGTAATAATTGCGGCATTCAAAGTCTGTTGCCACCTGAAATGAACAGGTAGACACACTATGCTTCCCACCTATATAACACCACTGCCCAGATTAGATTCGTCAAACCAACCTCAAAACCCACGTCCTTAATCATCTCGAACGCCACGCCTCACGGGGCCCAGCTGTGGGGTCCCGTAACCCAGGGACCGGAACTGATAGCGCGGACGCACGTTGTGAAAGCGACGCAGCCAGTGCAGTTTCGCCATCCCATTGCTCACCCATACCAAATCCGTATTCTGCTCCATCGCGGGATCCCACTCGTCCTCGACGTCGTCGGCCCCCGCCGTCTGGTCGAAGGGGGTCAGGTTCCCCGGCGAAACCACGACGGGCATCAGCTGCTGCGGCTTCGTCCACGACACGTACATGGGCAGGTAGTAGTTGGGCTCAGTAGCCCGGCTCATCGCGGCCACCACCGTCGTCCTGTTAGCGGGCAACACAGGGTCTTGCAGGCCGTCCTCGTTGACGGGGATGTGGCTTTGGGCCATATCGCGCAGCAGCCCGCCCATCGTGAAGACGTTCCCCCATAAGAACTCGGAGTCTGGCTCATCGCCCTGGACCCTGGCCAGGCCAAAGTCGGCCAAGACAATGGCCGGGAAGGCTTCGCCCACCGCCCCGGCCGCCGGCACCTGGCCGTGGACGTCCGGGTAGTGGATGAAGACGTTGTGGGGGTGCAGGTCGTTGTGGTAGATGGGCGTCCACGCCGCCGGCCTGTGGTCCCAGTCCTCGCCCGGGTACACGCCATGCTTCAGGAATGCCAGCGCCGTGGTGAGCCGTTCAGCTACGTGCCTGGAATGCAGTCTCAATCTAGTACCAAAATCTGAGCCCTGGCCGGGTAGCATGGGAAGGGGACTCACCAGATGAAGATCTCGGGAATGGTGTTATCATACTGACGGTATAAGTGTATAAGATTCCTCAAATCCCCGCCGTTGCAATATCTAGAAAACAGTGGTTAGCTAAGCTACATCTCTCGGGCTATGGAGCGTGCGCGGTATGGATTTGTCTTACTTAAAGTACAATGGTTACGTATCTGTACCAAGTTACTGCCAGAATCGGAGACTGGGAAAACAGTCCACCTCCGGCAGCACAGCCCTTGCCCCGGGCCAAGTCGAAATGTCCAGGTCGCACTGCAGATTCATCACATCGGCCAGCCAATCCAGATTACGTACGAGTACGTACGAGTATCTTGTTGGCGTACAGCTTCTCATTGGCGATGGACTGGACCAGAGTGACATTCCTTTGGACCAAGTCCATAGCCAGAAAACCCTGCGTGGCGATTTTGGCAACACTCCCCTCATGTGTTACTTTCAACGCGGCCTTCGGGGCCGGCCTGGAATTCGGCGACGGCCTTGGGGCAGGGGCAACGACGGCAGCTCTCTGCGAGCGTGTCCTTCTTGCGATGGGTTCGTGATCGTCATCGTCGATATCTATCGCGTCCAGGTCATGCGGCTCTGCGGCAGGGACACCAGTATATACCCATTCTTCCTGCACAGAGGAACCATCGTCCCCCTTGCGCTCCACCGGCAGAACCAGCCCAATATGCTCATAGGGTCTCGATCTTATCGTCGCCATTGAGGTTATAGATGCATGAAACTTGCTTTGGTATATTGAATTCCGGTACACTGCTTCTCTAAGGGCATTTGGAATTTGAACTTTGTCTGATTGTTTGGTGTCGCGAGACGCCGGTTCGAGATACTCATCGTATACCTAACGAGTACAATGAAGCTTTTGAAAGATCTTGAGAAGAATGAACGTTTGCATTGCCCGATGCGGCTAATATCAGACAGGCCAGCGAATCAAGACCATTGGCAATGCGCAGAGTACAGGGTATTGTGTCAATACGCAAAGGCTCCCATAGCCTCTCAAAAATACGCCATAGGAACTTATCGGGGCAGTACCGACTTCAAACTCAAAAACTTCTGGATTCCAAGCGTGCCATTTACCGCTCCTCAACCGCGCCCTCTGACTGCAGTTGGCGATATCGTGGGCGCTGTATCAGCGACGACTGTTGGACTGTTCACAGTGACCATGCCGCATTCTAGACGTCTGCTCAACGCGAGAGCACCCATGGCGTTCCCGCTCTAAATGGCACCGCCGAGTCCAGAAGGCGAGTCGTTGGCCAAGTCTACAGCGCGTTCTTTGTCGTCGACAGCGAAGAGGGAAGCCGACGGGCCAAATAATAGTAAATACGATAACGGAACGTTATCAACAAACACTTTTGACTCACTAAATAGCTTTATTCCATCAAGTTACTCTAAAACGACTGCATATAAATTATCAATGACCGAACATACTATTTGGCTTCCGTTTGATATTAGTAATGTTGGATCGGCACCGCGAAGGAGTGGGTACAAAATCATGTCCAAATTACAGTCACTCAAAATCAATCATAAACAAGTTGAGGCTGTCTGGTAAAGTGTGTAATCATGAAACAACGCTCGGCTCGGTTTCTTTGTTCCTTTGAAGCGCTATTTGCAATAAGTCTCTGCTTTCAGCCAGATTTGCCCGCCTTCTAAGGACATCGCGTTCAATTCCATTTGTACGCATTTGTTGGAAGTTTCTTTGTTCAGATTCTCGCTATCATGGACTGATAACCCGCAAACTTCAAACTTTTACGCTGGGGGACAGACGCTCAGTCCTGTATCCCTGTCACGTACTACTTCGGATTCACCCAAGGCCACCATATACCAATTCCTCGATCTTCACCATTTTCATAAGACAATGTACCAAAATATGCTCCCAAGCAAGCCTAAAGGTCCCGCTTCGTGTGCTAAAAGAAAGGATGGCCCTCTTACAGTCAATAAGTCCGGAGACAGCAAGAAAAAAGCTAAGCTGAACCCTATCACCGAGCTGATCAACTTGTTGAAAGCAAGATCAATCCCTGTGCATACACCTGGAGACCCAGAATATGAACGTTCGGTGGCAAACCCGAATCTTATGTATCGCTTCTCACGACCTCATCTAGTCGTGCAGCCAGAGCGATACACCCAAGTTCAATATCTAGTCCGTGAGGCAAACCGACTAGGTATACACATCACCATAAAAAATGGAGGTCACAGCTACGCAGGCTCCTCCACTACAGATCAGGGTGTCTTGCTGGACCTCTTGAAGTTGAACAAGGTTCTTCTCGATATGGAAACCAAGACCATGACGCTTGGTGGCGGCGCGTTATGGGGTAGCGCGTATAAGGCCCTGATTGACGGTCGCAATGATGGCTATGTCGTCAACGGTGGACGTTGCCCCAATGTCGGCGTTTCTGGATTTATCCTGGGCGGTGGCCTTGGTCCATTCACGCGCACCCTTGGGATGGGATGCGACTCGTTGAAGCAGGCTACTATCGTCTTGGCTGACGGCAAAAAGATTACCGTCAAGGATAGTGACGAGCCCACCTCGAGAAAAGGGATGCTCTTCTGGGCGCTCTGTGGTGCTGGAGGAGGCAATTTCGGTGTTGTGGTTGAAATCAAGTTGGGAGTATCGAAGTTGCAGAACCCCCAAGGCGTCATAGTGGCTGGCAGGTATACTTGGAACCCAACAGCGGAGGACAAGAACGATTTCCTTAGTACTATGGTCCGATTTTATACTCACAACTGGCCGGATCGAATGACTATCGACAGCACTTGGGTGTGCGACCTCCGACTGCCGGAGGGTCGGGATGTAGGAGTACGCTTCCTCGTCTATTTTGATGGCAATGAACACGAATACCGGAAGCAAATTAGCAAGGGGGTCATCCACAAAGGCCTTGCCGAGCAACTGAAGCGACGGTCATTGCCCGAAAAGTCGACGCGTTTTCTTCATGAAACACTTGTCAGTCAATGGTACGAGGAGACCAGACAGTCATTTCCTAAAACCCGTCAGTGGAGTCTGTTTACCTCATTCGCGTTTCTCAACGATGAAGAAACAATCAAAAGCGTTACCGGCATCATTCAAAGTGAAATGGATGATTTCAAACAGCAGTTTAAAGGGGAGAGGGCCATGGCCGCTTTCACATTCATCCATTCTGGGGGCCAGGCAACCACGAAGCCAGACTGGGCGACTGCATTCCGCTGGCGCCAGACTGTTTATCAAGCCTACATACAAATATTGTGGGAGGACAAATGGCTGGAGAGGGATATGAGGGGCTTCCACCAAAGATTCAGAAAAAGAGTGAAGCCATTCTCTATAAGCGGTCACGCAGGATACATTAATTTCCCTGATCGGTCACTGAAGCCCGACGTTCATGAAAAGGTCTATTATGGAAAGAACCGACAAAAGCTGCAGCTCATCAAGAAGATATGCGATCCAGATAACTACTTCAGCTGGCCCCTTGGTGTCCGGCTCCCGGAACAGACTGCTTCATCTTCCGGAGGTCGCGTAGACGGCACAGATGAGAGAGAGCAACTGGCAAACGCATTCCTGGCCGCAGAGGAAGAGGAGGGGAGCTCGGCCTCAGATTCCGAGTCTGTGGATGAAGAGGGCCAGACTGACGACATAGCAGGACAACAATGGGAATCTGGAGCTGGAAATCCAAGTGATGACTGGCTTGGGAAGAATGGTTTTCCCTCCTCGCTTTGGGGTCCATTGGATGACAGAGGCCAGTGAAAACTCTTTTGGTATGAGATATTCGGCGTTCTTTCGCTGTCAACATTAGGCCAAAATCCTCTAGTTAGAATGAAACACTCATTAGGAATTAATTCTAGAAAGACTTAACCCCTCAGTTTTGCCGCTTTGAACAGGGTTAAGAGATATCGTTTCCATTCGTGTTACGCCACGATCTTGTAAGGCACTTTTGCTTTAACTGCCCACCTCATCCAATTCAGGCGTTCGGGTCAACGATGAACGAGACGAGGAAATTGGCGTACTTATCCAGTTTTGGCTCGCTCTACTGACACTACCATGCCAAAATGACGCGAAACCTTGGGGGTGAGAAAGAGAAATATGTTCAAGATGGAGGGAGAAACACTCCGCACCTGGTCGTCTGATTCGCGTGGACAGTGAAGATTATCCCCCGGAGAACTGTAAAAGCTACACTGACAGTATAAGCCCAACCCCCAGAAAGGACAAGGACAATCGGGTTTAAAATTATAGCAGATATGTATGGGAGGCCGAGGCTATATATAACACGTTTGTTCTCAATGAACGCGCCTTGCAGGCTTTAAAAACAAGAATGGTGCCCTGGTTCAAAAGATGTCCTTGAACAGGTACAGGATTGTTAGATTCTACTTTCCTTGCAAATTTTATGGTCTATGACTAGAGTGTGCATATGCGAAATGAAATACTGTAAATCAAATGAAACAATCTATCATTAATAAAGATGAAAATAAATATCAACATAGTCGCTCGTACTTTGAGCTCTCATGAGTTATTGTTCTGATACTGATACTTGCTTACAATCGAACCATACTGGTCGAATCGAACTGGCTCATACTTTGCGGGGTTGGCAGTCGTGATGAATTGTGGCAGCGTTTCCACAATGTGAGAGAAGTCAGGCGCGACAAAGAATGGGACCGAGTAGCGAGCAGGAAGCCCGGACTCGGGCACTGTCTCTGGATCTGGAACCGAAACTCGATGTAAAGCAGACACAAAATAGCCTGTAACAGGACATTTAGTTACGCATAGCAATTTTACATGGGAGGCAGAAGGGGAACTCACCGTTCGTGAAGCGTTGGAGCATGTCACCGACGTTTAAGACGAAGGAACCATCTTCGGGTTCGGCATGTATGAACTGTTTGGAATGAGGGTCTTGTAGCTCTAGCCCACCCTGGCTGTCCTGGAACAGCATGGTTAAGGTGCTAGAATGAGGCGGTCAGCGTGTGCCGCAGAGATGGGTGCGCATCACTTACCCCCAGTCACAGTGAGCAGGTAGCCTGGCCAATAATTCCTTCTGAATTTTCTCCTTGCTGATAGCAGGGTAGTGCAAAAGGCGCAATTGACAGTGACGACCCGACATAAGCTTATTCAAGGCACCTCGTGCCTCACCCTCCAGTCCCAGGCCGAGGGACATCGCGTCAAGTACAACGTGGCTAATTTTGGCTAGTCTTTCGTACAAAGAATTCATATACTCCTTGAAGTGTGGGAGTATAGTTTCAGGTAGCCATATGTTCTGTTGGACAGGATCATGCTCGCTGCCTATTTCGTAACTTTCCTAGGGTTGACTTAGTGTGCACGGAAGATACGAAAATGACAAATGGCTGTATACCTTGAAGTCGGAGATCTTGCGTAATGTCTTCTCAACATTTCCACTAGCTGTCTGTGAATCTACGTCATCTTGTGAGTAGACTTTTTCCTTTCCAATACTGGAATAACCGCGATGCGGCATTGGTCCCGGGGGGTGCGGGGCCTTCATTTTCTCGCATTCAGGCAAATCAAAGAGTCTCTTGGTCCAGTCAAGCGCCTTATTAATTTCATCGCTGCTCATTCCGTGGCCGGTAACTTTGACAAATCCAAGACGGTGGAGAGCTTTAACGAGGTCTTGGCCAACCTTGAGGCGTTGTGAATCTGTGGAAGCGTTTCTTTTCGATGCACTGAACGGGGACAGGTCAATGGTAGCAATCCTGCTGGCCCCCGCTGTCATGAAGCTTTGCGACATTTTAAGCTGGCGGTCTTAGAAGTCAGAATCGCAGAGGGATAAGGGAGTGGAGAAGTAATGGTTTGAAAGTCAAGGATCAGATCTAGTATCGACAAAGAGCCACACATCGGCAACAGAAATCGACAGATATTTATATGGAAGCTGGAGGCAATCTTCCGAGAGCTGGCTGGTGCAATCTGATCCAAGGCCGTTATCCCTGTCATGGGATCCACAAAATCAGGGTTCTGGTATACCAGTGGAGCACCCAGAATATACGCAATGCATTGTTTATACTCCATCCAGACTTCACTTGTAGTGTTACGTTCGGAGTTTCATACACATTTAAGCCATGAATTCAGCCAGGTAGCTCCTCGCCATTGCGACTTGATCATAATCCCACGCCAAACTGGGCAGGGAAAGGTGTCAGGGATCACACATGTCGTGCATATCCCTTGCACCAACAACAGTCACCACATCATGCAGTGCGTGACCATTGCAGGTCGCACTCAATGCACCACCCAATAATTCCTTTCCAACTACGAACAATAACTACGCCAACGAGAACGACCCTTGCAAGTCGCGTCGGGTTCCCGACCCGATCTGTGTGAAGGTACACGGTGCCGGTCCTATAGGCTAGGTGTAGCCCTGCGGCACAAGTATGTCGTCATCTTCCCCGACTTTCTCGGCAATTTGTTAAGAGGCCTAGAAATAGTCAATACGAACGGATCTAGCCTGCTAAGTACAGTTTCCTTTATCCTTGCTCTATCTTGACTAGAGCAAAGCCAGATTCTCCTTCTTCTCAGCGCACGATTCTCTATAAAGTAAGATCACTGATGCTCCCCGACCCCGCCACGGATCACTGCTGTTTCAATATTCCAATCACGCAAAATGACCTCCGAAGCAGGCCAAGGCATCACCCAAGCAGGCTTGTTGGTACGTTTGTCCAGGCGTAGTATGATGAGGACCAACAGAATCGATGACAATAGCTGGATCATTTTGTTGGGACACTGAATTCATTCTGGACTGACTTATGATTGGCTTGCAGGCGATAATTTGGGTGTTCGCTGGTCTATCGACCGTGCTGGTGGTTGGACGCCTATTGATTCGGAGCATCCTTCTTAAGAGCTTCCATTTGGACGATGCTTTCGGTGCACTCTCTTGGGTTTTCATGATTGTTTGCATGATCTGCGTCACCATTCAGATGCCACTAAGCTACCATTTTCCTCCATCATAATTGGTGAAACACCAATGCCCCGGCTCGAGGAACTGGCAGACTTGACGATAACATCGCGCAAGTGGTCAGTTGCCAGCCAGACATTCTTCTGGACATCGCTTTTCTGCGTCAAGCTATCATTCATGTTCTTGTATCGGATGGTATTAAGAAGTTATGACAAGTACAACATTGCATGGCACATTAGTGTCGTGTATATTGTTGTTAGCTATGGTATATGCCTTATTGGTGTGTTTGGACAATGCGGGGACTCGAAGAATCTATTTAAGTATGGTAAGAATTTCCTGCGCCGTCAATCCCTCAAGTACGTGCCGCTGAGTAATATACAGAAGAATGCATGACGCCGTATGTGGCGTCGCTCAACTCCAAAATAATTTGGGTGGCTTGGTTCTTCAATGTCTCTTCTGACCTAATCGGTAAGTTTTCTAAACCCTACCGGAGCGATACATACCCAAGGCAACTGATTCTCGTATAGTGATAATTCTCCCTCTTCCCGTCATCTGGAACCTCAACATGCGTACCAAGCAAAAGTTAGCTGTATCTTGTATTTGTGGACTGCAGGGATAACTATCGCGTTTGAGACAGTGCGATCGGTGAAGCTGTACCAGACCAACTTTAATCTGACTAACCTTTACAGTTATTTGGAGCTCCTTATAACAGTTTTAATCGGCATGCTGCCATCATACCGATTCCTACTTGGTAATTCAGAAAAAGATCGCGAATATCGACACATATTCTGGACCCATGTCACGTTTAGAAGCCCCGGCTCAAGCAACGCAGGCCATTCAATGCAGAGCTATGACAGGTCGCCTAACGATCAGTTGAGGAGGAACGTTGATTAGGCGGGCGCTGACTCAGAGCAGCCACCTCTACGAGTAGCCCAGACTGGGAAATAAGCAGCCACGACATAATAATAATGAGAACACAGGAATTGTGGGATTTCCTTCAACCCTACTGTGCTAGCTACTTCAAGAGTAGAGAATTGAGGGCTGGTGGCAGCCATTTTGAATCATATCTACTAGAATCCTATACGGTACTTGATAAGTTAGAATTATTCATATTCTGGAAATGTGAAAACATTTGTTACAGTGCGCCACGCCTTCGCGTTCAGATTTTTTTATTTTTGTTATTGCTAGCATCTCTAGGGTATCATTTGAGAAACCAGCGGTGAATAGTAAGACTGCAAGAATTGTGCCTTATGTGCAGCAGTAATCTCGAATTGTTCTCTAATGGCAGATGTTCACGCTATGACAATCACTGGTCCAGATGAACTGTTCGTACTCAAAGTCGCGAGGGGCTTGGCCCTCCCTCATCAACTTGCATACTTGGTACACAAGTGCTGAGTTTCAGTTATAGTGGTATACAATCCAGAGGACATAATTCAGTGGTAATATCTCTCTCGTCGCGTTACTCACAGTTGCCAGTGCTGCACCATTTCGTTTCGAAAACGATAATGCTCTTTTTCGAGTGTGGTGCGTGGCCACTCACTATCGAAGGCCAAAAGATAAAAAGAAAGAAATCATTCAAATTTGCACATTTCAGAAGAATGTCTTTGTGCGGTTGGCAAGACTCGAACTTGCGTCTTGTCGGAGCTAATTCCACAACGACAAATAATAACCCCTATACGACAACCGCCGAGAGCGAAGTGGAGAACGGCACCAGCCAATCACAACACTGAAATCAATTTCCTCTAATAATGCATTACAAATTGTGTATCACAGGTTAATGCTAGGTCTGCTACCTTGGAATAATCAAATCAATAGAGGAAAGATATGATTGTGCGTTTGGTGATATACATCTGAGCACATTCGGGGTCGAGCCACTTCACCCGAGGAATGTACTTGGGACCACGTGATTGGTATTTGACAAGAAAACCTCAGAAGAATTCAAGATAGTACATCACATGATACATTATGCAGTGCCCTCGGTATGTATATATCAGACCTTGTTGATCGAGTACGTTGGAAGAAGTATCATGGCCCTTTAGGAGCAGCTTTGCCGACCATCTCCAGGGTGAAGAATTTTTTAAGCGGCATTGGGTCAGTCGCTGCGGAAATTAGATACTTATGTAGGTAACCGGTGGATCTTGCGACGCGAGGCTTTAGTCCTCTGGTGCTTGAAATAAATGGAGTGAGCAAAACCATTGCGCACTGTAAGTTCTTGTCCTAGTTTCAGGATCTATAAACTAGAACTTTCCCAGGTAAAGGTTGCGTAAATGAGGTTGTCGACAGTCTCGATTGCGAAGGTGGCTTTGGCTGGCTTGGCACGCTTCAACCCCTACCTAAAATTTGAGAGCCGCGTAAGTGTCTCCATACTCGCTTCCGCATTGGGTAGGTCGGAGCCTTGCCGTATAGCCATTTAGGATTGAATAACAGGTGAAACATCATTGCTGAGGCGGAATTACACATTCCAAGTGCCGTTTACCGAGAAAAACACCAATGGGCAATGGGATATTAGTTCAGAATGCGTGTAGCAAATCTTCTTCCTGTAGAATGTGCGTATCAGACCGGCTTTCATGGCACCGACTACAGACTCGAGCCTGTAATATATTGCTAGTCTACATAGTGTTCTGTCATAATATCATCTACTGTACAAACTCAGAGAAAAAAAGAGCAAAACTTCTTCAACCCTATCCTAGCGTCACTTGTACTCAATTGATGTGAGAATCCTGTATTACAGTGGTTGCACGCACGTGTATAGCCGCGCGCTAACCCAAAACGTAAGGTACCAGTATTTCCCCATCTTTCGGGGGATGAGATCACTGGTGCCGCGGATGGTATGCTACCCTATACGACACAAGCTATTGGCCAGGCAAAGGGCTCGCTTTGAATTGGAATGCTCTCGTTCCCCTCAGAGCACGCCGGGGCCTGGTCCATGGATCCAAGGATGTTGTGCAGTAAAAGGTTACTTTGTTAGGAGGGTCGTTAATAATCACATTATGCTCATTGGCAGTTGTCCACGCAATCGTCTTGGCGCCAAAAGACGTGACGATTTGTGGCGACTAGGTATCATGATGTTGGGGTAAAGATGCGGTCCAGTGGCAATTGAGTATAAGTTGGGAGACTCCCCAGCTGCTCTATTAACAAGTCATTTCATTCAGGTCCACCCTACACTCACTTGTATATCATACTACCTGCAGGTTTTGACTTGAGGCTGTCTTTCATTCGTCAAAATGGTTAACTTCAAGAACATCGCTGCCTCTTTGGCAGTTTCATCCATCCTCGGGGCGGCTGTCGGTCACCCCGGTGAGGTCAAGTCTGCTAAGGAAGTCAAGCGCGAGATTGACTTGTACAAGAACGCTCACGAGAAGGCCGTTCGATCTATGGCCAAGGTTTACGACTCCCCCGCTGCTCAAGCTCTCAGAGCTCGTGCTATTGCCCGCCGTGCTGCCACCGTCCAGGCTCTCCGTGCCAAACGTGGTCTCACCAACAGTAAGGAGCGCCAATAAGTCGGAACCAATATTCCAGGCCGCTAATATACCTGACAGAGAAGATATTCTCCAAGAGGGACCAGGCTGACCTGTTGAAGTACTTGTCTGAGTCTCACGACGTTTCCGAACTCGGCTACACCCTTGACACTCCCCTTGATGTTATCTTCGGCTCCAACGCTACAGCTGCTCTTGCTCCCGAGGTCACTATTGGGCCTTACTTCGTTTCCGGCGAGTACATCCGTGAGGATGTCACTGAGGACCAGGAAGGTGTCCCCGTTCATTTGGACCTTCAATTCGTTGATATCAACACATACACCCCTATCCCGGATCTCCTGATCGATATCTGGCACTGCAGTGCGATTGGTGTCTACTCCGGTGTGTCGGCCCAGGGCCAAGGCGGTTTGAACTCCACCTGGCTGCGTGGTGTTGCTGCTACCGATGACGATGGCGTTGCACAGTTCGACACGATTTTCCCCGGGCACTACCAGGGACGTGCTCACCACATCCATCTGCTGGGAACCGAGAACTCTACAATTCTTCCCAACCAGACCTACGTCGCGGGCAAGACTGACCACATCGGTCAGATCTTCTTCAACCAAGAGCTCATTACTGAGGTCGAGAAGACTGAGCCCTACGTCACCAACAGCCAGCAGCTCACATTGACATCTAATGATGGCATTGCAGGACAGCAGAGTACTGATAGCCACGACCCGCTGGTTGACTACGTCCTCCTCGGTGACGACCTGTCGGATGGTCTCCTGGCTTTCATCACCATTGGTGTTGACACCACCGCTGATTACTCAGACAGCTACACCCCGGCTGCCCACTACCAGGAGGGTGGCGGTGTCGATACGGGCCTTGGCGGCGGTCCTGGCGGTCCTGGTGGTCCTGGCGGCCCCGGTGGTCCCTTCCCCACTGGCCAGCCCTTCCCACCGCGACGAATGATCTAGGTCATGTTCATGGTTTAGGGAGTTCGAACGATCGACCACGCCGACAGTTCCTCCCATCAAAAAGATGAGATACGTCCCTTTGAGCACGTATTTGCGAGTGGTGAGGATGGGTGCCAGGGTGAATGTCAGTGGGTTGAAAGAGGCTGGAAATACGACTATCTCTATTTAACTTGAGTTTAGAGGAGATAGAAAAAAAACAAGTCTTTCATATTGCCGATGCTATCCCCGTTGTTCGATAAAGAGATATTTATGAACAGATGACCCGTCGTGTAAGGAGATATAGTTTTGAAACTCAAACTAGCCTACTATTTCAATGATCAGAAAGAAGCTCCCTGAGTTCCATTCAGGTCATGTTGCGGGGATGGGGTGCATTGGGTGACATCGGTGTAGCACACATTGATCTACATTCCTCTCCTGGGGTGTGTTCCAGACGTTACCCAACAAAAACCTTTGTTGTCATGTGTGATACAGTTACATAGTAGATAGTTCATCAAACCAAACTTTTCAGGTATGTTTTTGTTATTTTTAGCAGCACTGCAACAGAACGAGCCGATCAAGCCTAAAGCTGAGGTTGACGCAGACGCATTGAGCCGAATCCCTTAAACACGATAGGTGGCGTTCTTAGCCGCTCATTTAACCACTTCAAGAGAACGCCTCGGGTTCAAAATCAGCGACACTATGCCGTCATACTAACCAATGAATGCTATAGCCAAGACCGCCTCTGGTCAATACGAGTAGAGCAACATCTTGGCCCCAGCCTCCGGAAACATCGCAATCAAACAACAGTATTGCTTACGTCAAATTAAGTCACCCAAGATACTACTAACGACGTTGGGCTCTTTTGATAAATACCACGGTCCCTCGCGAATGTTGCGATTCATGTTATTGCTGTGCTCTTCATTCTGAATCGAACAAAAAATCTTATAACATCCAAATTACGACCATGCTCTATGATACGTTTTTCGTTGCAACTCTGCTTTGGTGAGATAAACCTGAGTTGACATAACAACGCCTACTAACCAAAATTAGGATCCCTATCCAGCAGGCTTCAGCAGCGTACCCGAGCTCATCACCGACTATCTCACCGGTAGATACTCACTGCCCTACGGTCACCTCGAAATCCATTTGCAGCACCTGCGTATACCCAGCGTGCCTCGAGATCTCCACAGTATCCAACCCTTGCGACTGTTCGACTCCGGTTCCAACCGTCTCTGCTACTTACCCGTGCGAGAACGGCTGCCCTTCATTCAAATGCGGTGGTACTCAATACGTGTCAGCTACCTCCTCGTCCACGTGTGCTTCGGTCCCAAACGAGCCCAACACAAGCTGCACACCCACCGTCACTGTGTCCGCCTATCCATCTGAGGGTTGCTCCATCAGCTCATGTGACACTAATTGCATCATTGATAGTAAGGGTGGTACTGATTGCATATGGCGGTGAACTGGCTAACATGGACCAGAATTCGTCACATATCCATGCGGATGCCCGACGACCGGCGTGGGCGTTGTGACCACAACCGTTGTCCAGCCATGCCCAACTGCCGCTCCTTGTTACAACTGCCACACGGGGTTTCCGTTCGCGACATACGAGAGCCCGTGTCCCACAGACCCTCCATACACAAGTGTTTATTAGGACTAAAACCGTGTTAGGTGAGCCTACACAACGTCTGTACGGGGACTTTAGTCATACATGGCTCAGCCAGAATAGTGAAGATTAAATCTCTCTATCGGAAAGCTAGATAGAGTAGCACTGGCGAATTGAAAGTTTGGCTCCATCAGAAATATGACTTTTCTCCATCTACCATTACAAGGAGGCTGAGTAGCCTGTCTAACGCCGTACCGTATATTTAGGCCTGCGGCAATTAGTAATCAAGCAGCGAAAGGTCTGGACGAAGGTTGGAACATCGTTGACAAAAATGACCCTGGATGGCCTCTAGTAACGTGTAGTTGTATAGAGTAAAATTGTTAGTTTGGGGCTCTGCAGGGTTGTGGCAAAAGACCTATCTTACGTCCTTAACAACGCCCAACGGAATGTCTTGCACGTCATTACACACGATTTAGCCAGGGCTTGGTGGAACTCTCCGGCAAGCTTGAGAAGAGACAGCTCACGGTGATAGAAGACTAACGAACTAATTCTGAGGGTCAGAAGCACCAGGGGAGATTACGCTAAGTACTGGGTGTTTCTCTTAGTGGCACTCGTGAGTGTTGAGATGAGCTTGGAACGGCATCGCGTCTCCTTCCTGATAAACTTGATATTAGGTCGCCTTGTGGATAAGCTTATCACTCCAGTGGCACTGTATACCGCTAGCAGCCATAATTCGTTTTTGCCCTATCGTAAGTGTAGCAAGATCTTGACGATTATTTTGAGATCAACTACAAGACTATACGACTGTGTATATAATCATCGACTATTCCGCCATAATGCGGGTTATATTGCTAGGTGAAGACACCGACATAGCTAGTTAGCACTAAACAGTGAGTCCTGAGTTTTTATTCATATAGGCACGACGAGTCTCTAATTCGGTGTGCTCGATCTGCCTGGGCTAGGCCTTGTGCCAAGTAGCCAAGGACAAACGTTGCAGGCAGTAATCTGTGGATCAAAGCCTCTTAATGGGGATTACTCTAATTCAGAAGACGCATGTAGACTGTGGTGACATTTGCGCTATTAACCGAATGTGAGTGTACCTACATTCCTAGGTACCCAAGGTAACATCAACGCTACCGTGCCACGCAATGCTCAGAATGCCGCGGCATGTGGGGTCGAGATTTTGTATTCCTTTCAGAGATAGACCCGAAATCCAGGATACCGATGGAAAACGAGTTCAAGACCACGCATATGGACAGACCTCCGGGTCATCCATATCATGATACGAGAGCCGAACTGGATCCACATAGTGTTGACGGGGAGCTGCGGTGCCAGAGCTGAACGACTCGCTTATTGCAGCCACATAGTGTTACCTTGAAACCGCTCGGCTTATGGTGCCGTGCCATAGTAACTTACTTTGCCTTTGCCGTATAGTCGCGCAGCCCCTCAGCCCCCGGGCGTATTCCTGCGATATAACCCCACAGCTCGAATAGTATTTCATCTCTCTAGTTTCAAGGGTGAGAAGGTCGCTCAGAACTTGGCGGGTCGGCATAACGCGATTTGTAAATTGACCCAGCTCCCCAGCTTTCGACATTCAGCAGCGAGTCGCAACAAGCTTTGCCTGCCCAGGACGGGGCGGCGGGCGGCCCCACACTTCTCTCTGCTTAAACCTTAAGCCACCCCTGGCGGAGACCCGCACGTCGCACCTATCAGCAGACACAGCCGCCCTATGCGATCCCACTCCCCTAACCACATGCCTAAAGCAGCCTGATCTACTGGCCTGGCACGGCGTGACTGGTTGGCTGGCGTGTCGTCTCGAGTTGATAGAGCAGGAAGTGGATTGGGCAGATCTCAATGTCCTCGCGGGCAGCTCCCGTCCACCTATCTTGCTTGGTCTGGTTGCTTGGTTGCTTACTTGCTTATTTGCCTGCTGTTCCATTCTTAGACTTGCCAGGGCGGCCCGCCCTCTCTTTGGCTACTGGGCGGCCCCAGGCTCCAGACGGAAGGTCCATATGCCAGCCGCTGGGGGAAGGCCGGTATCGCGAAACCCACCTGCGAGCACCGCCGTGCACACGTGGTGCACCGTGGGCTATGTACAAAAGCGAGATGCTTGGCCCTCTTTCTGACCATGAGGGCGTCCCGCTGGAAGCTGAGGACATCGCAAAGTGCCCGCCCCTGCCTTCACAATGCTCTCTGTGCGAGCCGTTTCGGGCCTCGCGCTCGCCGCCGTGCTGAGTGCCGCGAGGCTCGGTCTTGCCAGTCCTTTGGACCACCCGGCTTACCGTAGCGTCTTCGACGTCGATGCGGTAGCCTCATGCTCCGCCACCGGGCAGGCCTCCTGTCAGAACACAACTGTGCAGACGAACCTGTGCTGCTTCAATGCCCCCGGTGGCGCCTTGCTTCAGACGCAGTTCTGGGACACGGACCCGGTCACCGGTCCCGATGACAGCTGGACCATCCATGGTCTCTGGGTGCGTTCCTGACTCCCCCCAAACCGCTTCTGCTTTGCTGTAATGTTTCATCATGACTTACATGTATATTTATAGCCTGATAACTGTGACGGCACGTACGAGTCCAGCTGCGACTCGTCGCGTGCGTACACGGACATCACGGGGATCCTGACGTCGGCGGGGGAGACGGAGCTGGTGAGCTACATGGAGACGATGTGGGTGTCGAACAGCGGGACGCCCGAGTCGTTCTGGGAGCACGAGTGGTCCAAGCACGGCACGTGCGTGTCGACGCTGGACCCCAAGTGCTACACGGGCTACACCAAGGGCCAGGAGGCCGTCGACTTCTTCAAGAAGGTCGTCGCCCTGTTCAAGACGCTGCCCACCTACGACTGGCTGAGCGCCGCCGGCATCACCCCGTCCAGCTCCAAGACCTACACCCTCGCCCAGATCCAGGCCGCCCTCACCAAGAACCACGGCGCCAGCGTCTACCTCGGCTGCAACAATGCCGAGATCAGCGAGGTCTGGTATTTCTTCAACGTCAAGGGGTCCGTCCAGACCGGCACCTTTGTGCCTGTTGCCTCTCTGAATTCGGCAGAATGTCCGAGCACCGGAATCAAGTAAGTGATGCGTGTTTGCAAGCTGAAGAATAGTCGATGGCGGGACCAGACTGACACGTATCGTACAGATACCTCCCTAAGAACGGCGGTGGTGACGATGGTGGTGGTAGTGGAGGTGGCGGCGGAGATGGCGGCGGCACCGTCTTCTCGGGCAGCGGGACGCTGAACGTGTACAGCAGCGGGACGCAGAAGGGATGCCTGATCTCGGCGGGCACGTGGTACACGAGCGGGACGTGCGCGACGTACACGGCGACGGCGTCGGGCAGCGGGTTCACGCTCAAGTCGTCGAAGGGCAACTGCGGCCTGTCGGGCGGCGTCTTCACGTGCGGGTCCGGCGTCACCAGCACCGTATTCACAGCCAGCGGCAGCAGCCTGATGGCCAGCGGGTCCACGGCCTTCTCGGCCGACTCGACCGCCTCGGGCTCGACCCAGGTCAAGGTCTACTCTGGCAGCAGCCACTCGGTCAAGCTGACGGTGCAGTGGGCTTCGTGATGGATCGGAAGACCTGTGGATCATGTGGTAGTCTATAGCGTTTTTGGATATTCAGCTTGACTATGAGTGTAACTCCTGAGATTATGACCATATTCGCCCTGTGATTCTACTTTGAAACCAAAAAAAAAAAAAAAAAAAAAAAAAAAAAAAAAAAATGTGTAAACCATGAGAGTGGTAGTGTATGTGACGTTGACCATAGCTCACCTGCGAAATTTGGACCCAAAAAACTCAAGTCTAGTTGAGGGTCCATGTATAATGGCGTGAGAGCATGTTCTTAGCATAAGAAAGCCGAAATCCTTATCAATTACTTGTAAGATGGCAACGCAGCTCTGAAGAGAGCCCCCAGTGTCTCTAGTACAACTCACCGTGGCGTATGCACAGCCTGCAATCAGCATTACTATCCTGGCATGTCACTGCTCGGTCGCTGGTCTGAGGAATTGGAGTATTTGTACACTGCACGTGAATATGTCTCATTCTGGGTCTTCGTGGTATCGTCAATGAGTGGCCCTCCGAACGCCGTAGCAACAGCAGCAATACTATGGTTTCACCGAAGCATCATCCATCCAACAAACATGCAGCGTGTATGCTCGTCTTATATCTCCGCTCTCGCTATGTCATTTTGACATAATTGCTTGGGAATATACCATGCCTCGTGCCAATCATGCCGGTCCTAGACGAGCGTGTTAGCTAGATGACAAGGTCTGAAACGACTACTAGAGTACTTACCACCAGTCCGTTTCGTTCTCGGTCTTCTTCAGAATCGTGATGACGTCGCCCTTCTTGAACGTCAGGTCGCCTGGGGTATCGCTCTCGAAATTGTACATGGCAACCGCCTGGTTCTTATTCACCATGGCCTGTTTGCTCTGGTAGTTTGGCTTGGGAGCTGCCGGCCTGCCGGGGCCGGCCTTTTTCTCCGGCGCAAACGCCCCTGCGTGTTCTTGATGCTGCTGCTGCTGCTGCTGCTGCTGGGCGCCGTAGCCAGTGCCTGCCTGCCACGTCGAGGCTCGTTGGGGCGCGGTGTATTGGTCCTCATAACCCCCCTGGGCTGGCGTTTGGGCTGGCGTTTGGGCTGGCGTTTGGGTGCCCATGCTCTCGTCGGCCGCCACACCTGTCCCTCCCATGCCCATAAACTCGCGGCGGTTTAATATCGTCATGAGCGGCGCGGCTTCATGGGGTATGTTGGAGCTGGTGAGGAGTTGCATTGCGCTCAACCGTTGACCGTACAGCTTCTCATTTGCATCCTTCCGCTCAATAATGGCGGATCCCTCCAGAGACACACCGGCGAAAAGTCCCTTGGTCTTGCTGTAGCTGAAGATTCCGGCCACACTCTTTAACGACGCCGCGCCAGCAGCTTCCGCATTGCGACCAACAGGCCCCGCTGCGATAGACACATTTCCACCGAGGGTGATGGAGCCGGCCTGGGCAAATGTCTTGACCGCATTCCGGTCGTTCAGGATGAAGACAAAGTCGGTCAACTCGAATCCGATCTGGCCTCCGAAGCCGGCACCTCCGGTCATGATGGCGCTGGGGGCGGACCACGATCCATTCTCCAGGCGGGCGACGACCAAGCCGGAGCCGAAGCGTGCTGAGCCGAGGAAACCGGCCTTGATGACGGTCAAGATGGCGAGACCTTTCGCATTCTGTAGAATCTCGGGCGGGATGACCTTGTCGGGCGAGAAGGCCTGGCGGGGGTCGACGAACGAGGTCAGGATCTTGCCGCACTTTTTGCATTCGGCTGGAGTGGTAAACAGAGGGTCAGCATGATGTTGTGTGTTGGGCGGCTTCGCGGCCAGGTCGGATATGACGGCACGAGGTTCTGGTGTAGCTCGGAGAGGGAGAGGGAGAGGGAGAGGCGGGGGGTCACGTACCTGCCAGTGACGACGGCAGAGGGTTGTTGATACCCATAGCGGTTCTTTGGTCTTCTGTGCACGCACTACCTCGATATGCGATCCTGTTGTTTCTGCCCGCGAAAGCGTGGAAAGATAGGAAGCGGGTTTGTATGCCGAGTGCGAAGAGCTGCCTGGTACAGGTACAGGGTGTGGATGCTGACCAGCTAACCCACGTAACGGTCTAGTAGGTAAGTTACTTAAGTATGCACTTCAGTCCGCCGTATCGAGGTGGGGTGTATCGTGACGATGGATTCACAGCTGCGGGGCTGAGCAGCTAGGGCGTACCGATGATTCCGAGGATCCTGGGCGGTATCGCTGGCGGTGGGATAATAAGGTGAGCAGAGATGGGTGCGATGGGACAAGAATGTTTGGTATCTATGTGTGTAGGTCTGGTATTCAGGTTGGTTGAAACAAAAGATGTTCAAGTGTGCTGCTGTCGCATGAAGCGCATTACAGGCTGCCTGGCTGGGCCTCCCGTCGCTCCAGCAGCTACCTTAGCTATCGCAGTGGCGCACGTAGCGTGTACGTCAACCTGCACATGGTCTTCGCCAAGAAACCGTCCCGTCTTCACGGCGATCTGATTGCCCGCCAGGCCCGAGGGGATCCTTGGAGAAAGCTCTCCACACCCTGGCAGGTCCTGGGCTTTGGGGCTTGCTGGGCCTCCCGCCGGCTCCAAGGCCCCATGACACCCTCCGCAAATCCCCTGTGGCTAGTGTGCAGACTGCTGAGCCACAGCCTGCGTCATGGCCTGCCTCCAGTCCAGTCTGGCCCCTTGTATCGCCGCCGCCCCTTTCTCTGTCGCCTGACGAGCAATGCGACAGGCCACCGAACCATAGCCAGTACCGCGAAAGGCGAGACAAAGCAGCCGCAGCAGCAGCAGAATCGTCGCATCCAGACTGACTGTTCGCCATTGACTTGCGGCCCACCTGACTAGTATAACCCCCATCATATATGACACAGCAAACCGTAGAGACCCGGCGCTAGCGAACATCTGAGAGGCGCCCGAGAGCCCCGGCCAGGAAGTTAAGACACTGAAACAGGGTCTAGAACTTGGACCTACCGAATCGACTCCCCCTTCCACCCTACTCCGACCCGCAGCGACAGCGTCTTGGACGGTATCCGACGATAGTTGGCAAAAATCAAACCCTCTTTTCTCTGTTCTTCCTCCTCTAAGCGCCCAACTCCCCCCGCCCGAACCGAACCTCCAGGGAAACGCCGGCCCCAGCGCAGAAACCAAAAACCATGTCGGAAGCCTACGAACGCGAGCGCCAGAACAACGCGCGCCTCGAGGAGCTGTCGGCCAAGGTGTCGTCGCTGCGCGGCGTCACGGTCGACATCTACGACAACGCGCGCGCGCAGGACGTCATTGACAACACCGTGAGTCTCTTCCCTCTTGCCCCCGCCGCTCCCCTGCCCTGTCCCGGGGGGAAGCGGCGCTCCGCTCGAAAGTCCGAAAGAATGCAAGAGAAGCTGACGAGGGCCCTGAGCGCAGTCCGACACCTTCTCGTCCATGTCGACGCAGCTCAAGGGCTCCGCCGGCCGCCTGACGCGCATGGCCGCCTCCGGGAACAAGGTCGCCATATTCAAGCTCTCGGCCATCATCATCGGCGCCTTCCTCGTGCTGTACTACCTGTGCAAGCTTCTGTTCCGCGGCTCGCCCGCTTGAAGGGATGTGTCGACTTCCTACGATGGACGGTGACAGTGTATACGATGTATGGCAAAACCCGCCTTGAATGGGATAGGCATTGGGCACGGCAGGCAGAGGCGGGTTGGTTCTATGAGATGATTTCTTTTTTTGGGGGATGATCGAGAAGGAGACAAAAGAACCTATCACGATGGCCCGGCGAGGCTTTCATGGATACTGCAGGACCTCCAGTCAAGGGTAGCTGATCGGGGCCCCTTGACCTGGACGGACCCTGCCGACACGAGACGAGCGGTAGACATACCCCTTGGAGCATAGCATCGGGCGTTCAGGTATAGGCGTGTTATTTTCACTACGTATAGGTCATTCAGTATATACAGTCTCTATTTCCGTTCAAAAGGACGAGCTTTTGTTCTTTCTTTTTATTTTGCATGGCAAGATTGTCTATCATGATGTGACCTCCCAGCAGTCCCGGACAAAACTTCCGACAGATCCCAGCTGTCCCCCGTCTATATCGCGTTTGTTGACTTTGGTCCAGGGGCTCCCTCACTGCCAGACGTTTGAGAACAAGTCATCGTTGCCACCGAAGCCACCACCCTGCTTGGTCGTGCTGCTGGTGTTGGCAGTCGCGGTCGTGTTCGTGTTCGTGCTGCTGGTCCAGCCTCCGAACTCCTCGTCGGCGGCGACCTTCGGGGCGGGCGCCATGCTGAATCCACCAGACTGCGTGTTGAAGCCACCGGACTGGCCGGGGACGATAGATGTGCTCGCCAAAGTACTACCCGAGTTGCCCCAGCCGAAATCGCTGCCGCCGAACGCCGAGGGCTTGCTGATTTCCGGGCTCTTCTGAGCGGGAGCTGCCGGCGCAGCTGGCTCACCCCATGCATTTCCCCAGACATCTGCATTGTTGAACGAGGACGTGTTCACAGTTGACGCGGGAGCAGCGGGTGCAGCAGCTGGCGCAGGCTTGGGTTGAGACAGGTTGAATACGGAGGAGTCCACGGGTGCGGCAGCGGGTTGAGGAGCCGCCGCCGGGGCCTGGGGTGCAGGCGCAGGGCTAGAAAGATCGAAAAGGTCGCCAAATGACGAAGATGCAGGCTGGGCTGGCTTCGCAGGCGCTGCCGGGGCGCCCCATCCTCCGAAGCTATCAGACGAGGTCAGGGAGGGCTGTTGCTGGTGCTGAGGAGCTGCAGGCTTTGCCGGCTTGGAATCAAAGAAGCTGCCTCCACTCAGGCTGGAGAACGCAGAAGCGGGCTGGGGTGTCGACTTGTTGCTGGAAATGCTGCCTAATCCTGCGAAGGCGTCCTTCGGCGGGCTCTTGGGGCTCGCCACGTTGCCGAAGCTCAGGCCTGCAAAAGCATCGTCCAGCCCTCCGCTGGTCGACTTTTGTGACTGGTGGCTAAAGGTTGGCGACTGGACAGGGGGCGATTGCACACCACCAAAGCTGCCGAACGAGGCAGAGGATTGTTGCTGCTGTGGTGGTTGCGGCCGAGGGGCTGATGCGTAGAGCGATAAGATGGACTGCTTGAGATCGGGTCGGGATTGGGCCCCTCCTGCTCCCGAGGTTCCGGTCGTGCTGGCAGGGCGCGGGGGTGCCGCGGGCGCATCGCTGAGAAAGTCGAGGCCGAACAAGGAGTCCTTGGCAGCGGTGGACTTTGGTGGCGCCGGGGAGGCCTTGGGCGGCGGCGCCTGAGCGGCGGGAGGACCAGCGGTGCTTGCTCTCGGCGGCAGGTCGTCGCCGCCGATAAGATCGGCCTGTGGTGCTGCGACCCTCCTAGGGGCGGCGGATTGTCCCACAGATGCTTTCCGGATGGACTCCTTTCGCTCGATGTTCTGCTTCTCCTTGACAATGCTCAGGGGTATGTCGTCATCGCCCTCGGTATCCAGCGAGGCCGGGTCGGGCATTGGCCCGTCCATGACCCATCTCTTCAGCTCGTATTTGGTCCTGATGAAGTTCTCGATCTTGGCGTCCGAGGGCACGTGGCCAGGCGCCAGCTTGGATTCCCAGTATTTGTTGGCGCGCGCGTTACCCCAGCTCAGGATGCTTGCGAGCTGCTCGTCGGTCCAGGAATCGAGGTCCACCGACTTGACTCGAGAGATGTGCGTTCCCATTCCTCGGTGAATGCCCGAGCAGCGAATGCAGATGAAGACACCCAGGTTCCAGCTGGCCCACCTGGGGTCTGCAGACAGGCGCAATTAGCACAGGGCCGGGCGGTGATGGACGGGCGGGCAGGGCGGCGAGGGTGCAGACTCACGTTTGTTCTTCTTGCAGTCGGCGCATATCTTGTTGGACTCGAGCTTCAGGAGACTCTTGATGGTGGCCTGGTTCTGGGCTGCCCGCTCCGCAGCCGGGTTCGGCGGTCGTCTAGACATTGCGGAGACGAGTACGGACGGCGGCTACAGCGAATTGACGGTCGAGTGCTGGACAGTCGCCGAGATAAGTGGAAGGGAGAGAGAGGCGTTGGTGGTGCAACTTGTCCAGATAGATCACTTGGGCATCAAAGGGTGCTGTGCGGACTAGGTTGTCAGAACTGTGGCTTGTTTTATGACAGGCTGCATTGTGCAGTGCGGGCGTCGCAATGAAGTCAATAATGGAATGGGGGGGTGGGACTGGACAACGGGGGGGCCGCCCGCAGCAGCTGCCGCCTGGGAGCAGTCGGACATCGCTACAACCATGATCCGGGCTTCGAGGTACCTACCTGGTGAGCCCGAGGTCTTGTGTAAGTCCATGCCTAGGTAGTTAGCTGAGACAGCTTTGCCTGGGGCAACTGGGTCTATCGACCTATCGGGGACCTTTACTAGGGCAAAGCTCACGCCGCGCTGCAGGCGATAGTGGCGTTCGCGGGAGCTGTTCAGGGCCCTTCTAGGCGCAGGTGCCACTGTGCCGGTGCTGGGTTGGGCCTGGCTGCCGGGTGGCTAGGATAGCTTGCCCCGCCGAACACAGTTGAATGGCATCATGCACAGCCGTCAATGATTCCAAATCCCAGCTTCAGGTGGGCTCTTCGTCCAGCACCAATCGTCGAGACACCTTACGAATCTTTTCTTGTTATTACCACGGCAAGCTGCTATAAAACCCCAGACCCGTCTGCAACCGTGCTGCTCACCCCGCACAGCACCAAACTCATGCGTCTGCCACCGTTCTCTAACTTCATCCGCACTCTGTACACCTTCTCCGGCTTCACAGGAGCTCGAGCTTCAGCGCAACAGGCACTTCGTCGGCAGCCCACAACCTTCAGGTCTATGCCCACCATTCCGTTCCTCGGGAGTCTCTTCAGCTCTTCCAGCTCCAGCAGCATGTCGTACCCGGATCAACGAACCAACGATGAGTGGCGCGCCGTGCTGAACAAAGGTGCGCGAAGCATCATCCCGCCTCGATTACGTCACTAACACCCGCTTGTAGAGCAGTTCAGAATTCTGAGGGAGAAGGGCACCGAGCCTCCGGGCTCCGGAAAGTATGACAAATTCCACTCGGACTCGGGAGTTTACACCTGCGCCGGTTGTGATGCGCCGCTGTACAAGGCCAACCACAAGTTCAAGTCGGGCTGCGGCTGGCCTGCGTACTTTGACAGCATCCCTGGCGCTGTAACCCGCCACGAGGACAACACCTTTGGCATGGCGCGGACAGAGATTGTCTGTTCCAACTGCGGCGGCCACCTCGGCCATGTTTTCAAGGGCGAGGGCTACCCTACGCCAACAGACGAGCGACACTGCGTCAACAGCGTCAGCTTGAACTTCTCCCCTGAGGAGGGTGATAAGGCCGCAAAGGACAGCAAGGCCTAGAGTTACATATCAGGACAATATGTTTCATCTACTTTTCCTGTAGTACAACTTATCAAACCACGTAAAACAGCTCATTTCCACATGAATCCACTCAAGATATTTTAAGCATTTTTTGATGTAGGGTACCATTACCGCGGTAAAGGTAGATGAAAGAGAATAACTCCGCGCTTACCAAACCCTCGCATTCACGTGAATATAATTATATGATGCGTCGCCCACGTAGTTTCTTTCCATCTTCAGAAACTGATATGCTGAGTCATCAGACATGATGGAAAGAACCAAGTCCTCTTTCGTGAGGTACAGAAAGATATGACGAGGCACTTGAGGTTGGATAATCCGTGGATCCATTACTCCCAGTCTGATGAACTCCCGACTATCTAAGATACGCTCACCTTTTGATTATAGCTACATGAAACTCCTTTTGCGCCTTTCAACCCCTGCAAGATGGCGGCATCTTTGATCACTGGGTATCATACGGTTCACTTAATGGTGTTCTTTTTTGATATAACAGCAACTTTCAGGCCGCATTCTTCATATCAGAGACACAAACTTATGACTCCAACTGAACGGTTTGCTCAACGCATCTAGTATCGTCCTGTATATATCGAGACTCCACTTCCTCTCCTTTTAGTGCCCCAAGAAATGGCTCTTGCAGCCTATCGATGCTGTACCTTCCCAACGCAGCCCCAGTTCAGACGAGGCCATTTGGTGGATCATATCTTGAATTTGGCCCTCGGCGATTGGGCGGTCCTTGTGAGAGACTTTGCTGCCGGAGAGAGAGTTTGTGTTTCTGGTGTGTATACGCCAAATCCAGGAAGCCTATTCACTGAAATCTCTGGCAGCGATAGCACACAAAATTGAGAAGAGATTTACTGCAAAACCCGGTGGCCATAAGCCTTTACCCTGACTACCGACTTCTTCCTTCCCCCATCAACACTTCCATGCTCACCTGCCACGCTTTACGTTCCCTTCGTTCATAGGTCAATCAACTTCGATCCACCCCTATGCCCTGGAGTTCCAGCTTTCTTGGCTATACATAAAAACCAAACTCAAAGAAATATAACATCATGCCCTGCCATCGCTATGGCCTTCGCTCGGTCACCCGTGCTCGCGAGAACCAGCAACGCACACCCGTCACCATCAAGATTGTCGGTCGCCACTCGCCAGAGCAGATCCGGCAAACGGTTGCGGAGGATCTCGAAAAGAAGAAACGATCCCGTCGTCACAAGAAGGTCACGCTACGCGTGAAGAAGCAGAGCCAGCCTCGGGAGCTGGCTCCTCCGCAACCCGCACCGGCGCCATGGAGACGACCAGACTTCATCATCGTCTTTAAGGGCGCCCGCAACCTGTGGTCTCTGCAGAACAGGAAAAGCGGGCGCTGCATCTGGCACGCGGAGCGGGACCAGGATCGTTCCGTTGCCTTTGCCTACCACGAAAACCACCTTGTCGGCCTCGAAGACACCACCACGGGAAAGTTGTTATACATCGACGGTCGTTACATACAGGCTCACAGTCTTACTTTGGACGACGTTATTACATACGACCAGGTCCATATCCCGATCGAAAAGCCACATGATGTTGATACGCTACCGGTTGTCAACATCAAGATTGAGGAAGACTAAGCACACCGATTCTGGGACTTTTTCACATCGGCGTTGCTGTTTACTTTTTCGCCCACAGGCTTGCTCGACTTCACTTAACATCGAGCCTTTTGGGAATTACCATTCGCCAAGCTTCCTTGCCCTCATTATCACGCGGCCGCGATACGAATGATGTTTGTCTTGTTGACGTTTGGACGATATACATCTTCGGAAATGCATGCCACAACGAACTCGATACCCCTATTCGTGGTACTGCACTTCACTTCTGGAGTAATTTCTTTGGACACCGTGACGGTAGTTTTCTCATGTTGGCTGCATTGAGCCTAGTAACGATTTCTTACGGGCATGACGGTTGGCGTTGGAGGCATGTAAGACCAACAAACGCACTGGTGACTGGCAATGGCAGAGACTACCCCTGTAGATATCTCATGAGGACCATCATGGATTATGGATCATTGGTTATGGGTTATGGGATTCTTAGTCGGATATGTGCGATGTCTTCACGTTTGATGGGCTAGGGAGCTTCGCAGGGGAGACACCTCCACCTTGAATACGGATTGGAACTCGGGATGCCTTGGCATCGGGTTGTGGCATCTGTGATTAGTCGGTCGTGGTACACGATAATGTGTTAATACCCAGCCTTACGCAAGTTATGTATATGTTTCTATGCATGAGTTGTGAATAGAAGGGCTATAATGTTGTAATCGACATTGAACTGTAGCCTGCCCCCAGTAGCGTACTCAAGAGAATGTTATCTCAGTTTCGTATAAGTGCAAATTGGATTCAACTTATATAAAAAAGCAAAAGACTCTGTCAAGAGCATCGGTCGAGCCTTATCCAATTTCCCCACGCAAAGTGTAGTTCATTCCCGACTTGTAAACAAATCGATACTTGGGTCTTTATTTGACAACACCACTTTCCCAACGTTCAAGCTGTGACTTCGGTAACGAGAGCAGGGACAACTCCCATGGATGGAGTGCCGAGTGCAAAATTGTCCTTGGTGACGTAAAAATCCTCTGCCTTCGTTTTTGGAAACTTGAATTCGAAGCGTTGTACGATGCTGCCAAGCAGGAGGTAGATTTCAGCCCAGGCAAGACTAGATCATCTTGTTAGCCTGTGTGATTTGCGGTGGACCGTGAACAACACTTACTACATTCCAATACAATTACGTTTTCCTTTACCGAAAGGCACAAAGGTCTTGTTGCCCAGCTGCCAAGGGCTGGGATCCATCCATCGATCTGGGTTGAAGCGCTCGGGCTCTGGATACTCTTCCTCATTCTGATGAAGTAAGTGCAGGGTCATCCCAACGGGTGTACCAGCTGGTATTCGCCAGTTTGCGTAAACGAGTTCTTTGTCCTGGGCGATGCGCGCACTGCGAGTGGCTATGGCGGGAGCCAGACGCATGGCTTCCATAATGATGGCAGTCAAGTAAGGAAGCTGCTCCAGCGTCTTCCAGTCACAGTCGGGAGCGGTAGCAAGCTCGGCCCGAAGCTTCTGGAGGATATTGGGGTCGCTGTAGATGTGAAAGGCCGCGATTCGTATGACGGCTGCCGTTGTCTCGTAGCCAGCACCTGTTGTGGTGGACATTTCGTCAAAGATTCGTTCAAATGACTTCTCAGGAGGTGGAAGTTTGGATTGCACAATTTCATGGACCAAAGTGCGTGGGCCGTCGTCATCTGGGGACACTGCCGCCTTCATGGAATTCTTGGTATCTCCCATGGTAATCTATACCCAAAATACGTGTTAGCTGTTGAAAAAAATCATGCAATCCACCAATCAAGTCTTACTATCATGAAGCGGAAGAAAGCCTCCATGACAGGATCGGAGACTGCCATGATCCACTGTGGCGGGATGGACCGCATGAAGGGACCAAAGAAGCGTATAAACTTTGTGATGCGCCACAGGAGACCGCCAGCCTGAGCGGCGACCACCATGCCCGCATCAAAGTCCTCCTTCCCAAGATCGTTGTAATGCTTTCCGAATATGTACTCGTTGACAACATCTCGCACGAATGCTGTAAAGGCGGCGCCGAGGTCTACGGTCTTCTTAGACGCGGCAAAGCTAGACAATCTGTCAAAGAGCGCTTGGACATGTCTCATGATCATGTCTTGCTGACTCGACACCTTGACCTTGGAGAAGAAGGGACCCAAGGGCAGACGACGGTTCTTGTGGAGGGTGTGATCGGCCGTCCACAGAGTAGCGCCTTTTGTTGCAAAGGCATCCACTGACCAGTCGTACTTGTGCCACACTCCTTCCTGGCGATTGTAGAGAGTGTCGAAGAAAGCCGCATCATTCACGTGAAGTTCGTGGGGACTGATACGGATGATTGGGCCTGTTCCAGAAGCGTGTGAGTAAAGACGGTGGGGAACCCGAAGACCAGGTCCTGCTCACCGTAATACTTATGCAGTTCAGCTATCTTGAAGGTATACTGGCCGCTCTGGTAAAGATCGTAGTAGCCTTCATACAATCGTGTCACGGCCGCGAGTTTGGGACCAGGGAATTGGGCCAGAGGATGCAGATACAGCCGGTACAGCGCAAGTGTCACATAGTAAAGGACAATGGTAGCGACTATGCTCTCTCCCAATGGCAAACCTGAGGGAGCTTCCATGGCGGCGACGGTGGAAAGCCGAACCTACGCGAAAGATGACGGTTGGGAATCGGGGGAGAGTGGGGAGGAGGACCCCATGAGCATGTATATTTACCTGCGATTTGCTTTGCCCCAATTGCCTACTAATAGTTGTTGGTTGAATAAGGCACAGCCGGCCCGTAACCCCCGAACCATGCGGAGGATTTGAGTGTACCGACTCGATATAGGGATCACTTCACCAAGAACCAACCGTCTGGAAGGATCCAGTAGTCCTTTGGTTCTGAAGCAAGGTGGTGTACATAGGTGATGCAAGGGAGGGATGAGATTGGTTAGGAGCGCCTGTTATTACAAGGTATGCACAGCGAATGCAGGGTGAATGGGATGCGGAGAGGGGAATAAGAGTCAGGGTGCATGAACTATGTCCACGCTTTCAAGACTTCTGTCTTGCGCGTGCGAAACTTTCAAAAATCCTCTTTCAAACAATCTCTCCTTTGCACTGCTGGTCAAGATGGTTATTCTGTTTGTCAAAAGTGTTGGCCTGGCGAATTGCATTGTCGTACTCTTGCCATTGGGTCTTATTCTGGTTAATTAAGACTGTCCCTGTCCAGCTGTTAACGTCGACAACACGGGGAATTTGAAGCTGAAATATGGGATTGATCTCAGTTCCTCACCCTCCTCTCATATAGCATATTCTTCCACCCTTTGCGGCATGTCCCGGGGCCCTTTTGGGCCTGTGCAAGTGGTATTACACCGTGGTTTCACGCTTTGCGCGGAAGGCGACACATTTGGCTATTGCAGCAGTTTCAGATTTACGGTAACAGGATCCGCCCGGAACCGAACTTGGTATTATTTCGCGATTCAGAAGCCTATGCCGGTATATACGGTGTTAAATCGAATGTACGAAAAAGCACACCACCGATCGAATTCTCCTTCAAAAGCAGCAGGCAGAAAAGCCAGAGAGCGAGCGGCGTCAAGATATATTTGACTTCTTGATGGATGTTCGGGACCCTGATACAGGGCTTCCCGCATATGACGGAGATAAGCTAAGAGCTGAGTCCAATCTGCTTATCAACGCGGGTTCCGATACTACTGCCGTTAGTCTCTCAGGGATATTCTTCTATCTCACGGGGGATCCTGAGCGATGTAGAAAGCTCGTATATGAGATTCGGACCACGTTCTCTTCAGTAGATGATATCATTCATGGACCAAAGCTTCGGGCATGCACATGTCTCAGGGCATGTATCGATGAGGGAATGCGCCTTACTCCGTCCGGCGTATGCGAATCGCCACGACAGGTGCTTCCTGGGGGCATGAGAATCAAAGCTGAATATCACCCAGCCGGGAACATCCTGGGTACAGTGGCTTGGGCCAATTCGCACAACGATGAAGACTTTGAGGATGGAGATGGGTTTCGCCCCGAACGTTGGATTGCGGACGAAGCGTCCGGGATCACCAAAGAGGAGGTTGCGCGAGTGCGAGCGTGTTTCAACCCTTTCCTCACTGGACCGTGCAACTGTGTTGGGAAAAATCTAGCCATGATGGAAATTATGATTATTGTAGCACGAACGTTGCATCGATTTGATGTAAGAAGGACCCTAAATTATTTTTTGGGCGGAGGAGCCCCCGAGTTGGGACGGGGATGTATGGACCGAAATGAAGTGCAGTTGGAAGATGCACACATCTCACTTCGAGATGGCCCAGAGATTCAATTCAAGGCCGCCTCAGCAATAGCGTGAAGGGACTGCCTACACTATTGGTTATCAGTCTCTACACTGTATTTATTGGTTTTCCAGATCAAGCTTTGTAAGAATGTAGCATTTGCAATTCCAATTTCTGAAGCGGGTTGGATCTGCCACAAATGGTACTAAACCAAGTGTTGGCTATAACTAGTCGAGTTTTTCTACCAATTCGCGCTTGAGAAGAAGGCTTATTTATGACTTCGCTGTTTGAAAAGTTTGTATCTCATATGATACAGTCAAGCCTACTGATTAGCGCTAACATTGGATGCAGTGCTACGATATTATGCCAATCTTGCAGTTTCTATTTTGGTCGGCGGTCACGTATAAGTTTTGACCGTTGTTCCTAAGAGGAGTGACCAGCCATACGTCAGAGCCCCTCATCCACACTCTACTTGCGAGAGCTTGAATCTACAACCACCAACGCAATGAAGACAGCGCTCTTGATCGTGGATATGCAACAGTACTTCAGCGGCATGGCAAAGAAGGCGACGCCAAATATAAAAGCCCTCCGCGAGTACTTTGGCGAGACCTCTCGGCCCACCATCTATACGCAGCACGGCCACCCGGACGAGGACTTTGTGCGTCCTTACCGGAACCAACTCGTGCGCCGCTGGGGCGTCGCGGGTTCCATCCACAAAGGAAGCCCCGAATGGGAGCTGATCCCGTGGGTGAAGAAGTCCGTCGGGACCTCGGAGGTGGTGGCCAAGAACACGTACGACGCCTTCGTCAACACGGATCTGGCCGCGCTGCTCGAGAAAAACGAGGTGGGGCGACTGGTGATATGCGGTGTCATGACGGACTGCTGTTGCGAGACGACGGCCCGGAGCGCCTTCAATAGGGGCTGGGAGACGTGGCTGGTGAGCGATGCGTGTGCCAGTGTCGATGAGGAGCAGCATCAGCGGAGCCTGGATGATTTCGTGTTTGGCTACGGGCCTTTGTGGACCACTGAAGAGGCTATCAAGGCGTTGAGAAGCGAGGGAAGTACATAAAGGAAGAGGCCTGGATGGGTACATGTGAAGTTACGGAGGCTTCCTTCACTACATATTGACACATCAACGGTTCTTCACACGGCGCGGCTCCGTCAACAGGCAATATGATTCGATGGAATCATATTGTAAGCTAACAAATAATCGCTTTGCTTGCTTTGCAGGAAAATGTAGCAATTATTTTCATGGCTGGCTTATGCCGGCACCAGAAAATTTACATTTGTTTATTTGTGAGCTCTACTCAAGCCATCATATAGCAAGGTTTGCAGACGTGGAAGGAAGCATCTCACGTCTTGGCTGCGAGCATTTCGTCCGACAATTGGCCTCTAGTTACTAGGTGACCCCTACTTTCTGAACAACTGCGCCAATTCCCTGAGTCCATAACAACTCAAATTGCCAGTTGCAGATTGCTTTTAGAGCTCCATCATTGGACGGGAATCTTGTCTCAATCCGGCATGCTGAGTTGGGAAATTGCTTATCGCCGGCGAGCTAGCAAGTTATCTCCCTCATGGAACTTCCCGAAATGCATCTAGGGTACGGGGTAGAGGGCTGGGAAAGTAAAAAGAAATTCGACCTCTTGACCGCCGGTCGGTGTCAATTATATCATCAACTGCTCAGAGAGCTCGTCTCCGTGTCTCTGCCGCTTCCTTGTCAGACGCTGTGGTATTTGCCCAAAACTGCAGTGGTGCGGAAGTCGAGAGGCAACCTTGACTCCGTGGCCACCAGGTTGCACACGCGCCCAGCTTTTGCTCGGGGTGTAAGACGCGCTGTGAGACGGGCCAGCGTTCCAGGGCCCTAATCCCCGAGCTTGGTTCGACTCTCGACGGCCATCCCGTCGGTACACCTCTCGAGATAAACAGGTACAGACTCATCACCTCGCGTTTCCAAGTTCACAGCTCGTACTCCATTGAGTGACCTATGCTGACCGCAACTTACAGCACCTTCCTTGGCCGCGCCCCATAAAAGATACAGCTTGCATTTAGATGGCAGCTAATAAGCTTCCCTCACCGAGATGGGCGAGGGCGGGAGCTCTGCGGGCGGGAGCAGCTCTGCTTCCGCCGCCCGCGCGGACATGTCACCTTGAACTGCGATGCCTGCAGAGGGCGATATGCAGAGGTAAATATTACTGCCATCTCTTTTTTCCCTGTTCAGATCTACTCCTTCTCGTGACCAGCGCCCTCCCTTCTGTGGTCTTCGTCGAGCAGCCCGCGAGACGACGACTTACTCAGGAGCTTACCCTAGCACGTTTAGCACCCTGTCGCCACCGGTTTCGGCCGGCACTTGTCATACACAGTCGCCCTGTCGACGTGGGATGATTGATCACGGTTTTGAGTGGATCAGGCCATCGGGTCCTACCCTTGAATCCACACCGGACCCTTGGCACCGTTTTCTTGATCGCCTTGAAACTAATAGGCATCATGCCGCGTCCTGTATCCTGCGAACTGGTTTTCTTCTTCCTGTTCGTCCCTGAAGGCCCTTGAAGACTTAGACTTGCAGCGTCCTGCTTTGCGTCACAAAGATCATTATCACCACCCTCACTTCCTGCCCATCTCCTGCCGCTGGAGAAGAGACCTGTCATTAATCAGTGCCCGTTGCTCTAGTCACTACCCCGCCATCGTCGCGGTCACAGTCTACTATTACCCCACCATCGCGAGGGCAAAAGTTTCTGAGCCACCAGACGACGAGGAATATTCACACAACACACGCCATGGGCCGGCTGAACGTCAACAACATCAACCCCCACGTGGTGGAGGCCAAGTACGCCGTCCGCGGCGAGCTGGCCGTCAAGTCGGAGGAGTTCCGCGCCAAGATTCGCAAGGGCGAGGCCAAGGACCTGCCCTTCGACCAGGTCATCAGCGCCAACATTGGCAACCCCCAGCAGCTCGACCAGAAGCCCATCACCTTCTTCCGACAGGTCCTCAGTCTACTGGAGAACCCTCTGCTCCTGGAGCACGAGGATGTCCTGGTGGACAAGCTGGGCTACAAGACCGATGTCATCGAGCGAGCAAAGTGGCTGCTGAGCCAGGTCGGAAGCGTGGGGGCGTACAGCGCCAGCGCGGGTGTCCCGGCGATCAAGGAGAGCATCGCCAAGTTCCTCGAGAGTATGTACTTTGCCCACGGGTGCTGTTACGCAAGAAGATGGGGTCATAGTTTTGCTGACTGAGCGCACAGAGCGAGACGGCTTCGCGGCCGACCCTGCGCACATCTACCTGTCCGCCGGTGCCTCGTCCGGTGTCAACACCCTCCTGCACATCCTCTGCGCCGCCCCCAACTCGGGCATCCTCGTCCCCATCCCGCAGTACCCCCTGTATACAGCCTCGCTGTCGGTGCTCAATGCCACCTGCGTGCCGTACTACCTCGACGAGGCGTCCAACTGGGGCACCTCGCTCGAGACCATCAAGGAGTCGTACCAGAAGGCCAAGAGCGAGGGCACCGATGTGCGCGCCATCGTCATCATCAACCCGGGCAACCCCACGGGCGCCTCGCTGTCCGAGGCCGATATCCGCTCCGTGATCGAGTTCGCCCAGCAGGAGCAGCTCGTCATCATGGCCGACGAGGTGTACCAGACCAACGTCTTCAAGGGCTCGTTCCACTCGTTCCGCGAGATCCTGCTCAAGCTGCAGAAGGAGGCGCCCGGCAAGTTCGAGGGCGTCGAGCTCGCGTCGCTGCACTCCATCTCCAAGGGCATGGTCGGCGAGTGCGGCCACCGCGGCGGCTACTTTGAGCTGATCAACTTCGACGCCGAGGTCGAGGCCCAGATCTACAAGTTCGTCTCCATCACGCTGTGCGCCCCCGTCATCGGCCAGTGCCTGGTCGAGCTCATGGTCAACCCGCCCAAGGCCGGCGAGCCGTCGTTCGAGCTGTACGACCGCGAGTACAGCGCCATCTTCAACGGGCTCAAGGAGCGCGCCTTTGCGCTGTACGAGGCCTTCAAGGACATGGAGGGCGTCGAGTGCGGTGAGCCCCAGGGCTCCATGTACCTGTTCCCGACGATCCGCGTGCCCGCCAAGGCGGCCGCCGCCGCCGAGAAGGAGGGCCGCGGCGCCGACGACTTCTACTGCATGCGCATGCTCGAGGCGACGGGCGTCTGCGTCGTGCCGGGCTCCGGCTTCGGCCAGAAGGAGGGCTCGCTGCACTTCCGCACCACCTTCCTGGCCCCCGGCACCGAGTGGGTCGGCAGCATCAAGAAGTTCCACAAGGAGTTCATGGACGAGTTCCGATGAGCGGGGCTGCGTGATGGACGAGAGAGGGAGTAAAGGGAAAGAATTCCAAAGGAAAAAAGAAATAAACCTGCATGGAGCATGTGGATAAATGGGGCCCAGGGGGAGAAGGAGCCAGAAGGCATTTACATCTGAGATCTTGTTAGAGAAGCGTAGATTTTGGGGTTTCCAGTCTCAGATTAGTCCAGGATATGACACAGGAAATCAATCCTGCAAAAATGAACAATAAATCCTCATGACCTCAAGCGATGCCGTAGCAACCTAATAGTGGACGTCTGACTTGATCGTCTATTCGGTGTACTGTACAACCTCTTTCTAATCTATTGCACACATACAGGCCCTTGACATGCCCCCTCTGCCCAGGTTTGGCTCGCATGCTGCCCAGCCGAGCTCCTCGAGCCAGCAACTCCCTCTAAACCCGGAAGGCTCCACGCACCTCCGCATGAGCAGAGGCCCAACTATGCTCTCTCGCTGCCCCGTAGACGCACGGCCTGGCCGTACTTCTGCAGCTTGGTGATGAGCTGGTCGCCCTGCTTGACAACATCCTGGTACTGCTTGTTCTTGTCGTCCGGGCGGTTCGTCTCGATGACACCCTTGCCTGTGACACGGTCGATGGTGCAGGGGATGCGGCCCGCTGCGACAAACTTGGCGAGATCACTGTTTTTGGGTGGCGTTAGCGCACATGATGACAGGGGGGAGGCACATAGGGAGAGGAAGACAAGACATACCGATCCAGGAAATCCACAGTGACACCAAAGTCGTTGGCCATGCTCTCCAGTCCGACGACCCGGTAGCTCTGCAGAAGCTGCTGGTAGGCGCGCAGACGCATCTCACGGATGAACCAGCCCCTATGTTCGTGGAGGTACCGGTCTTGGGTCAGGAACTGCTCCTCAACCAGGGCCAGGGCCTGGAAGAACAGCTTGTAGTTACCGGTGTACAGGCTGTTCACCAGCTGGGCTAACGGCGAAAAGTCGACGGCGACTTCAGTTTCTGGCTGATCAGTACTAGTTCCCAACGTGGTCAGGTTGACGACGGTGGTGCCCTTGGGTGCTGCGCTGCCCGGCTTTGCTGTCGTTCCGTCCATGTTGGTATCCTCGTCAGCGCCAGGGCCGGCGGAGATGGCGCCGGATAGCGCCAACAGCTTGTCATCGCCATCGGCACCGAGGATGGCCTTGATCTCGGGGGCGTCGACTACCTTGCTCTTGAAGTCTACGCGCTTGAGGGATACCGAGCCGGCAAGCACCGAGTAGACGACGAGGTTGGAGTAGGTGCAGAGTTCGTAGCTGGTAAAGGTGGAGAGGGAGTCGAGGAGTAAGGGAGCGGCTAGGTTGTAGGAACGGACGGTGAGCAGGTGGAGGCCTTCGTAGGCCTTGAGGCGGTTACGGCGGTCCCAGTCACCTCCGCTCTCGACGAGTGTCTTTGCGCGCGTGACCTGCTTCTTGACCAGAGCCTTGTCGCCGAAGAACAGGCCGGTCCGGATTATGGCGAGGACGAGATCGATCTTGGTTCCCAGGATACCCGTTTTGTCCAGGAGATCTTCAAAGGCGGCCAGTGCTTTGTCCTGGAGAGATGCAGGTCAGCATATGGGAGGACATGGGGATGAATGGGAGAGGGAGAGCATATGGATGGGCATGTCCCAGGGAAGCTTTGATGTATCGCACCTTGTCGCCGACGCGGGCAAAGAACTCGGCCCTCTGTCCCCTCGCGGCAGAGACCTCTGTGTCGCCGGCCTTCTCGACGGCCTCGTCCTCCTCCTTCTGCAGATCCTCCAGCTCCTTGTCGTTCTCGGCCTTGAGCTTGTTGTAGACGGCCTCGTCCCAGGGCAGGGTAGCGGACTTGGTCGAGTTGGTGGCGACCATGCCGACGGTACTAGACTTGCGGGCATAGGGCTTCTGTGAGGCGGCCGAGGAGCCCTCGCCGGCCGGGTTCAGGATGCCCTCGGTCGGGTGGGCGAGATACCGGTAGAGCGGGGCCATCTTGTGCTCGGTGATGGCATCTTGTAGGGCCTTGATGGAGGCTTGCTGTGCGGGCTTGGCGGCGTAGGGGTTCGTGAGGGTGAAGACATGCTGGGCCAGGGGCAACAACGGCCACTTGGCGTACTGAGGATCGGAGCCCATGGTGACGGACGGAGCTCAGGCAAGGCTGCGCGGGAGTCGCTGGAGAGCGATGATGTAGGCGCTGGATGGGACCAACGACGGCAGTGTAATGGCTCAACAAACAGAAGCGGGAAGAGGGGGTGTGTGCCTTGGTCTGGTCGAGAGGGGGTTGTCACGGCCGGACTGGAAAGGCTGGCGGCGGTGATGGGGATGGTGATGGTTGGATGGTGGTGATGGAAGTTGGAGCTCCAGCCTGCCCGTAGCCCGGCGGCGCGAGGAAGTGACCAGTAACGCTGGGCCCTGGGCCCTGGAGCTGCTGCTGCTGCTTGTGCTGTTTGCTAGGCGGACAGTGGGACACTGGGACACTGGGACACTGGACAGCGGACAGACGGCGGACAGCGCCAGCGGGCCTACAGCACGGTAAGTGTGGCCCGAGCGGCAAGGCGGCAGCGAGCTCTCGTAATGCTGGCGGATGCGACCAATCAAATTGAGCGCTCGCCAGCTCTCTCCACAGTACCCAGGTACCTACAGTCCACCGGCAGCTGGCTCTTGAGAGCCTCAACTCGGGGTACGTACCTAGTGACAGGCGTGGGCCCAGAGTCCCGGACGGCCCAGTCAGACCCACCCCAATTGATGGACCAGACTGGACCAGACACCAGACGGACAGCCGCCCAGGATCTTGACTCTCAACCACGGATCACCAGCTGAAGCTCTTTCTTTTTCTTCCTCTCCGGGGGAATATCTACGTAGTACAGTACATCTGATCCAATCCCTGCTCCTTGTTCCTCCCACTCCCACGAGCCGTCCCTGCTGTCGCCCTCTCTTTTGGCGCCCTGGGAAATACTCAGGCGGATACGAGACTGCGAACGAAGACTTGATCACTCACATATCATTGTCCACATCGTCGACCACCACCTTCTCGCGGCCCAGCCTACGTCTGAGCCTGCATCAACCACCAACCACACCACCCGCCAACCTCGCCCCCTCCTCCCATCCGCACAATGGGAAGCAGCGACCTAGAAGACGGCCAGAGGCCCTCTACAAAGAAGCGTCTCGTGCCGGGAACAAAGCGCAGGCATTCACAATCCCCCGACCGCAACGGCAATGGCAGCAGCAGCACCCACCGCCGCAACCCAGAGTACGAAGAGCTGCCTCAGCCCTTCGACGCAAAGAAGCTCGAGCCTGCCAAGAAGCGACAGCGCTCCACCTCCCCCCAGCCGCGCAAGCAGAAGAAGCCCGGCCGCGTGGCCAGGCTGTCCGACAGAGAGCGCGAGGAGATCCGGAGGCGCCAGGAGGAGCGCGACAGGGCTGCCGCCATGCAGGCCGAGCAGGCCGCCAGAGGCGCCATCAACGACGTCGTCAGGCAACATTACAACGCCGTCCCCGAGAGAGGCAGGGACTGGCGCAAGACGGACAGCAACATCAAGGGCCTCAGGGTCTTCAACAATTGGATCAAGAGCTCCATCATCCAAAAGTTCTCCCCCGACGAGGACCATACCCCCGGTGCCCACCAGCAGGGCCGCGACATGGCTGGTGTCGGTGGCAAGGAGCTGCTCGTCCTCGACATCGGCTGTGGCAAGGGAGGCGACCTGGGCAAGTGGCAGCAAGCACCCCAGCCTGTCGAGCTGTACGTCGGCCTCGACCCCGCCGACATCTCCATTCAGCAGGCCAACGAGAGGTACCGCCAGATGAGCAGCCGTGGTGGTCGTGGCGGCAGGGGAGGATTTCGGGGCGGCGGCCGTAACCAGCGCCTTTTCGACGCCTTCTTCTTTGTCAAGGACTGCTACGGCCAGTCCATCGCCGACATCGACGTCATACGACAGGTCGGCTTCGACTCGTCCATGGGCTCCCGCGGTTTCGACATCGTCAGCATGATGTTCTGCATGCACTACGCATTCGAGACCGAACAGAAGGCCCGCCAGATGCTCATGAACGTCTCCGGCGCATTGAAGAAGGGCGGCCGCCTGCTGGGCTGCATACCGAACTCCGACATCATCGGAGAGCAGGTCACCAAATTTAACGAGCGCATGGCCGCCAAGAAGGCGAACGCTCCTGCCGCTGATGACGGTCCCCAGTCGGACGATCGCGAGGAAGGCGAGGCAGAGGAGACGGCCGAGTGGGGCAACAAGCTCTACAGGGTGCGATTCCCCGGCAAGACACCCGAGGACGGCATCTTCCGACCTCCCTTTGGATGGAAGTACAATTTCTTTTTGGACGAGGCGGTGGAGGAGGTTCCTGAATACGTGGTGCCCTGGGAGGCATTCCGTGCCCTGGCAGAGGACTACAACCTTGAGTTGCAATACCACGACACCTTCAAGAACATCTGGGAGCAGGAGAAGGACGACCGCGTGTTAGGGCCCCTGAGCGAGCGCATGGGTGTCCGCGAGCGCGGAGGTGGCCCCATGTTGGTATCACCCGAGGAGTTGGAGGTTGCCAACTTTTATGTGGCTTTCTGCTTTTACAAGGTCTAGATGCCATGTCTACCTAGGAACTGAGCAATCTCAGCATCACGTCGCCCAACTGGCGTCAAGATTTATGAGCAGACAAGATTCTTCTTGTCAGGGCATGTTGTCTTTCCTGGTGTTCCGGACCAGGCAAGTCACTGGGCATTGGCCATTTCACAATGCACTGCCTTGTTTGTCGTGTTTCTTCCGCATCGGCTCCCAAGTTTGTCTTTCCACCGTCTATAATCGGCACACTCTGACCTAGCTCCCCGTAGGCTTGCGAACTTACCTGAGTTGTACCTACACTGACGTAGAGTGCTACTATGCTACTACACGGCGTTTCTACCCGAATTCGTCTCGTGACATCATCCGTGGAGGGGCGATCAGTGTACTAACGTTGAGGTGGTCAGTCTCCTGACAACTACCAAGAATGGATCCATAGCGGCTGCCTAGTGAATGGTTTCCGCCAATAGGACTCAAGTTCGTTCTTATCGATAGTGTAAACTCTAACGCGCCAGAGTAAGTGGAATTAGACCAACCGCTTTGCGCAGTGCGCAGTCGTTCGTTCCGCCCGCCTGGACACGGAGCTGAAAACCTCAGCCTCACGGCAACGTTCCGCCAAGAGCGTGCGGCAACCTTCAAGATGAATGAAAACCACGGAATTGTGCCTTCGACCGACGATTGAGGATCGTTCAAATAGACACATCCTGGGGGCTTCCGCAATCATCCATGTTGTCCTACCCAAGAAGTCCAACTCCACCGGAGGATAGAAGCCCTCCTCGCTCGCAATCGCCACACTGCGTCAGTTGGGCGCCCGAGGTCACTGAAACATGGGCACAGCAGACAGAAATCACTTGGTCTAGCTCTGATTTCCTCCCATTTCACGACAAATGGTTCCTGAACGATACAGTGCCAGCACCACCAGAGCTTGCAAGCCCACATAGATATCATGCCATCCAGGATTCACAGGTCCGACTCCTGCGCCTGGCCCCGGGCGACCAGGGCGACCCTCTCCGCTGTGCTCTGAAGCCCGTGGACCTGCGGCGGATTGCCCACGTCGCCGACGGCAGGCGGCCGGCTTATAAGTACCAGGCCCTCTCCTACGCCTGGGGAGACGAGGAGCCGACGGAGAATCTTATGATCAACGTGGAGCCGAACCCGCAGGTCATCGACGATGTCTTCCGCCAGAGCCTGCAGGATGACCTGCGAAACAAGGCCGTTGGCTTGCTCAAGATACGGCCTAACCTGATGCAGGCCTTGGTGCGCCTTCGAGCCAAGAAGGAGGCCATCTGGCTTTGGGTCGATGCAATATGTATCAACCAGGAGGACGAGCTCGAGAAGAACCACCAACTCACCAAGATGCCCACTGTTTTCGGGAACGCCTGGTCTGTGGCTATATGGATTGGCCACGACAGCGACCCAACGGCCCAGGACATGGCCATGAAGTTTATCCCCACCATACTGAACCTCACGCTTCTGGATAGGTTGCTGGCTAGGTCAAAACCAGAAGAAGCAACGTTGAAGTACTGGGTAGCCTTCGCAGCGCTACTCAGGCGCCCCTGGTTCAGCAGACGATGGGTCATCCAGGAAGTTGCCTTTGCCAAGAGGGCGGCGTTGCGCTGCGGCGACAACATTGTCAACTGGCTGGACTTTGTCGATGCTGTGGAGCTGTTCTTCCGGAAGCTGAATCGCATACGCGCGCTCTACAGCGCCTCCGAGCTCTCAAAACAGAGGCCGGACGCGCTCAACCGTGTAGAGTCCGCGGGCGCACTCGCCCTCCTGCAAGCGTCCAATGGTGTCCTGAGGAAAGGGGCGAACGGAGCAGTCCTGGATAGGCTGTGGCGCCTGGAAGCTTTAGTGATGAGGTTCACCTCTTTTGAGACCACAGACCCGCGCGATACGGTCTACGCGCTCATGTCCTTGGCCTCCGACGTACCTATAGACAGCAATGGGGCCGAGGGTCACTCGGACGAGACAGAAGGCCATCAAACGCTAATATCTCAGTATCACCGGGATCCCGTCGACACTTTCATAGACTTTGTCAAGTCTTGCATTGAAACATCAGGGTCGCTAGATGTGATCTGCCGGCATTGGGCACCGGCACTGAAGGAGGAGATGCCATCGTGGATCGGACTTGTGGACCAGGCGCCATTCGGGCCCCCAGGCCGGTTTATGGGCAGAATTAACGGCGATAGTTTAGTCGGGGACCCAGGAAGCCAGGTCTTTAATGCGTCAAAGGGAACGAAAGCGTCCGTGACCTTTCCCCTCTTCCAAGACGCCGCCCGGGTCGAGAGGCATCCACACTCAGCAGACCAAGATAATAAGAAACGGAAGCGTCAGGATGACGACTCAGAGTCAGTAGACATGACACTGGGAGAGGGGACTCCTGTACGAGAAACGCAGCCCGCCGATGGGTCCGCCCGGCCCGCACAGAACGCCGGAACACACCAAGACCTATCCACTCAGGGAGAAAAAACGTCAACAACCGCCGATCGTTCGAAATCAGACCAAAGCCAGACACCGGAGCAGGGCCTGCGGATCCGGCATTTCAAGGGTACCCTCCTAGTCAAGGGCCTCGTGCTGCGGCGCATCCGGCGCGTGAGCCCGCGCGTGGTCGACGGCACCATCTCGGACGAGTGCCTGGAGCTGCTGGGGTGGCAGCGGGGCAACGGGGCGGCGGCGGCGGCGACGGACGTCAACGAGATCCCGGACCCGCTCTGGCGCACGCTGGTGGCGGACCGGGGCTTCAACGGGCGCAACGCGCCGACGTGGTGCAAGCGCGCCTGCGCGCACGCCCTGACGCGCACCAGCCCCGAGGGCGACCTCAACACGTCCAAGATCCTCGAGCGCGCCGTCGTGCCCGACCTGGTCATGGAGTTCCTGCGCCGCGTGCAGAGCGTCGTCTGGAGCCGCAAGTTCTTCGAGACCGGGCCCTGGCTCGGCGACCAGAGGCCCGCCGCGGTCGCCGCCCCCGCCGAGGCGGCCGGGGCCGGGGCCGAGGACTCGGCGCCGCTCGTCGGCATGGGCTCGCGCCACATCCGCGCCCGCGACCTCGTCTGCATCCTCTTCGGCTGCTCCGTGCCCGTGATCCTGCGCCCGCTGGGGACCTCGGCCGCCAACAAGACCGTCACGGTCAGGTCCATGGGCGAGTGCTTCGTGTACGGCAAGATGGACGGCGAGGCGTTTGCGGGCCTGAGCAAAGACGATGTGGATGCCCGGACTGTTACGTTTGAGATGTGGTAGCAGCACCTTGGGTATGCCTGTATACATAGATTTGACCGTTTCCAGAGGTCGGCAATGAGAGCGTGTTTCCAGGATCTGGCCGCGGATATTGTAGGCGAAGCTTGTTTCTAAGTAAGGTGCTATGCACTCCGTGTGTTATAAGAGTCTGGGTTTGGGCCGGCCAGAAGCCTTGTTTAGCTAAGGGAAGGGATAACTTACCATTTCTACGAAAACCTTGCGAGAGGATATTTGGCCAAGCAACACCTCCCAGGACCCTAACCGCTTCACGGCTTTCCGCTGGTCCTGTTCACCTACGTGACCTTCTTCTTGAGCAATGTAATGAATCGGTTGGCGTAGTGAGCGACCTATGGGAAAGGAGACATGGACTAAGCATTACTCTTGTTTCTGGACACAGCTTCAAAGATAATCGCAGCCAACTGTCTCCCTAAAGATGTGCCCGACTGGCATATCGAACATTGATCGTGGTGTGTTTTGAGGCGAAACACTGGTGCAATTAGAGCCGGGCTTGAGAAAGACCGATGATCAAAGCATTGGAAATTCGTCAAACTTAGGAGAATAATGAAGGTCTAGGCCAACACGACACTTACCTGGTCTTGGTCTGCCCAAATTGCAACCTTGGCAGGTTTCATTCCGCGTCTTCGGAACTCGTTTGCGGGGATGGAAAAGCAAAGACAAAAGACTTTCTTACAAGTTTACAACAGTCTCACAATTCGGCTGGAGGTCGGACAGTGGCGTTGACGATAATAATGCTTCACAGTCCTCAAAGAGACATGTGGTAGGGTTGGACGTTTCGATTTTATTTCCATACTTCTAATTAAAACGTTACACTACCATGCTTCTAAAATTGATCGAGGTCAATTTTCGTTCTGTCTATTGTTAGTTGCATAAATCACGTAGGTCTTGATATGTATTACGTGGCGAAAATTTTCAGCTGCTTAGATGATTCTCATTTGACACATCAGCAACTCATATTATCCTGGATTACCTTGAACAACGCTGGGACGTAGTTGTTCTAGATCGCCCTTTACATAGACCAGCCCAAGACTAGAGGCTGGCCGACAATAATTCTTGTAGGTAAAGGCGGCCGGCATCGCTTGGGGCATCTAGACCCATTGAACAGTCATATCCGTGCGTGTCTCCTCCCGGAAGCCAAGTCTAGTTGGCCGTGAACCCTCACCGTACCTAGCTTTGAGCCTTCCGTAGTCAGTTGCGAGATTCTCACTTTTGGTATGGTCGTTACCTGATACGAATACCAAGACGGTCTGGGTTTGGCATTCAATATAAACGAGCCGGAAGGGTCTTATCAAAGAGGAAAGGCCTCATATCCAGCCTAGGGATCTCATAGATGAGGATTTACTATTGTCCTGCTATGACCCCGAACTCCCGCGCAGATCGCTGGAGTCTTGCGCGTCACATTGAACCCATTACTAGACATCCGTGCTCAGCCCTGACGATCACCTCAAAAGTCGTTAGGCCAGCACTTCTCCTTGGGCCACAGCTTCTCGTCGTGAGTACCAGCATGGACCTCCAACTGGATCTTGTTGGTATTCACAATCTCTTTGCGGCAGTTTTGACACTGCAGCATTGGTCAGTCTCACAGAGGTAAGAACGGGCCGAGTGATCTCGGCTTACGATGGATGTGGGCTTCGGGGCCTTGACGGGAAGGCCGTTGGCTTTCACGGCGGTACGAGTACCCGCTTTCTCAGCGGCCTTGTGCTCGCGAGCGCGCTGTGTGGAGAGTCAGGATCAAGCGCAAGCGGACGGACGACGGTCAGGCTCACTCTGTCTTTCTTGCTGATAGGCATGGTCAATTGCGGTGAATGGTGTATTTCCTGTTTGAGATTTCTTCTGCCAGCAGGACCAACTGAAAATGCCCCGCTGGGCCATGGCTAGTCGATCCACTCTGACAGAAGCAGAGCCGAAGTTGAGCCTTCTCCATGAATGGAGGCTAGCCTGATAACTATGCAATTTGGAGCTGGTTATAGCATTATGTACTTAGGCACTATGGCCTAGTTCTTAGTATGAGATGGCTCTCTCATTCAATCCACTAAAATGAGCCGCAGCCATTGGTGTGCCTTCACTGGAACCCTGGTGAGGACCACAATACATGTCGAGAGAAGTGTTACGCACTCAATCATGACGACAGCCTCCGTTCTCAGGGGATGACTACTTGGGATACTATGGTATGCGCTTTACAGCCCAGAGAAAGGGGTTGTCAATCATGTCACCACCAGCTTCTGCGCCTACGCACTCAATGGTGTCAATCCTCATGCGATCCTCGGTTTGATGAAACGATTGGCCGTCTGTTCTTCCTACAAAAGCGTACGACGAAAGCCCTTGCGCCATTGCCCCGCAAAGAAACACCAGCCTCAACCGCGACCTGATGTTGATCATGGCAAGGCAAAGCTCTATTTAGGGCTGCGCCTTGCAAGAAGTCCAGGCATATCGATTCGAGCAACGTGAAACAGCAAACGGACCTGGGCTGGATTAGCCAATCCACTGACTAACGCAAGCTTCATGTGGAGTCAGCAGAGTTAAGCAATCGGGGCAATTATAGGCACTGAAGCCAAGAAGCTTGGCCCTTGACGCAAGAGATCCCCAGATGGCTGACGCGGCTCGCGCGTGTAAGCTCGATTCAGCTCGCGGACGATTGTGGGTCGCCAGCCCGGCATTTGGAACTAAATCCCCACCGATCTGCCCATGGGATCGACTGACAACCCTCGACAAGCATTAAGAGCACCATTCGAAGGTTTGCTCCAGCTGATGTTCGATGTCTTGAATCGAATGAAATATGGCACCCCGTTCTGGATATCGTCATTCGTAGTATCAATTGAGTTACCAGCTTGCGCGGCGTTTACTGGTCGGAGCGGCTTCTAGCCCCCGCATAGCGCTGTTTGTATACCAAGGGTGGCACAGACTCGCCGCACAACATTCTCAATGCGTTTCGACGTTATTTTTAGGTCCGGTCTCACCAAGAACCTCTGTTACCAATGCCTTGGCATAATTATGTGAGCGGGGACGAAACGTTGAACCTGAAAGCGTATAGCTGGATATATCAGAGGGGAATATCATACGTGTTACACTGCATTCCTCGATCAGAAAAAACCACTAGTGCTAGGCCGGGAACTAGGCTCAATGCCACACGTAGTATGTTCTTGGTATGAAAAGTATAACGATCGCCAGGGATCCGGTCTATACACCTACCTGACAGGCTGTAGGGTCCACGCATGCTGGGTCAACACCCTGGTCAAGTTGTCACGTCAGATGGCGCAGTCAATAGATGTTTGAGTTTTGGCCGCTAAACCACTCCGAGTCAAGCTGTTCCCCTGTCTCTGCCATGCGTCCCCTCGATGCACCGTGGTACCAAAGCATAGAGTGATTCTCGAGTAGCCCAAGATGACGATCTCTGTGCCATGAACGCGTTGAAAGGATGCTGTTTTGCTAGCAGTTCTAAGAAACCCCTTGGGTTAAAGGTGAGGCTTGCTATGCTACGTGCTGCATGTTTATAGTCCTATATCAGACGTGGGAAAAGTACTAATATCGATGTCAGAGTTGCGGCAGTCAAGCTTTTCTAGCTCGCGTCTAACGTACTAATGACTCCTCCTGGTGCCATGTACCATACGGAGACACATTTTCGGGGTTCTAAACCGGAATTAGCGTGTAGAAACTCTAGAACAGGGGTAGCAGCGTTGGAAAACGTCCCTGGCTATACCCTGAAGTGATTACGCCCACTTTTGAAACACCAGAGTTCGTCCTAGCAGTACTAACTTGATCCATCGGGATCACCACAAAAATGCGGATACCCTCAACTTCTAGATGACGACGACTTGGCGATACCCGGAGGGCAAGCCTCACATCCGAGGAGCAGAACAGTATTATAACAACTGAATACTTTCGACTCTCTGTCAAATCCAGAATCAGCATCAGCATCTTTCGTCTTCATTCTTCCACCACATCCAAAGCCCTATACACAACCACGCTTCACATTCTTGATCTCAACAGCAACCGGTTGCTATTTTCCTACACACAAAACATCAATTTACCATTCTTCTTCCGAAATGAAGTTCTTTACTAGCGTCACGGTCTTGGCTGCCGCGGTGGCCGCCGTTCCTATGGACATGGCACCGCGACAAGCCCCTAGCATCACCGATGCGCTTCCACCACCCCCGAGCGGCAGCGGAGCGCCTCCGCCTCCTCCATCTGGTACGCCTACGGGCCCGCCACCTTCCGGCCCGCCGCCTTCCGGCTTGCCGCAGCCAACTGGAGCACCCGAGGTTGCTGCCCGTGAGGCTGATGCGAAGACCCTTCCACCACCGCCCCCGGCTAGCGACACCGGAGTGCCTCCTCCACCTACCTCAGATCTCCCCAAGCCGACTGGGCCACCCGAAGTTGCTCCACGCGACGCCGATGCCAAAACTGGACCGCCACCGCCGCCTGCCAGTGAGACCGCAGTGCCTCCCCCGCCTGCCTCTGATCTCCCTAAGCCGACTGGGGCACCCGAAGTCGCTCCACGCGAGGCTGATGCCAAAACTGCACCGCCGCCGCCTCCGGCCACTGAGACCGCGTTGCCTCCTCCGCCCACTTCGGATCTGCCTAAGCCTACAGGCATCCCGGCTGTTGACGCTCGCCAGGCAGAGACCAGCCGACTGCCCCCGCCACCTAGCGGAACCGGCATTCCCCCGCCACCCACTGGAACTCCGACCGGTAAGTACTCATTCCATTTGCTATCCCTTGCGTTACCGTGATAGTCGAGAACCACTTGAGCCGAATCTAACGGAGTTGTAGGCCCCCCTCCTGCTGGCGCGCCTACCGGACCTCCTCCTTCAGACTTGCCCATCCCTACTACTCTTGTGAAGCGCCAGGCAGGCACTTCGCTGCCCCCGCCTCCTCCCAGTGGTGTGCCTTCTGGTATTCCCCCTCCTCCTAGCGGTCTGCCTTCTGGTGTTCCCCCTCCTCCTCCCAGCGGAGTGTTCTCTGGTGAGTAAAGCGCAGCTTTCCATTTCTAGACTCGACAAAAGTGAGGTGTAAAGAACATGTGTTGACCTCCAATTCCGCAGGCCCGCCTCCTTCTGGCACTCCTCCTCCCCCTCCTGCCACTACGGCTTAAGTCACAGCAGAGCTCCGTGGCGAGGTTGTGCCTAATGGGCAACACGCATCGAGGCGACAGAACATGATCCATTCGTTGTTGTATTCGATGTGGCCAAAGGAGATATGCTAGCATGGTTCTGAAGCTAGCTGCTAAAAGCATTTGATTCGACGAGAAACACACGGCATAAGCTGACCCTCGGCATTGTCCAGGCGATATTCATATGTTTTATTCTAGGTTTCATTTCATGTCATAGAAAAAAAAAGAGTCCAAGTCTCTGACCATCTCTAAATTTCAATTTTCGAAACTGTCTACTTTACGGCCAACCTTGGAAAAAATTGGAAATTACACCAAATTTTGAGAAAGAGAGTTATTTGAAGAGTATAGAGCATGTAGTTAAGGCTGATATCTGAATGCATGTACTCTCAGGGCCAAGGAAGTATTGCTCTGCGCGGTATGTTTTGACATGAATGTGTTAAACTGAGTATAAAATACTAGAGACAATAAGAAGGGAGTCACTGGTCGGTGAATCAATTAGATAAAATCGCAAGTACCAGCGGGCACGCATAGTTAACCCTAGATAGTCCAGACTAGTCCCGGAGACCCAGTACAACGACTTGAGTACTGGCGTCCTCCTGAACATCGCTTTGCATGTTGACACGCCAGTGTCTCGCTACATGCCTCAACAGCCGACTTTGCATGTCCAATGCTCATTAGTTCCGCAAGCTCACAATGCATTGCTTGCGGATCGTTTATCCACATTGGCCCTGGTGTTCCAGGCAAATTAATGTCGCAACATTTATTCAACCAGCCTACCCATCGTCAAGTATAGGCAGTCATTCTCTCGTTGCAGGTCGAGCAAAGGAAGCCCCTCAGAACGCTTGCGTACTCGCAGCCTTTCAGGAATCTGAAACAAAATACAAGAGCGTAGAAAATGCAACTTACGCTAAGGTGTTGGGCAAAGCTAATATCTGAAATTGTATAGTCTTTTGCCTCTCTGGAAGTGTGTAAGCAACCACACGAATAAACTCAGCAGATGAAAAGAGAAGAAAAGAAGAGCCAGATTTTAGGATTTGAACCAGAGAGGAAATGGTCATACGATACACCAGGGCTTCCCCGCATCTCGCCTGTTAAACCCCTGACACGAAATATGGTGATTACTGCATGGTTCCTGCAGTCACGTACTAATTGGTCAAAGCGTTGGATACCAATGTTTTGGCGTGCTCTGTAGTTAGGTAATAGCAAGAGTAGCATGCTCTTGGCACAGTTCTTGTGGCACAGGCTGTCTGGTCAGGATTGACTTGCACAACGCGGTCACGCAAAGCCATCATCCACGAGAGCTAATGCTTCTCCAAGTTGGAAAGATGACGAGCAGGACATGAATTCAAGATGAGGAACTTATTGAGGCGGGCCACTATATATACTCATGGTCTCTGGGCGAGGCATAACTCAGCAAATCCATGGTTTAATTCAACTGCACCATGAGTCAAGGTACCACCCACACCCTGCCTGAACTATTCTATCGAAGAGCTTCGTCAAACCTCGTTTTCTCGTGCCCGGTACTTTTAGTCGAGAGATGCCATCACCTCGAGTGTGGCATCCAGAATACATAAACTATGCTACTTACCAATCAAAATGGTACATCCGTGCGGCGTAATAGATACAGCCAGTGGTACGCTTTGGTTTTGGAGGTGACGCCATTCTCGTCGGTTATCTCCTTGGCGTCCTCTTCCAGCTCTCGCCTCACTTCCAGCCGCCACAACCTTGAGGCCAACTCTTCAAGGCTTCTCGGTGTTTCTGACCTGACACGTGCCGCGAAAGCATCGAAACGGGTTCCGCCGTAGGAGAGCATTACCCAAGCCGCACCAGGTCGACTGATAGTCGCAAGATTTAATGCTACCATGAGACTTGAGTAGATGGGTTCTTTGATGAGCTTAGCCGGCATATCTGGCGCAAATGTCTTGATGCGCTCCACGAGGTCGCCCTGGGGTGCCAGAGCCTCGACGCACGATATGGCATCAAGGGTGCCTTTGTCGACAAGAACATCGAACAAGATCGGACTGGACACCTCGCCTCCTTCCGCTCGCTCAGTGCTCTCTAGCCTCTGAGAGATGCTCAGTACGCTGGGAAGCTCTAGGAGATCGCCTGTCATCCAGCGCATCCGCCGCTCGGCTGCCTCGGGCCAGCACTCGCGCTCCCATCGCTCGCCGAGTTCCTTAGCCGACTCTGCGAAGTCGAAGTGAACCACGTGGCGAGGATCGTCTACGAGGTCGTGCATCCAAAGCGACAACCTCGAGCTGCCGGGCCCGAGGTGCAAGACACGGGGAGTAGCAGCTGTCCGTGTTGCGGCATCCTTGACGGCGTCTGAGATGAATGACTTGAAGCCGGTGTTGTCGCTAGGAAGCAGCCAGTCGAAACCCTGCTCGTCGCCTTCGCCCTCACTGCGCACCCGCTCCGTCCAGTAGGCGGCGCTGCCGAGATAGTTGGCTGCGCTGGGCATGGTGCGAAGGATCTTTACTGCGGGCTTGGGAGTGGTCAGGCCGACGAGGTGCAAAATAACCTGCGGACAATGGGAGACAGCATGCAGGTTGCGGGGTCTTGATGTTCTCCCGGGGAAATTTTGGAGCGCAGCTAGATTGGCGAGTTGCCTAGCTGCCGTTGCATTTTGTTAGCCCTAAAACGCTTGCGCGGATCGTCCAGCTAGCTCTAACCAACCCAACTTGGCGAGTCTTCAAGCCTCAGCAAGACGAAGCACGACAGCAAAGCCTTCAAGTGGAATAAATGCCATGGAATACAAGAGAAATGAAACAGTCAGGGACAGACAGAAATCCACTGTTGTTTTCTTACACTATTATTGTCATGGCAAAAATTATATCTGTAACGATCAATCTTGAGTCGTGGTGAAAGGACGCCAGGCGGAGATGTTAAATCTCGTAACCTAGCGGAAACCACCGCTCGAACGATGCTCAAGCTGCTCCGTGGCCGAATGGATTATAATTGTTGAGCCACCCGGCTCCATGTACCGGCAGCAACGAAGCAGCACCATAGTCCTTCGTATCAGGCGGAAAAGACACACAATAGGCATATCAACGAGCCTATAGCAGGCCGAAGAAGTAGTGTAAGACTATGTGCTTGGGAACGGCAACCTGGCGAAGTAAAGCATGCCAGGTTGCATACATGATCTACTTTGGCAAGATAGTTCTCAAAAGACGTGCGACCTGGTAGCATGCATGGAAAGGTTCTCATCTCAGTGCCCAAGTGGTTATAGGACGCTCAATCTTGCTCAAGAGAATAGCCTTTTGATTCAATTTTCGTCGTAGTCTGTTCTTGCTACACGAAGCGCCCTTTACACAACCTTGCGAGCCCCACGCCAACGCGCGTTCTAGGGGAAATTCCTACAACCATTACGTGCTTTTGGGGCAAACAATGTCTAATGCCTTGTTTGCACAATCGTTACCTCCATGTTGCCAGCACTGGCTGTCATAATAGTTGACTGTCGAATAGACACTGTAGAAGCACATTCCCAAGTCCGAACTGCCCTCGCAGTGGGACAGGCAGCGGGGGCAGCTGTCTGCGTAGCCGCCGGCCTCGGCCTCACAGGCTTCGAGGATCGTGGTAGGTGTTGGAGTAGGCTTTTGAGTGGTGCTAATCACAGAACTGCTAGTGGGAGTAGGACTCGGTGGAGGTATGCCCCAGTTCTGTTCAATGCAGTATGAGTCGCCCACGACAAGCACACATCCGTCGGCTAGGCTTGGGTTCTACTATGAATTAGCTCTGCTCTACCAACTTCACCAGTGTTAATCGTACGTAGGTGTAGAACTGCTCCAATGTGAGACCCCAAGATTCGCTTATGCTACTGCAAGTGTCGTTTGCAGTGGCAACTTGCCAGTACGTGCAGTCTTTGATGGTGTCCGGAGCCGCATTGGTAGGAGGGTCAACTGTGAATTGGGCTGCGCCAAGTGTTGACAGCACTGCGAGGCTAAGGCCAAATGAAAGAATCATGGTGGATTGGCTGGGTTTCAAGAGGTTCTATAGACTATGTGGAAAATCAAGGCTTTAGGTCCCAATGAAAAATGATCTTTAACATCCTCAGTATGCCCGATGATGATGGAAATAGCCCCTTTATATATAGGATTCAGATCCTCGCGCTGGTGCACTCAGGGGTCGACCGCGCTAGACCTAAGTCGCTTCTGTGCCGCAGGCTGCCTGCGAGCAACCACCTTCGTGTTAGCCGAAGGATTCTCGTATTTGGAACTTTTTCAGGGAACAAAGCTGGTGGAAGTCTTGGCCATTGGTCTGGGTGCCTAAAGAGATTGGCGCTAATTTCTACAGCCGAGTCCAGGGGATTATGTTGCAATTAATACACTTCGAAGCAATTACAACTAACAATACCCCTGACTATAATTTTTGCAGTCACATGCTATTGGAGCCTTGATTCTGTGAGTCGCCCCAAAGCTGCGACATTTGCTAGTTAAACGTGGAGTGGACCACCCCTCACCTCTCGTAATTCAACTGTATTAGCCGGTCCATAACACAACGGGCTATCCCGTTGTTCGTTTCCAAGTTTCTCCTGTCATTCGATAGCAGCGCATAGGCGTGTGAAAGAGCTAACACGGCCACCACCGTAATGCTTTCCCAGAACCGCGCAGCTTCAAATACCTGGTTTTCTGTCAGCTCCATTAGTATTACTCCTAAGGAGAACAAAACGGCCTGTGTATACAATCTGGCACTTGTAGGAACGCCATCCAGTGTGTCAGAGAACGGGTCGTGCGAGAAATAGAGGAGACCGTCCTTTTCTCAGGGATGAACACATGCTGCCAGCCCCAGCCTTTTGGTATCCAACCTGATAATCCATATCTTAAAATGCTGGGAAGGAGGCTCAATCCTAGCTACAGACGTTTGTCTTGGACGTCGAAGTATTCTTCGTTCCCATTCCGGTCGCATCCGTCCATTAATTAATGAACAGAAATTACTGAGAGAACGCTAGGAACGGTTTCCTCTAGGCAAAAATACACCGGGCGATTTCTTAGCGACGAAACGAAATCGCCCTCAAGGCCGGGACTCTGCAGCCAAATTGAAGGTAGTGGATCATCAAGACTCACGAAGCGAACCTCTATACATGGTATCAAGCCTCAAGATTCCGAAAGCCTTTCGGTCACAAAGCTCAGGCTCTTCCCAACATAGTGTCAACTCTCTCAGCCGCACAGGAAAAACTAGCATTGATTAAACAACTACTTCTGTAGACAAAACAACCAAGGCACCTCAGGATTCTATGTCCGCTGTGAAATTGGTATTTACGGAGTGGGAATGTATCGGGACTTGGACTGTTAGGCTATATCGATATAGTGTCGCTCTTCAGATCGGCGTGGCTAATAAATAATGAAAAAATGACCTTTAGCTGCTATAGATTTTAGTGGTACTGAACCAATCGGCCAACTGTCTACCATATACATGATACTCGACAGGAGACTGTCTCCGAAATATTTACCAGTCTTCTCGCACCAAGAATTGTAAATTCTGCAGGAATAGCATTAGGCCACGATGTTAATACAGTCACCGTAGACTATGCGAATGTTATTCAACCTCAAGACGACTGACTGAGAACCATTCATGTTGTAGCACCTCCCTGATACTAATTCTTTGGCTGGCGTCATTTTGCATCATCCTGGTTATTAAATCGGCCAACACATCAGACTCCTCCCGGCGTATGCTGTACAGATACTCAACCATCCCATCAGCGGTCCGTATGCAAGATATCTGATCTCTAAGGTCAACCTCTATCTTTAAGTCAGACTCAGCCTTATGTTTCTTGTTATCACAGTGTTCGTCTGGTTCTGGCTCGTCGTCTGAATGAAGCTGCTTGCGCTTTATTCGGGCACTTCTTCTGATTTCAGTGACCCTATTTTCTGAGCTGAATCTGCTATTATCTCCATGCACTGAAGAATCTGGCCGAGAATCTAGTTGAACGCCCATCATTGGCTCATCGTCTCCAGCTGGTACCTCATGCCATGATTCACTCCGTGAAAGAGACTCGCACAGCAGACTTGGATACCCTGTTCTCCATTCGTGTTCTGTACAGGTCAAATGCCAGTCTGTCCAATCTTCTGGGAGGTAGATTGGGTGTAGGTATTCTGCACAGCGCTTCGATCTCGCTTGCTTAGAAGCACGCTGGGTAACACTCCAAGATGAATGCACAGACTCTGTGTCGGAGACCGAGTCTGAATCTTCCGAGGAAAACTTTGGTCCGAGACTTGGAAGCTTTTTGAAGGTCCTCATTGACAGAGCTCTCCGATGGCGGGAGGGTGGCGTTTCCAGCCTCTCAAGCCAGTCGTGTACCTCTTCCTGAGATCTATATTTCTCGTCAATTAGCTTTGAGTGGTCACTAGCAAGTATATCCCTAAGGCGATGCTTAGGAATGTTCGGAAGAGGACCAAAATTCCACGATGTCCACGCGATGAAAGCTGAAATCGAATCCATCTGTGGCATCAGTTCTCTGCCTGTACGGATCAAGTAGATACAAGCCGCCAGCGACCAGATATCACTCGAGAAGTCAGGAATATTGTGATTGAGTCGTACTTCGGGAGCGCTATATGCGGCGGGGAATGCGTTGGTGACTCCTATACGTAAGCCGTTCTGGGGAGACCGACTGAAGTCAGCAATAGCTACTGTGCCGGAGCGAAATCTCTTTTCCAGAGAACACAGGTTTATCTTCTTGACAAGATATTTTGGCGCACGATTTGACGAGGATTGGGACGAAGAGCTGAGTTTCCAGATACTGGGCTTTTCAATTAAATCGTGCAGCGAATCCTTTCGCCAAGCTTCATCCATACAGTCGCCTCTAAGCACCATCATAAGTTTCTGTGGCCGGATATCGCCATGAATGATACCATTTTCATGCAAGCAACTCAAAGTTACGCTGAGCTTGAAGCAAAGGTATGTAAGATATCCTGGTGTGTCCAATCCGGCGCCTTCAAGACCGTCGAGTAGGTTCGGTCCCAACACCGGCATGACGAGGCAAAGGTGCTGCCCATTTGGTCCTGTGATCCAGAACTTGTCTCTTGGCACCACAATAGAATTTGACAAGCCTTTTCCTTTACAAGCCTTCACCAGACTGAGGATCCTTTCGTTATTGTGGTCTTTCAGCTTAGACTTGTCGGCAGAAACTACCTTGACGGCCCGAAATCGCCTCCGTACTACATCGTCACACAGCCATATTGTTGACGAAGATCCGAAGCCGAGCTTGTGAAGAACTCTATATCTCTCCTTCGAATCAAGGTAGTCTCCAATATGTACTGGGTGAAATCCACCGCGTTGATATCTAGCAATATGCTCGTAATGGGCTCGTGCATAATCTGGGAGCGCCTGGGTGGCCTCGTCAACCGAGCCTTCTGTACTGGCACTCTGGGGTCCACGGTTCGACAAGCAGCGGATCACAGATGAGTCTTCATCACCTGACCATGCGGCATCCGATTCTGCTTCACTATGAAAGCTTGCCATATGCGCAGAGGAGGTCTGGCTACACGTCTGACTGCGTTAGTGTAGTATCGATATCGTTAGGTTTGAGATTTCCGGCTTTCACTGCATAGGTTGGAGCGAGCCCAAAGATCCATCAAGCTACCTGCCCCAGTGACCGGCTTTGTCCATCTAACATTGAAGCTGCTTTGATTAAGTAATATGAATGAAGGCCAGGTACTGTGGCGAAACGGACAAAGCCGAGCCGGATCAGGTTGCTTTGAAGATTCATAATGAAGATTCATACATTGCGATGCAGCAATTATTCAACCGCTCTATCAGGAAGTTTATGGCTGTCAGAAAACCGAGGTCCCAGTATTGGAAAATCTCTAACTATGGGACGAATTCTAAGAGTTCATGCGGAGTATAAACAACATGAGCCGAGGCCATGTCTGTGAGAAGACGTAAATCATGCAACTTATATGAAATTGTACCAATGGACATGGAACAAATGAAGACATTGGTTGAACGCCACTGTATTGCGTGACTCAACGCATTATCCGCCGCGTGAAATATACCTTGCTCACCAGCTCCTTTGAGTAGATTGCTATATGAGCCGAAAAATTAACCGTGAGGCCAACCTCCACGCCCAGTACGTTAGAGGGTATGTTTGATGCTTTGCGGTTTAAGAACCCGAAGCCGTTTCTCTATGGACCGAATAAATGTTGAAAAGACGGTTCCAAATCACCACACCCTCTTTCGCGTTTACATCGGATATTACAGTAATTACTCTGATGGGTTATGTAAGTAGACCACTTTGAGCGCAATGCGGAAAGTTGGGGTTTAGCTGGGACTTTCTATCAAGGTGCCGTCAAATATTCCATAGACTTTCTTATCCAATAGTGAAAGGCAGTACAGCAACGTGGCTAACCAATACTTACGAAAATGAGTAGGCATTTAGGGTTACTATTGAGGACGGAGCTGCCGACTCTATGCAGGATATTTTATGGCACTATCCTCTATTGGCAGATCGACGGCGCCTACGAGAGAATGAAAGTGAGGCAGCGCACAAAGGCCAGCGAGGCTCAGTTACGAGGGCGTCAATATGCAGGGCGGCAGTCTGCCCTCTAAAAAGCCCAACGCGTGATCCGGGTAACTCGTAGGTCATTGTTCTCAGTACCAGTCCCGGTTCGTGCTCGTGTTTTACCGAGACGCGAGAGATGTCAACCCATGGCTGCGGTGGCCCATTATAGCCAGTCATACAGTTCCATTAGGTGCCAGGTCATTGTGCATCGATGCGGCGCAGCTGGGGGTTGCATCAGCAGCAGCGCCGCCCAATGAGGTATCAGGCCATCAACGTCAGCACTATGTCGTTCTCTGTTCAGTCAATGCTCCATCACGCGCCTTGAGCAGATTTATGCAATGAAGGTATGCAGGTAAAACCGGGTTTCGGAAGAACCGGAAGGACAGAATAACGCGCGGGCAGTTTTTGACCCTTTCTACTCCGTACAACGGACACCATTGTTGACCATTTTTTATACAAAGTATGCAAATTAGAGAGTCTGAGAACCGTTCATAAGAGCATTTGTATATTTAAAGGGAGATGTCCGTGCCTTATCTCAGTCCATTCATCCATCACTCAAACTCTCCCTATCAGCACCAATCCTCAAGGTTGTCGGGAAATATATACCAGGTTCATACCTAACGTAGATACGAAGTAATATTATGTGGGCTAACACAGTTGGACGATCACATTTGACGAATCAAGACGTGAGCTTTGCAGCCATGAAGGAATGGATGCTTAAGACTGAGGTATGATGAGTTATATCTACAGTGTTGTCACGGATTTGTTCTTTGATTGCGGTCAAACAGCGCTTTAGATCAATTAAACTCCCGATTTACTCTCGTGCCACGATGTGGGACTTCCGATCTCACTTCGAGTTGCTTTTGCAGGCTCCCTTTCTCCTTTCCCCACGTATTCATTGCGCTCTACGCGGCGTTTCCGCAGATGCAGAAGACTTTGAAACCCCGGGGTCCTTGATTTCCAATTTCTGAACTGACTCCCCCGCCTTGCCAGACGTACATTTTCCATCCACTTCAAATATGGGCGATCATCAATCCTCATCCTGTCTTTCGCTGACAGTTCAAGTATATCCTAGACTTCACCCCTAGGCCCATGTTTCCGGGCCATGCGATGAGCTGCAAGATATATACGATACATTCTGAATAGCGTAGCTACCTCCGCAATTGCTATTCTAATTGTTGTAGCATCCAAGTTAAGACATAGTACTGTGTCTCGCAGACCAAAGCAGTAAAAAGTTGGCATCTTTTATCGACTGCGGCTCAAGTTTAGATGCCATTGGGCGGCATTTCCCCTCCTGGCCGGCGGGTCGGATATTAATGCAATATACATAAGTGCATGTTTGCTTTGCTCCTCATGTTTGCTCTCTGAGCTGCGGTCACGCGGCGCGATAGGACCTTCCGAGATCATACACTCTTTTCAGGACCCACGTCACGGTTAAGCTTATTGTTACATCAGATCATCGGATTAAGGGATACCTATGCTGACAAATCCTCTACCTCTACCTTTTCATCTAGCTCTTCTTCCCTCCAAATTGCATACTCTTTACATAGTACAACTAGAAGGCATTCTAGAACCTCTTCTTCCACAGTTTTCAAGTACGAAGAAATGGCCGTTGCAGGCTTTGAGGGCTCTGCTACAGGCCACGCTGTGTCTATCATCATTTCAATTGTAAGCTGCCTTAATCTTTTTGGCCCTTGCTTGCGCTCACGCTATGTTGGTAGACCTTCAGCTATGCCAGCTACTTCCTCGTTTTACATCCTTTACGTAGCTATCCAGGGCCGTTTTTTGCCAAACTAACAGACTTTTACTCCGGCTTCTATGCTTTCCGGAGGGACTTGCATCTAAAAGTCCACAAAAGCCATCGGGCTTATGGTAATCCATCTAGCCCACGTGTCCAACCTCGAACAGCCGTTGATCATAGCAGGGCCAGTAATTCGGTTAGCGCCCAACCGGCTTGTGTTCAATACAGTCACGGCATTTCGAGGTGCGTAACTCAAATGATGAACCAATACATTGGACAGCACGTTAACTTTGAAGAGACATTTACCGCAATGACCAAGTTATCAAGGCTTATACGTATGAGAATTCGGTGCGCAACAATGTGCATAATGTCTTCACCTCCCGCGATAAAAACTTGCATCGAACGAAGCGCAAGATGATTGCGCCTGCTTTGACAGAGCGTGCCGCCAAATCCTTCGAGCCGAATGTAATAGACCAGGTCGACATCTATCTCCGGCAGGTCCTGGAGGCTTCAAGGTCCTCTCGACCACTCAATATGTCGGAAACAGTCGGATATCTTACCCTGGATACGATTGCCAAATTAAGCTTCGGATACCATCTTCGAACTCAGACGAGCAATGAAAACAGGTTTGTGCATAAGGCCCTGGCCTCCGGCCTCTATCGAGGCAACGTCTGGCATCAGGTCTTTTTCCTGTCGAAACTATACTTGGATAAGATCTTTAATCGGATTTTCGATTACAGGGCGAGGTACTTGCGCTTGTTGGAGAAGATGGTCAAGTCTCGTCTCGCCAAAGGCGCAGACGGCGAACGAGATTTCTACTCGTTTATTTCTGAATTTGGCGAGGTTTCCGGGAACGAGCGAAAGAAGGAGCTTTGGTTCGAGGCCAACTTCTTGATAATTGCAGGTGAGTCATGAAAATTGGCTGGGTTTCCTTTCGTACATCCCTCTAACGAATTTTTATGCAGGATCGGACACGACGGCTGCAGCCACAAGTTCCACTTTCTTCTACTTATCACGCAACCCTGAATGTTACCAAAAGCTTGCCAGTGAGGTGAGGTCCACTTTTGCTGAAGGCGGTGACATCAAAGGTGGTCCCCAATTGGCAAGTTGTAGATACCTTCGAGCCTGCATCGATGAGGCGATGCGCATGTCCCCACCAGCACCAGGAGTCTTATGGCGGATGCAAGACCCAAACAACAAGGAACCTCTGGTGATCGACGGACACGTTATACCTCCACGCACACTCTTTGGAGTTAGTGCTTACGCAATCCACCATAATGAGCAATACTTCCCGGATTCCTTTTCGTACAAGCCTTCACGGTGGCTCGGAGCTGATGATGGCTCCAAGGTCCTACATGACGCTTTTGCAGCCTTCTCAATTGGCAGTCGCGGGTGTGCAGGGAAGTCCATGGCCTACTTGGAGAGCAGTCTTATTCTAGCGAAAACGTTGTGGTACTTTGACTTTGAAATGACTGGTGGAAAGCTGGGGGAGGTTGGGGGTGGCAAGGCGGGTGACACAACTGGCAGAGAGCGACCGGGAGAGTTCCAGCTGGAGGATATCTTCACGACGAGGCACAATGGCCCTTATCTTGCTTTTCATCTACGTGGTGATTATTGGAAAGATTTAGAGGCAGACGTCTGATGAAATACGGTTGTATTACCACGGCGACGCTATAAGAAGCCTCCCACACTTAATAAAACGGAATTGTTATGCTCTTTAACAACACTTAGTAAGACATCTTCGTACAAAATTAAAGTGGGTTTTAAGTAATAGAATTATAATTCATGGTAAAATACAGATGGTTAAGGCCCTTAACGCCGTTAATAAGAGCTTGCTAATATTCCCTCTCCGTTTAGGGTCCACTGTTTAGAAGACTTTCTCGCCGCATTAAGTACCGGATAAGCACATGGATAAATGTGATCAATCAAGTAGAAAGGAAGACAAGTGCTCTGTTGCCTCCTTTGCGTCCCACTCAACCAAAATCCGTTCCTTCATTTCCTCCATCTTCGTTTGCACCAGCCGCTCCATTGCCGCTGGCTCCACGTTACTTAGAAGATGCACCCTCGTCTTCCATAATTCCTTTGCGGGAACATCTGCACCCCGTTTACCAAAGAACCTTTCGTCCAGGTACTTCCAGTAAATGGCATCAAACGCCCAGCTCTTTCGAGCGGCATAGTTAAGCCAGAAGCGGCCCGTTGCCCAACTTTCTCGCATGTACGCCGAGAGCAGCAAACAACCCGGACTTGCGTCTTTTTCTACCTCTTCCATCGCCGAAAGCCAAGTCTCCAGCCTCCGCTCATACACACTGGCCCATTTCTCAATGCCCCCATCCCACATCTCGGGCACGTCAAGTAGTAGCCACCAAGGCGGGTCCAAGACAAATTGTGTCGGCCCGACGTAGGCGAACTCCCAATCGACAGCGCCGATAACCTGGTCATTCTCATCAATAAGAACGTTGGCTGGCCTGAAATCATCACACCAGAGGCGGAAAGAGCCAGAACCTTCCGGCGCTGGCAACCTCGCACGAGCGTGCTTAGAGTGGGCCGACCAGTCATCTTCAGCAAACCCAAACTTTGACAACCGGCCTTGTCTGGCTAATTTGCGAAATTGTTGGCGGGCGACGTATTTCGTCCTACAGTCATCCTCCGACGATACCATATCGTTACGCTGGAAAATTAGTGTTGCCATTTGCATATTGGCTAGCTCCACGAACCACTCATCAGCGGTCTGGTATGTGGTCCCTTCTGACGGAAAGACTGATTGGGGGATATTAGAAATTCGAACCATATTGTTCATATTAAGAGTAATAGGTCGCCCCATTACTTGGTATGATCCGGGGTCTGTTTCAACTAGAGCTCCGATGCGTGGAAACGTAGGTTGTGCAAGCTGTTGCACACACCGTGCCATCTTGATATACAGTCTCTTAAGCTTCCTTTCGGAAATTTCGGGATGCAAGACGGGCGTCTCGCTAGGATCCTCGCGAGGAATCTCAAGAGCGTCGACTATGTCTCGCCGGGAGCCAAGATCTTGAATAACCATGAATGGCCCAATATCGGAATCAATTCCATGGTAGAAGATTTTCGGAACCGGAATGTGAGTGTATTGACTGATATATTCTGTCGTTGCAACTTCTGCAAGCATTTTCTCTTCGGGAAACACTGCCTGGTTAGGGCAGGGGACACGCACGAGAACCTCAGTGGAGGAGTTTTCAATTCTAATCGGGTATAGCACGTTGAAGCCACCAATAATCAATGGGGGAATCCGCTTTGCGTGTTCTCCAAATATTTTCTGTGCAAAAGATTCAATCTGGCGACACGTGGAAGACAGTCGAACTTGCCGAATCGCCTCCTCAATAAGCGCGTCACTCCGGTCCCATGCGAGGTTGTCAGGGTCCTGTCGAGCTGTCATCGTGGTAAGATCTGCGAGGGGATCTTTTCATAGACGAGATGGAAAGGCGAGGATAGAGAGCACATCGATGGTCGGAACTCCGACTGTAAGTCAATGCTCGAATGTATGTGGTAGGCTGGTGGGTGGGCTGTTGGCGTAGTACAAACCAGAAGGTGTTTGTTGGTTCCAGGTTCGATTGCGAAGCGCTAGACTCAGTTGGTTGGTGTACCTAAAGGCAATCTACCTAGGACCAAAGCAACGAATATAGACGCCGTAGGCTAGCACCACCCTGGCTAAATTCTGGGGGAAGGCCCCAACTAACTACAGGGCATTCTTACGTGCTTGTCCAATCAAAGCTGACTTGGTATCACTACAAACAGGACCAACGACTAGGGAATGAAAAAAAAGCTACCAACGATGAAGAAATGATGGGCATTCCAACAGATTTACGGGCATGAAGGGTCGAAAACGTTCACAGGAAAGAGGTAGAGAACAAAGAGGCTACTTGATGGGTGATCGCGTGCCGGCCTCCCCAGAAGCTCCCGTTTCATCCAAGGCTGCCGAGTTTTCGAGCGCAACCAACATGCTACCGTCTAGGCCCATATCGAAGTTAATTCAACGTGGACTTGACCTATGCCTATGCCAGAAGACATCTGAACCAAATTCCTCACCACTTAGACGGCCACTTCTGACCACCCCCCTCCCCGGGCGGCACACCCCAAGTTACTTTCTCAGCTGAACAACATGGCAAGGTCGTGTGATCTGAAGCTGCAAGACTGTGTTGGTCATTAACGTCGTGATGGACTTGCTAGAAACCCGGGGACAAAGGCGTGCCTTGTAAGGGGAAAAGATATAAGACACGCAGTATAAACGGTTAGGCCCTTGGAAAACCTAGAATACAGAGTTCCACAGAAGTTTCTTCATGCAAGCTCATTTTCAGTGGTCAGCCTATCACACCTGCCTCCTTTCTGCCGAAATCTAAGTCAGGAAAACCTGGAATCATACGCTTGAGCTATTGAAAAAGGTGTGCTTCTACCCTGAGTTCGTTAGCCTGGCTAACTTTGGTCCGAAAACAGGGACTCATTCGCCATGTCCGACAAACGAGATAGTGAAGGCAAATACCAGGATGATTTGGAAGACGTGACAATTCAAGCTGGGAAGCGTAGCCAAGAGAAACGGTAGCAGGCTGCAAAGAAAGAGGAGGCGGAACGAGAAGCTAAAAAGCAGGAGGCCTCAAAGACGGCAATGTTTAATGCCGGGAAAGACTCTCGCGAGAAGCGTAAGGGAAAAGAGACGTAACATCAGTATGTCATCGGTCCTTGCTCGAGTCAAAAGTAATACTGGTGCTGCTTGGTTGCCGGTTCACAAACCAGGTGTTGACTATTTACACAAGATTATCGGCAAAGGCAATGTGGAAACTCTATTTATTATCTATTCTTCTATTTGGAAATCTCGATGGAACGGAGCATATAGGAAAGATGGTCCGTTACCTGGGTTTCTAAGCCTTATGTATCATTTCCTTATCACGATCACTAGCTCCTTGATTATTTTCTTATTACAACTATTATGGTAATTCCGCCCACCTCGCAAAACCTGCTATCCTGCATGAACCACATCCATTAAGTAGTCACATATTTGCCATGGGAGTATCTGAATCGCTATTAGCCACCAGCACCGCTTTGACAAGTATTGTTTAGATTGTCTTTATCTGAGGCATTCATGCCAACCTGGGCTATAGGTCTATTGCCTGGAGCGAGGCTGAAGCTACTTTCCGGCTTTCGAGAAGTGATATGGAATCGAGGACAGCCGAAAATAGGCACTAGATAAGGAACGTTCTTAGGCAGACTGGGTTTTTTTTTTTTTTTTTTTTGGAGATGGGGTCCATGCTTGGATAAAGGGGGGAAACGCTTTTGAGTCTCAAGGTTGGTGGCAAGGCCAAGCATTGGATGGCGGGGGCCAGTAAGAGCTTTAGCAGCCTTCAGGGACATGGCAACTAATGAACGGCGGCGAATCATTCACTTGGTATCTCGCGTGTAAGTGTAAGTACAAGCCATTGAAAGGTAGAAAGCATAGGGCTATGAGTCGAAGCTTAGGTGATAGTAACATAAGAGAACCAACCACATCACTTATCCTTCAATCCTTCCATTTGCATAACCAGTACCAGTGAACAAGATAGGAGTGGGTATCGAAGAAATCAGGCCGTATTCCTCTTCCACATTAACCAATAATACACACTTGAGGTTCTTCTTGCTTCACACCTTTTGAATCTTGGCCTCTTTCAATAGCAGGCCGACGGTAAGATGTTCTGCTGGTCGTGCCATCCGCTGATCCACTGACAATGCCTCGAGCGATCCCATGGCTGTTACTCTAGTTTGGGTGATTATGAGAGTAGCCAGCAGCACCATCCCCCGATCCATAGTTCCATCCTGCATCGTTGTCCTCTTGATCGGGGGAATAGTATATTGGGTTCGACGCCGCGTTATACATCTCATCGTAACTAACATTAGCCACAGCTTGGGCCGTGGGAGGATGGCCATAGGGTGCCTGGTAATTCCAGATGGCCCCCATGGCCGGGTCGTTGGATACCGTGTACGAAGCCGCCGCATAGGGTACATGGCCATTACCGGGAGATGAACTTGCACCGTACTGGTGGTTCTGGTTTGCCCAATAGGTTTGAGCTTCGGACACTGTTGAAGTGGCGGCTTGCGGAATATCTCGTTTCCCGGGGGAGCGGGATCCACGAGAAGTCCCCTCTGGCCATACATGACTTGGGGAGCGGCTTTGGTGAGTTGTGGACGCCTGGCTGTGCGAGTGGTTCTTGGACGGTTTTTCACGCTTCTTGTATTTCGTACAACCCCAAGAATCGAGCTTCTGTCGATATGAGCGTGTACTGAACGGGTCAGTAACGTGGTCAGTAAATAGTACTTGGGCAACAATGGTTCCTCTTACGACGCTTTGAAGCCGTATCTCTTCTCCATGATCTCCTGAACGGTGGCAAGGGTGTGCGTTTCGTAGAGAGTCTTGATGGTCTCCTCGTAGCTCTCCCAGGGCTTAGTCATGGTGGCGTCTAGTAGTATGCTCCTGAACTAGATTGTCTTGCTCGATTTTGGGTTAAGTCCAAAGTAGAAAAAGCCCGGGCCGGAAAGCAGTCAATATAGGAACAACACCACGCACTGATGCCGCTCCAGAGAATGTCAGCCATGATAGGAGCCTTACGAGGCGTCTCGACCGGCCGGGCAAGGAGTTATGCTGGGGGGGGGGGGGGGGGGGGTTACGGCAAAGCCCCGAGTAGGGCCACCATGCATGTCGAGTATTTTGATGGATCTTCAGAATCGGGCGGTGCGAAGCTAGGCGGTTCGCCCGTTTTTCGAAGGTTTCCATCGCAGGGAGGCATACGGCCATGAGTTGAAAGAACCACAAAACCCGACTGAAGCCTCACGGAATGCAGGTGTACACTCATGGTGTATGATTTTGGAGGCGACCAAGGTTTGCGGGGGGCTAGTATGCCTATTGATGCACAGCAAGTACTGTACATGACCCAGCCCCTGGAATTGCACTTTCACGATGCCGAACAAGAGAACAACGGGGCCCACAGCCACCTTTCAAATGACTGTCTTACTGATATGTCAGCACCAATCTTCGCACACCGTTTCTACCACAGGTAAAAAAGACTCCAAGTTACAGACAAGGCTGAGCAGCGGTCAACCTTACCATTCGAGGTTTCGTTCCATTCCCAACGGGCCCTATCTGCTGTTGCTGATCAAATCAGCAGCCACACTCTACAACAATGACGCTCTCGCGGATACGAACCTATATCTCATTATTCCTCGTACTTTTATTTGATGTATGTCAATCCCTACGACTCTTGGCAACATCAGTTTGGCAGGCATACCGGCTTGTGTGGTTGGGTCATGCGAGAGTAGAATGGGAGACGGACAGAAAGAGTCAGCCTTCTTTCCAAGCCGATAAGACGTGCACCGCCACCCCTGAGGATACTAGCTCAATGCAAGGGCTGATGCAGGATTCATCGGCCAAGCAAACCCCATATTCCCGTGTGTGCGACTATTAAATTGTATTGCTGTGAAAGGATATAGACTTTGGGTATGCATTGCTAGGTACAAATTGAATCTTCCGCTGCAAGTCTCAGCTGGAGCCCCCAAACTCAGGTATTATTACTGTAGAAACCATGAGCATAATCCAAAACAGCCCCCTCCATGTTTCAGCGGAGCGCGACGTCGTGTTCGCCATTAGCCCAGGAGCCCACCCTTCTCGAAACCGACGAGATCCTGCGTCTCTAAGCAGTTGCCTTCTTTTCCTCGGAAGCGGCCGTGGTAGCAGGTAGAGCTTCCTTGGTATCCTGCGGGCTCACCGGTGACATCTCGGTTGGGCTGGTCACTGTGTTGCCGGTAATCCCCGCCTCCTGCTCCTTGTGAGCAGCAGCCTCGGTCTTCTCACCAGCGGGGCTAGCATCGGCCGAGTCGGGACCGCCAACGATGGGCGAGTTGGGAGTGCTCTCGTAGGCTGGGCCGGTCGCGGCAGCAGCGCCTGCAGCACTGCGAATAGCCTCAAACCACTTCTGGGCATCTGCCGCTGTGTGAGCCTTGAATGACAACTCAGACGAGCCAGTCAATTTGCTGCTGATGCTCTTGCTCTTGTCTTTGCCCTTGACGTTGAATTTCTCGCCGCTGGGTGCCCCGATGACAGCCTCAGGGAGGTAGATTGACAATTCGGGCTTCGGATCGTTTCGCAAGTTGTCATCATCCTTGAACTCATGCAAGTACTTGGACGGCGTCACGACGTAGTAACCAGTTTGGGTGCCCCACGACAGCTTGTTTCGTGACTTGCGCTCCAAGCTTCCCTCAATTAAAGGCTTCGTGGATGTGTGGTCTTGGTTGGGGAACGTGATGGCATCCACGCTCCGGGGCGCCTCGTTCGGGTCAGCCAGGTTGGCGCCCTCGCGGTGGAGGAAACCCTTCCACTCGAAATCGCCGGGGATGCGCTGTGCCGCACCCAGCATATCCGAGTATAGGGCCCGGACCTTTTCGGCCTGTCCTCCAGCCACAGCGTTGAAGGCCTCCATGGCTTGCTGGACGACCTGGACGACGTGAGCCTCGAAGGCCTGGAAGCTGTCCTGAACGTGAATCAAGTCGTTCCGGTGGTTGTTCTCTTCAATGACCTGCTTGTTGAGCCTGTGGAGAACACCACGTTGAATGACGTAGGGGTCGTCGGCCGGGGTCATTTTCCCGCCGGTCGACTCGAAGGACGCGGTGTGCTGGCCCAGCAGCTCGATATGCTTCTGGGTGGTGTTTCTGGCCTTGTCAACCTCCTTGGCGCTCTTCTGGGCGCCGTTCAGGACTTCCTTTGCCTTGGCCTTGATTTCCTTGTGCAGTCTCTCCAGAACGGGAAGCACAGTGCCCTTGAGGGTCTTTTCCGTCTCGGCGTTCGAGTTGATAAGGGCCTGCGTGTTGACACGCATGTTCTCAAAGAAGCCGGCGACGCCTCCGAGGCCTTGGTCGAAATGTCTGCCCTCCCGCAGGGGTTGAGAGATCGTCTTAAGCACCTTCTCGTACTCCTTCGCATGGTGGTGGTGGACCTTTTCGACGGCGGTGACATAGTCTTCGAGGTACGCGACGGCGTGTTTCCAGGCTTGCAGTCTCTCGGCAAGGAGGCCGGCGGTCTGCGACGTGCTTCAGTTAGTTGGGAACATGGGAACAGAGTGTGCAGAGGGTAATTGGGCACCGACCGTCGCGGGATCGAGGTCGGGTACAGCACCATCACCGCTGAAGGTGCTGCTCATTGTCGTGCCCTGTCGCAGGGGCATCTCCTTCGTGTCTGCGCTCATCTTGGATGATGGTATAGGGGATTACCGGGAATTATTTTGGCTTCAGACTTGCAGGCGGAATCTGCTCAAGAAGAAGGTGAATCCAGGGTTCTGGCGGTAGAAATACTAGGTTTCAGGGGAGATACTGAAATGACGAAGACCCTCCCTCCTTGGCCTTGGAGGGGTCTTGCAAGTAGCCAACCCTGTGACGATCTAGTGCACAATAAGAATGGTGGCTTCTTTGACTGCCCGCACCCTTGTCTTTTCCGCATAGCGCAATGGGACATGCCGAGAGAAGCACCCGCATCCTCGCAATCCAGACCGCACGCCATCTACAATAGCGCTCCGTTCATTTTCCTCGGTACTTTGTGGATTAACTCCTTGCTTTGAGTGAGTCCATCTCTATCAAGCCAGCTGGAAACACGTTCCATGTTGTGTAGTTCAGAGTCCTCTTATTGCCTTGTCCCCGCGGCACTTACTGCACGACGTGGGGCAGGTAGGCCTAAGTGGGCATCATGGCGATCAATCGAGAAGGGGTGGCGCCCGCTTCAGACGCCGTCGGCTATATCCCAAGGGAGGGACAGAGACGAGACTGATAGGGGCACTTGTTGATACTGAGGTCATGCGCACGAAAGAAGGCTTGCTTTCACGATCCCCACGGACCGCTAATCGAACGTGGGCGCAACTCCAAGCGCGATACTGAGGGAGCCCATCCATGGCATCTAATGACATATTGGAGGCAATGACGTCAATATGCGAATGCCCCACGCTACCGGCAGACACTTAGCGAAACCTTGTTCATTGCGGAATAGCTTCACCTTTTCCCTGATTCGAGGCGCGAGTCTTTCACCATTCTCGGTGCGCCACGGCGCGATAGCGCAAGCGCAACACCACCATCGTCGGCGATGCTTTGTTAGACTTTATTCCGCACCATCTGATCACATTCAATCATAAGCCCGGCAAATTGTTGGAGTTGGGAAATAAGCGCATCTCTCAGCGCCGTTCGCTGTGTCTATGCTCTTCTAAACGTATGGGGTATATGTATCGTTGAAAGCAACAGGTGCCGAGCAATCAATGCCCGGTCCAACTCGACTCGAAAACACCACCACGTCGTCGCTGTGCCCAGACGCCTTCTATCTGATTATGCTGGTGAGACTAGTGTCCAAAACGCCGCCCATCTAGTGCTGTTGGAACCCAGTTGTAAGTCAAAATAATAAAAATAAAAATAAAAAGTAACCAAACGCCATCTGCCACCATTTCGTGTTCTGGCAGCTATGCAATGCAGTGAATCTGATACACAGAATCATATCTCCTTTGAGGAGAGCAAACTGGCGAGGGAGAAATCACGTGTGCGTGCCCCTCTGCTGCATGAGCCGTATCCTCCGTTCGTTATCTCCATGGCCAGGGCTCGAGTGATGTAGAAAGCTGAACCCCAGGGAAGAGTGGTTTCGTCTGAGCAACGAAGTGCTTCTTGAATGCGTTCTCGATTCGCTCTCGGGTGTGGATTCAGGCGAGTCGGCGTGAGCACCTTCCACGATCGTAGCCAGAGGATCTTGGACCGGGGTGCGCGTTGGCGATGATGGCGCACTCATTACTGTGTTGTAGTCGGGGAGTGCCATCACGCCTGTGAAACTCTGTGTCCTCGGCAGAGGGGCTCTCGTCGCTGTCGTGTAACTTGGGACCTTGCTCAACTGTTCCAGATCGAGATTGTCCACATGCTCCGGGGGCGTGCTGTGCCCCGACGCATTACCCGAGTGATCCTCTGCACTAGTTTGACGTGACAACTCGGCTGACTGGGGTTGCGAAGATTCTGCCGTGTGGTCGCCATCATGTACTTGCAGGAACGGAGTCGCGGCGCCCGATGGGGAGTGTGATCCCACGGACGTAAACGACGTGTTTCTGTGAGATGGATCCAGCGACACATTTTGCAGTCTCGAACTGAGTGCCGCCGGCGTGATTGCGCCGGTGGCCAGGGCACCCAAGTTTTCTGATGATCCGGCACGGGACTGGGCGTAGAAGGGACTAGCAAACCCACTCTGCAGCCCAGCCGGCGTCATGACACCGCTCGTGTCGACGTCGTCGTATAGTTGATCCAGAACGTGCATTCCATAGCCGGGCGGCGCCATGTTGGTGTTTTCTGCGTCGGCCGTGGTCCTCTCGCTCGACGACCCCGTCGTGTCCTGAGAAATCAAGTTGCCTTCATCATCCAGGGGCATATTCGGCGAGATGAAGATGGTCACCGGTAGAGTTGCTCGCAGCTGGTTCGCTAGTTAGCTTCGCATGACTACGTGCGTTGTCAGATGGAGCATACCTCGGAAACATGGCCATCAGGATTCTTGAGGGCCACAGTCAACTTGACCTTGTGGCGAATCTTGATGCCGTGTAGTGAACAGTCCTGCAAGCACTTTGCCAACTTCTTCGGAAGGGGCAACTCCTTGGTGACGGTCCAGCCATCCTGTCCTGTTTCTTCAATGTTATCCTGCCAGTTTTGCTCTCTGTTGACCCCAAATGTCCATGAGCAGACCTCACGTTCGGTCTTATGAGTCCTCGACGTGCTATTCTGTCCGGCAACGCTGAATTCCTGAATCTCGAGTAGCTTGACTGTGATATCGCCCATATCCAGGCCTTTCAATAGTGGAGTGAATCTCATGTCGAGGGGAACTGCGCTTCCGAAGACTATAGCCTTCTGGGGGATGACAACTGAGTACTCGATCTTGTTCGGCCAGATGTTCTCGACGCTCATGGCATGGTTGAATTCCAGGGCGGTAGGGTCCAGCGTGCGGATAATTCTCAGTCGTTTGTAGGCGTGGGGGTTCTTGGCAAGCTTGCCCCGGGATACAGTCGCTTTCAAGTGGTAGCTGATACTTGTCTGATATAGGCCTTCGACACTTTCTGCGGTATCCCCAGGTAGCATGAGTTCGAAGGGCCATTCGTAGTTGCCGGCAGACAATGTGACGCCGTGGGACTGGGGCCCGCCGACGAAGGGTGACCAGTTGTGCTTCAACACGGTCGTGGTTCTGTCGACCTTTTGATTGTGGATACCGGTGGGAGTCTGTTTGGACTCGATCCAAGCGACTCGGCAATTGCCAACGAGACGAAGGTGAACATCCTCCACGCGCAGGGGTTCCTTGAGGCAAAGTACGACAACACCTTTCAGGAGCTGCCCGGAGGCTTCGTGGTCATTGCCTCGGAATACGATGAAGTCGTTCTCCAGCCTGCGGATCGAGGTGGTTAGTCACCGGGCCACTTTACGTCACTTAGACAGCCAACCCACCGGATCTCAAATAGTGTACAGGCGTTGCGATGCCCGGCCCCGAACGGGTTGAACGAGGGCATTTTCGGGTTTGCAGCTCAAGCTGTAAGCTCGAGCAACAATAAGAGGACAGTGCTGCGCAACTGCTGTGGCAGGTTGCGCTAATTACTTGATCAGCGCAAGTCCCGAATGTGAAAGATCACGAAAGCAGATTATCATGAGGCGCGCTGAGCGAGATTCTCTACAGCAGAGGCAAGGAGACCAGAAAAACGACAAGAAAAGACACGGGTGAGCTCTGAGTGGGACCACAATAGTTTTATCTACAGCAGACGGGCCAAGCCAGGCTGGAGCATTGAACCCTGAATTGCGCCGGATGACGGGCTGCGTGCAAAAAGGTGAGCGATCTTTTTTCGCCGCCACGGTCCCCGTCGCAAACGGCCCCTCCGTCCAATGTCATTTGGCTGGGATCATGGTCGCGAGACGGAAGTATCGCCCACGCTAACGGGAAAGCCCAATCTGGTGGAGACGCATGTGGTAGTCCACCAAGTCAAGTCAAGCACTCTTGGTCCAGCGCGTGCGGCCAGGGGGGGGACGACCTCAAGCAAGGGGGACGGACGCCGAAGAACCCTTGCCATGGCGTGACTCGCGGGCCCCATCAAGCGTCTGGCACTGCCCACGGCCAACACCAGGCACTTACCATGAGTTTCCTGTCTCGGTTGCCCTAGCCGGCACGAGTTTGTTATCTGGTTGAGTGTTGCGAATGCACATGACGCCTCTACAACGATGGGTTTACAGTGGTCAATGAGAGAGGGAAGGGAGGGAGAGAAAGAGAGAGAGAGAGAGCAACAAGGGTGCTGCGACCAAAATAGAACGTAACTCTGCTGACGGACGCCTCGTGAGTCTGGGTAGCAACCCAACGCCGCAGGCAAGCCACGTGTGGAACGAATCGTGTACACCGTTGCCCTGAATCAGCCAGCACCTCAGCCTACAGAGCCGCCTAGGCTCCCAATGCATACACACCATGCAGTGCAATATGCAATCGCGATAGACGGCCTCCGGCGGACGGGAGAGTTTGGCCCTGCATGCACACTCACATGCTCCAACTCTATATACGTCCAATACATCATTAATGACACCGGACACGACGAACCACACTAAACTTCAGCTCGTGGTGAACGACAGCCTGCCTTCTTGTCTTACTATGTAACTTGGACAGACCCGAGGCTATGTCCAACAACCGGCGCCGCCTCAGTATACTCGAGCTGGCCGATAAGCTCGCGCCAGTAGCTGCACACCATTGAAGAGAGTACGATCCCACGTGAGACTTCAGTGTGGGTGGAATACATGCGGCGCAGACACAGCGCAGACAATAACCACACCCGGAACCAACTGCCAGCTTCACTCATCTTACGATACTCGTCCTTCTTGGCTTGACCGCCTACTATACGCCTCTTGGTGCGCAACTACGGATATTCTTTTTGCAGATTTGTTGGCCTTATTGCATGCGAACCACTTGATGGTCATACGATCAGTGTCCAACTGATGTCGCGTCGAACCCATGCAGCGATCGACTTTGTGGTGGGGAACTCAGAGACGGGAGCTTGCAGGGATATGCTCTTAAGGCTCGGGCATTCTCATTTTCTGGATCGCTTCCATCGCTAATAAATTGAAGGTTTAATGACCAGTCGTCCAGCTTCCGCAGTCGGACAGCGCCAGTCTCGTGAAACAAAATTGATGGCCATCTCAAACAGTCCAAATCGGGCCTCGGATAGGTTTGTGTGACAGCTCCCACCATTGCGTTCGGGGAATCAACCCACCGATAATGCGAGACGGGGTCGATCCAGGACCCCTCCCTCTTTGCATGAAGCTGGTATGCATCAATCGACCGAGACTCAGCTCAGCCAGAATCGGGTCCCAAGATCCGGAACAAAGTTAGCCAGCTCTATAGAGACACGGCGTTACATTCCTACAGCGAGCCGTCGCTGCCTACCGGTTGCGACTTTGTCGATTGGTCGAACGATACTATAATACGATTTCTCATGCGAACCCCGCGACGGGAGCATTCGGCGGTACTGTAACTGCTACGTCTCCATCAAGCTCGAGAGCTCCAGGAATCCAGGAAGCAACTCTTGATTCCCGTCTTCAGTGCGCATTAGTTCTGCATCGGATATCCCCCCTGTGTATCACTCTCGCTGCAGGTTGGCACTGGACCCGATCAGTCGTCAAAAGACGGCCGGCCGAATATCCACAGTCAACTGCTCGTACCCATTAGCGATATCCACAGAGCCACAACAAGGCCGGTTTAAAGCCTGGCTTGCCTGGTCGACGCTGGGCGGCCGTAATTGAGCCGTAGAAATTTGCCAGAGATAAGGTATCGCAGCTAGCCAGGGGGTCAAGCACTCGGTGGCAAGCCACAGCCAGAGGGCACTAGCAGGGCTGGAAGACCCGATTACCGGTAACTTGTTAGTGCTGCACGTTTCCGTGACAAGCCCGTCTCTAGGGTCTTGGGCTCTTGACCACCACCGATCAGGGGTCCACTATCCAAAAGAAAATCCTTTGACAGGCTTTTGACATCACCTACAGCTGATAAGGGATTTATCATGACGACAAGTCAGAACACATCCCACGCGCGGGCTGGCAAGAAAGGTAGGCGAGCAGGGAACATCAACTCTCGGCATTCCTAATTTTTCTACCCGAGGCTTGAGCTCAGCGGGATACAGACCAGAAAAGTAATAACTATCACCCACATCAAAAGGAAGACAACCCTCAAATCCTACAGTCCATTGGCTCCTGATTATTATGGATGATTCACCCGAATGATAACGTTCCCAATGCCAAAAGACGGTGTAAGGCCGCGGTTTTTCCCGAGATAGCTCGGGCAGGGTCAGCCTTGAAACCAAGGGCCGGTGGAGCTTCACGACGGAGACCCATCTTGCCCGTTTCAACCTCACCCTGCGAGACCAAGCATTCTAGAAATTCCAGACCACTGCTGGGTGGACCCGCCCGCGAGGGAGATCCACCGCGAGAAAACTGATATCGGACCGTTCAAAGATTTTGACTGCCGGCCTTCAGCTTATCCACGTAGCCCACGCTTTGGGCTTATAGCTGCGTATTACTATGTACAGCGCTCTGCCCCTCCCTTTGGGAATCCACTGGCCCATTGAACAAAGCCCTCGAAGATCACCGTGATCTGCGAGCAGAAAATTCCACAGGCAAGTTAGGGGGCCTGAACAGCCGGTTCGTCATGATTTGATTCGTTTGCCCTCGGCTTTGTAGGGCCGAATCGAAAGAGGAGGACGAAAAGAAATGATAGCAAAAAAATTTGACCCAGGAAAATTGCTCCGGTGAGGCTCTTCCCGAATGCAGGAACATATGGGTCTACGCGTCCGTGATCACCGCCTTTGGAAACACAATAGGCCTCGGGGCCTAGACCGTATGGCCAACTCTTCACGTGCTATTTCCGGTGGCTCTTATCGTCTTGCTACCCGTCATGATCCACCACCGTTGAGCACAAATCTGCTGGGACTACGTAGTTGATACTGTAGCTGTACTGGTGGCTGAATCCTTCAGATAACCTGCCAGGCAGCGTTGTTCCGTCGAGGACTCTATTGCTGAGGCAGGGCCTACACAGACGTGACACTCTTAAGCTGGCACCTGCTAGAGTCAAGAATTTGACGATATGTTACGCGGCTAATCAGTGCTGACCGCCGACAAAAGCAGCATCACGCACGATCCTGGCGTTGGGTTGGGTGTCTGCGTGCTAGTGCGGCTCGCGGCCCAGACGTTCCCACTTCGCGATGTTGAACCTTTCCCCTACATGTCTGAAGCCCAGACATTTGTATCATATGCAAACCAACCGTGCCCCGTTCCTCCCCAACACGCTCAGTCCACTAAGACAAGTTCGTGATGATGCCATGGGCGATACGTACCTATAGCGCCAACAAGCTCGCCCTTTCCGGGCCGACTCCGTTAGCGGCCGTGTCACAGGTCCAGTGCATATTGTCCGACGATCGATCTGGGTTTTTTGGGTTCTCTGGCGTCCTAGTGCCGACACGGATGACTAGGCCCGGTGACTAATAACAACGACCATTCGTTGGGTAAGTTAAAGAATGTAGCAATGTACGGGTGAGGAGATGTAGAGGTCCCAGATTATTGGTGGTTGGCGACCGGAAAGGGGAAGGGGGCCATAGCCCAGACGTGGTAACTACTACCTACGAACTACCGAACCGCTACGGGGCTGCAAACGTACCATTCCATAGTTACATTTCTTTGGCTGCTTGCTGCGGTCTCAGAATAGGGCCGTTGTCGTGGGTCTTGCGGTGATCACAGGAGAGAGAAGATCGCCATCTCTTTGATCGATGGGCTGGTCCTTGGGGTCCGATCCTGTGTGTGGTTTCTGATCATAACTAAAAATCAAGACCGCATGCCTATTACTTACACGTAACCGGCGCGTTGACATGTTGGAGTTCCCATCCAGTACCTTACCAGCGCTGGGACAAACGCAAGGGTTCTTTCGTGCTGCTTCCCGCAGCTCTCACGGTGCTGTTGCTACTAGTACTATGAAAGCCAGACAGCAAGCACACGAAGCCGGCAACGAGGGACGGGTGTTTCGTCCAACGATTATCGAGCTCTTCCGAGTTCAGTTGGCAACAGAGCATTGAGAGACACTCAAGATAACAGTTGATTATAGGGCTGAACTCTATCTGGTAGTCACAGCTCTAGCTGCATCGCTCTCTGCTGACATACTAGTAATACAGTTTCACCTAAGCTATGAGCACACAACACAAGGTTCTGGCGAGCGCTGGCTCAGAATTGCCGAGTTGATTACCATTACGCCAAGTCTGGTAGCTGGGCTATACACGCGCCCACGGCACAAGATGCCGTGCATCGTAGCGCCAAGCCTATCATGAGGACTGGAACCACGGCACCCGAGTCTATACACAGAAAGATGGCGCCCGTCATCATGAAGCCGTGTTATCCGCGGGCCTATTCCATGTCCGCAGGTGGCCAGACTTGCAACTCGTCATGATGGCATCCTCCGTAAACTTCACCCAGCAGAGCGGGTCCTTATCGGCCTTCTTCATGAGCACGGGGGGCAGGATCGGGATCCTAGAGCGCGGCTCCACCGGGTAGCTGATAGTCTCCTCCTCATCGTCGTCTGCGGTCGACACGGCCGAATTGGAGCGCAGCCTGCTGATGGAGGTATTCTGTGTCTCGGCGCGATGGAGGCCAGGCACGCGCGATGAGATGGAACCGCGATGACGGACAGAAGCCTATGGGGAAGGGGTCAGCTTGTATGCGGTTGGGGCGTCGACAGGGGGTAACGTACAGCTTTGGGGGTGTGCAACATTCCTACGTTGAAATCCCAGAGACAGAGCCGGCAGTCCTCGCCTACACTGCCAAAGCGGTAATTTCGCTCATCACATCTCCACGGGTCAAAGGCCACGGCGGTCACCCACGATTGGTGTCCTTGACAGCGCGCTATGATGGCGTTCTCTGAGGGACACCAGATCGAAATCAGGTCGTCCTGGCCGCCCGTCAGGACGTACTTGCCATCGGGAGACCAGCAGACGCAGATAAAACCACCGTAGTATGCAGAGAATAAACTCAGGAGCCTGCAACCGTAATGTCAGTGTCCGATCTGTCACCTCTCGACTAGTAAGAGCACTCACTTCTCGTTGAGGTAGTCTATGATGCGAAGTGTTCCATCCTCAGAGACTACGGCCAGGTGTCTATTGTCCGGCGAGAAAGCAAATGCATTTATCCGCTGGTTGGAGAGCTTCCAGATGGCAACGGGATTCACCTTTTGGTTCTTGGAGTGTATCGACTTGACGACTTGGATGGCCTTTGAGAATTCAGTCCTGGGTTCGGCCTCGCCCTCAGGCTTCTCCTCGTCAGGGTTGAAAATTGCATCTTCTTTCTCTTTGTCGTATACTACCAGCGCACCATCCATATGTGCTGCCAAGAAAAGGTTTTCGGCCCCGGGTATCCAACGAATCTGCGAGACTGGGGTTTTGTTGATCACGCCCTAGCAAGAGGCGGTTAGCGGCAGACTTCTCGAAGACAGCTGGAATAAGGGGTGATTTAGATCTTACATTCTTATTCAACCTCGTATATCTCTGCGACATGGGCTCCCACCAGATAATCTCACCAGTTGAGAAGCCCATGACGACGTCCAGATGCCCTGGCCCCTTGGTCACCAGGTTGACATCGTGGCTCAGGCAGTGTGCTTTGGTGAAGAGAATCTTGGTTAAGTAATCGGCTTTCGAGGGCGAAGACAGGTCTAGCCACTGGAAGGCGCGGTTGATGTTGGCGAACGCGAACACCCCATCCCCCGGCCGGTCCAGCAATTTCTTGGATACGGCTTCGTTGATGATGACGCGCGATATGAAAGAGGAGTTACTCTTGGTCATATTGTTCTTGGGTTTCCGTCGCTTGTTCAGGTCCTTGGTCTTCTCCGGTGCCAACAGGCTGTTGCCCTCCCCGAACGCAGGCGCCGAGACTGCCGTCAACGACGTCGGCCCGTCGCTGATGGACGTACCTCGGCCCTCGCCATCGCTGCTTAGCTTGGCATCGTGGGATAACCGATCCTCGCCGGGGTGCTCGGCGATGCTTGCGGAGAGGGTGGTGGCCGAGGTGAGGCGGTAAAACGCCGGGGGCGGCGCTTTGTCGTCGAGAGTGATCAGCGATATGCGTGTGCCGGCCGTGGCGGGTTGAGGGAGCGTCGCCAAGGGATTCGGGTTCAGGATGGGCGCCTCGGAGGGGTGCGGCGGCGGTGTGGCCAGATGTAGGTCCTCCTTGAGGACGTAGGTGCCCTCGCCGGCCTGGAAGGAGTCCTCGGGGTTGGACAAGATGTTGTTGGTCTCGATCAGAGGAGTCGCGTGGCCAGCAGCGACGGCGGCATTGTATGCGGCCTGCGTTGGGTAACGCGGGGGAGGCGGCAGCACGCTGTCGCAAACCTGTCAGCGCCTGTCGCATGCCCAAAACAAGCTGTGGACGGGGGGGCACCTACAACATGATGTGCGCAAGGACCAATTGACACTGCAGAGCGTACTGAAACCGCAGGACTTGTTGTCGCTCGCAGGATTACGTCCCAGCCTAGTACGCGCCGTCTGGCCTTACTCGTCGGCCATGCACGTCGGGGACGGCGCACGCGGCTTGCTAAGATCTGCTGGGTTGTGGCCTACGTAAGGGCGCGGGGATCTCGGGCTGCTTGGTACGGCTCCCGTGGTATAGTTCTTCGGTATAGACAACGCTCTGGTGGTTCACCTGGAGGTCGAGGGGCCAGAGTCGAGAGAGTTCCAAGGTTGCGGACGGCTAGGAGAAGAGGAGGCGGCACGTGTATCACAGCGTCTGCACGGAAGGATTCACGCTCGAGGTTGGAAGGTCGGTTGGAAGGTCGGTCCAGGTCCCCTGCTCCCTCACGTTTGGGAGGGCTGGAGGGCCGGGGGTTCGGGGGAGGAGAAGCGCTCGCTGCCATTGGGTCCGAACAGGGGGTAGACGTTCGCCTGGGATCGCTGAGTGTGGGGTAACGGGTCGGGGTGGTCCCTTTGGTTGCGTGGGATGAGGGGAGAGCCAGGGAGAGCCAGGGAGAGCCCAAGGGAGGGCAGCTGCTGACGAACCCGAGCCCAGGCCATTGGGAAGGCAGAGCGACAGCTGAGTGGACAGCTAACTCATTGGACGCTGCGCGTGTCGGGGGTGCGTTGAGTTCATGCGGGCAGAGTGTTAACTTAGTTGACTTGTCTGGTGGCTATTATGCGCCGTCCTATACCTGGTCAGGTTACGTCCAGTATCTCCAGCCGTCTACGTAGTATAATCAGCCGTTGTGGGCAACACAGCCCTGCCTGTGAGCTCGGGGAAGCTATGACACTGCTGGCTTTCCTACAAGACACGCACAGACGCGACCACTTGAACAGACTCATCACTGGCCACATTTTCCCGTCGTCTCTGTTCCGTGGGCGGTGGGAGATTGTGAGTGTCGTCCCATTCAGGTGAGCAGCCGGCTAAAACTGGTCCAGCCCGCCAATAGTGCCAATAGCGCCTGTCGCGGTGCCCTATTGGGGTGCTCTGAGGTGCTCTGAGGTGCTCTGGGGTGGGCAAGCTGGCAAGGTGCTGTGGGTGGTACCGCCTGCAGCGCTCGTCGGAAAATCCACTCGGCCACGTCCATCAGTCAAAGTGGCATCCCGACGCCGATGCAACTCTCCAAACCACCAGGAGATGGCAGCCAATTAAACATACGATGCCGACTGGCACCTTACCCACCAGACTCTGAGCGAGCTGCAGCAGAGCCCAAGGTTGTGCCGTTTCTTTGTCCTGCAACACAACGACAGCTAGCGAGCTGTCTTGGTCTTGGGCCGCCAATCGCTGTCCAGCTCCGATACCATCCACACCTCGCGCCCGCCTCTGCCACCGCTCCTCTCCCGCTCCTCCCGACCTCAGCCGGCCGGTCGGTCAGTCCCTCTGTCGGTCTGTCCTTTCTGTAGTCACCCGAAGCGCAGCGCGAGAGCATGGCATTGTGATAGGGGCATGAAAATCTCAGAGTAGTCCGCCCCATATAGCTTCCTCCCTCCCCTGCTGCCATGACTACCGGTACGATCCCTCTGCCCGACCCAACCCTTCCTGGGGCTCCCTTCCCCCTTCACCCTTCCATCATGCCATCTGTGCCCGGCTAACAGCTCAGCCAGTGCGCGTCTGCGTCTGCGGGGACGAGGGCACCGGCAAGTCGAGCCTGATCGCATCCCTCGTCAAGGATGTCTTCGTTAGCAACAAGATCCAGTCCGTCCTGCCCCAGATCACCATCCCTCCGAGCATCAGCACTCCCGAGAATGTCACCACCAGCATCGTCGACACCTCGGCCCGGCCCCAAGACCGTACCGTCCTGCGCAAGGAGATCCGAAAGTCCAACGTCATCCTTCTCGTCTACAGCGACCACTACAGCTATGAGCGGGTCGCCCTGTTCTGGATGCCCTACTTCCGCTCCCTCGGCGTCAACGTGCCCGTCGTGCTGTGCGCCAACAAGTCCGATCTCGTCCGCGACAGCACCACCCCGCAGGTCGTCGAGGAGGAGATGCTTCCCGTCATGACCGAGTTCAGGGAGATCGACTCCTGCATACGCGCCAGTGCCAGGGAGCACAGCAACGTAAACGAGACCTTCTTCCTGTGTCAGAAGGCCGTCACCCACCCGATTGCGCCCCTGTACGACCACAAGGAAGGGGACTTGAAGCCCGCCTGTGTGTCGGCGCTGAAGAGGATATTCTATCTGTGCGACAAGGACCAAGACGGCTACCTCAACGACGAGGAGATGCACCAGTTTCAGGCCAAGTGTTTCGAGAAGCCTCTAGCTTACGAGGATCTCCAGAATATCAAGCTGTCACTCCAAGCCTCCATTCGAGGTTACAACGCTGCGCATGGAATTGACATGAAGGGTTTCTTGCAGCTGAACAAGTTCTACGCCGAGAAGGGGCGGCACGAGACCATATGGGTGATCCTGCGCAAGTATCACTATACAGACAGCTTGAGTCTCGAGGACGGTTTCATACACCCCAAATTCGAAGTCCCCGAGTACGCCTCGGCCGAGCTGAGTCCAGCTGGCTACCGGTTCTTCGTCGATCTGTTCCTGCTCTTCGACAAGGACAACGACGGTGGCTTGAACGATCGAGAGCTGACGGCCCTCTTCGCACCGACACCCGGCCTGCCGCAATCTTGGATCGAGTCGTCTTTTCCGTCGTCGACGGTGCGCAACGAGGCCGGTTATGTCACACTTCAGGGATGGCTCGCCCAGTGGAGCATGACGACCTTCCAAGAGCCCAAGACCACCATCGAGTACCTAGCATACCTCGGGTACGAGCCGTCAGGTGTCAGGGATCCCCTGACCTCGGCCCTAAAGATTACCAAACCGCGGAAGAGGAGAAACCGACCTGGCCGGGTCGAGCGAAACGTCGTGCTTTGCTATATCGTCGGCGCGGGAGGAGCAGGGAAGTCTTCTTTGCTAGACTCTTTCTTGAGCCGGCCCTTTGACAGCCTCTACCACCCCACAATCAAGCCTCGTAGGGCTGTGAATAGTGTCGAGCTTCCTGGCGGCAAACAGTGCTATCTGATCCTGGAGGAGCTGGGCGAGCTCGAGCCAGCCATCCTGGAGAACCGCGCGAAGCTGGACGCCTGCGATTTGATCTGCTACGCTTACGACTCCACGGATCCGGACTCGTTCTCGCACATCGTGGACCTGAGGCAGCGCTTCCCACACCTGGACGAGTTGCCCGCGATCTACACCGCTCTCAAGGCCGACAAGGATAAGGCCACACAGCGCAGCGAGCTGCAGCCGGACCAATATACATCGAGCCTTATGATGAGCTCCCCGCTGCATGTGAGCGTGACGTGGAACAGCATCAGCGAGTTCTTCGTGGCCCTCGCCGAGGCGGCCACAAACCCGAGCACGGCTTTCCCCAAGAACGAGGAGCCGCCGCCCGACAGATCAAGCCTTTACATAGCTGTCGGGGCGACATTGTGCGCTGGAGTCGCCGCATTCATGATCTGGCGCCGGTCTACAAACGCCGCTTAGTTGGTGGCAGACCTCCCGTTCTAGTCCGCCTCTCTCATGAGCTAGACCCCTTGTTCCCTCTCGCCGCTCTGCTCTGCTCTGCATTTAGCATTCGCGTTCGAAGGCGGTTGAGTTATTCCCAGTACTTCTTTCTAATAGTTAGCATTTCCCGGAGCTGGGGTTGGATTTTCTTCCATTATTCGAAAGATTGTGTGTTTCGGTGTTCTTCGGTCCTCCCGCTCTGATACCCTTCCCTACTCTGACGACATACATCGGCACATACAACACACACAGACTTTGAAAGACAACAATGAGTCTTAGGCATATCTGGCATACAATATAATACACTTAATAACAAACTATCCCTTGTATTTGTGAACCGGGAAGTTGTCCAACGTAAGCGTCAGGTGGTAAAACGCCATAGACCGCGTCAGGCTCGTTCTGTATCAAGGTCTTGGCCTACTCATAGGCTGTCCTTCTCAGGAATGTGCAGTAAACAGAGCAACCCGAAGGTGTCACGGCTGGACGTGCAGCGGTGGATCCCAGCTGTTTCTTACAGTCTGGACGGGCGTGATCTGCTCTACCAAGGTACTTCCATTACCTTCCAATCGGTAGTGCTGTACCTCTGCCACGCACATGCGAAACGGCTCCTCGGGACCTTTTCCAATGCCGCCCGATCTCGTACTGCGCCTGACTTGATCTCCAAGCCTGGATGAATGCGTATCTCACATGGCTGTAGTGGTTATTCACACCTCATCGTCCATGTCCTCGTCTTCCTCGTCATCGTTTTCTATCTCCTCGTCGCGCCGGCGCTCCCGCTTGACATTGCGCTGGGACGTGGGGCGCATACTGATGTCAGTCCTGTTCATAGCATCATCGTCGTCGTCGTCGTCGTCATTATCTTGGTCCTCGTCCTCCTGCGCGCGCTTGATCTTGCGGAGCATGTACTGATCGAGGGTAAAGTCTTTAACGGACACCTCCTGCAAGTTCCTAATGTCAGTGATGTTTTCCTCGCGTGGTGGGAGATAGCAGCATGGATTTAGTGTTCCGAGAACGTACCTGACTGCACCCCGTCTGCGGACACTGTGCCCGCCGGCCGGGCTTGTTGCTCAGGAACTCCATGATGGCCGTCTTCTCGAACGTGTGGTTGCACCTGGCCGACGTGTAGGGCTCCGTCATCATGACGAGCGAGAGCGGGCACTTGAGATCCTTCTTTTCGCCCGCGACAATGAGGTCCTCGTCCTCGTCTTCATCTGCGTCCTCCTCCCCGTCGGCGCCGCCGAACCAGCGCGACGCGTCCGGCAGCGGCTTCCCGTCCTGCCCGTGCACCGCGTCGTGCCACAGCCTCTTGAACTGGATGTAGTCGTTGTTCAGCCCGTAGCGCTGGTGCATGGTCTTTGCCTGGTAGTCGGCGGCCAGGCGGTCGCGGTTCTGCCGCAGCAGCCGGCGCGGGCCCGCGACCTCGACGGGCTCGTCCTCGTCCTCGTCGTCCTCGTCCGGCCCGTCCCCGTCGTCGAGCGCCTCCCGGCGGGCCGCCGCCTGCTGCCGCCGGGCCTCGTTGCTCTGGGCCACCTCCTCGGCGCGCTTGCTCTCCTCGGTCGTCTGCGCCGCCGCGTCCGCCAGCGCCTGCCGGCCGTCCTGCAGCTCGACGCCCCAGTCGATGACGTCGCGGACGGCCTCCTCGCTGCGCTTGGTCAGCGTGGGCACGCGGCGGCTGAGGTCGTCGACGGCGGCCTCGAGCGCGCGGTCCGCCTCGGTCCTGTCGGCGTGGTTCTCGCCGTCCTGGCCCGAGCCCTGGCCGCGCTCGCGCTCGCGCCGCGCCTGCAGGCGCCCCCGCCGGTCCGCGTGCCGGTCGTTGACCTCGGCGACCGACTCGCCCAGCAGCTTGAGCGACCGCGCCAGCTGCTCGCCGTACTTGCGCGTCTCGGCTGCGTTGGTGCTGAGCTCGGATAGTGCACGGCGGGCTTGTGCGTCAAGCGGGCACGACGGCGGCTCGTAGGCCGGGAGCTGGGTCTCGCGTTCCTGGTGTTGCTGTTGGGGCCGCGACGGGGCGGCTGAGCCCGGGCGGCCGCGGGGCGTGTTCGAGAGGAGGGTGCGTCGGCTGGACATGATTTCTTGCAGGGACGGCGGCAGGTCGCCGCTGTCGTGGGCAGAGAATTGGGATGGATGGATGGCCGCGGTCAGTCAAGTCGCAGGCAGCTGGTCCAATGGATGTTGTGATTGTCTCGAGGGGATACGCGGACAACCAAGTGCCGAGGCGTGCAGGAGCAATAATCCGTCTTGACGCTGTCACTCCACCGAGCCGTTGTTGCCAGGGTCCTGGCTTTAGGTCGTCACTATGGCATTAAATCTGGGGCAGTCGAGCCTGGACGACGCGTTCGGAGACGCGACGGGCCACCGAAGTGGGCAGATGAATAAAGAGGCCGTATCGAAAAAGTCTAGACACTGTACTTTGCACCGTCCTGGTGCCAAAAAGGGCAATTCCTAGTTCTGTAGGTTCCACAACACTGTGTCTTTACAGGCGCGCTTCCAGGGTTTCTTGGTAAACGCCGACTGATGGAAAAGAGAAGATAGTCTGCGTCTGAGATTCCTCTTGGACTCATGCAATGATACCTCACTGACGGAGGGCAAGGTTGGCATGACCATGCCGTGGAATTCGACCGCCTTGGAAAGCCCAGTAAAAGACATGTCTAGAGCGCATCTTGTGGTCTTGAAATGTAAGTCTTATCATTAAACATCATTTTTAGTGAGATACATAAAGAATCAAGTCGCTGAGTAATGGGTATAAAGCTACCCGTCTTGGTGAAAGCCCTTCCGCCCCATTCCAGTGAAACTCCTTCGCTTATCCTGAATGGGCCCCGTCTTCCAGCTACCCAGGTATAATGAAACCAAAACTCCTAACATCGCCAGCTCATCCAACACACAGGAAACGTACAGCTTATCTCGTAACGGCGTTACAAGTCGTCAAGTCGTCAAATCAGTCCAAACCCTCGGGTTCCAGATCGCCATAGTCACTCTCACTGCGCTGTCCATCGTTCCCCGTCATCCGGTCGTGAACAGCATACAACGCCCGTAACCACGTACTCAACATCGCTTGCATGGAGTTGGCATGAGAGGCTTCTAGGGCCATCTCGTCCACTTGCTCCCTCAGCTTCTCGTAGGCCTCGATCATGATCCAGATCTGCAATGCGGACGTCTCAGCACTTGGTCGGATCCGATTGCCACTTGCTGCCGAGGATAGCTCCTTCGTAAGCAGATCAAAAATGATCTGCATACTGTGATTATCTGTCGGCGCGGGTGTTGCTGACTTGACTCCGTTCCGGTTTTCCTCCAACACGATCGGGCAAGGTGAGGTAGATTGCTCAGGGGAGAAGGACACGGGTTTAAAGTAGATCGCATCCTCCTCGAACCCGACCAGCGTCCCGTCGGACGACGTTGGCGACTCCATCTCCGTCTTTGGGTTAAACGGGAGGTGCATCGTCCTTTCGACGGGGAATTCGACGGGGAATTCGCCCGGAATGCCGTATGGTGTTGGAATGGAACGAGGCGGCTCTTCATCGAATGACTGCATCGGCGTGGAATACCTCGACTCCATGAAGGAAGAACGGGAGTTCAGCAAGGCTCTGTACGACTCTGCGAGCGCTTCGGCGCTCAGAATGTCCTGCGCCTCGACAGGTTCCCAGACTGATACTCCTTCCAGTTGGCCTATCCTGGTCACCGGCGTCTTTGCGTACCGCCTTACTGCCGATGCTACTGAAGACGTCGAAGGGGTCGACGGCCCATCCGAAGAAAGAGTTTCTGAGGATCCTGTTGATCTCGCATTGCCGATGCTGAGGTGGGCGAGTTCGGGAATGATATGAGCCGGCGGTGTGAGTGTATCTTGAGAGGATTGCGGGAGTGGTGGACTGGCAAGGTTAGGAACGTATCCGCTTGTCCGTAGATAGTCGGTCCATTTAGAGTCGTCCAAGTCAGGCGATGGTATAGTCGGCGGGATCACTCTATCTGATTCAACTCTCCTGTGGGCAAAAATGGATTTGATGAAGCCAATGGACTCGAAACTCTTGGCACTGCTGCTAGTCACAGGGAGACTGTAGCGTTGTGGGTTGCCGATCTTCTGCAACTTCCTTCTGAGCTTTTTGCCTTCGGCCATTGGTGTAGGCTGTGGTGAGGCCATAGTAGGAGCTCTATACCGATCCATGGTTCCCGCAAATTATCAACCTCGCGCGTATTTAGGCGCGACACTGGTAGCGTGAACGGTGGCACTATACAGCGGAGGCAGATACGGAACGCGGCGAGTAGGGTAAGTGCCTAGGTCATATATAATCAACAGGGCGAGATATCGGGGTTTTAGAGAAATGACGTTGGGAAGATATCGCGTCGGATCATGGCCCTGCCAATGCGAAAACAGGATTGCCAGGGGAAGCAGGGCGTTCTGACCTACATATGCAGATGAGCTGAGCCGGACCCGATTGGCTTGCCTGGGCCATCAAAGCTGACCTAGGTGCACCATCCCGGAGAACATGGACAACCCTGCATCCCGCGAGTAGTTTGGATAGGTAGCGCCCCGAGCGGCTCAGATCAATGGGAATGGCAAACCTTCCTTCAATAGCCCGCAGGCCTTGCGACGATGGAGGGTCGGAAAGATTGGATGAAGCTTGATCGATCAGGCACAGTTCGTGCACATAGCACGCCGAAAGGTGCTGTACCTGACAGCGGCAGCGGGATCTCTCTTGCCATTTCTGCAGGATTGGGGCAAATACGGTATTCTATGCAGCGGGCTAAATTGAGAAACAAATCTCATTGTCGTCAACGACACTCGGGCGTGGGTAGTTTTTCGTGTTGCCAACAGCCTTGCAGGTATCGACAAGGATTATCTGAGTTGGAATGCCGCTAAGAGAAACTAGAGGGGGTTCAGCTGGGGGTGTGGGCGTTTCCTTGAGGTGTGCAGGCTTGCGTCTGGCTGATGTCATACCATTGCTGCATTGGCTCGCTTTCTTGTCCTCCACTCTATCAGCAAGCTTTCTCGTGTGACAAAAAATCTCACCCCGTCAAGATATGACGAGAGCCTTGCAGACACATTGTCTAAGAGACAGGCGCCGAGGGCGCCTGTCCAGAGTTGCGGTGGCTTACGAAAGACCTAACGCAGTGCGACGCTACTCTGGTAGTCATCTTTAGTTGATCACGTTGAGTTCGTCCTAATGTGTTTGAGTTGCGGACCGGGCATGGCTTCACCGTCTGTTCGGACATCAGCAAGGTGATACTCAATGCACTTCACCGCTAACATCTCCCATCTTACACATCAGATGAGCGGAATGCGGCTTCTGGCAACCACGGAGGGTTTTCCCTCGCCTTGGGCGTTTGAGTCAATTGGGATGCGGACTACCGGCTAGCTAGGACCTGCCTCGCTACCCGTCAACGTTCCAAAGAACCGAATGCGCCTTCAGAGTGAACAATTAGAAACCCCTGCGATAGTAACGACTTCCTTTTCTCGGCGAGCCTCTTCACGATTCAGGTTGTCAATAGAAGCCACTGTACGTGATAGGCATTGACTGAAGCATTGACTGGTGTCTGTCACAAGGGCTCCTTGGCGTGCCACCATCCATAACTTGAAGTTTAGGAAAACAGCGGCACTCATGGCAGTCCACGAGTCTGTTTCAGCATTGCATGCCAACCCGTCAGTGCTCTATAGTATGTTGATCCCAGGAAGCCGGCATTTCCCCAGTTGATATGCGGACGGGTCTGATAACCTTCGGCCGGTGTACCGACGAGACCTGGGAGCTTGCTTGGTGATCATCCGAACTGTGGGGCACTCTCACTTCCGGCCCGCAAGTCTCAATTATGTACGAGTTACATCCTTCCAATACTCTATGGTGTTGAGCTTGGTGATCGGAAAGAATAGAATTGGTCTGCGTGCATCGTTTCGGGAATTTCAGGCTAAAACCTCCGTTGGGTCGAACGATGGATCGCTATGTGGTTCGTTTGACCCTTCGAAGGAGCCGCTGAGCCGCTGAGCCACAGCTGTGAGCTTCCGCAAACATTAGATCTCCCCACTTAGAGGCACAGCTCAGGTTACATAAGACAGCCACAACACCATCGACTGAATAAGTGAGGGTTTAATAAACCTTGTTTGTTCAAAGCAAGTAGTTAAGCTGCCCAGACCATCGTGAAAATGGCATCCAAGGCCTTCTTCGACCCGATGGTGCTTTTCAGGGTTGCACCCCTGGTCTCGTCTACTTTCGCGCTTCGATTTTCCGTCGACCAATACAGCTTCCTCAACGTCCTTTTGGCACAGGAGCACCGCGAAGATGCCAAGCACATAATCCCCTCCTATTTTAGAATATTTTTCCGAAACGGCATTTGGCACATTGGTGTTTTGTATGGTGTCAGTTTCGGCTGCGGCATCGCGAACTTCTTCAGCAAACCCAACGCCGCCTGGAAGTGGTATGCCGCGGGTACAGCGCTCACGCTTGCCCACATGGCATTTGCACCCAAGATCAGTAAGTTCCAGCGGCCCATATTGGGGTCCATAATCTTAACGACAGGGGCTGCGGAACCATCAGGCTCCCCTTTCTGCGGAGTACGTATCAATATCTCCCGGCTAACATGCTGCTTCACAGTGTGGTCAATTAAGGACCTTTATGACGACGAACCGAAGGGCCAGGGGGACAAGCATTTGAAGAAGTGGCTGGATATCCACGTCATTAGATCAGTGCTGGCAGACTTCCCGGCGTGGATTTGCTTCGGCATCGCTTGCTTGAAATCGTTCCAGCCTCTATGAGGGAAGCAAAGTACAGCTATACACAAGGCAAGACAGTTTCCCCAGGATATTTGGAGACTATGGGCGCCCATTGAATGCAATGGCGCCGGACTGCAACTTTTGCCATTAACCGTGATGCATCTTTGACATTCCCTGTCGACAGTATAACTAGAGGCCGTGGCTATACAATTAAAATACCCAGAGCGTACTGGCAAGGTTGTCAAGTATTCCAATATAATTGATGTTGAAGAATATCACATTGGTAGCCCAAACTGCAGTGTTACATACTTGATACTACGTCACCTCTAGAACATAAGATTCACTCAACCCAACCACATGCGCACTCGGAGATCATCTCACTAAACCCAACTCTGTGCACAGCAGGTGCAACGCCCTTAAACAGAAGTCTAACAGGGTGCTACTGAGGTAGCATCATGAAATCAATCCTGGAAGCTGCTGTCATATAGAATTCATCGCGAAGCTCAACTTGGTGATTGGCGGACCGTTGGCGGGTTCTCATTGAGTGGGCCACTGTTGTTCTATACACTCGACTGACGACTTGTCAGTATTAGCCAGCCAAGAAGTCAAAGATTAGGGGCTTGGCAATAGTATAGCCCCAAAGGATACGGAGACGATGTCACCAAATTTTGCATGTTCGACTGACGTTTCATGTGCTAGAGAAGTCGAGGAAATACCCGTCGGATATTTCGACGTACGGCTTGCGCTTGTGTGGGGGTGCGCTAAGGACGCTTTCGGCCAAGGTTTATTAGTTGACGTTGGCAATCCCCAGAAACGGCTTTTGAAGTTACATTCACGGATCACCAACATCCATATATGTTCGATTTATTGAGACAGCTGGGAAGCATTCAACCACACAAAATCTGTTCTAGAATTGTCCAGGCCGTGGAAGATTGCATTTTCCGGTGTTTAGAGTGGATTTTTCATCGAAGTCTGGTGAAATACTCTACCGAATTGAGTTTTTCCACCAACGAGGATTGCTGCTTGGTTGTACTGCGTGGCCCACTAAAAGTACCCCACGATGTCACGGCCACAGCGTCTGGAGCAGCGGCATTGTGCCCCTCACCATTATGAGGGGCATGGTCCGGTCGAGGCTTGCCCGACGTCTCTAATGCCCCTTGCTAGTATTGCATGTATAAATGTCTCACGATACCCTCGAGTCTCTCGCTGGAGCAGTCTTCCATATTGTTGGTGCCTTGGTAGACGGTTGGATTGCTGCAAAGACATACGTACCAGTCCCTTCTGCGAGCTCTACTCTCCCATAAGCAAACAAGATACCAGAGCAGACTCCTATCGAGAAATAGAAAGATGCCTGAGATTACGATCACTGGTTGGACCACCAGGGACGTGCGGTTTCCCACGTCCCTGGACAAGACCGGCTCCGATGCCATGAACGCAGCGGGTGACTACTCGTCGGCCTACTGCATCCTGCAAACCGACTCGGACTTCAGCGGCCACGGCATGGTGAGTTCCCCTGGTCCCGTTCCTCCGGCGCCGGGGTAGGTGCATAGCGAGTATTCTCCGCTGCACCTACCCGAGAGCTCCGTCTCTTGGCACCGGAGGCAATGCATATCAGAGAGAGGTGCTGACATCACACCTCAGACGTTCACTATCGGCCGTGGCAATGACATTGTCTGCGCGGCCATCGACCACCTGGCCGACCGCATCAAGGGTCGCACTCTCTCGTCCCTGGTCGAGGACTGGGGCAAGACGTGGCGCCACCTGGTCAACGACAGCCAGCTGCGCTGGATCGGCCCCGAGAAGGGCGTCATCCACCTGGCGCTGGGCGCCGTCGTGAACGCCATCTGGGACCTGTGGGCCAAGGTGCTCGGCAAGCCCGTCTGGCGTATCGTGGCCGACATGTCGCCCGAGGAGTTTGTGCGCTGCATCGACTTCCGCTACATCACCGACGCCATCACGCCCGAGGAGGCCGTGGCGCTGCTGAAGGAGAGCGAGAGCGGCAAGGAGCAGAGACTCCAGGATGCTTTGAAGAGCCGCGCCGTCCCTGCCTACACCACCAGCGCTGGCTGGCTCGGCTACGGCGAGGCCAAGATGAAGGGTCTGCTGCAGGAGACCCTGGCGAACGGCTACAAGTACTTCAAGCTCAAGGTCGGCGGCGGTCTGGAGCAGGACAAGAAGCGCCTGTCGATCGCCCGTGAGGTCATTGGCTACGACAAGGGCAACGTCCTCATGGTGGATGCCAACCAGGTCTGGAGCGTACCGGAAGCTATCGAGTACATGAAGAACTTGAAGGACTTCAAGCCGTGGTTCATCGAGGAGCCCACATCACCAGATGATATCCTGGGACACAAGGCCATCAGGGAGGCCCTGAAGCCGTACGGCATTGGTGTTGCGACCGGCGAGATGTGCCAGAACCGCGTCATCTTCAAGCAGTTGATCGTGTCCGGTGCCATCGACGTCTGCCAGATCGACGCCTGCCGCATGGGCGGTGTGAACGAGGTTCTCGCCGTGCTCCTGATTGCCAAGAAGTACAACATCCCCATCGTCCCGCACTCGGGCGGCGTCGGACTGCCAGAGTACACACAGCACCTGAGCACCATCGACTACGTCAGCGTCAGCGGCAAGCTCTCGGTGCTGGAGTACGTTGACCACCTGCACGAGCACTTCCTGCACCCATCGGTGATCAAGGACGGCTACTACCAGACCCCCATGGAGCCTGGGTACAGCGTCGAGATGAAGGCTGAGAGCATGGACCAGTACTCATACCCGGGCAAGGACGGTGTGAGCTGGTGGAAGAGTGCTGAGGCCAAGCCGATCCTGGACGGCGAGAAATACTAGAAAATGTATGGACTTACGAGATCATGAGGAGATTTGGAGGGCATACAAAGGAGGTAGAGCAAAAGGTGCTCCTCCGCAGGGCAACGATGGCATCCTGCTAGCGGCCAAAATTGGAATTGGGCCGCTATCCTGTACTAACATCGCATGGGAACTGTCGGCGAACAGTCTGGGGTTTGGTTACGGTGATCATTCCGCGGGGCAACGATGGCATCCCGTACGGATCGACTCAATCTGTCGTCCGTCCTGTACAACATGCAAAGTTTAATCGGGTCTACTTGAACATGGAAACGGGGCTCTGGTCGAGAAAGACCGGTGCGTAGGGCAACGATGGCATCCTATATAGAGAAAATTCTATCCCATAGACAGTCATGAATATGAGATCAAGGTTGTGGTCAATTCACCCTGTCGTGAAAATCTATAAGATCTCATTGGCTTCCTATATTTTAAGTTCCGAGTCGAAGCTCATGTGTCTGGAAAAGAGTTCTCTGACTTTGTGACCGTTCCCTTTTATCACAGTCTACCAATTCTAGTTACCAGAGATTCTGATTCACTGCAGACTTGAGGAGGTCGAGCCATGGTGAAAGTATTCAGAGCGTACGCGATCATACAGCCCATAACCGGGGCGTAAGTGGTGGTATCCTTTACCATGGGGCCGCCCTCACTGATGTCGTAGACGGCCACGGCAGGCCACAATTTCCCTTCTGTCGGGTCTATGTCACGGCAGACGTTCATGTTTGACAAGTGAGGACTCCCAGGGGGTCGACGTACCCAGGGATGGTGGCGTACTTAGGAACCAAGAGTGACGATTCAGATGAGAAGTATGAAATACTGGCAGGTATTGGTTGTTGCAAGCATCACGAAAGTAGCGAGGTTGAGGATAGTAAATATTTTTGGGACAAATACCAACTCAGTAGGAAGGTGAACTCCTACTGTTCACTTGGAATCGACCATACTCGGTCTCCACGGAGTTATATGTGGCATGCTTGCATTCATCGAAAAGAGAACCAGATAATAGCACCAACTATGGGGTGAGCCAAGGGCGGAAGCGGGTTTGCAGCGAAGAGCGTATGCTTGAATAACAAAACCCAGATCATACGAAATTACCTGTCTATTTGCTAACTTGGAGCTAAGACTGGTTACTATCGCTTGATGTAACTCAGGGGGAAAGGGTAGGCTGGGTGTAGTAAGCTACCCAGCGTAGTCGAACCATACAAAGATGTCGGTATACATCACTCTGATGACAACCTCATGGTGACACATGGTTTGCATGTTGACTTTGTACAATTTGATTTGCTATAGACATCTGGTCTTCATCCACTCACTTGTGCCCAAGCCGAGGTTCAGTCCATTCCTAGCCCACCACGTCCTAACTGGCCTTGAATCACCAATGGCGTCCTCCAGAGCCTCCTCGATGTCACAGGTCTTGTACTCCACCCGGTTGGTTCGTCCATCTCCTTGTTCACCTCTGGCGTACTGCTTCCACCACTCCAGCACATTGACATGTCCCTGCTTTGTCGGTGCCACGAGCACCTGGCAGTCGATCGACAGCTTGTCGCCCTTCAGCTCGCGCCAAGCATCCAGCACGCCCGTGTGTCCGTGAGCGCTCGCAATCTTTGGCACTCCGTCTCCATGTGCCACAGGCACTCCGGAAGACTCCCACCACCTCAACACAGCTGTTTGACCCTGCTGGGCCGCCGCAAGAAGACTACGGCCAGGCTTTAGGATAATGCTGTCATCCTTCTTGGCGGCATCCCGCCACCACTCTAGGATTAACAGATAGCCCCTCGCAGAAGCGGATTCCAAAGCTGCTTCGGTGTATTTAAGGGGGAGGCCGGACTGCAGCCACCAGTCCAAGACATGGACGTATCCCATCCGGGAGGCGTTGTCGAGGGCCTCTGCATCGTATTCTTTCTTCAGGAAAGATGGGGACATATTCCACCATTCTAAGATATCTGTCCTGCCGTAGACACCAGAAGCCTTGTTGGGAAGTAGTTTGGAGTGGAAAGAAGCCCAGAAGACTTGGCTGAGGTGGTTTTCTAGATAGGTCAAGACATCGGTCAAGGAGAACTTGATGATCAGTTTCACCGCAAGGGGCGAAATCAAAATATCTTGGGGTGCTTCTGAAAGCTTCTGGCAAATCGCCGTGGACCCCGGGCAAGAGAGGATCAGCCATTCCAGGTCATGGTTGTATAGGTCGTAGGGATCGGTAAGGCGAGCACGGGTAGTACGCCATTCTGATGGCGTCGGTAGGTTGGTGTATACATTGAGGGCGTGGGCCAACTCCCAGTCGCCGACATATTCGAAAATCATGGTCCATATCTCAGGAGGTAGGATGGTTGCCACCTTGCTCGGGTCGGCCGTATGCAAGGCCTGTTGGGCAGCGGCCTCGACGTCGTGGCCCAGGCTCAAAAGCTCTGCCTGATTCTTGATAATCCCAACGACATCATTGAAGCCGTCCCAGGACACTATGCGCTTCGACGGTGTGGCGCTATCGTACGACCAAAGTATGGGGGACATGACCATGACCCAGTCCCACTTCCGTTTTATCTTGCTGAGCTGCTTCTTGGTCATGGGATTCTCCCACATCTGAATGGACATGCCCGGCACCAGGAGGATCTTCTTCGAGACATCCCAAGCTCGCAGCACCTCCAGCAGCAGGGTATCGGAGATACCGCTCATCATTTTGGCGAGGTGGTCGGCGTCGATCGGGGCGAGCACCAGGATATCGGCCCAGTCCACCAGCTCGTAGGCCGTCTGTCTCGCTGCCTCTATCGCCTCTCGCGTCCTCTGATCGGCATCGATCGCCAGGGTCGCCAGGCTTCGGTTTTCCATGACGATGATCTCGTGGGTTAGTCGCAAGGGGATCTCGTCCATCAGCGCCCGGGTCTCGACTTGCGAGTCCTTGAGCAGCCTGACGGCGATGGCCTGCGCATATGCGACGTCTCGTTGTCCGTTTGCTGCCACGAGCATGCGCAACTTCCTAGTCCGCGGCATCTCGTGTAGCGACGAGCAGGACGAGCTGGCAGTCGGGGTCCTTAGGAGGTGGCGACGGAGGAACGACACTCTCCCTAGGTCGGGAGGGGGGCTATGTTCTGCCATGTTCCCGCATTCTAAGACGACGAGAACCTAGAGGGAGTCTTCTCTGGTCGATCGGAGCTTGGTTGGAAGAGTGCGCACACGTCCAAAGTCGAAGTCAGAGTTGGATGTTGGTTGCCGTTATATCTGGCGATCGCAACGCTGGTGGTGTCGTCGTCGTGAGGTCGTTCGATTCGAGTCTGGTCACTCACTGGTCGTGTGGAGATATATCTCGTGCAGTGCGTGATACCACGTCACAAAGCAATAATTGTGACTAGTAAAGAGTGCAGCCACACTGTCATATGCAGAAAAATGGCCGAGGGGCCGTGAATAGAGTCGGTCAATGATGAGACAATGCTTTGCTTGACTCGAGGAATCAACGAAAAGCTACCCGTGTCTCGAAAAGCGACCCCGAAATGCTGGACCCCGATTGGCGACTGGCGGACGCCCTGTGCAGCAATGACGCCCATCAGTGGATCCATCAGTGGACTGCCCAAATGCACTCGCTGCTGGCGGGGCTCAGACAGCACCCCTGCACCCCGTTTGGAACAGAACGGGGTGCAGGGGTCCTCTGGCTCTCGGTCAAAATCATAAGAGGGGCCGCTTTCCATCAACCATTCTCTCTCTTATTTCCATCATCGTGTAGAATCCGTATCTCTCATCCGCATTCTACAATTTCCCCATGATGCTCTAAGCTTACGTAATGCTTCTGCAAAAATGGTACTCGCGTGGCATGGCAACCCACTGACTTGCCCGAAGCTATCCCAAGCCTGCTTTCATTATTTCCACATCTATAGGAGAAACTATCACCTGTCAATGGAATGATACTTGATTCGAGGTCACTCGATACGTGGTCTTGCCTGAACTTGTGAAGAGTCGTCCGAGATATGCCACAGTGACGATGTCTTCAATTACCAAGGCCTGCGTCGCCTGTACCTGGTTGCAGACCCACTCCTGTTGGCTGAATTCCGCGAAGAGAGAAAACATACTTTGATATCTCGGTGTATCGAAAAACAAATCTTCTCATGGCACACATAATTTCTGGTGAAAATTCATATATAAATACATGGCCAGTAACTCCCCTCCATCCAAGCATCCAAGCATATCTCTTCAAATTAGTATCAGACACTTAAAGCGCCATCATTCTCCAAATACATGCCATCAGCTGTTCAGAAGCTCAACCTCATCGTTGACAATATGTCCAATGACACTGAAGATTTACAGACACGCTTGCCACCAACAGAGGTTGCCGAGACCGGACCGTGTAACTCCCATGCTGGTTGCCTCCCTCAAGCCATTGATATCGACGACGAGGGAGATCTCGTTTTGATAGTCGGCCATGATGAATGCATAGATGATCTTCGTGTCAACTGCCAGACAGCTTACGATTTGCACAAGCCCAGAGCTTTCCGCGTTGACTCCAGAGCCATAGCCAGAGCATCTCGAGTGTTCAAAAGAATGCTATTTGGAGGGTTCGCGGAATCGCGCAAGCCAGAGAGCGCTGGAGAAAGCTGGGCGGTCAGGCTTCCTGTCGATACCCCGGGCGCCATGGAGGTGATTCTTCGCATTATGCATGGGCAGGTTCATTTGGTCCCAATGTTCGACCCCCTAGACAGCAAGCACGGCTCCTCCTCTCTTGTGTACTACATCACCATACTGACGGACAAGTACGATCTGACGACGCTTCTCAGGCCCTGGGCGAACAACTGGCTGCGACTGTTTCCGACGTGTAAGCTCAGCTTGAGGAGATTCCGGTTCGACACGTACGTTTCCGAGTCTGACCTGGACAACAATCTGTACTATAGCCTCATGGACTGGCTCTGGATATCGTGGGAGCTTGGATCCGACGAGCACTTTCTCTTGGTTTTTCGATGGCTTGTCTTGCACGCTCGGATGGACCTCGAGAACGGCCATCTCACCTTGAAATGCAGGACGAAGGGTCGCAAAATGTTCGAGCCAGGGAGCCACGGATTCTACAACATTGAGGAGATCATAGAAAGGTGCCGATTAGAAATCATCCGACATATGCTGCAGCCATTCCAAGATTTCTGGGACGCCTTTGAAGAATTGGAAGCACCCCAAACAACATTCAGAGATGGCGGTATAGGTTGTCAGGAGTGGCCCGGAGAGGCTTGGTCAGATAACAATAGTGCCGTGCTGGGCATGATGATGACGGCTCTCAGCAAGCTGGATCTCTGGCCGATCCCAGAGCCACAAGACATCGAAGTCAGCGCGTCCGACCTCTGCTTGATGCTGCGCCCATTGCAAAAGGTGATTTGCTGCCCCCAGGAGAGGCGAAGAGAGACGGAAATATTTGTAAACAATGCAGGCCACTACAACTGCAACTACAAGCCTTACAGCTTTGTGGGTCTGATGAGACTGGTCGACACCCGGCTACGGCCAGAGCATACAAAGCACCTGGAGACACAGGCGGGGAAAACAGGGGTGCTCTCTTACCTCTGACAGATAATGGGCCTGGTAACCAACGGTTACTATCATGCCACCTATGAATTTGCCCCTCGACTGGCTAAGACAATACATGAACGATGAACCTAGTCACGGAAGACACTGTGGGTTAGGTTTGCTCACTAGTTCAAGATGGTATATCGAACAAGCACAAATAGGTCGGGAAGACAGCCAGAGCTTGCTAGTAACATTGAAGAACAAAAGGAATATACTTAAGTATATCTTAATACGGGCACGTCCTAGCTTATTGCTTGCTTGGCCTTTCACAGTTGAAGAATTTGGAGACCGGCCTCGGAAACCTAGAGTGAACGCAAGCCCTTTCCAACATCATGGCTTGTGCCATACGTCTCTTGTGCGCTAACATGGGTTTTTTTTTTTTTTTTTTTTTTTTTTTTTTTTTTTTTTTTTTTTTTTTA